TCCATCTCGCCATTTCTTGTTAAGCGACTTGGGTACGAGACAGAGGTTCTCTCCCGCCATTTCTCCTTGCACGTACGGTGTCCTGGCCATTCCATACCAGCCCAAGACAAACCTGCGGGAAAAGGAAACAGGGCGGCGACAAGTGGCATTCGGACAGGTTTGCCAGCTGGGCTCAGAACGGCACTTTTGAGACATACCTCAGCTTTGTTTACGACGCACGCAACAAGCTAATTACCAACGTACTCCGTCAGCCCAAGTGAGAAGTGAGGATATGCAAAAATTCCTCTGCCCCTTACTGTGTGAGTGGCATTGGCCCCAGTCCTCGCTTAATCGCTGTTTATTCGTATTGAGGAAACGTCAACGGTTGACGGAGAAAGAGACATAAACGTGAACCAAGAACGACTCGAAGCGGCAATAGGACATAGTCCAATACTCCATTGAGCACGATTCGATTCAGCCCAGGGATTTTATCCAATCATTTGGCATGCCAGCACGTCCACTATGCAACCCCTGCTCTTCTCCAGCGCCAGCCCCTGCCCCCTCCACCCCTGGCGGGTCCCTGCCGTTCCGCTGCCAAAGAACACACTCCGAGTTCACAGGCTTTGCATTCTATCATGTGAAGCATCTGGAGCGATTTCGCAATCGCCGGAGACCCAATTTCGATCTGCAAAGGGCACAAGCTAGGACAATGCTTCAACCTCCTCATTTACAAGTACGACAGACTCCTGCAGTGCATCGTCAGGGACTCCATACGAAGTGATACATTAAAGCAAACCGAGGAGAGGGGTCAGAAAAAACCCGAATAAGAAGAGAGGAAGAAAAGGCGGGAAACGGCACACCTCACGGCGTTGTCCGCACGCGACAGCGCCAATTCTTTTGAGCATCCCCAAATATACGTGGGCCTGAGGAAGCAAATGGCCGCATCGAAAGATTCAGGGGCAATATCTACCCGCCGGGCAATCCTGGCTTACCAGCCAGCCCTTCCGGGCTGATTCGGGGAACCTCATCTCAAATGTGGAAGACCATCTCGGCTGGCGGATGCTGTGCTCTCTATCCATCAATCGAGACTCCATCGCCGCGCCCATTTTTTACTTTTTGCTTTGATTTCATATACGACGTGCTGAGTACGGAGTACAAGTACACGCCCGCCTTGGGCAAATGCGGGTGAAGGCGGTTCTAGAGACGAAAGCTGTGCTGGCCAATCATCCACTGTCCCCTGACATATTGTTTGGCGTTGTCGGTTCTGGGAAGCGGTGTGACAGCTCCAACCTTAATCGATCGAGAAAAGGGGATGTTTAGTGAGGGCCCAGGCCAGAGCCAGCATGACCCACTGGCCACATGAATTGGGGATGGCAATTAGTTTTGCCAGCCGTGCGAGAATAAATACGAAATACCTCCGGCGAATTACAGGATGGTGTGCCACACACACAACCCGCAACAACGGTCCCATTTGGGTATCGTGGCACACCTCTGACCACTTGTGCCCCCTGGCGGTGCCAGCACCGTCAACGCTGACAGCATGTTCCGGCCAAGGGCAGCCAAACAGAGACGAAGCCTGTGCCATAGTCGTGATATCCAGCAGACAAGGGCGGGTCTTGCTGCACGTAATTTAACTCTTGGCCAGGCTACGTCGAAAACAAGCCCACGCGTTGGAGCCAGCACACACGACGACTACTGGCCGGAGACCAGCTTTGTCCACTTTGAAAGGGCCAGCAGGCGAAGACTGCATGACGTGAAAGAAAACACAGCAAGGCGGTCTGTCTGGGGAAGAACGACGGCTCTAGCCTCAAACTCGCAAAGTATCGACAACAATACAATGAGCATCCTACCATTGCGCTATAAAATATCCACTTGGGGCTTGCCTAGCAGGCTGGGCGAAGTATGCGTGCACCGCTACACACAGACAGAGGATCCAGTCAGGACCGGACAACGTCAAATAAATCTCAGGCATTGCTACTTCGCAAAGATGAATTGGTTCCGCACCAAAGGCGGGAGAGACAGACACATGCGCAAAGAGAGAACCGAGCTCTCGAATCCTAAAAGAAGCTTAAAATCTGTACCACTGAAAGGGGGTTGATTGCCTCGAACTGCTGCACCATTCCGAGCCCCGTTCTTTCGCTTTTGCGGCGATGGCACAGCAGACGACGTGGTCAAAGCGAGGCGAGGTTTGACTGCTTCTGCTTGGAAATCGTGTCGGCCCCCGTCATTGGTGTTGGCATAAAGGCACACCATTTCCCCATCAGGGTTTGTTTATTTCATCCCCTTTTTTTCATTTTTCAGTTCCCGTCCCAATGTGCTTATTACGTCGTACTAGGAGACACTCGACTAACAATACCACCTTCTTTACTTATTTTTTCGTCTCATCTTTTTTTTCGCGGCGCCTTGCTGTCAGGAAAGATGTGAAACACGGGGATGATAATGCGAGTTTCCAAAACGGGATAAAAGCAAGAGGGGTCGGGATGGCCAATGCTCTTTATCCCGTATTACGGCTTTACATTTGCTTGCTTTGCCTTTTGCGTGCACATGGAAGACTACCCTGCTGCAGGCCGCAAAACAAACAATTGCTCGACGTGTCGTGTCGAGTGGCTCGTCAGGGGCGAGCTTGTTTACATGCCAGTACGATGTTCTCCGGACCACCTGCGCCGCAGGGAGTCGACTGACCGGCATCGATATTGGCAGATAGCGATTGCTGTTTCGCGTTGGTCTTGGCTTTTGCAGATCAGAAGCTCATATCCTGCACTCTATTTGAGGCGAAGCGAGAAACCTATGCCCCAGTTCTGGCAAGCGGACAAAACTTGCCCCAGCATGAGGACGTCGTACAAAGTACAAAGTTCGGTGCGCAAAGAAATTACTTGCTACAAACTACACAGAAAGCAGTGCGTGGGGGTCGTTTGGGCAATTGGACAATATGAGACGGGTCCGGCTGCAATATACGCAGAATTGGTGCTCATATATCACATATGAAAATGATGATATGAGATAGGAGTCTCAAGATACATCGTGGATAATCGTGGATATATCCAAGATGAAGGGGCACGATCGGCGCTGACGACTACGGAAACGTCCAGGAGCCTCCAGAACAACAGACAACGGACAACAGACAGGATCGAACGAGAAACATGATTAGAAGGGGGATGCAAATTAAAGTCGATCTCTAAGGACTGCCATTCCGACTGATGCACCGGATAATGAACTACACGCGGCAAGACCAACGTCAAGAACAAAAAACCTCGAAATAGAACCAGCATGGCCTCGCAGTCTGCATCTTCAGAGCACGTGTTACTATCATAAAAATAGATGCAAAAGGTAACCAGCAGTTCATCACGTCCATCACAGTTGCGCAGTAGCTCGCAGCAGTTGGTTTCGTCGACACATCGAAGACCGGATCTTTCGCAAATAACACCAGGAGAGGTCGGTAAATCGATGAGCCCGTCTTTTACAACGATATCAAGATTGTTCACAAATATGTCTCGGGACGGAATGGTGCTTGCATACACAACTCAACAAAGTGTTGACGTTTTCTTTTGCTTATACTTTGTTCTCTGCTTGGACGTGTTCTTCGTTGCCTGCCCGTTTGCTCTTCGATCCCATTTCTTGTCTTTATTGTTTTCTTCGTCTCCCTTCCCTGCAAGGTACCCCTGCTCGAAGACGCTCCCCAGACGCCACATCCCCAGGCAATATGCACAACAAGCATGCAAGTGTCGGGGGTGAGAGGATGCGCTCACGAGGAGAGAATCGACAAATGGCGCAGAACAGGATGCAGACAAAGGAAGAGCGAGCAAGGATGGATACTCCCAGCGCTGGAAATACCACATCTACTCCATGTTTGCGAACGAAACATGTCCCGATATGGACATTTACCAAAGAAGCGTGGCATGCGAAGACCAAAATTTAGGCCAGAGCCTACTTGCTGAAACAATGGGAATGTTGTGCAAGAAAGTGTGGTCCGTTGAGACGTCTTTGGCCAGTCTGGTCGCCGGTGAGACACGCAAGATCTTAGGAAGCCAAATCAATATCGACGGCACCAAGCAAAGCCGAGCTTTAACTGAATACGCGGCGAAAACGGATAAAAAAAAAAAAAAAAAAAAAAAGAAGGAACCGATCAGAGGAAGTATAATAATTAGCAGTGGGAAGCGGCTGTCATTGTGGCTGTCCGGCATCGAAAAAGTCTCGAATCGGTTTCAGGACGGAGAGGCCTCTCGTTCTCGTCGTGGGAAAAGCCTCTTTCGATTGTTTCCAGTGTGTTTATTTTTGGGTACAAGAAGGGCCAAGCCATGAGATCGCTTCAGGCGGGTAAAGGAGAAGAAACGAGGGAAAGAAAACGCACGTCTAAAAGAAAAAAAGATAGGCAGTCCACACCTTACAACCGGAAGCAGTCACGAGAGCCAATGCACCCCAATCCCAGTCACCCTGGCCTGACAGACCTTCGGGTGTCTTTCTTTTGCCGCTCACAGATCCCTGCTGCCACTTCCTGGCCCCCATCGAGGCGGTCACGAGCACGACGTATTGATTCCATTGTTTCAGGTCAACAGGCCGCATTGTACGCACAGTGTCTCCGCATACACGATGGCTCAGTCAGTCTACAAGCGGGAGCGCCCATGACATCACGTTAAAAGTCGTATTACGCGTCATGTTAACGAGCGCTGTTTTGTTATTTCCTATTCGAGTCATTCGAGACGCAGCGCACAGCAGTCGGTATGTTGAAAGTATATGTTCTTCTTTTGATTTTATTCTGCTGTATTTTGACTCACTGTTTTGGTCGTCTTCTCGCAGACATTTATTGATGACGAAACCCCAAATCATACAAACACCAAGCCCTAACGTTAGGAAAGACGAGAAATCGACAAAACATAATGGGAAGCATAAAAGAAAGAAGACAAGAAGACCAGGAGGAAAGGTTCATGAGATGACAAGAAAAGAGAAACAACGCTAATTATATCATAGATTTATTCACCACGATTCACCACGATTCATCATCACACCTTCATATCACTTCACGCCTAATACCGGTAGTAATCTCGGGGTCGACGCCCCTCACGCTCACGGTCGCGAATAACAATACGGTCGTGCGTTTCCCATTGTTCGGCGCGTGGCGGCGACGGAGGCGGTAGCGGTGGCGGCGAGGGCATCATCCGCCGCGGCGCGTCAACGTACCGAAAAGTTTCGTACTCAGGCGTCCGTGCTGGTGGCGGTGGCGGTGGCGGTGGTGGAGGAGCAGGCGTTGGAGACAGCTTGCGACGACGCATCTGGACAGTCATGGGCATGGGCACGGGGACATGGACGGGCACAATACGCTCACGCTCCACATAGACGGTCTCGTGCTCAATATCCTTCTTAGCCTTCTTCTTCTTCTTCTTGGGTTTCACCTCTTCCGGCTCGACGTCGACCGCAATAACGTCAATGGTGTCGTCCTCTTCTTCGTCGGGCACCACCACCGGCGGCGGCGATGGCGGCGATGGCGATGGCGGTGGGGGGAGAAGGACAGGTGGAGGTGGTGGCGGTGCTTGGATGATGATCGGGGGCAGCTGCAGTGGGGGCGGAGGCGGCGGCGGCGGAGGTGGTGTTGGCTCCCGAGGCGGCGGGACGATGGTGGTGACGCGAGTGCGGACAGTCTTGGAGCCGTGGATGGGCGGCTCCAGATAGAGATACTTTTTGCCGTGACGGTGACGAGGCACTGCGAGTTGCGGTCAACACTGGAAAGATCAACAATGTGGCAATGGACGGTTGCAGAGGGAATGGGGCTAGACGACAAGGATCACTCACTTGTGATGCTGTGCTTGACAGTGGAGAGAGGGGAGACTGGAGACAGGAAGTTCAGCAGTATGTCCACGACAGACTGGATGGTTCGTGAGACAAGCCCGGCTGCCGCAATGTGTTTGTTTGTGTTCGTGTTCGTGCAGAGTCTCTGAAGAATATATGGACCGGCAGAGGAGGACGGAAGGCGTCGTGGACTTATATGGATGGGTGGAGGAGCATCGTCGCACGGAGAAACGACTGGGGGCTTGGCCACGCGTGGTCTTCAACAAAGTGCATATAGTGCACGGCCTCAGGTCTGGAGTTCGGGCGGACGTGGGACGTTGGGTTTGATTTTGGCCTGGGCCAAGACCAAGGTATGTCCGATAACCTGCAAAGAACCGTCATCATCGGTGGTACAAAAGACAAAAAGAGAGGGGAAGAGCGAAATGAAAAGAGAGAAAAAACGACAGAGCGGGAAGTGGTGGGATGACGTCATTGGATCTGTTGAGAAAGTTGGCAGACGCACACAGCGCTCATTCTTCGGATTCTGGACTCCGAGATGGATGCCCAATGGGAGTCCACGACGAGCTCAAGAATAAATAAAGGTAACATGGGTATAGAGGTATTTAAAGCAGATCAAAGTCTAATGATAATATTCCAACGGATCAAGGGGTGGAGAAGGGGACATAAGAAAAAGAAGTTTCCAATACCGCCGAAAACGCCGATGCAAAAAAAATGGATAAACGTGTAGACGAAGTCTAGACCCCTGTCCAACTGTGCACATCCGAGCCCAACGTCCTCCACTCTGAAGGATTTTGGCCAATGCAGTCCCTATGTCCAAGATGATAACCAAAACCTCTGTGCAGATACAGCCATATGCGCCAGGTACGGTCATATGCAGCCAGATGCACTCCACATGCACAACATGTGTCTTGGGGTGCGGCCTAGACTCCCGTCCAGAAATATTGACCTTGTACTTTCATTACCCCCGCTTCCTCACCGTGTTATCACACCGTCTGTCACACCCATCGTCTGCCTGGTCTGCTGTCTTAGCTCGATGGCGGGAACTGAGAACTGGCGGTTCCGGCCGTGTTGCTGCCCACCCATTACTCTCTGGCCTCGTTGGGCTCTGCCTCGGCCTCGGTCCGCGCCTTCTTCAGCTCATCGTAGTCGGGCAGATACTGCGCTGACAGGGTGAAGCCCAACGCTATGAGGACCATCAATACCCAGATGCCATAGCCCCACAACAGCTGATTGCGCACGCTGATGGCATACAAGGCCGTGAAGAGCGCAGGCGTGAAGGCGCGGATCATGCTCACACCCGTCAGGGCCAGTGCGTTGAGTGTGCCCAGCAACTGCGGCGAGGGGGCCGTGTCATTGACGGCTAGCTGGATGGCCGTGAAGCTCAGGCTGACGCCGCTGCCAAGCGCCAGCGTCGGAGGCACGACGATCCAAAACAAGGTGCGCGCGTCCCAGACGCGCAAGATCAGGCTCATAAAAGGAACCCCGCTCATAAAGAACGGGTAGGCATTGGCGCACGCACGAATCACGGCGTTGGTGCCGATGCGGCGGTGCAGCGGCGGGAACGCAAGCAGCCACACGGACTGGCTGGCGCCTGCAAGGCCCATCATGGCGGAGATTTGCACGGGCGTGAAGCCGAAGCCGCCGAGGTCGACGGGCGTAAACCAAAACACAGGTACGAGCGCCGTGTACGAGAACGCGAGCAGCATAATGTTCGCGTAGATGAAGAGCACCATCTTGACACCGGGTGCCCGGAGCAGATCGCCAATGGACGGCGGCGGCGGCGCGGGCTCGTCGTCATTGGCAATCGATGCTGTGCCTGTCGTTGTCGTTGTCGTCGGCGTCGGCGTCGACGACGTCTTCTTCTTTTTCACCACCAGCGTTTCCTCGACAAACAGCGCGCACAGAAGCGCTGCCAGGTACCCGAGACCAGCCACGACAAAACCGGGCAGCGCATACGGGTAGGCGGCCAAGAAGGGGACGTTGTCGGTCGGGTCGTCTGGGTTGGGCCGGCCCAGCGGCGTCGCCAGCGCGCCACCCATCAGCGGGCCCACAAACAAGCCCAGGTTGCCGCTGAACGCAAACCAGCTGAACACCCGCGCCTGTGTCTTGGGCGTGCTCAGCTCGGCCAGCATCGTCCGGATCGTCACAATTGTGCCCGCAAACACGCCCGCCAGACAGCGGAACGCAACCATCTGCACCAGCGTGCTCGCCGTGCCAAACAGTGCCGTCGCGCTCGCCATGCCGACCAGCGAAAGCACCAGCACGGGCTTGCGGCCCACGCGGTCGGCCGCCCGGCCCCAGCCCATCATCACCAGCGCCTGCGTCAGCGAAAAGAGCGACTCAATCAGCCCGCTGTAGAAGCCCACGTCGGACGATGCCACGCCGCCGTTGTCCTGCACCATCTGGTTGATGTAGGGGAACACGGAGAAGAACGCAATCGGCTCGAGCAGCCGCGCAAAGCAGAGCAGCGCCACCTGCGTCTTGGGCATTGGCCGGTCCTCGTCGGCGGACGCGGGCACGATCACGGCCGCCGTCGCCACGCCGGCGTCTATGTTTCCTCCGACAAGTCCATTTCCGTCTCCTTGTCCTGCCGCGTCTTGCAGCAGGGGAGTCGTTTCGGCCGCTGCCACCGCCTTCAAGGCCGACGAGGTGCGCGACATCGGGGTTTGTGTGCAGTGTGATATGTGTCGCGGGTGCACTTGAGTCGCTCCAATCCGCTCTATCACGCCCCTCGCAGATATGTCGTCGCCTCTATTTGGTCTGCCAGAGGTTCAAAAAGGAAACAAACCAAACCAAGGAAAGTGCGCGATATAAAAAGATATAAAACGGAAGGTGCCGGCAAAGATTCAGGAAAGGCAGGTACAGTTGACGATTGCTGACGCGAAAGGAAGGAGATTTGTGGGGTCCGATTTCGTTGGATCCTTGGCCTCTGATTGGCCAACTAATAAATCTCGCCTCGATCACGAAACTGTCTTCTGAAATCTTCACTCCGTAGAAGAGAGAAATACGGCCGATTCTCAGCGCTGGGAAATAAATCCCGTATTTTTTATGTCTAGGTTCGTAGTTTCAGGGCGATGGTGGTCAGGGTCTCACAGCTTGCTACAGGTAATGAATAAGCTTTTTGGATGCATATACTAGTAACAATATGGACCGCATTGGGTTTCTTCTGCGAGATGGGCTGCAAGTCTCCAGAGTGTGTAAATAATGAACTGTTTGTTTTATGGAGGTTTGGGGCTTAGTTATGCAGCCTGTTTTTTAATTTAATTTTATTTTTGGTCGGGTGAAATGCGACAAAATAAATAATTTATTCGTGTACTTATTTAGTTTTATTTGGGGGTTAAAAGTTGTTTAATCCAAATCACCTTTGAGTTGCTCAACACCAACTAATACCAAGAGACGTGCCAAACACTGGAGCCCTTACGAGACGGGCTTTGCCACACATGTATAATCGAGTAATGAAATACAAAAAAACTTTACATAACTCTCTGGTCGTCGATATTATGGAGCAGTGACTGAGTGCCAAAATTTGAAACGTCAAATGCGCACACGACGTAAGACAAAATCGGACAAATGAACTGCCTCTGGCAGTGCAGTCTTTTGCAACCGAGCAGTCCTATACCATGGATCGAATAAGAGATGCGAAAGGGCAGGCTCGAGGACTTCGCCGTTTAATTAAAACCTGCATCTAGCTCGATGTATGTCCAGCAAGTTAAAAATCTGCAACCCTGGCGAGCCTGGCTCCACGACCAAAAAAAGGTCCTTGGTGTCCGAGTTGAGAACGCCCATGTGCCGCTCTCCTGGCGCGGCGTTCCATCTCCCGCCAATGGTTACTGTCGCTGACTTGTCGTCGTATTGGCGCTCCCGCCTCCTGCAGGCGTCTCGCTGTCCCGGTCTCCTGATGTAACGCTCGCTGTCGACAGTTGGTTCAGTAGTCCGGTGGGACGGGCAGGAAATGGGGGACATGAGAACGAATAGCGTAAGAGACGGGAACAAAATGAGCTAGGGAGCAAGGGCTTTGCGCTTCCTTGGTGACGGAGCGGCTGCCACTTGGACACGACAGAATGCCGGAACTATCCCTCCCTGGCCCCTCGTCTTGATCAGCCTGGTGCGGTTTCGTCGGCGGTTGGAAGGTCGCTCCTCGAACCTTTGCACCCACCCCCTCCTCTCTTCGCGCATTCGCTCACTATTGCCACATCATAGGACCTTTCGCGGATGGCCGGGAGGCTTGGTAGAGGCGGCGAAGGACATGCGGAGGGCGACCAGAGGTGGGCACAAAATAGTTAGACTATGACCTCGCTGCTGCTTGCCGGAAAAGCTAAAGGATCCTTGCACGCCCCTTTGACCATTTCGGTAGTTGCATGTCTTCTGTACGTCGGACGTCGTGGAAGAATGAAACTGCCCGCCATCCACGATCGCTGAGTGGAGCAAACAAAGTCCGCTGTTTCCCGCCGCGCAAAGAAAGAGCACACAAGCCACTTGGTTATGCTTGAACCGCAAGTAATATCTCCCGGTCCTTGCATCATTGTGTGCATAATGTCAAAAGAGGAGCAGTTAAATCCTGAGCTCTCTTTCTGCGCTGACTGCCTCCGGATCTGAATATCATGACATATAAAGAAGTGCGTATTGGCCGCGGGGCTGTCAAACGAGGCTGAACAAAAGAGGTTGAATAGAGGTTGAAGACTCCGAAGAGGTTGAAGTAGATCGAGACGGCGCCAATCTTTGGCGGTTGGCGGTAAGCGGAGGTGGCTGGACTTTTATGCGCTCGCCGGTTAAATTCAGTGGACCTGGTTTTTGTCTTTGGCAAGAAGACGCACTCAGACGCCCAGGGCGTGCGCGTCGTGTCATATGTTGGAATACTGAAATTAGCCGTAGTTAATACGATGAGAGGGATATACGGGGTATGCAATTGCGGTCTGTTTACTTTGCAAACCACTTCTAGTTGCATCCCGCCGCTGACCGTTGCTGGCAGGCCATGTTTAAGACGGCCTCAAGTAGTAGACAAAAGTGAGAGCGGTGATACGATATATAAAAGTAGAGGAGATATAAAACAAATAAAGTTGTCGCCTATCTAATAATGCCTCAAAATAAATAAAAAATACAAAAAAATAGACACAATGAGTCTGGTATCGTTTATGGTTCATACGTTCGTGAGATATCAAAAGGCTGTATGTATATCAAAACGCCGGGCAATATAGAAAGAACAGACACGCTAAAATCGGCAAACGATGGAAAACGGAAAAGAAAGACGGGCTCTTCACTCTCCTCGCGTGTAGCGCCAAAGGAGACTGGCACCTTTGATGGCAGGTAGCTTATGCTTGAGTGAGTAGCGTCGACGGTGGCCGTTGGGGCCGCCTTTTTTCTGTACACCGGCATAGTTGCTGCTGCTGTGTAGGCTGTAGAGGCTGTTGTAGTTGTGCGGCCCAGAATAGCCAGCGTCGTAGTCGTCACCGTCACACTTTTGCTGTGTTTGATGTAAGTACTGCTGGTACTTCTTGTCCGACGACGAGGAAAGACCGTTGCCACTGCTGCGGTGGACACTAGCTCCGCAGACGGCCCGACCAGATGACGAAGCGGCCTCGTTGATATCAGCGTCGACACAGAAAGCATTCTGACCGTCGCCCGTCGCCAGGCCGGCCTGGAGCGTAGCGACTACCTGTCGGCGGAAGCGTTGGCGGAAGCGACGCCAGTCCTCATTGCTCGGCCAGGGATCGAAAAACTCGCCATACGGATCCTCTTCATCGAGATCGTCAGGGTTGTTGCTGCTCTTGGCGTTGAGGAGCGCTTCCCAGTCGTCCCTTTCGTCCACCTCACTCTTGTCTTCGAGCGGGTAGAAAAGCAGCTGGTTGAGGTGCGGCCGGCGCGGATGGCGGTTGATGTTGCCTTCGATATCGAACTTGAAGCGGTATGCCTGATGGACAACTTGAGGACGAAGTGCCTGGGGTGCAGCCGGCTGAGGAGCTGGAATGGCCTGCGCCTGGTGAATGAGTGGAGGAGAAGATGGCGAGTCGTTTATTTGAGTGGTAGAAGGCGTGTGAAGTGGCCGAGACGGAGCCGACTGTGGTGCTGGTACCGAGCGCATTGGTGGAACGGGTGGCAGGGGAAGTTGCATCGGTGGTGATTGTGTCGGCGGCGGTAGCTGCTGGAAGGATACTGGGACGACTGGTGGGTAGTGGAGATGCGCCACCATGGGAGAGGGTAATGGTGATGGCGAGATAGAGGAGCGAGACCTTGGGGACGAGTACGGCGATGCGCTCTGCTGTAGTGGTGCTTGATGGGTGCCCTCCAGGCCTGTGGGAAGAGAATGTGACGGGTAGATGCCCGGTCCCGGTAGTGGATGCGGAGGAGGGGGCAGGTGAGGCGAAAGAGGTTGGGGTGGAGGCGTTGGTCTCGAGGCTGGTAGGCCTGGGGCAGGTGCACAGCAGTAGTCAAATTCAAACTGGAACTCCTGGTGGACGACAAATAGCAGCGCCTTGAGCTTGGGGAATTTAGCAAGGCCCGTCAATAGCTTGCCCATGTTGCTTTTGGAGACCTTCCAGCTGAGGACTGGATGGCAGATGCCCGTGTAGACGCCGTAACTTGTGCCGAGGGCTAATCCGGCTAGGTGGTCCCGGATGAGAGGGATGCGGCTCATAAAGTGCAGAGTGCGGTGTAAGCGCTTGAGCAGTAGGTAAGGCTCGAGCAGCAGCAAGTCCCGAGATAAGTCAACATATTTTGTGGTGCGGCCGAGAGTCAGTGGCTGGTAGTGGTGGAGGACAAAGCCGCGCGACTCGCGGCAAACGGCGGCGAGCGGAGGTGGCGGCTCATGGTGGACGTTGGCAAACATGAGGCCGTCGGCCGCGTTCATTTTTTGTTTGGCATGGGGCACATCCATGACCTCGTAGACACGGGGTTCGGGCAAAGCATACTCCCAGACCATGGTGCGTATTTCTGGAGGCAGCAATAAGAACCTGTGAAATTCCTGAGACATGGTGGCGGTTGATAAGGGACGACGCAGAGAAGAGGACGGCAAGGAAGAACGAGACTGAGACGGCAGATCTGTGGGAGAAAATGGCGAGAAGGGTGAGAAGGAAGAAGGCTGAGTTTGTTGAAGATACTGTTGGGTTTGCTGTTGGTATTGTTGAAGTAGCATGATGAAGAAGGAAAGGAAGAGAGAGGGAGGAGAGGAAAAAGAAAAGGAAAGGAAAGGAGGGAGAGAAAAGAGGGAAACGAGAAGGAGATATAAAATGAGCAAATGGGACGGACACAAGGTCGAGATATTATATCCTGAACCCAGGCCGCGTGCCCTTGGGAGGGTCGTGTCTGCCTCTTTCCTTTTTCGGGAGGGCGTGTGAGAGTGAGCGAGTATGTTACGTGGGGAGTGACTTGGGAGAGGGTGCAAACGTGTGACGGCGTATTATTGCTGTATGAAGGGATCCTATTTTTAAGGATGCCCTAGGAGGCGCGGCTGTGGCCGTAAAGTGCTGGGGAGGTCGGTGGTGGGCAAAGCCGGGTCCGTACTCTGTGCTGGGGAATGGATGGCAGATGGTGGATGGAGGGTGGTGAGTGGTAAGGTGTTGGGCTGGGAAATCTGGGCCGTAGATCGTCCCCAGTGGTTTTTTGTCCTATATTGATTTTTTGTTGTTTCTCTTTCTCTTATTTGCAGAGGTTGCGGCTCGAAAATACCCGGACCAACCTCACAGAGCGTGGATAGTTGCGGCTGCGGCTTTGATATGGCTCCAGCTACCGCTGCTTTATGGTTGTGGATGCTGTTATAGTTATAGCTGCAGGTGTCCTATGCAGTTTGCAATCGGCCAAGTGTTTGTAAATCACTGATGTGCATTGCAGGAAGGCTAACCGGCGTATTGCAAGACCCAAGGGAGAAGAAAATAAAAAGGGGCCGCGTCGTCGATCGCGGGTTTCGTTTGTTTGCTTGTCTGCCCCCCCTTTTGTTACTTTCAGAGAGGAAGACCGCAGTGCTAACCAAGAAACCGAAATGGGAGGTTGACAGGCTGACGGGTGAACAGGTTAAAATTTAACAGTTTAAATGGGTTGGTGGGCAGCCAGGTGGTTAATTCTTTGACGGATTGCTGTTTTGAGATTGGCGGCCGACAGGGTTGACTGGATGGATCAGCTGGGTAATAAGAGAAAAGACGTTCGTTCTGCAACGATCCGACCGGTGTTGACATGAGTCGTTTTTGGTTGGGTCTGCAGCAGTGATGTAGGAGATCAGTCCTTTATTTTTCCTAGCTGGGCAGGGGATTGCAGCGCCGTGTTGTCTATTGCGCTCGTTTGTGTCAATTGTGTAATGGGAGCCAGGCGGTGAGGCGAGGCGCTGGGCGGATAGGCGAGAGGTGGTGCGAGGGTGGTGTTTGGTTTGAGGTGGAAAGTTTGAAATGGGAGGCCATTGGGAAAAGGAGATATTTGTTTATTTGTTGAAGAGGGAGCAGCAGGTAAAACTAGTAGAGAAGGAAAGATGGGAACAACAGAGGAAGGAAGGGACGTCTGTGAGAGGATTGGAAGGCGCCAAGCGAGACGATGGAAAGAACGAAAGGGGAAACGGCGACTAACACGCTGGCTGATTCGGAAGGAAGTCGGACGGAAAAGGGAAGGAACGACTAACATGCCAATAAACGACATGCTAGCGACAAGAGTAGAAAATACGGAGTCACAAGATGAATGTTGAGCGACGTCGTTTCCGCTAAGGAAAACACCGTCTTCGTTTTAGGCCCGTGGTGGTCGTATTGTTTGTCAACCAAGCGATGTTGGGCTTCTTTTTTGGTCCATTTTGGCCCGTTTTGTCTGGACCTGGAAGGCGCGGCTGCGCAATGCAGTAGTCAGATGTTGGTGCATCCCGTGCGAGATGCCATGTCGAAAGCGCACTAGCCTTGAACTTTGTAGCAGATCGTCGCATTCTGCTGTGCGTCGGCCATCCTGGTATAGTCTTGCACAAAAGCGCAGTCACAGTTGGTCCAGAGACCAGATAGGTGATGGTGTGTGTGGAGATGGGGCCGGCGCAGACCGATAGTGAATGGAGCGAAGGTGTAATCAAAGTAGGCAGTAGCTGAAGATTTCATGGTTTGTACGGAGCAGTGCCGGGAAGAGTCTGGATCAGAATGCGTATGTGATGTGTGAAGGCAGTGACGCGGCAAGACAGAGAGGCACAGGTATGAACTGCGTCGTGGGTGAAAAGAACCAAGGGGACAGAGATTGGAGTGCGTTTGCATTTTACCATTGAAAGTACGACGTAAATACGACGCATATTTATTTTGTTCTGCATTTCTGTGTCTGGCATACGGAGTACCGCGTTCTTTATTTTGAGTTTGTTACAAACCAACGCAACACAAGATGGGCGATCGAGGCAAGGACGGGGTGCGCGCAGAAGGGCGGCCGATGGCGGATGGCGAATCGCGGACTGCGGGTTGGGTGGAACGGTGCAACAGCGGAAAAGGAATGGCACAGGGGAGCGACGATGGGAGCCGCGAGTTGTCTTTAGGAGGGTGAGAAGGTTGGCGATGCAGGGGAAAGACAAGAAAAAATAGGGACATGAGACAGGTGATGGATGAGGCAAGAGTTCCCGCAACAGGAAACGGGAGGGAAATAAGGGAGGAACCCTGGCCAACACCAGGATGCTGCCAGGTTAGACGAGACTAGACATTTTAGACCGCCGTTTGTATGGTGTTGGAAGCATCGCGGGTTTCAATACGACGAATATACAACATGTGCGAATACATACAATGTAAGCCGGACCAAGGAGTACACTAGAGACAGTGGGAGGGTATCCAGACGAAGAGACGACATACAATTTTGAGACAGCGATATGTTGGTGGTGACAAAAGTATGAGTGAGAAGGGGACAGCTGAGGACGCCAATCTGAACGGGAGCATATGTCAATGGGAAGACAACCAAGAGCAACGAAGCGGGAATGGTCCCTGGACGAGACCGATTTACGAAACACGGGCACCGAGCGAGCGATGGAAAGATGCAGAGAAGTAGGATGTAGCTCTGATGAGGGAGGCAACAGAGCGAACAAGACCGAGTTGGCCTCTGGGTCGAATGTGCAGAATAGATGAAGGGCTACAGGACATTGGACGTGCGCTGTAACGTATGGTGGTTTAAGTCACTTTGTGTAGACGAGGGGCGCATGCAACGGTTGGGGTAGTCTATCTTTGTCGTGTTCTGTCTTGCTGGTTTTCATTTTTTTCTCTCTTTTTCTTCTTGACTTCTTCCCTGTCCCCTCCCTCTCTCTTTCTTTGGTAGCGTTCTGCACAAGAAACGACTGCGTTGTCCGTGCCCTCATTAAGAGCATTGACTGAGCACATTCAGGAGGTGCCTATGCTACCGGGGGCGCACTCTACGGAATTGGACTCGAGTAAATAACAGGAGGAGATGACGTGTTGAAAAGATGACGAGTTGGAAAGATGACAAGATGACAAAATGACAAGATGGCAACATGGCAAGATGGCAACATTCACCGTAGCGAAAACGACGTAATACGTGGGCTGTGCTCTGAGAAAGCAAGCGCAATGCAAAATCCTGAGCACCGACGAGCTGACAAGGCGTTTCTGCAATGCGATTCGTGACGTCGATGGCGAGTCCTGTCGCGGGTTAATGAGAGTGCATCCTCCTTACATCCTTACAGGTACTCTTATCACTGCTTCTCGATACGTCCCGGGTAAGTCCCAAACGGATCCGACTGCCTCTGCCTCTGCCCCTCCGCCACTGCCGCACACAACCTTTTGTCTCGTCTGCGTCCCATCCTGCCCGACCGAGTCCCAGCCCCAGGGTCACCCTGGACGGGACCGGGGACCAGACGGCATAGGAAAACTAACGAGACAAGGGAGGAGACGAGGCGGGCTACAGCGGACTTGTCACCGTATTTGTCGAGGACCCCAAAACAAATCCCCGCCAGACAGCGGCCAAAACAAGGAGGAGAAAGAGCAGAGCACGGCAAACTATAGCACGACCGTATTATGCCACGGGAGGACTGGTCGGCGGCTGGTCGACGGTTGGGACAAACTGGTACGAGTGTATTGCCTTCGAACCCACAGCCACCCGCCGGGTCACTTACACCGTCTTCACCACCACCACAGCCATCACCAGCAACCCCCATCAACTTTTGTTTGCGGTTCTGTGTCGTGTCATGGGTTGTGAGATGCATACACCGTTCCGTGCTAGCAACTCTTAGTATTCCTCTGTTATTACATATGACCCGTGCAAAACCACAAAACGATGGATGGATACATACGACATATATTGATAGTCGTACTGCGTACGTAGGGACTTTATGCTGTGGCTACTGCCCGCGCAGGTTTCCCATCGTATTTTAAATAAAAATTGGAAGCAGCAAAAGACAAATCCACGGATGGCTTGCAGGTTAAATAGATTAAAATCCGATTCTCTGCCTCACCCCCCCTCACTTGGCAACAAACAATAATACACAGCACGCCCTTTACGTCGTAGACTGGTTTCTCTGCTAGTAAGGCGTACTCCGTAACCATCGTTCAACATCCTTCGGCTTCTTTTTTCGTCCCTCTTCCCTGGTTGCTGGTTTGCTACAGCCTCCACAATCTCCACTATATTGATTAAAACGCTTGCGTGGTCTTTTTTTCTACTTTCTACTTTGATATTATTCGGTCGTTTCCATTCGGTGGATTTTCTAGGTTTTGTTTCTCCTCTTCCTTCTTATTTCTCACCCAAGGTGCTTCATCCTGGTTGCAGAACGGCCGACTATGCCGCAACCACTTTTACTCGCCCTTGTCACCATTGTCGTTGGCGTCGCCCTCAATCTCATTATGTCGGCGGCCGGATCCCATTGACCCCTTGACCGCTCAAACCACCTTTGACCAGAAGACCGTCGTTTTGTCGTCTTGGCTGGTCGTATATTTTCTTTACGTTTTCTTTCCTTTTTTTCCCCCACCTTATTCTTGTAATTTCTGCGTCGTTCTATTGTTAGAAATTTGAAGTCGCGCTGTTTCTCTAAACCATTAGATTGCCTTTTTGGGTAACGAGGTCGATTGAGTTTGTTGGTTGTCTTCGCCGTCTTCGTATATCTCACTGCTCCCAATTAGCCCTCGTGACTGACCTCATCTCACGTTCATTTCCTCTGTAACGTCCCTCACACCTCCAGTGGCTCGCCGTTTCGATTTGCATACGCGTCCACGTCCGAGTTGATCCAGGGCACCGTCACTTCTAGAGCGGCACATCGATCAAACTCTAGACGAGCCAGCATCACCGACTAAAACATTGATGGGAGGGATGTGCAAACGGTGAGTCAATGCTCAATGCATTGTAAGCCGCCACCTGTTCGATATATTACTGCGACCCGGATGCATCCTCTGGATCCGAGTGGCCGAGTTGCTAGCTGTACCAGGAAAGAAGAAAAAGGACGAGAAGAAGAAACAGCAGAAAAAGACGGCCGAGACGACGTCATTGTTAGAGAGCAGCATCGCTCAAAGCCAGCCAACGCTTTACAGTCCAAATTGCGAAAGGCACCCTGTCTCAGCCTCATAGCATCATCGGCACTGCGATGTGTTTCATTGGGAACGACTTCTGCTCCCGTGCTGCGAGCCTCTACCGAAAGCCACTCACATGCGCAAAAATGGTGGATAAGTGTATTTATAATTAGACACAAGGAATCCAAACGTCCATGCGTGGGAGGGAGAGATGTGCATATGATGTGATACGACACAGAAAATGAAAGGGACAATTTCGAGACAAGAGAGGGCCGATAGCCGAAGTCGCTTCCGGGAAAAGAACCTGTGCAAATCATATTAACCTTTACCTTCCCTTCCCGTTCTTCTCTCGTGTGACACTCGTTCCCAGGATTCAGGGACTGGATCGGCCTGCTTGATCTGCGTCTGTATCCGTTGATGAAAAAGCCCGTCATGTTTGACAGCGGAGAGTGTAAATTTAGAACGGAAGAGTTGGATCCAGTTGCACGTGACAATCAAGCTACTCTCACGTGCTGTACTTGGAAAGCCCGCCCGCAAGGCTTTTCGACTCCATAAACATACGGCCAATCACAGCCCCCCCGGCTACTTACGCCCCACAAATATGCTTCTATTTCAGCGCCGAAATTTTTCTCGTCCTTCTTTGCTTGTTTTCTTCCCTTCTTCTCTTCTTTTTTCTTCTTCGTGCGGCGGTACGACCAAAATTTTACATCTCCGTGTTGCTCGAGATCATTTTCAATTGAGGAGGCCTGGGACTTGGGTTTAGCATTACTTTCTTCGGAAGGTGAGGCTAGCCCTTCGGGTCGCCATTCGCAGCGTCAGTCGTGCCACAGAAGAACGGAATTGCACATCGACTCTCCCACTGGACTGTGTTGCTCGGCTTTCTATAGCTACCGGGCAGGCGACAGTGGGGGGACGAACAAAACAACCAACTAAGGAAGACGGCTTTGTGCAAGAGCTGTGGGGAGGACGGGGGAATCGATGATGTTGCCTTGGGAATCTGTGCCGCTCAGAGACCACAACATTACAGGTGTATATTTTTCTTTCTTCTTTGACCATACATGGGCCGTGATATCGTGACGTGACGTGACAAGAAAGGGGGTTTGGCTGTTGGCTGTCAAGTGCCATTGCATTCCAGAAATGCCAGGTGACCATCGCTGCGTTGCGTTCATCCAGCATCAAGCCTCGAGCCTCGACTCGGGCCTAGTGAACTGCTGTCCCTAAACGTCTTTCTGGAACTTGGATCGAAGGTCCTACCCAGAGTATGCCGATCGACGTATTGATGTCCAGCGTGACCCTGCCCTTGCATGGTGCACAGAAGAGGGTGCGCCGCGGCTGCGACGCGGAAGAGACTTTCCAAAGAAGGATGGTTGCTTTGTCAATGCTAGTCGTCTCAGTTTGTGATCCCAGTAAATTTTGTTTCTGTCGGTCACATTGTGGTTATGCCTTGCTGAATTGTGATCTGTGCCGCAACCGCAAGGGGAAGGCTGTTGGACAATGATGAAAGCGTTCCTTTCTTGTTCTTTTTTTTTTTTTTTTTTTTTTTTTTTTTTTTTGTATGTTTGCTTGTTTCCAGTCTGCATGCATAGTGCGAGGTAATCTGCGATCGTCATCTGGTGTCGTTTTCAGCCGCCGTTGTATCCTGGCAAGCCGGGGCCCGGCGAGGTGTTGGAAAAGTCAAACGCTAGATACATAAACACGAAAACCGATCAAACCAGACTTCACGCAAATGATCCCCCTCCTGTTTATTCGTGTTTCTTTTGACATATTTTACCCGTTTGGCGAAACTTACCCTCTTCTACCGGGAAAGCAACAAAAGAGTAATAAGGAGGCAAAGCATGAAGTCCATAGACATTATAGACATTGCTGATGAGGCACTACATCCGAAAATTGGCCGTGGTTGACCAGGAAAGGATCACCGACTTGTTATTGCTGCCTGTTGTCTGTTGCTTGTTGCCTCAATTTGTCCTGGGTGTCTTCATTTTTGTTCATTTGTTAGGAGTGGTTTGTGGAAACCAGCTGACCGAATATGAAAATGAACTATGGATGAAAAGAAAACAAATCACATGAAATATCCAGTGTAGAAAGGCCATCTATATTTTTATTTGGTCATTTGTTTAAGTATTTGCTGCATCCTGATGTTTATTTTTATCTTTACCAAGAACCCAGAAATGAATACTTTACAGGACTTTACGAAATCCGCACAGACGACGCTGCCCTCAGATCCGTTTCGACCCTACTGTCCGCTTGCTCCCTACTCTTGTCTTGGCTATATGGCGGCTATTTTGCCTTCCCTGGCCTCTCCTATTTTTCCCGTTTCCACGTCTTTGCTTCCTCCTGGCTTCGCCGCCGCAAAGCACTTTAACTCTCTTACTGACCTGCCAGCACCTACCCGTTTTGGCAGATCCATGCGCTATGGGGGCGAATAGGCAAGAGAGTGGAAGGTGGATATATATTTCTATATTGCTTTGTCTCTTACTCCGTACAATGACCTCATTGCCCGCAGTCGTTTCACGGCGTCTCCCCTGTGCATCTCGCCTAGCAGAGTGCCTCCCATCCCGGAAACCAAATGAACGCCCACACACAAACAGACGAACTCGCAATAAGGCAAATGAAGACGAAAAGGGTCAAAACGAGAGGCGAGGCAGCGCAGACGATACGACGGAGGAAGATAGGGAGCATAGTGAGTAATACGAGTGCGCCGAAAGTAGAAGACTCTTAACTCCTCTTAATTGAACGCCCCGAGAGTCGACGTATTGTTATGGCCGGTTCATGCCGGGGGTGCTTGGCTTCTCATTTTTGAGTCTATCGTGTCTTTTCTTGGTATTCCATGTTGGTCTCATATGCATGACCTGTGCTCCATATGCCGTAACCAGTTGTAGAAAGCGAAGTCAAAATAGCCTTTGTGGTTCGTGAACGCGTTTCTTTGCTCGTAAAAGGAGAGAAAAGACGGTGAGGAAAGACAGGGGTTTTGCCATCTTGTTCGTGCACGACTTCCTTTTTCGTTTACTCGCCCTGCTCGTCACCAATCTTCTCCAGCTTGCCCATCTCCCGCTTCTCGCCGGCCTCACCAATCAGTCGCACCCGGTCCAGCCGCACCTTCTCTGCGCCGTCCTGGGCCGACACCACAAACACGACCAGGCTGGTAATGTTCTGGAACTTGACAAACTTGAGTGGGATCGAGGCGGTGCCCTGCTCGTTCCAGTCCGTCGGCTTGATCGTGACCTCCTGCGTCGCCAGTGTGTCTTCCGCTTCGTCGAAACCCAGGTTGTGCGGGCTGTTGCTATACAGCTTGAGCAGCTCTGGCCGTGCCGCGTCGTCCGTTGGGTGAGAGGTAATCTGCGCCTGGTTAACATACACACACAAAAAAGACAGCAGCGGACGTGAAGGATAACTCACCTGCAGAGTGTGCAACTTGGCATTTGACTGCAGCGGGATGAACAGCATCAACTGCTCGTCCGTGTCGCTCTCGACCCAATCTGCGCTGCTTGCCGACAACGCCTCGCTCTTCCCGCTCGGCTTGCCCCCGCCAAACAGCACGCGCACACTGCCCGCCGCGGCGTCGTCCACGTTGAGCAGCTCCGTCCGCTGCACCTCGACGTGGTTCGTAATGTCGGCATAGCCGCGGGGCACACTGGCGCCGCTCCACCAGCCGCTGGCATCACCGCTCGAGCCCTCGCCTCCGCTGCCATTGCTCGACGCGCCTCCTGCGCTGCCGGTCTCTCTGACTAGCTTATTGACTAGTGACTCGAGCTTCCGGGGGTCGGCGCCCTGCACGCGCTCAATCTCGTTTCCGTCGCGGAACAGGAGGAAGGTCGGCATGGCGGTGATGCGGTACTTGGCGGCAATGTCTTTTTGCACGTCGGTGTCGATCTTGACAAACGTCACGGCGTTCTCCCGGCCGAGCTGTGCAGCAATCTTCTCGTAAAAGGGCGCGATCGTCACGCAGGGGCCGCACCACGTGGCAAAGACTGGGATGGAAGGCAAGGAAGCCAACGTTAGCAGAACAATATGCACTTTGGATAACGACGTTCCGGTCACATACAGTCGGCAATGACCACTTTGGACGATTTGAGCAGGCCGGCGAACTGCGCCGCCGACGAGATGTGGGTGACTTTCGACATCGTTTCTGTGCCTGCTTTGCTGCTACTCAAGAAGAGAAGATTTTCTGTTTCTCGCCCACTGCGGTTGTCTTGTGTTTTCGTCTATTTCTTCGTCGGCTGATCTCAAGCCACTCGCAAGGTCTTGGCGTCGTGGCGTCGTGTTGTCGTGTCGTCGTGTCGTCGTAATTGAAAACGAACGTTGGAGTTGTAAAAGAGCTTTGTGAAACCGGAAGAAAGCGAGGGAAGGCGAGGACAGCTCTTCCTTGTGACGCCACCAGCAGGGTCAATTAGTATTACGAAATAGCGATGGCAGGCTGGACTAGGGCCGCGAGCACCGCTGAGCTGCCCCGCAGTGCTCCACCTCCTTTGGCGATGTGCTGCTGCAAAGGCACGTTCACCCAATGCACCTTACCGTTTCTTTTGACTTCGAGTCACGTGCAGAAATAAGGAATAGGAAACAAGGGTGCATTGTCGCAAGTAACCATGACGTCGAGTTTGCTTTGCTTGGGTTTGTTTTATCAGTTCAGGTTTTGTACTTTCGTGCATTGTAATCCAAGGACTACATACTATCTACATAATGGAAAGACGTAAATGAAGCCTCCAGATATCGCCTCAAACACCAGAAAAGACAAGAAGGAAAAAAGCGAAAAAAAAACAAAAAAAACAAACAGCAAATAGCAAATAGCAAGTCGCACGAGGTATCGGTAGCTGCACCAAAAAAACATGATCCTCTCCAATGGTTCCAATATCCGGCTGCCCATCGCCTCCCAAGAGTATCTAGATGCCGACGGCGTGGCTAAACACACGCACCGCCAGCTGGCCAAGCAGACGTGACCGGTCGTCAGCGGGCAGCTCCTGGTACACAGCGTAGACACTCTTGCCTTTGGTATCGCGGATTGCTCCCAGGCGGTTGCCTGCAACCGCGCCGGCAACCATGCCCGGGACGTTGGCCACAATGAAGCCCAGCGCACCGCCACTCAGACCGCCCAGCAAGCCCCAGAACTTGCCCGTGGGCCGGCCAGACCCTGGCTCGGCCATGCCCTCCTCGCGCAGCATCTCTTCAAAGACGTCGGCAAACTGCGCATCTTCGGCCTGCTGGCGTGCCTCCTCCGTATTGGCTTGGCCGTGGCCGTGGCTGCTTCCACCGCCGCTCGCTGCATTGGAAAAGAAGTTCCATGCCCACGAAGCGGCGCCCGTTCCGGCGTGGGTGCCCGCCCCCGCCCCTGTCGACGGGTAGTCTTCGCTATCTTCACCATCCTCGTCCGCCTCGTCGGGGAAGCTGTAACCACGCCGGTTGAAGAGACGCCGCTGCGCATCGTATTCGCGCCGGCGGTTGGTGTCGGACAATGTGTAGTAGGCATCGTTGACGAGCTGGAACTTGCGCGTGCGTGTCGTGCGCTCGGGGCTGTCCTGGGGCACACGGTCGGGATGGTTTTTCAGGGCAGCACTGTGACAAAAGACACGAGAGACCGGTCAGTTTTGTGCAAGGGGTCAATCGGGAGCTAGTTGGATGTGACGAAGGGTACGTACCGTTTGTAGGCATCACGGACCTGCTGGGCGGTAGCAGTCTCGGGAATTTCGAGGATGGCATCTGTAAAACGGGGAGGCGGTTAGTAAAGCCTGACAGTACAAAATGACCAACACGTGAGCTGTTGCAAGACCGTTTGATGGAGAGTCTTACAGTAGTTCGGGGGCGGTGCGTCGTTGGCCATGTTGGCGGGGGCAGAATGTCGAATGCGGCACCGAAATCAGTCGCGGCAGCGTGGTCAGGGACAGCGCGCGACGATAGTTATGCGAAGATGTGTATGAAGGAGAATGTGAAGAGGGGAGAAAATGTTAGGAACATCTATGTCGAAATGCGATGAGGTAGAGAGTCCAATCAAGGCTAGGTCCAGAAAAGGCAGGAACAAGACCAACGGAGCGGCCTCCATGGCTGCCGTTGCCTTGTGACGTTTTGCCACTCTCCAACAACGTCATTCATCAAATGTTGTACTAGTAAGAGTGTCGCGGCTGCTTTTGTTAGCGTGTGGCGCACGGCTTAGCACACCTAAGGACCGTTCCCAAGCGATCTGGCCCTGTTTTTGTCTGGGAAGGAACGAATGCCCCGCCAATGAATTTGAATCGCTAAATTTAACATCGGAAAAACACATCTCAATAGGCGTGATCTGGGGTTTACGTGCGTGCACCTCCGAGCGAGGCTAGCCACACAGATGTATAGTGGATGAACAAGAACGCTTTTCACGCGACGTTAAATAATCTGCACAGTTCACCTCCACATACAGTTATCACTCTCAGTCTAGCGACTTGCTGCAGCCTCGAGACCTCACGTTCTCGGGCCGTCTCCAACACAGATAAAGACTTTCGCCAAGATACATCTGGATAGACAAGTCACATTTTGGTTATGCTGGCATGCCCAATGCTGCCCGAATACCGGAGGTCGCATACTTGTAAAACTGCACGGCTGTGAAATGTGCCGTGACAACTTAGAGACGCTGTGGGTTGAATTGGCTGAAACGGGCAAGAACGGCTAAGAGTGGGCTGGCGAGTGGATGCATGGCGGGACCCAGACGAACGGTGCCTAAAAATATGTGCTGGCCAGTCAGATCTGTGTGACAATGTGCTTCTTCCTGCAGAAGCTGCTGGCCGTTGGAGCCCGAAGTCGGGGGGGGGGGGGGGGGGGGTGCGGTGGACGTGTGTGCTCCTTCCACGAGCGTCCAGACCGTCGCAAACGGAAGGACTCAAGGATGGAAAGAACGAGAGGACAAAGACAAAGGGTAGTCGAAATAAAGGAACAGCAAAGGGGCAAGAGCCAAGGGAATCCCATAAGAAAGGAGAAAGGACTCCCGAAATTACCCAAATCTCCTTCTGGCGCTGCCTTCTTCGTACTCGGCCCACGAGCCGGAAAGTTCGATCCTCGTCACTGCCCCGCTCTGCGTACCCCTCTGTATCTGTTCTTTCCTTTCTGGTCGTGTAAAGCACTGTTTTCGGAAAAGTTCTGCACCTTTGTGCATTTCGACCAGGAACACCTTCCTCTTTCATTTTGCCATATGTTTGTTGGTTGCCTTCCCACGTCGTCCGTTGCATGTCAAACAAGTGTAAACAAGGCAATTACCACAGGCTCTCCTTCCGCTCATGCTATCTTGCCTTCTTGAACTTCCCTCCAGTTCACCACAGAGACCTCTTTCCTTAACAAAAAAAGAAAATGCCCTTGCCAACTCAGACATTCCCCCTCCTCCTTCCCCCTTGTCCGAGTCCGGCCCTATTTTCGACCTCGTGTGGCCTCTCCTGCTCACCCCACTCGTCGGTTTCTGCACGGGACCCTCTGCCACCCCCCCATCGTGCCTGTTTACCTCTCACTGTTGCTTTTAAAACCCCATTTTGCCTCCTCCGTCATTCACGGCCTGTCCATCATTCTGCCCCAGCTTTCCCCCCCCCTTCCCCTTTATATTCAAGAAAGCCGCCCTTTGTTTCCTACTGCTTGTTTTATGCTTCTTGTGTGTTCCTTTCTCGCTCCCTCTTTTGTCTCTTTTCTAGTCTATTGCATCTCTTGCAGCCGTGTCTGGCTGGCTCTGTTTCACCCTTTCTCAAAACGTATCGTCAACATCGAGTTTGCCAGGAACTCGTTCATATAGCATAGCGAGAGAATATAAAGCATCCATTTTCCCAAGCAGAAACCCGTTTCTCCAAGGACCACAATCCTTCAAGAAATCTCAAGACCAGGATCCATTGACTGGACCTACTGACTACGCTCGCGTATCCCTCGTCTCTAACAGTGTTCAAATTTATCACACCAGGACGGGCAAAAGGAATACCGAGTTATCCACACAGCCTGACAAGTCTACCGGTATATACACAGCAGTGGAGAGGACTCGGTATGACTTGCAGAATCGTTTCTCTAACATGTATGTGCAGGACCAAGAGTCACAACCAGGTCTTAATTTGTCTGCCATTATGATGGCTACGCACTCAACGACGGCAACCATGCAGGCGCAGGACGACCTCGCGGCGCTTTTGGCCAGGAACCTGACTCTCAGCTCGATCCCGATCGCTGCGCCGACTCCAGAGGTCCCCGTGCCCGCCCCCGTCGAGCAATCCAAGATTGTCTACTCCATCTCGCAGCACTACCACCATTCCGCCCACACCATCAAGCTACAGCCTGCGGTTGAGCAGGCCCGACAGCAAGATGTACAAATGCAAGAAGAGAATCAGCAGCAGCAGCAGCGCCAAACGGTCGAGCAGATCCTGGTGCAGAACGGCATCGACCCGACTGCGCTCACACCTGTTCAGTTTGCCCTTTTCCAGATGTCCGCTCCGGACCGCCGTGACTACCTGCTCCAGCTGTGGCGCATCTGCCCACCGACTCGGACGGCCGCCGATTACAACGCCGTCGCCGCAGGGGCGGCCTGGGATACTATGGAGGCCGAGATGGAAAAGGAGATTACCTCTTCCACCTTGCGGGTGCAGCAGAGCCAGCAGAGCCAGCAGAGCCAGCAGAGCCAGCAGAACCAGCAGTTTTTTCAGCAGCACGAGCAGTCCTTTCGGCCCAGCGAAGCGGCAGTCCCGACAGCGAACAAATCGACGCACCAGTCGGCCGACGGTCGGTGGCTGCAGGAAACGCCCCAGTCCTACATGGAACCGTACATGGCGTCTGGGTACGAACAGCTGGCACGCCGCGAATACATGGCGTCCAACTCGCCACCGCCGGCACCGGCGACCGGCTTCTCAGGCCGTGGTGGTGACGATGCCGCCAGCATCCCGCGCACTGAGCATGAGTCCGACAACGCCAACCCCGATGTGCATGCCGGAGTGCATTTGAGATTCTCCCATGCCACCGACCCAGTCTACGCCAACCGTCTGACGTCGTCAACACAGCCAGCGCCGTCCATGCCAGCACCTAGCCGGGCCTCCTGGCCCCAGCCGCACCAGGCAGCCATGGAGATGGAGCACCAATACGGCGCGCTGATGGCCATGCGCGACGGCTGTGAGATGGACATGTAGATGGAACTATGGAATTGTTTCTCCCCGTCGCTGCATTCTACTTTTTTACTTTTTTTTTTTTTTTTTTTTTTTTTTTTTTTTTTTTTCTTTTCTCGTATTCCTTCTGCATTTTCATGCGAGATACTTCGTCCATCTCCTCTCTTTGGCACATCTCAACGACGCTCGTCCTTGCTATTTGTCTTACTCATTATATCCAGGTTGGATTCTCAAAGGTCACGAATAACGGTACATGTATATATCACAGCACGTCTCACATCTTGCATCCCCTCATTGCTGCTGTTGTTCGAATTCGCAACGTTTTCGCCTTCTTTGTCTTCGGGTTTGAAAAGGCTCTTAATATGTCAAAGAAAAGAATATTTGCTTTACCGTATCGATGCTCCCGGTTGTTTGTTCGCTTGTAACAAGAGCACCCCTGTGCTATTAATTTTTTTTGTGAATCCGTATACTCCAAATCTGTTTCCTAAGAAAGCTCTTTTTTTGCCAAGATAAGTTAAAAAAAAAAAATAGGAACTACCGACACCCAAAGCAAATGCATCCCTGCCCAAGTGTGCCCCCCTCCTCCATGACCACTCATTTCTTCTTGCCCTTGCGCTTGTTTGCCTTGACCTTATTGTGACTGCTGCCTGTGGCCTTGAGCGAGCCAGTGGATGCCTCCAGCAGCTCAAAGTCCTCCTGCGAGTCGGTGCTGGGCGTGGCTTTGCCCGGGGAAGACTCGCTGTCGTCGACATCGCTAACGGCGGCTGCGGCCGGGGCTGGTCTTGCTGGCTTCGCCTTGCGCGTGGCCTTGGCCTGCTTCCGCGGCAGCGGGGTGTCTTCGCGGTCGACCTGTTCGTCTTCAATGTTCGCCTCGTCAGCGCCGGTCTTGCCGCCCAGCAGACGACCCGCAGTCAGGCCGAAGAGCCAGACAGGCAGCCGGTAGACGGCCGTGTCCTTGAACGTGGGGCGAGCCACCTCGTTGATCTAAAGACGTCAGTTAGTAGGCAGTTCCAAGGTTCCACAAACTCACAACAGGCCAGGGGTGGCACGCGGGGACATACGTCAAGAAGGAGCTCCTCCACTTTGCCCTCCTCGTCGACCTGCTCGAGGTAGACATCACCGAGCGAGTCGACAACCAAAATCTTGCCGTTCTCGGCCACCACACGCTTCTTGGCGCCGGTCGGGCCGGCACCAGGTTGCGCCGTGGGGGTAGCTGTCCCGCTGCTGCCAGCTCCGCTGGTGTTGGTACCAAGGCCGCGACGCGCAGCACGGCGGCTACCAGCACCCTCGCGGGTGGCGTCGCGCTTGGCGTCGCGCTCCTGCATGCGGCGCTGCTTGCGGTTCATGGCCACGTTCGGCTGGGGCTCATCATCGGCGGCGCCCGTGTCGACCGCAGCGCGGCCGCCCATGGACGGATCCGCACCAAAGTCGCCGCCGAGGTCGACGCCGCCAAACTGGTTGCCCCAGGCCGCTTGGCGCGCGTAGCGAATGTAGCGATCGACAAACTCGCGCTGGCGCTTCCAGCTCATGTACAAGGCAATGTAGTGCGCGCCTCCGCCGACAAAGACAAAGAGGCCGAACAGGACGGTGCCGAAGCCCGGGCGGTAGCGGTTGTAGTAGTACTCGGTGCCCTTCCAGACGGGGAAGCCGTTGGCGAGGAAGTGGTCGTAGCGGTCGCGCTCGGGTCCGCGCAAGACGTTGGTCACGATGCTGAGACGAGCCTGCATTTCCGAGGCGCGCTTGACAGCCGCGCGGACTTCGCCAGGCGAAGGACCCTTGGCGACATTGACGCCGGGCTTCGTCTTGCCGCTGCCCTCCTTCTTGGCGGCCTTGGCACGGTCGGCTGCGAGCTGCTGCTTGACCTTGTCCGGGTGAAGCTGGCGGGTCTTCTTGCGGTACGCCTTGTTGATGTCGTCGAGAGAGGCCGAGGGAGGGACGCCAACAAAGTCGTAGAAGGTGATTTCGGGGCCAAGAGCGGCGGCGAGCTCGTCGCGCACACGGAAGATCTCGCGGTCTGTGGGGTCCCGGCGGTTAGCAAAAGAGCAAAAGGCGGACACACAAAGAAAAGCAGACAGGCCAAGACGCACCCTCCTTGGTCCAGGCGGCTGCCATGGGCGCAAGGGCGGCCAACAGGCCGACGGTCAAAGTCGAGAATCTCATTGTTGCATTGCTTGGTGGACGAGATGGCAATTGGAGGCACTTGAAGGCGAAGGAAGCAAGCTAAACAGAAAACAAACGAAGAAGACCAGCGTCCGCAGGAGAACCAAGTCGTACTGCAGATGGACCAGGTTTGCAGAACGTAAAGGTGTCGTGTCCGAAACAGCAATTTTTTTTATTGGGTGATGTTAAGGCTCTCTTTTTGGCTGCAGACGTGTTTGGAGGCTACGGGGAATATTCACTGGGGTCTGTGGCCAGTGGGGGAGCTTTCCGCTGCAGGACGGCCTATTTGCGTGACATTGTCACAGACCACTGGGTCGTGCTTCCGCAAACAGCGCTAGCCGGCAGTCGTTCAGCAGGAAGGCACGCCCCTGAAACTAGAGCCTTCCTCTTCGATGTTTCAGTCCTCAGTCCTCAGCTTCACCAGAGCATGAAAACAGGGCCAGGCAAGAGAATTGCAACAAAAATGAATATCAAGATGTCAAAAGCACCAGTCGAACTGGGACGCAGAAGTAAGATATATGGGCTACAATGACTGGCCTCTGCGGCCGCCGGTTCGTTTATAGTAGCGCTTCCGCACTTGCCATGCCTGTTATAAAGTTGTCTTGCAGGATGCTCTTTCCCAACTGGTGCCTCTTGCCATTGCCAGGAAGTGATTTGGTCCCGCATCCCCACGATAAAATATATTCTTTCAAAGACGCCGTCAAAGACAGGGCCCTTGCATCCCACGTAGTGCTTACTTCGTATTTATATCAATGTTGGTGGAGTTTGAATACCTACTCGGCTCAGCGTTACCAGGCTTAATGATCGGTGCCTAAGCCCAGCCCTGTGATGCCTATGACGAACACGTCTGTTTAAGGACAAGAAGCTACGTGTCGTTCTGCCAATTTAGCTTTTAGCGTGCTTTCTCCTTTCATATGCAGACTGCTAGGAATGCGGAAGGCACGAACTCTGGCTTCTGAAAGTACTAAAGGTTTACACTCCTCACTACTCACACGCTCACTCCATAGCACATTGAGGATCGCTCGCACTTTCCAAAGTTTCTTCGCCAGCGCGTCACGTAATTACATCCAGTTCCTCCACTGTTTATTACCAAGTCCCGGAAGGTGCTGCCCAACCCAATCTCAATCTGTCGTTTGCTCCTGCTACACGCCGACACCAGCACACACGCGCTGTTTCCCTGCCGAGCCTACTTCGTACACGCTCCTATTTCTCCCCTGGCAGGTTCGCCCCGTTTATTAAGCCCCACGCAGCAACTATTTTCGCTCGACTCCCAGTTCCGCCCCCTGGCTTCTTTTTTTCACCCCCTTCTCTGATTCCGACTTTTTTGCCTGATCACTTTCAATCAATCTGCCAAAATTCATCTTCGCGCGTTCTCGTTTTTGCCCTTTTCGATCCATTCCTGTCCTTTGACTTTCTTATCGCCCTCGTCTCCCACTGTGGTCACTCATTCGCCTCACTCTTCCTTTCCGATAATCAGCGTCTTCAATATCCGCGGGTCTCCCTTTTTTTGCTCCCTTTTGCTCCCCTTTGCCGAAAATCGACCATCCCCATCCACTCGCCCAGCGAACGAAAGCACGCTTGCATCTGCACTTGCACCTGCGTCCGAATCTGCATCCGCATCGTCACCGCTACTTCCGACGAGGCCCGAATAAAACCCCTTCGACTAGCCTCCTCCATCTTTCTCCTCGTCCTCTTTCTTCTTTTTTTCCCCTTTTCTTCTTCTCTCCTTTTTGTCACTCAGCCGCCACAATGGCCTCCCGCATCCAGATCCCGATCGAAATGCTGACGTCGCGGCTCCAGCTTGGAGACCGCTTCAACAGCGTGCGGTCGACGTCGCTGGCCACGCGCTTCTCGAACCTGCGTCCGCTGTCTGAATTCTTCGATGTCAAGCGCCTGTCGAAGCCTCAGAACTTTGCCGATATGCAGTCCCGCGTCAACTACAACCTGGGCTACTTCTCCAGCAACTACGCTGTCGTTTTTGTCATGCTCTGCATCTACACCCTGCTCACCAACTGGTGGCTGCTGTTCGACATTGTCTTTGTTGCCGCCGGCATGTTCCTCATTGGCAAGCTCGACGGCCGCGATCTCGAGATTGGCACCATGCGCGCCACCACCTCGCAGCTGTACACCGGTCTCTACATCATTGCCATCCCTGTCGGTCTCATCTCGTCGCCCTTTACTACCGTCGCCTGGCTCGTCGGTGCCAGCGGTGTTGTCATCATTGGCCACGCGTCGATGATGGATAAGCCCATCGATGAGGCTTTTTCTGGGGAGGTGGTCTAGATGGTCGGCCACGTGCTCCCAAACACAGCCCCTCCTGGGGAAGATCATCAACCAGTGGCAAGCAGCGAGGCGCCCGGTCAGGCAGGGTCAGGGGGCAAGATGCGTGGAACTTGGCTGTCGGCGGTGGAGGCAGTCGGGTTGTCGAAGAATTGAGCAGCAGTAGTGGGGGGAGTGGTGCAGATGCGGAGTATCTGCGCCGGTATGGTGCTTCGAGCTCGTCTTGGGGTGGGACGGCCCGGGAATTAGGAGGCGAGGCCGGCGCGTTGCAGCCTCGCAGGAGATATATTCGTTCGAGAGCTGCCGACGAGGACTCCGACGACCAGGATTCGGCTACCGATTCGTCGTCGGGAGATGACTCGGAGGACGGCGTGAGCGAACCAGGGGAGGAAGAGAGAGCAGTTTTGGATTCGGCCCTGTCTCGGATACGGCGTGCGCAGGCTAAAGACAAAGCGCAAGTCAAACTGAGCAGGGTCGAGCTTGCTGCCCTTGGTCGACACAGAGAGAGAGAAGCACGGGCGCTGGCGCGCCGTCAACGACGAAAAGAACGCACAGACAGAGTGGCGGTGCCAATCGAGCACCTGGAATCCATGTCGCGCAGCCTCACCAAGCTACCGACACCCGGAAATTCGGGGGACGACAACACCTCACCGCAGCGGGTGCCTGGCTCGTTCCAGTTGGAGGATCGCCAAGGTTACCCTCCAATCGGCTATTTCCCGCCGCCAAGCGCATCGTCTCGGGCTCTGCCTTCGTCCAGCTCACAGCCAGTACTCGGCAGCAACAGCAGGGACGGAGCAGACCACAACCGCAGCGACTCGCCATTTACCTATTCGTACCTGCGTGGACCATCTACGGCCCGCCACGTATCGGACCCGGCAACAACTGCGAATCACGTTGATCCCTTTCAATACATGACTGCGGGTCCGCGAGCGCCTACGTATACTGCTGGCGCTGCGGCCGTGGCTGAGCGAGGAGCATATCCTCGTGGATCAACAGCAGGCCCTGCTGCAGCCAGGGGCCGCAAGGGGCCGGCGAGGCACGATACCGAGTCAAGCGAGGACGACGACGAGGACGACGACGACGACGACAGCACGGCGAGTGACGACGACGAAGAGGAGACGGACAACGGCCGCCGTCCTCCGGTTCACAACACACGATCTCGCGCCAAGCAAAGTGGCGAATCCAGCCAATCCCGGAGACACAGCGAGATTGTCGTCGAAGTCGAGTCCGAGTCTGAACCAGAAGCCGAGCCTGACCCAGAGCAGCGACCGGAACGGTCGCGGTCGTCCAAGTCCAAGAAGCCTTCCCGCAGCTCGTCGTCTGCCAATCCTAGACGCAAGTCGGCTGGACCTAGCAGCACCAGTGCGCCCAGCTCACACACAAGCCGTCAGCGAAAGAGGAAATAGGTACACCGCTCTTTCTGTCTCCCTCGACCACGAATTCTTTGTTCGTCCCCTTCGCTTCTTCGCTTCTTCTTCACTTCTTCATATGCTGTCTTTTTATGAATATCTTTAATCCCGCCTGCTTCTCACACTTGTCGTGCCACGCATGTGTCTCTTGTCCTGCCATGTGTGTTTCATTGTTTATTTTATCGTTCACTTTTATATCCCCACTTACCCCTACTTTCCTCATACCCCAAGATTAGAACTGGAAAATGGTGTCAAAACGGGTCAAAAACAAGAACGCTGGGCTTTGTATTTTTTGGGTGAACGGGTTCAAAAATAGTTGACCAGGAATGGGAGCAAGAGCAGAGCTTTGGTAGGCTTAATAGGAATTATTTTTCGTTTTGGTAATTTGTATGTGTAATTTAAACCTTTGTAAAGATGTGCTATTTTAATAACGGAAACGACCCAAGAAATCCAAATCGTGATCGGGAAAATGGACGAAGACGAAGACGAAGACGAAGACAAAGAGAGACGAAAAGAGACAGAGAAAAAATGTACATGCTATGCCCTTCACGACACGAAAACATAGTCGGATATGAGAAAACATCAAAGAGGATGAAAATAGAGAAAAATGCCCGAGAACCCAAATGAAATAGTATATAACCCAAGAAAGCGTAACAAGACCAAACCTCTGTCCTCTGCGTCAACTTGCCTATGAGAACATTTTCGCGATGCCTGCCAGACTGCCACCCCAGCCGCTGCCACTGTCGCTATGGCTGCGGCCGCCGAGGCTGCCACCGCCACCAAAGTAATCCCGCTCCACGCTCCGGCGCTCCCACTGCATGTTGCCGTGCCGGCCGCGCTCGAGGCTCGTGGCCATGGCCCTGGCTCCAGCGGTCCCGGTGCCGGCCACAGCCGCCATGCGCATGGCCTCGCCGACCAGGCCGGCCGAGTCGCCGGACATGGCGCGGGCTCCGACGCCGAGCATGCGCTCGAGCGACTGCGGCATGCGCAGGCCGAAGCGGGCGAGCAGTGCCGTCAGGGCGCCGCCGGTAATGAGGGGCATGATGGCGAGCATAAAGACGCGCATCGGGTGCTTCTTGGCGTAGTAGATGAGGTCGCGGAGGAGGCGCTTGAGCTTCTTGTAGGCGCGCTGCATGAAGTTGGACCGCGGCGAGCGGCGATAGTAGGACGACGAGGAGCCGCCGAGGCCGTTGCGGCCAAAGGAGCCAAAGATGGAGCGGCTGCTGACATTGGGCAGGCTGAAGAAGCTGCCGGTCGATCTGTTGCCGCCGTGGTGGTGATGGCTGCTGCTGCCGTGGTGCTTCTTGCCGTCGTCGAGACCAAAGAAGCTGCGCGCGGAGATGTTGACGGACCGGGTGCCGCTGCGGCTGCGGCTGCGCTTTCTCTCGTAGCCGCGCTCGCGGTCGCGCTCCCGTTCATGGTGGCCGCTGCTGTGGTGCTTGGAGGAGGAATGACGCGAGCTCTTACGGGAGACACCCGTAATGGTCGAGCCACCTTCCACGTCGAAGAAGCCCATGTTGGCGGCGGGCGGAGAAGGTGTTGTGTGGGGAGAGACGAGGAAGCGAAGACGAGGGGAGGAATGCGGCTGTCGCTTTTAGGCCAAACCCGTCCTCATGAAGGATCGCAGCCTCGTCACCGGAATGCAGGTATAGCAAAAAGAAGGACGCTCGGAGACTGTCGCAGGGACGGCGTTGACGCGGTGGACGGGATGGAAACGATGAGAGTCGAAGGAACGAGAAGAATTGAACACAAAGATAGGACGATAGTAATGAGAAGTTCACGGTAAAGAAAAAGAGAGGGAAAGGAGTCGGGGAACGGGATGTCTTTTGGGAACTGATTGGTTGGGAAGAGGGGCAAATAGGAGCAGGAGTGAGAGAAGACCCTGGGAACAGTAGCCCAGCCTCTTTTTTTATTCGTTTTTTATATATTTGCGGCAGGGGTGTCACAATGTTCGCTCCTGCCGCTCACCGCCTCCTGACAAAGGAAGTGCGCAATTTTGCCTGGCAGAGTCTCGGTCGTTCCTTCTTTTTGACAAAGTTTACGGACACCATCTTGTTGCCTGTTTGGTTTGTCTTGTATTGCACTTTCCGTTCCCTTTGTTTACATTGGATGCCCTCTTCAGCGTGGCGGTTGTTGTGCTGCGCGATCCCTCTTTAGTCTTTGTTGTAAGCTCGTTAATGGGAGGGCTGGGAAACGAAAAGCTGGCGGCGGCGGCGGGGAGCTCCAGTCGTGTTCCCAGACACTGGCGCAGGAACGGACCCCCTGTTTTAAGTAACCGTTCGGCTTTTACCGTGCGAGGAAAACGCCAACGAAAATGCAGGACACAATGGGGCATGGTTCTGGGCGTCATTACAGCATATGCCATTTTAGGATTAGCGTTGTTAGGGATGAGCCGCACTTACACTGTCCAACAGCAAAGACCATCACGTGCAAGGGACGACACATGTGTCAATGAGAGCTACGCTGTATGGAAGAAAACTGGCGACAATATAGAGTACAGCATGATGCAAACAGCCTGTGATTTATGCCGTACTCATGGCGTTGTTATGCTTCGACTTAGTGGACTTCCGCCGCAAAGAGTCTCAGGCTAGGTAACGAAGCTGGCAAGAAGACGGACGTGAATGGAAAGCATGGCGGCATAAATGTACAACGAACCTCCCAAGACAACTTCAAAAGCGACAACAGTCTATCCTCACCACATATTGTGACGGAAAAGAATCATGCCCTTACACCCGCAAAATACTTTTCTGACACTAGTAAGTTTCCCTGTGCTTCGTTTTCTCCGACAGATCTTTCTCTATGACGATTTACTTTATGATTCAATTTTTGTTTTATCTTATAAAGCAACAGTAATAGTTATGGACAACACGTACGCGACCACCCAGCAAATAATTCCGCAACAGGAAATACGACGGGGTGTGTCTTGTTGTTTGGAAGTTGGGATTTTTCATCGCACGTTCAAAGAAAAGCCTCGATACAGTAGATGTACTGTATTTGCACTGTATGCCTCCTGCCTTTTACACCATAGCCACGCCTAGACGGGCTAGGCAGCCTAACGGAAGGAAAGTGCAACTATCGCGACTTCCTCCCCGAGTGACCAACACAGTAATTTCAGCAGGAACGATCGTGGCCCTAATGCTTTTGGTAAACACTGCAATCTGTCCTCACATGACGATTGTGATTTTGACCTACACAAGACAAAGGTGTCTCAGCCTCATATGACGTCCGCACGCACAGCAACCCACGCTTTGGCCGACGAGGACTCACAAGGCGAATCCAGTCGGGCACGGCCTCGAGGTCGCCGCACATACTCATCGCCGGCGATCGGTCCACAGCTACCCCATATTCTGTCGAGAGCTCATGTTCCGGCCAGTTGAACAACTAGAGAAACGTGGGTAGACTCATACGGCAAAGGAGTCGGCCAGAAGCACGACCGTTATCAAGTAGCGGGCACTGACAAAACCCTGCCAGCTAGCAACGGTCGGAAAAACAAAGGCTGTGGGGATCGACGAAGGCTGCGCATATTCTTGTCCTGCCTGGTCGCATTCTTTGTTTTTGTATTTATTGTACAGCATTACCCTGTAGAGGCACACATACCCTCCTCTTTCTTTCACCATGTATTCATCCATGCCAGAACGCACGCACGGAGGAGACAGCCAAGACGACGGCAGACGCAGTACACAGCGCTCAAGACGCTCACAGTCACCACCAGCTCGATATCCCCAACACGACTCCCGGCAAGAGATCCGCCGTGGCGGCCGTAGCGAAAACATAACGCACTTTTTCCGACCCGTCACGCACCGGGTCAGTGTCGAACCTTCCAACCGAGCTTCAGGCCTAGCGTCAACCTTAAGACCAGCCACGGCTTCCACACCCACGGCATCACAGCCTACCATGGACTATCGTGGCAGTAGGGGAAACAGTGGCAACCGAGACCAGGACCATCGGGGCTTCCGAGACGGCGGCCGCCGCAGTCGTGACAGCCACAGGCGCCACAGGCGTGGCAGGCATGATGGCCGTGGCCCAGACCGGGACGGGCGACGCTCTCATAACACTGTGCCTCGGGCGGCCTATCCACCCGGCCAGCGCGAGAAGCTTCGCGAAGATGCCAAGCAGACGCTTCGCATCTTGCCCACCATCCTCGAGGCGCTGGGAACCTCCGCTAGAGCTTCCGCCGTGGTCAAGCATGACCCGTGGTCGCTGCGCCCTCTGGACCCAAGCTTGTGCCCGCGGCTTGCCCGGCCAGCCACCATTCGCGTGCTGAACAGCGATACGATCAATGCTGCGCTCGGTCTGCAGCGTTTTACACACGCCCAACTCCTGTCCGACAAACTCGTAACAGCAACGCCAACGCCCCTGCGCCCACCGCTGGTTGTCAACTTTGCCAGCCACCACTCGCCTGGCGGTGGCTGGCGCAACGGCGCGCTGGCACAGGAGGAGGCTCTGTGCTACCGCAGTTCACTGTCTCTCAGCCTCGATCGTGATCTGTACCCACTGGGACGTGAAGACATTCTATACAGCCCGTACGTGCTCGTCATGCGCAGTGACCGGGCATCAGGACACAAAGTGATGGTGCCGGAAACGCGGCCAAGAGAACTCCCCATCATGAGTGTTGTCTCTGTGGCCGCACTGAAACAACCAGCCCTGCGCAATGTCCCTGCCGACGGCAGCCGTCCTAGTGACAGCGGAAGTGGTGGCTCCCAAGGCACAGACGACTGGTCGGCCTGGGCCACGCAGAGCTCAGGACCTAGCCCACCTCTTGCGGTGGTGCCGGCATCAAGCCCCCCATCATCTATTTCTGGCGATTCTACAATATCGTGGTCGCCGTCCCAGGGCGCCTCTGTACCCACCGGCCCACTATCAGAGTACACATCACAACCGTCATCACCAAAGGCGTCATCTCAGTCACAGGCGCAACAGCTGCGTTCACAATCTGCGGACCTCGATAGATCGGACGGTCAACACTCAAGCCCCAGGGGCGGTGAATTTGTTTCTTATGCAAACGCGGCGGGAACCGTCACACAGGCATCGACACGCCCCGAGACACGCTCTTCGCCACCGAGACCACCGCCCCGCCAGGAGCGGGGTGGTGAGAAGACTCTCTTTGCCTACGAAACCGACCGCTTCCTCACCAAGCTCAAGATGCGTCTGATCTTGCGCGCTGCAGCCCAAGCCAGGCACCGCCAGCTCGTTCTCGGCGCTCTTGGCTGCGGCGTCTACGCCAACCCGCCCGAGGAGGTCGCGCAATTCTGGCTCGAGGTTCTGCGGGAACCGGAGTTTGCCGACGCTGGTCACTGGTGGCAGGACATTGTTTTTGCCGTATACGACGGCCAGCTCTCCCAGAGTGGGCAGATGGACCTGGGCACGCAACCAAACACGACCAACTATGCCGTTTTTCATGGTATTTTGGACGGTCAGCAAGTGTAAGCTGTGTCCTTTCGTTTTTTTTTTTTTTTTTTTTTNTTTTTTTTTTTTTTTTTTTTTTTTGGTCAGAATCGTTGCTCATTCGTCACGCTCACATACGCCATGTTTGTTGTTTTGTAATTTATGTCGATTTAAGCCTTTGAGTTGTTTTCTATTGTATACCCGGCCCGCCTTTTATCATTGTTGTTTCTGAAATAAAAAGGAAAAGAAAAAGACAAAGAAAAGAGAAACCACCAGCTCCGTTTACAATCTAACATGACAATCCCACCATGGAAAAACGGGAACCACCCAAGGACGCTACAATAGACGCAGCCATGTAAAGCGCAGAACACCGTTAACACAGAACACCGTGGCCAATGGGCCTAGAGCGGTTTGCCTCGACTGGACCCAGGCGACGAAATGGCCGCTCTCATCATTGGTACTGATCATGAAATAGCCTCCCTTGTGCCAAACGCTTCTAAACGCTTCCCGGTGCTTCTGATCTTTGCTGTCGTTCGTATATTGACTGGCAAGGAACAACATCTCGATTTCCTGCTGCTGCGGCGACAGCACCTCACCGTATCGCAGCTTCATTCGCTCAATCGGAGCCAGTGATGCGTCGCTTGCGTGTTAGAGCTGTTACCCGTTGTACCAACAGCCGTCTCGTGGTCGTCGAGTTCAGGGTTTGTGGTGCATAGGACAACATGCTGTCCAGCATCAGCTAGCTCTCGTGCGTCGTGTTGACATAGTCCGAAGTCAGGTCCGACCATGTCTCGTGCAGTTGCTGAATGTCGACTGAGATGGGGTCAGGTAGTTGCCTGCGCCGTTGTCCAATGCAATCAGGATGTACGGCACGTTCGTCATGTTAGCCAGCCCAAGTTAACTCTCCCTGTGTACGGGTTGTTGAGAGCCAAAAAGTGCCAATCGACATCGACTGCAAACTAACGGACACGAAGCCGCCCGTGTACAGTTTGCCGTATGCTTGGGATGTGGTGATGTTCGCCTACTTTCCATAAGACATATATCCTCGTCCATGGGAAGTAAGATACGGGGTAGGCCCACCTAAGTTTCCAGCTTTCGACTGGTTCGTTCTGCCTTTGCTCGTCTTGTCGTTTTGCGTTGATCCCGTCTTGGCCTGGGCCTGGCTTTGATATCGACGCCCGGACGCGAATACTGAAGCTTGATGGAGATGTGGGAAACAGCGTGTCCGTCATCGGAGTATTATCGAAAGCATGCCGGGAAAGACAGACTTGCAAATACCTATACGAGTAAGTAAATTAGAAATAAACCGGAGACATATGGAGCAAACTGAGCGACTGCGGAATCGTAAGGCAACGCGATGTAATAAACAACGGAAAAAAAGTGGCATCGTCGAGAAATAGGTAATCCTTAGACCCTGTATATTATTTTGAATCGCAAAAAAGATACGTTTGGACGAGAGAAACAGTGGAGTGATAGTGCCACAAGCAAAAAAAAAAAAAAAAAAAAAAAAAAAAAAGCAAAAACAAAACCGCGTTCCCGGGACATTACAGATATACACTATTATGTGTGTCCAATGCAGCTTCCAGGGTCATGCTTGCTGCTGTTTATCTCATGAGCCAATGGCGTGTCATGCTTTCTCGGTACGCGGTCGAGAAAATATCGGCGCCGTGCTTTTGTCGTCAATGCCAAAATATATATAATACCAAAAATGTACAGCAAGGAGGAAGACACACCGTCTGTCTACCCCTTGTGGTTGAGCCAAGCCCAGTAAGCAACTACCATCCAGGCGACTCGGAAGGCCATGGCATAAAACTCCCAGCCAGCGAGCTGCAAAAGTCGCTGCTGGGATGAGCGGCCACTGCGGCGTCGCCGTGCGGCCGCGGCCGAACCGCTGCTGGCACCACTGCCGCTGCGCCCGAGGACGCCGCCACCGAGTCCCAGGAGACTGCTCAGACCGCCACCGACACCCCCACCGCCGCGCCGTCGCCGACCACCGCCCAGGCCACCACCACTTCGCAGGCCCAGCGTGCCCACGACAAACCGTCGTACGCCCGAGACGGCGGCCATGCTCAGGCCAAACACGCCGCGACGGGCGGCCGGCTGCCAACGGCTGCTGCCGCCGCCGAGGTTCACGTCGACCATGTAGTCGTCAGACAGCAGGTCGTTGTTGTACGCAGAGTCGTCGGACGAGGAGTCGTCGGTGTCACGGGCGATCTGGATCTTGGGCCCGCCGCGCATATCGTAGTTGTTGGCGGGCGAGGACGTCTTGGCGGCGTGGCCGTTGCGCCGGCCCTTTTGGTGGCGGCCATGACTGGCGGGCTGGCCTTGTTGCTGGTTCGGGTACTGGTTCGAGTAGCTGCGCCCCCGTGAATAGGTGGCCGGCACGGCGCGGAACGAGACGAAACTGGATGAGTCACTGGCGCCCTTTTGGCTGTTGGTGCTCACGGCATCGGTCCCGTAACCACTGCCGCCAGCCGCAGCCGCGGCGCCGGCGCCACCACCACGGCTGCGGCCGTACTCGTCGTCCTCGACCTTGGCCTTGCTAAACATTGGCAACACCGACGACGGCATGTTGGACGAGGTTGAATTCGCATCCTGCGCCAGCGGGTCAAAGGCAAACACGGGCAGGTGTAGGACCTGGATCAACACGGCGTAGATGGCGAGCAGCACGATGGAAACGACAGCCATGCCGCCGTAGCGCGCAAAAGTGCTCAATTGGTTGGGCAGCAGGCACAGATGGGTCTGCATCGTGGGCGGCGCAACCTCGCCTGGCGGTGCGCCGACCGTAGCCAGCGGGTTGCCCTTGGCATCAACCGGGTTGTACAGACTAAGCATGAGAAAGCCGGGCGTCGGCACGCCCATGGCCATGCTGAAAGACTTGACCGTGATCTCCTTCACTTTCTCCTGCGCGTCGTCGTGCACAACCTCGCAGTAGTCGTGGTCGTCGCCAGAAAAAGCGTGCTTGACATTGCCAATGGACCTTATGAGTTTGACCGAGTCGCTCTCGCTCAGCACATTTTGGTACTGGTACCCACGCGACACCGGTATGGCGTTGCGGTGATCCGGGAACACAGGCGTGTTCGGGTCGTCGGCGGGCGGCTTGGTAGCGGGCCAGTGCTCGCGATGCGGGCCGCACGGTGTGCCGGGCGGCCGGTAGAGCGGCACATGTGTCAGCAAAACCGTCGGCAGGTCGGCCTGCAGCGCGTCGCCGGCACCCTGCGCCTTGGCGAGAGCGGCCGTGTCGAACTCGGCCGCGTTCAGGTCCTCGACGCGATGCGGGTACGACACCTCTTCGCCGGTGCCGCGCTGGAACCGCAGCTCACGGGACACAGCCCGCGTCTTCTCCCAAGCGACGCTGCTCAAGAACTCCTCAACCGGTTTGTAGATGGACTGCACGTCGCTCTGGCCTGCGCGGTCCGACGTGTCGGCACTGAGCGAGACGGTGTCGACTGATACAAAGGTGTGGTTGCCAATGACATCGACGCGGTTGCCCTCGCCAAAGTAGCTCTGAAAACGGTTCCGCACAGAGAGCTGCACCTCGGACCCAAAGCCGAGGTCGTGGTTGCCCGGTAAGCTGGCGATCACGCGACGGCCGCGCTGGCCCGGACCCGGGTCGGTGCCCCCCAGCGTCCACGGATCCAGGAATATGTCGCCGAAACGGGCATACTCCTTCAGCCAGTAGTCCTCGTCGTACTTTTTGCGCCACATTTTAGCGTAGCCCTTCTCGCGGTCCGGTCGGCTGCTCCAAGACGGGTCTTGGAAGCTGCCGTGCGCCGGCCGCCACTCGCGGCCTCCGTCAAAAAGGTCGCCCAAAAAGAAGACGGTGTCGGGCTGCAGCTGCTCCTGCAGCTCGCGATACGACCGTCGCATGTAGTTGTCCGTAAGCATCACCGTCAGTGAGCTCAGAGGCCATGGGCGGCCCGGGTAGGTGTGGGCGTCAATGAGCTGGGGATCGGCGACGAAGACCATGTGATGCGGCTCGGCGCCGGCGGGCCACTTCTCCCAGTGGTCCCAATGGCAATGCATCACCTTGGCATGGAAGTTGCCACGCTCGCCCCAGAGCAGCACAAGCACCCAAAAGGCAACGAGAAAGTGCGGCACACTGAAGATGCGCTGTGGTGCCAAGCTGTGCCGCACCAGCCGGAGTAACGTTTCCGCTGCTATGATGGCAAGCGGTTGTGGACGTGGTCGCCGTCGCCGGCTGTCCCGCAAGAGAGTGCTGGCGCGCGTGCCTGTAAGCAGCACGCTTCCTATGCTGACAGCGGCACCGAAAATGCGGCGGACGCTGTAGTTCCAGAGCAACCGTAGGACGTTGAGGACGAGGGCGCCGAGGTCGTCATCGGAGGCGTTGGGGTCGAAGTCAGAGTGGCGGTTCCCGGGCCCTCGTCTCGGCCCGGATGATGGCGTGTAGCCGTTGCTATAAGGCGTCGCCATGGCATGCGGCAGCCATCACCTTCTTTCCTGTGTCTGATTTGTCGTGGTTGATTCCCAGTTCGTCTGACGCGAGGAAGAATTGGGGTCAAGAGAGCTCGTGAGCGAGGTCGATTTTCTCCCTTTCGATGGATGCCCTAGGTCAGAGCGTTGCAGAACGGCGAGTGAGGGAGGAAAAGTGTCGGAGAGATGGTGAGGTCGCCAGGTGGATGAGTTCTTGCTGCGCGATACAAGCCCCTTTGTTTCGTCGACGCTTTTTGGGTATGTTCAAACGAGGTGTCCGTTTGTGTTCCTGTTTGTGGAGGTTCGTTTTGCCACGCCGTTTGGTCGAGTCGTGGTTTCCGTTGGGACGACGCTAACGGACTACGTAGCTTGTTCCAATAGGGGAAGAGCCAGGGAGCTTATGCACGTCGCGGTTGCTGTTTTTGGCGGCTTGAAAAGCAGAAGAACACGAAGACTGGGAAGGTGCCAACAACAGCGGTCACAATGGCCGAGTAGGGACTAGCGCCCCCTGGCAGGAGGCGCCACCCCCTCGAAAACAGGGCCTCACGGCCTAGGCATGTGGCTGGAAGCAAGCCTAAATGCACCGCAGATTGCTCTGCCCCAGATCGGGCAACTGCCAACGCCATGCATAAAGGGGCGGCCTGTGGATGCCGCGTGGGACCGCTGCTCTTACAAGATTCAAGCCACCTTACGACGGAACATTTCACGTCGACGCACATAATGGATATATAACCAGCGAAAACAGATGGTAAGCAACTTAATAGAATGGAAGAATTCAAAATTGGTCACAAAAACTGTAACAAGGATACTGCGACTCGGTCGCGTCTAACTAATGCTTTGTCGGAAAGTAGGAGAAGGCATCCGGAGAAAAGATGCAAAAAAAGAAGAAAAGAAAAAGACAAACAGATGCAGAATAAAGGCCAAAAAGACCGATAAACAGGGAGACCGTACCTTAGGACCAGGCAGCCTCAGCCTAGAATACCCACGTGAACGACTCCTCCACAGAAAACGAGATGCTGCGCCGGATGTCCGCCGACGACGCGCCGATGAGCACGTTGAAACGGCCCTCCTCGGCAATCCACTGACCGATCGCCGTGTCGTAGTAGCCCACGGCGTGCTTGTCCAGAGATAGGGTAATGTGTTGGGTCTCGCTGGGCTCCAGGGACACCTTCTCAAAAGCCACGAGCTCCTTCTCAGGCCGCGCGAGGCGCGACTTCTCGTCGTGCACGTACACCTGGACAGTCTCAGCACCCTCGACGTCGCCAATGTTGCTGATAGCGAGGGTGATCTCGACCGTGCTGCCGGACTCGGGAGACAGCACCTTCTTGTTGATCGACGGACGGCCGTACTCAAACTGGGTATATGACAGGCCGTGGCCAAAAGGGAAGAGCGGTGCGATCTTGGCACGCTCGTAGTGGCGGTAGCCAATGTACAGGCCCTCGCCGTAGATGACCTCGAGATTCTCACCGGGCCAGTTGTGGTACGCCGGGGCGTCTTCCAGCCTCCGCGGGAATGTGCACTGTGTGGTGTTGTTAGCAAAGTGTTTCGAGACAATGCGGGCCTGCACTCGTCGTGCCAAAACGTACCGGCAGCTTTCCGCTGGGATTCTTCTTGCCAAAGAGAACATCTGCCAGCGCATTGCTGGCTTCCTGTCCTTGGTACCAGGCCTGCAAGATTGCCGGGACCTTGTCAGCCCATGGCATCGCCACGGGCGAGCCGGACTGATTGACAACCACGGTATTGGGGTTGGCGGCGAGCACAGCCTCAATGAGCCGGTCTTGGTTGCCGTCGACGGGGAGGTCCATCGTCTGCCGGTCATAACCTTCCGATTCCCACTCGGCATCGATACCAACAATGACGACAGCAACATCGGCGGCACGGGCCGCGTCCACGGCCTCTTGTACGTAGTCAACCTGGTCCTGCTCCTTGAAGCCGATGCGGCAGCCGCCGTATTTGTGCGTGGCGCCGGTTTTCTTCTGCTTGCTGATCGGCCGCAGCTCGTTGGTCATCCGGACCTTCAGCTCCACAGCCTGGCCAGCCTGCATGTCCACGTCGACAAGGTAGTCGATCGAACCGTCGAACATGGCCTCGCCCTCCTCGGTCCAGTCCCACAGGTCCATCACTTCCTTTCCGTCCACGTAGAGTCGACCGGGTCCGACACTCATGAAGCTAATGGTGTGTTTGCCCGTCGATATCGGCGTCAGATACGTCGTCGCAATGGCCGACCAATGTGGGCCGACACGGGACACGGGCGCCGAATCCCAAAGGAACAGGTCCGTATTTTTGCGCTTTTCAGTCACCACGGGGCTGCCTTCGAATTTGTCGCCGCTAAACCAGTCGATGGTGACGCCCTGCGATCCATCGCGGTTGCTGCAGAATGGCGAGGCTACCGGCAGCCACTTGTTCGTGTGACACCCGACAGCATACGCCACCTCGTTTTGGCCCCCAGCCTCCTTCACGGCACGGCGGATGCTTTCGAGCGGGATGGTCGTGTAGTAGGGGTTGAGGCTGGCGCTGCCGCCACCACCAGCGATGGCTCGATTGGCGTTGGGCCCGATGACGGCCAGCTTGGTGGTACGCTGATCAATGGGCAAAATCGACGTCTCGTTCTTGAGCAGCGTAAGGCCCTGCACACCGGCTTCGCGAATCAGCTCGCGCGTCTCTGCGCGATCATCTTCCCGTTCGGGGGCTTCCTCCGACAAGTCGTCGCCCTTGACGCGGGTGACAAGAGTAAGGGCATTTTCGGCGGCCCGGTCTACGTCGGCAACAGTGAGACTGCCGTCCTCAATCGCCTTAAGCACCTTTTCAAAACGCCACTTGGTTGAGAACGGGAACTCGATGTCACAGCCGGCCTTGATGGACTCGGCAGTGGAGTTCACGCCATCCCAATCGGAGATTACCGTTCTAGACGTTGTCAAAAAATGAAGACAGAAAAGCGAGACAGAAAATAGAGACAGAAATGGAGACAGAAACGGAGACAAAGTAATCCGTATAAAAGTAGGGGAGCCTTACCCGTCAAATCCCCATTCGCCGCGAAGAATATCACCCAAAGTGTGACGGTTCATATCAGCATGAGCACCATTAATTAAGTTGTATGAAGACATGACAGCCCAAGGCGAGGCCTCGCGAACCGCAATCTCAAAGGGACGAAGATAGAGCTCACGCAGAGCACGCTCTGATACCACAGAATTGAGATTGTTGCGCTCCGTTTCCTGCTCATTGGCGACAAAGTCTGTTTGCACAAAGTTAGCAGTGTAAGTAAAAATACTCACGATCGGTTCGTTTGCGTGCAACCTACGCTTGATGGCTGCGGCCACTCCTCTTTGCTGCAGGCCGCGAATGTACTGGGAAGCCAGCTTTCCCGTCAACAACGGATCCTCGGAGAACGATTCGAAATTTCGGCCACCGAGGGGGTGGCGATGCAGACACACAGTCGGCGCCAGCAAGATGTTGGCGGATCTAGCCTTTGTCTCGTCACCCAAGTGCTGGCCAACTCTGTACAAAATGTCCTTGTTCCATGTTGCTGCCAGTGAAATGCCGCATGGGAACAGAGCAGCCTTGGTCCCGCCGACGAAAATGCCGCCACGGGCGCCGTTCGGGCCATCCGTGGTCTTGGCAGAGGGGATTCCCTTGGCTGGGATCGACTTTGTACGCCAAAAGTCAGCAGCAGTGAGAAGAGATACCTGTACGATTAGATGTCAGCCACTGTATGATTTGTTTAGGCTTTTAAAACAAAATAATGGAAAATAAAAACGAGAATATTTTGTTGGGGGTTGCATGCCTTCTCGTCCAACGTCAGAGTTTCCAGCTTCTTCCGGGCTGTTTGACGAGCATTGTTCAGGTGCCCGCTGGGCGTGAAGGGACTATTTGGCGGCGAGATCTCTGTATCTGGCGTAATACTCGGGCCGCCACTGGTCATGGGCGAAGTGATAGAATCGATGATGCTCTCGGAATCGATCTCCCCAGCGATAGGTGGCTGCATGGCAGGCATGATGTAGGAGTGTGTAATGTGGCGGAAGACCTTGACAAATTCGACAAATTGCTGAACGGATAAGGTGTATTAACCAATCTTGAAAACTTCGCCGAGCACGAGTAGTTTGAATTCAAGTTTGAAAAATAGAGACAGAAATATATCGAGTACTAAAACGGGAAAGGCCGTAGAGTCGAAGGTAAGAGACGGGCTGTTTCTTATAAGGTATCCTCTAAGACCACGAGCTATGGCGAGACAAGACAAGAGCAAGACACAAGACACGGCACGCCTGAGCCGCAGGACGAGTCGCCAACAGAAGGATGGCGTGTGGTGTAGTGAAGACTCGGCTTGGGACCGGATCAGGATGGCTGCAGGATGAGCACACGAAGTGTTATTGATTGTTTCTTATCGACTTGCTTGTTGGTTCTTGGTCCGTCAAGAAAATAAAGTAGATAAAATAAAAGGTGTCGGCCGTCTCTTATAATTTTGTTTCCAAGCCGAATGTCTTAAAATATCGACGGAGAAATCACAACGTTTCTGGAACCTGTACCGGCCGACATTTACCCGTTTGCAACAGGGAGAAAGGGGAAGTGGGACACTGATCCGCCGGTCTTTGTGCGACTAAATGCTGCAAGATGGGCCAGGCGAGGCACACAAGAAAACAGGAAACGTAATCCGCAGAGTTGGGTCTTTTGCGGATATCGATTCTAGGACAGATGGCGTGTGTAAGTCCGGATCAAGGCGCCGCCCTGGCAGAATACCGTGTATGTTTCTAGGAAAGGTCAGGTCCGAGGTGGTGGCAGGGAATAAGCGGAAACGGACGCGAATGAAGTAGAAATAGAAATAGATAGACTCAAGCAATAAATCAAGGAGGAATAAACAAGATCCTAAACGTGGACTTCAAGTGGTACAAAAACAAACCTAGTCAAATTGAAGACAACGTCTTTATAAATAATACACTGGCAAAAGGGGTGGTGAAGAACAGTGGCATTTCTTTACTATGTCCAGGTTGATTTACTTACCGGCAAGCCGCTGAGCACGATATAGAGGCTTCGGGCTCTTTCCTGGATCCAGTACTACGCTGTCGACTGTGTCAGGTATTGTTTCTCTTTTCCACTTTCCAGTATGCACTTTTCCTGGGCAGAAACGGCACCTGGGCACCTGTATTCGCTTGACACTGTCCAGGCGAGCACAGCCGGTAGGGACGGACCGTTTGAGCGTCAAAACCTTTTGGCATTGCTCCTGACGGGCTGGCATATCAGCAAAAATGTAAGCTAAGAACAAGGCAATTTAGCTCGGGTGGTGGGGGGAGAGAACATAGTCAAAGCTGTCGAGCAAACTTCTGACTTACAGGCCAGTTGAACGACGAACGTCGTACGCCACTGTCGTCTTAGTGTTGCTTTTGTACTCATATGTTAAGTGAACATGGCGAGACAAAGGTTGGAAAACCCACCACAGCATTAGGCGAGGACAGGGTTCAATCCTTCGCGGGCATAGAGTGGCCCGTCCGTCGTGAGCGGATCTACCATGAAAGTTGATCCTAGAATGCGCACGTCGGAAATATAGAAGCAAATACTCCACAAACGTGGGAAAGCGCCAGGGTCGACAGTGGGGTTGTTTTTGAGCCCAAGAGATTGGGGAAGCGAGAGTGAGAATAAGTCGGTTTGGTCGGAGCACGGTTTGGCTTCCGCATGCATGAGCGTGGAGAACTGGGACTACGCAAGTTCAACTTTTCGATTGTAGAGCTAGCCAAACATGAGTCCTGCTGTTCTCGCTCTCACGAGAATCAACGTATGGCCAGGATTGTGGACTGGCAATCTCTGCATGAGACACGGAAAAGCCGCCTCTATTTCTTGGAAACACCTATTCATGAGCCGCGTGAGAAATGCAAAGACGGTGAAGACCAGCCGGCAGATGCAGTGATACGCACAATTGCGCAGCCCGTGCCGACCACCGGCCCTCTTCCAACCGCCTCAGCTGGCCACCTTGAGGAGATGAAAAAATTCGAAATCCCCGAATCGTTAACGAGTGACATACTGCCTTCTCAGGCTCGGATCCCATAGGACGCTAGACTGACAATCGAACAGGGTGCCCATGAGGCTGTGGGGGCGTCAATTGCTCAAAGCTGGTGAAGACAGTGTATTGGTCTCCGTTTTTGCCAACGAAAAGCGGAGGCTCTTCGCATTAAATTTGGAGTTCATGTCACCCATAGTACTGGGGTCGCTTGGGGACGTGCGCTGAGTGTCCTGCTAATTACTTCGTAATACTTAGCTCGAGAGAAACCCGGGGCAAGTGTCACCAGAAAGGGAAACGAAACCGTTCTCCATAATATTTTGTCGTCAGCCTGTTCGAAATACTAGTGAAAACGTGGGAAATGCGTGCTAAAGTGCCCGAGTCTTGTTTCTTGGAGCGTATTCAGACGGTTTGACGGGCCGGGATCCCTGCAACAAACGCGGCCCGCCAACGGGTTATTGGCTCGGCTGGCTGTAACAGCCCCGAGCCATTTCTCTTTGGCAGCTTATGAAGAAAGCACAACAAAGCAGGGCGGATTCGTCCCCACGTCTTCGGGTGGCCCAGCAGTGGTGGCAAGGCTCAGGAGTTGAATGAAGCGAGCCTGGCGTATGGTTTGGACAGACAGAAGTGGAGTGGCTGCGCGCTCGTTGCCCTTTTGCTGTTCCATTCGCAGTTAACTTCTAGAGTCTCATCTCGTGTCGCCGCACGCTGCACACTGTTAGCCTCGCTGCCTCGACTGTATCCGAGTATTCCGCTGTCGTTCTAATCGATATTTGAGGCCGCAGAGAATAGCAATGATATGTATCGGAAAGCTGCAACCAAAAATACTGCTCCGTCATCTCCCAGGGCCGGTCTTACCGCATCTGGCACAGCTATCAATTCAAGGCAAATCGGCTGTTTGTTTCTCGAATAAACAGTTGCTGATCCATATAGATAGGAGCTGCAGCGGGGTTTCCATGTGCTCTTTTCGCCACTCTGGCGCCGATGAGACGTGACAATCGATCTTCGCCGGTCAGCCTCGTGGAAAAGGCGTGTCGAGAGACTGCAGATATGCATGTGTGAATGCTGGAAGATCATTTGGGTGTTTTCGCAGCTTAGTTCCACTCACTCTCGTATCTCACTTCTCACATCCTACTCAAATTCAAAAGTGTAAAGTAGCACACGAGCCATCGTTCTATCTCACGTAGCTGGAGGTGCAAGTTCCAGCGCCACGAGTGTCGTTCGGTTTATCTTGATACTTCATGAGAGCCAACAGTAGCGTGACGTGGTGCAAATAAACAGGTTGGGAATCGTACGAGGAGGACTTACCCCATGTGGTCTTTTGACTAGGAGAGACGACATATCCAGACAGACATGGCAAACACATCTCAAAATGCAGTTTGTATAATGAAAAAAAGATGTTTTGAGGAGGAATCGAGGGTGCGATGCAGTGACTGGTAGACTTGTGCCCATACGAGGATAGAGCGCCCTCTGCACCTTCCTCCTACTCTGGCATCTACAGTTCGCTCCTTCCCGAAGCCAAAATCGACAACAATACATTTTACAAATAGGAAGGCACATTCACTTGCTACAGAAGGACCATTCGAGCGTCAACAAACAGCATGCCTTCCTATTCCGATTACGAAGACACTCCTTGATAAAGTTTCGCCCCCCATATAAAGTCTCCGAGACATCGTGCTTTTGCAGCAATGCCGACATTCCTGGCGAGCCACGGTATATGCAGGACGATACGATGCAGGATTCGGCGGCGCAGCGGTCCTCATTTCACCTCATTATATGTCCGACGACAACCTCCTCGCATCCTGTCACGTCATATTCAATCACGTGGAAACAATAAAAAAGCCTCGACATCTACCTTGTCGTAGTCTGGCCGGGACTCTGCCGGGTTTGCCCGCCGGTGGATGCTAGGCTCTCACGAAAACGTGCACGAGGCACACGCCCATGTTAGAGTGCAACACTGAAGGTCGATCGCCGGTCCTGCTATCCGGCCCAAGCTGGTTTAGTTGGCGGAGCTCGAGTACAGGGCTGTCAGAGCCGAGAGCCCAGAAATGGCTGGTAAGCAACTGGTCAAGCAGGTAGATATGGTGGAGGTCACGCCCCGTTCGATGGTGCTCGCCCGGACTAAGACGCCAGCAGTGCCGGCGGGGCGGACTTCCGAACGTCTCATGTGGTTTGCCTAGACTCAGCAGTGTCATTTATACTTAGACGCGGAAAGACCGCTTTCGTTCTGAAAGCCGGTCCGGCTCCCACCAAAAACATGTTGTGGAGCCCGCGGTCATGAGGTCTTGTGCCGGTCAACGTTGTTCCAGTCGCAGCGGGACAAGACTGCCCTTAGATCGATATAAGATCTCTTGGCTCGCCCTTTCTTTCAAACGATGTGTTGACCAAAGAGACTGAACGTCAGAGAGATCTCGATCGATGGGCATTGTGACCTGCTGTGACTAAGGACGGATTCTTTTGTACCGTCGCTCGCTACTGGCAGCATTCACAATCAGATCGAACGCAGCAATCTGATTAATAGCAACCAAGCACCATACACTTGGCTCTACAAATCTCACGTCGTGTAGGGCAAGTACTATGCTCTTCATAAGGCTTGGGACACCGGTTTACGACACTCACTCACCTGGCACCAAAGGCAGACTGCCACAAGACCGGCGTGCCCGGTAGGCATGTGTCCAACCTGGGCAGCATCCATGCACATTTCGGTCCCGTCAATATCAAACGTTCCCGGGAGAGCAAGTTGCGTGCAATGCAGACATTGGAGACGACGGGCGTCTACTTTAATCTTTTCTTTTTACACAGTCTTCCGGCCAAGCGGCGCGTGAATGTGGTGCGTCTCACGTTGAGCCGTCCAACTTGGCCTTGTGTTCTGGGCACTTGCTGCACGTCATATATAAGAAGAAAAGGACGGTGCAGAAGACGCTGATGAAGAGCGGTCAGAGAACACAGCCAGGGATCGAGTTGGACGACGTCTTTGCGAGCTGCTAGGCGTAGGTGCAGGTCATATATGACCTCTTTTCATGCTCTGAGACACTAACAGACGAGGATATTCATTTAAAATAAAGCAGGTCCCACGTGCGCACATCCATGGAAAGCCAATATCATAGTGCAATTGGCGAGTGATAAATTGATGTTTAATTTGAGACGCCAAAGACGGCCGGCTGTTGGAGAGCAATATAATCTGGCATCGAGGGCGGGTAGAAGCATAAGTGACTCCCTTTATCTCACTTCTTGTGCTTCCCCTCATTGTGCTATGGGACGGTGACTTAATCCTGGACAGGTGATGCAAAAGCACGCCAGAGATGCTCATGCATAGGGCAAGAGACACCGACGGCAGGTCGACGGCAGTTGCTGTCGGCCTGTGTAGTTTAACGACCAGTCGTACGCAAGGGAGAGATGCTGACGGTATCACCAGATCCGAAACTGCTTGCCACGTGGGATTTTGCGCGTCTCAGCCACTGGGTTGTGTATGTTCACCAGAGCGAGCGAGAGGGAACTGCTTCTATGTACTTTGTACGAAAAGCCACTGCAAGAGAGCGACGTGAAAATCGTGACCTCATACGTCGTACATGTCGTGATACCTAATATATGTCTCGACATCCGATAATATGAAAAAAGACAGGACCTGCCTATACCTAAATGCAGTCCCAAAGACGTTGTCCCCTACATTAAGAGGGAAACAGAAAAAGAAAGGACAGAATACATTACGGCGTCGTCTCAAATATTGGACGGTCACATTCTAGGTCAAGTCTCCTGTTCATATCTGGCATTCCCAGGCATTCTCCGTCTCGTCCGTGCCGGGTCGGGTAGATTCCGGAGGAGTGGTATTGCGTCACGATGCGCAGCTCTTGAGTGGGGGTAGTCGTGCTCAACTCAACGACCGCCTTATGCAAGACGCGTTACAACATGTACTCTTAAGCCATTCTTTGGGGACATGTAGGTACGTACGCACGAAGGCTGCTGCCAAGGCCAATGGAAATCCGATATCGCTCGGCCGAGTGGATTCACGCATCAGAAAAACTCGCAGACAAACACAAGAGTGAATCAACTCACTCCCGCCGTCCGTCCGTCAGGATCTGTGTTCGTTTCTCGTCCTCTTCTTCCTAGCCGCGGCGCTCGTTGTCCAAAGGGAGTTTCCACGGCTTTGGAAGTCAAATGCCACAATGTATTAGTCGGTACGTCGTACCAGAAAGAAGGTTCTCATGTCTCGCCCGCGCAAGAGAGTCGTGTTTAGACGTTTCTTGGGATCCGTCTCCTCTTTTAATTTCGGTATTTCCCGTTTGCAACTCCCGCCGACCAAGGGTTGGTCTTTGTGGTGCCTGGCAGAACCTCTAGGGACGCGTATTGGCTGGCCAAGAGAACGAACGGAGCACACAGCTTTGTCTGCGCGACGCATGTTGAAAAACAGACCGAGTGGGAGGAGAAGAGAAAGAAGACGTCGTATTGACAAAAGAAACCGAGCAGTTCCTCGCCGTAAAATCTTTATGTTGCTCCTGCCCTCTTCAGGGCGTTTGATAGCCATTGGTTGTTTATAGATAGGTAAGAGCAAAGCATTCTTCCTGCCAATTCATCCCAAAAGCATAGCGCCGTCGATTTGCGATAAAGAGGCAACTAATTTCTGGAAGGCGCTCGGCTCCGCGCCAAAATGGAAGGTAGCAAAAGTTGCCACGCCGGCCTAGCAGCATATTACGACTATTTTTGCCCATCAGGTTGGCCCCCACTATTCGCCTCCAAATGTCTCCTTGGCCCCTTTACAACAAAAGAAAAAAGCGGTTTGGTGCTGCTGGTAGCTCCTTCCTGCCGAGCATGCCTTCAATTGCGGAGGTCAAGGTCAAAGCCCAAAATGGACATTTGGTGAAAATGTCCCTCGAATGAATCTTGTTTTCATTTTTAAGAAAGTTTTATTTTATTTTATTTTTTTCCTTGTGTCACAGGGGAAAATAATCTCATCGATTATGTTGGCCTGATTTTCGCGTTTGGTCCTTTTTTTGGTGACGTGCGCACCTTCTGTGTTTGAATGGGGCGCATTCTGAGCAGCAGGTGCGTCCTCTAGTCAACAGGTCGTTCCTGCCACAAAGTCCCTTCCCGAGTTACCTCATTCCTCCCTTCCTCCACTTTTGTTGGCGCCGTTGACGTGATTAGACTTTTTGCCTCTTGCCTTCTATAACAAACGTCTTTGCATCTTTCACTCGAGCTTCCCACGACTCTCGTGAACGTCGCCAACGTTCCTTTCGACAAACGACGCTGCTATCTCGCGTTTCCTCATGATTGCCAGACGAATCTCCTCATCCAGTGTGCCGTCGTGATTTCACGCCGCCGCGTGCCCGGACCAACCTGCTAGAGAGCTCAGACCACCCAACCAGAATTACCCGTTTTTTATTTTATTTTATTTTATTTTCTCTTTCGCGAGGAAAACGTCATCCCAACCAAACGCCAGCGGGACGCAACCTCGCTCGCAATCGCCATCCTGTGCAGCCGGCGCATCGTCGCCATCTCGTCGCCCGCGCCCCCGTTGCCGTGCGACTTTTCTTGTCCGCTTCGTGTTGCACGCCCGTCCTTTTGTGCTGGCTTCGTTGCCACCCACTGCCAAAATGAAAGGCTGGTCGAAGACGACGCGCATCGGCGTCATGATGGCGCTCGACACCGTCTTTCTCGTCATCGAGCTCGGCGTCGGGTACTACGTCTCCAGTTTGGCTCTGATTGCAGACGCCTTCCACATGGTATGCATTTGCTGTCTCCCGTGGAGTTCGTGGAATGGCGGTTACGTGCTTAGATCCCGTTTTCGCTATGTTCGCATGCTAATCTGGATGCAGCTCAACGACATCATCTCCCTCGCAGTCGGTCTCTGGGCCGTTACTCTCGCCCGCAAAGAGTCAAACGACCGCTACTCCTACGGCGTAAGTTCTGTTCCTCCTCCGTTCCGCCTTCCGCCACGACTTGTTTGGCCCGCCCTGACACGCCCTGCAGTGGCTTCGCGCTGAGATTCTCGGTGCCTTCTTCAACGCGACTTTCCTCATCGGCCTGTGCGTCACCATTGTCCTCGAGGCCATCCAACGCTTCTTCGATCCTCCCGACATCAGCAGCCCCGAGATTGTGCTTATTGTCGGCTGCTTCGGCCTCGTCTCCAACCTCGTTGGCTTCTGGGTGCTGGGCGGCCACGGCCACTCACACGGCCCTGGCGGTGACCTGGAGGCTGGCCACGATCACGAGCACGGCCATGCCCACGGCGAACACAGCCACGTGCACGACGAGCAGGGCCAGGAGGACGGCGTTGCCGCTGTCGATGATGATGTCGACAGCTGCCCCGACGAGGATGAAGAGGCCAATGCGGAGACATCGCCCCTGAGCCCTGACACGCGCCGCATCGCCTTCTCTGCCCTCCACCACGCTCATGAACGCTCCGACAGCCGCGGTTCGGCTCGTTCGCGAGGCACCGGTGGTGTGCGCGGCCGCGCCAACAGTGGCCGCCGCATCAAGACCACCATCAACGACATCAGCATCCACCCCGCCAGCTTCCGCAACGACATCCGCGAAATCATTGCTGCGAGCCGGTCCCGCAACGTCGACGACGACGAAGTCTACTCGGACGACACCACAACGGTCGGTGACAACACCCCCGCCAACACGGGCAGCTCCTCCAAGGGCTCCAGGGGCACCAAGGCCACGGAGCGCACGCCTCTTATTGGAGGAGACGAGAGCAACAGCTTCTTCAGCAAGAAGAGCTCAGCTGGTTCTGGCAAGTACGGCGGTGCTGCTGCGCCGGGCGACGGCCAAGACGAAGACCACGATCTCGCCCACAGCCACGATCAAGACGGCGCCCACGGCCACAACGACAACTACGCTCATGCTCACCACCACGGTCGTCGCCGCGATTCGCACGGTGGCCACCACCATAACGAGCCGCGCGACCCGAGCAAGGCCGGCGGCCACAGTCACGGCGACATGGGCATGAACGCCATGGTGCTTCACGTTATCGGCGACGCTCTGGGCAACATTGGCGTTATTGTCACCGCTCTCGTCATCTGGAAGACCACCTGGACCTACCGCATGTACGCGGACCCTGTCGTTTCGCTCTTCATCACGCTCATCATCCTCAAGTCCGCCATCCCCCTGACCAAGGCCACCTCCAAGATTCTCCTGCAAGCCACGCCCGACCACATCAATCTCAACGACATTCGCGAAGATATCCAGGACCTCGACGACATTCTCAGCTGCCACCACATCCACGTCTGGCAGCTGTCCGATACCCAGATTGTCGCCTCGCTGCACATTGAGGTCGCCTTTCCCATTAGCGACAACGGCGGTGAGCGCTACATGGGCCTGGCCCGTCGTGTGCGTAAGTGTCTACACGGCTATGGCATCCACAGCGCCACCATCCAGCCCGAGTTCCGAGTCGGCCTGGGCGGCGCCCACGCTGGTGCCCATGCTGTTTTTGGCGACCGTCTACCCACGTCAGCGCCCGCGCCCGCGACGACCTTCACGACGCCTGCCACTGCAACCACGTCCACGGCCAAGGCGGCCGGCATCGATGTTGCCGCCGGTGGCCCTAGCTGCTTGCTAGACTGTGTCGACGATTGTGAAGCACAGGGCTGCTGTTCGGTCGCGTCACGCACCGGTTCCCGGACGGGCTCACCACCTGGCAGCAGTGCGAACAGCGAGCACGGCGGTCACGCCCACCCTCACTAATCCATATATATACCCTCGCCTGCCTGTACCGCACACATTTATTCTTTTGTCCTGCTACTTGTTGCTTAATACATTTCCTTTTTTTTGGTGTAAAATCACATCAATCATACTGTGCAGCCACTGCACTACATGCACTTGAATCCCCACGTCATGGCACGTCTTTCTTTTGTCTCATTGGTAATCCAACCTACATTATGTACTCGGCGTTTGAATAGGTACGGCGCTTCTGTTTTTACCTGATGGTGCAGACCGATCTCCTAGAGATGGCACCTATTCAGTTTTTAATTTCTACTTTACATTTTTCGTGACTTTTGGGTATTTAGTAGCTTGCGATCCGAGGTGTGTCTTTGGGCTCTCGGTGCCGTCTGGCTCGTGTACATAATCTAGAAGAGAGTGTGACAGATGTGTGCATGTGTGACGATAGCATATAATGGATTTAAATTAACTCTTTTAAGGTAAACTGGAAAACAACTCGCTCACTTCTGACTTCACCAAGCTGTTTTTGTGTGATTGATAAAAGACACAGCACAAACAAAAGAGAAAGATGCCGGAACCTCCCCTCTAGTGGTATCATTTTTGGGGGGGTATAAATCTGTAGGGTGGGTTCTCAAGAAAATTAAAGAGAAAACAAGGAATGCCAGAGGGAGGTTCCGAGGACCTCAAAATTCGACAACAAATTGTCCAAAAGAAAGAAATCAAATGTCAAATCAATAATAAAAGCATCAAACAAACGGAAGACATAAAAAAGGCCGGAAGATTTGCATGATATAAATGAAATCGAACGCCTAAAAACCAGGCGGGCGTACGATTTTCTTCAAAAAGAAAATTCAAAAAAAGAAAAATTCGAATCAGAGCCAAAAAGGATTCACTCGCACGCTAGATAGGATGCAAGAATTCCAACTTGGTTGGATATGTAAGAATGCAAGCTCCATCGTCTTCAGACGCTAGGTCTGGGGTAAGATTAGCGACGGATGGGAGGGGGAGCCCGGGCGCCAGGAGGCGAAACACCCTCCATGTTGCCAGTCAGCTCAGCCACGCGAGCCTTGATACGAGCAACACGCGATTCAATAGCTAGGAGGCAATGTTAGCATGCAAACTCCAATTACTTTTACAAATAGACTGCTGTTGTCAACTTACTCTCTTCACCACTGGTGTCACCATCGGCATCAGAAGGCTTGCTGGTGTATTCTTTCCGTGGTATCTCCTCTACCTGGCGCTGGGCAGCGCGGTCAGCAGCATTCTTCCGGATCTGCGCCCAACGGTCAATGGCGGGGACCGCAGGAGGCGGCGACGCTTCTTTGGTGGGGACGGGGGCAACAGGCTCAGGCGACACGGGTGACCGTTGGCGGGCGATAGGCGGGGGAACGGCCTCGTCAGCATCATTGTCAGACTCGTCTGGGACAAAGGCCGGCTGGTCTGTCAAAGGACCCTGGTCGAACCGAGAGAACTCTTTAGCGGCGTCCTGGGCTTCAGCGGTACCGACGCGCGAGAGCGAATCATTAGATGGCGCGTAGACCGGTTCAGGAACTGTGGGGGTTCTCGGGGGATCCACCGGCTGCTCATTCTGAACAGGAGGGGCAGGTGCTGTAACCGGGGCAGGAGAAACTGCTGGAGCAGCGGCAACCGCGGGGGTGACAGCAGCCTCCGGTGCAGCAGGAACGGCCGGGGCAGCGGCCAGGGTAGCGGCCGGGGGAGCAGTGGACGCGATCGACGCCGGTTTCTGGACAGGAGCCGCTGGTGCCGGCGCAGCCTTGGGAGCTGCTCCCTTGTTAGCATCAGCAGCAAGCAAGGCGTTCACGCCAGCAGCGGCGTTATCGGGCAACTTGGATTGACGGTTCTTGCGGCCGAAGAGCTTCCGCAGACCGCCAGAAGAAGAAGACGGAGGTAGCGACGTCTTCTCTTCCTTGCCGTCCTTGTGGAGCTTCTTTCCAGTCTTCTTGCTTTCAGGGCTAGATTGAACCGCAGGCGCAGGGGGGACAACGGCGGGGCGCGTGGCGTCCAGGCTATCCTGGTTGTCCTTGGGAGGGACTGGGGGTGACGTGCGGCCAGACTCCTCCTGGCGCTCAGCAGGGTGGATGCTTGTAGGAGAGTCGGCCACTCTGACTGCCTTCTCTGATAGATCCAGCGAGTCTTCGTTGCGGGCCGGTGCTGGCAGGATAGTGAGGCTCGCCGATGGTTTCGGTGAAGCAGCAGCCACCACTGGTGCCTGTTCCGGAGCAGGCACTGCAGTCGGCTGGGATGCGGCCGCTGGAGATGCAAGGGGCTTCCATGTACTTTCGGTAGCGGCGTTGGACTTTTCGTGGCCATTCGTCGAAGATTGAATACCATTGAGGTGCACGGCTGGTGTAGACATGGATGCCGGGGTGCCCCGGCCAGCGTTGGCATTGGACAGGTACGCATCCCGGATTGCCTCCTTGTCGTACTTGCTAGCCCACTTCATGGCGGAAGAAGCTTCAGAGGCGATAACGGGTTGGATTGTCAGAACACTGGTCGTCTTTTCAGTTGAAGAATTTTCGACACGCCCGCGCTTTGTCAGAGTAGACCCAGCCTGCTCTCTTTCCTCCCTTCTTTGGCGCTCGTGCAGTCTCTGTGCCGCCGCCTGGATCTTGGCCTGTTGGTCAGCAGCAACGCTGGTCTTGCTAACACCAAGCGTGTTGCTAGGCGCAAGGAGGCCGTTTTGGCCCCGGTCAAGCGCCTGCTTGCCAGTAGACTTGCTGCGAGAGATGCCCTTGTTCCGGCGTGTCCAGCTGAAGAAGCCCTTTTTCTCAGCAATGTATGCGCCCGGGTCGGGTTCAGCAGCCGCTCCCTTCACGATCTCCTCCATTACCAGCCAACGGCCCGAGCGAATGCGGGTCTCAATGACAGCGCATCGTCCAAACGTCGACTTCCGCTCTGGCGTCTCTTCAGGCGCCAAACTTGTCATCCATACCCACCAGAAGGAGTCGTCCAGGTCGAAGCGGCTGATGCTGGCAAGCTCACCCGGCTCCAGGGTACGCTCCGTCTCCAGGCGAGGGCGGTGCGACTGAGAGCTTTTCTGGCGAATTTGTGCGTCGATGGGGGGGAGAACTTTGTCCGGAGGAAGGAGCATATTTGTCGGGCTGTTCGGGCCGTCATCAACAAAGCCAGACGAGAGGAAATCAGCCCAAGACGGCGTCGTCGGTCGCGCGAGTCCGTCCCCTCCCGAGGCGGGTGTCGTCCGCAGACCACGGTTGCGCCGGTTCACAAGGTCTTTCGCGCCTTCGTCCTCGTCGTCCTCCTCTTCCAAAACGCTACCAAAGCCAATATCCTCGAAGCGCGACCAGGACGCATCACGCAGCGAAGTGGAGTGCTTGGAACTCGAGACGGCCTGCGTTTGGTTGGCCGCCGAGACAGCCTTAAGAACTCTGCGGCACTCGTCTGTCAAGGCCTGGACGGGGTCATCGTAGTTGGAGAATTCACGCAGCGCGCGATCCTCTTCGCGGTACTGGAAATGGTTACCACGGCGGAGAAGTGCGAAAGGCGTGGGAGACACTGTGTCGACAATCATGATGACCTTGTTCGTAGAAGACTGGAGCAAACTCGGCCGTTGGGGAGGGTACTCGGTTTCCTGCAGAAGCTTCTGGAGGGACATGGGCAGGATGGCAAAGCTGCCGACGCCCTGCTGTGGCGACAGCGACCGCAGGTATGCAAAGAAAAGGTGACTGGTAGCATCTGCAGCCTTTAGCCATTCCTTGTACCCGGCCTCGAACCCATTGCCTGTGTCACTGTTCTCAAATGCCCACCACGATGCCATGCGCGAGAGCTTGCGACCACCGAAACCATTGACTTTGCCATGCGCGGCAATGGCCGACATGAGGTCGAAAAAGCTGAAAATAATGCTAGAACGAGCATGATTGTCCACGCTCAGGGGTATAAACGTTGTGAAAGAGCTATGCGCTCCGTGAGAATCTATAAAGCGAAAGCCACAGTGTTAGTAGCGGGGTAAGGGGGTCGCAAAGAGTTGCAGCGTCTATTAGGACAACGTACCTTGCTCGCCGATTTTGAAAAGCTCGTAGGCATCCCAGCCAACAATACCGCCCTGCAGACGGCTCCAGCACCACTTAACAACACCGGAAATGACCATTGGTTCGGTCATGCGCAGCTCCTGGAGCAGCAACTCGCCCGAGAGAGGCGCCTGTTGGTCGAAAAAGTGGCGTATGAAGGTTCGCACAGCACTTGGGTCGGATGTGGGCCGGAAAGGTAGCAGAAGGAATGGGATGTCGAGCGCTAGAGTGAGGCAAACGGATGGGTGTCAGTATGAAAGTAAACACCAAATTATGTAATTCACATAGACAAAGAACAAATAGACCCAAGCAGGCGCTGTAGGTTGGTTAGAAGCAAGGGCAAACGAACCTCTGGCCTTCAACTCGTCCACACAGAGCCGGACTAGCTCATGTATCTCCTCGGGCTCGACAGTCTTCCGAGTGTAGGCATCCTCCCAACGGGGCTTAGCCGGCACCTGGCTGGCCGACTCCTGGCCGGCGCCGTTCTTCTTGGACTTGACTTTGGTGGGGCCGTCCTTGCCCTTGAGGCGCGAAAATATGCTGGGCATCTTTCCGTGCCTGCGGTGCTTGTCGCCGTGCGCGTTCGGTGTTGTCGTTACCCCCGGGTCAATGCGAAGTAAGTCGGAACGTCGCAAACGGAAGAGGTCAAAAGTAGGGCTGAACGGTGGGAAGCGGCGAAGGCAGCGTCACAACGAAGGCTATATCGGGTTTCACAAGTGGGAGAGAATAGAAAAGCCAAAGTAGCAGCAATACTTGGTCGACATAAGAAGCTCAATAGCAAATAATAAAGGTGGTAGAGGGAAGAAAGAGTGGTGAAGTGAGGCAGAAATGCAGGCTCAAAACGAAGAGAGGAGAAAAAAGGGGTGGGATAGGCAAAAAAGGAAGGGACGGGACATTAGAAGCGTAACGGACAGGGTAGGAGCGACGGGATAAGAGACGATGGGAAAGAGCGAGGCTCGTTTTACGTTTGTCGACTCGCTCTTTCCCTTTTTCTTGTGCTGCCACTCTACCTTACTAGCTGCGTGTTTTCATTCAGGGGGAGCGCCAAATGGGGAAGGGGTGATGGGCAAGGGTCAACCTTTCTCGGGCCTTGCATTGGGTGGGCGAGACATGGGGGTAAAAAGAGGAACACAGCAAAAGAGGGAAAGAGCAAATGGAGGGAATAATACCCACCACCAGCCAGCCAGTTGTCCAAAGGAGGAAAAATTAAAGGGGCAGGGGTGTGCGCGCAGTAACGGAAGGTGCAAATCAGATGTGTTTGAGCGCAAATGAGTGCGCAAGTGGGCGTCGTTGGGGTCCATCCTGCCCCAAACCATACGATGTAGTGATTTCCAGTAAAGAACTTGCTGTGTTGGGTTTGGTTCCGGCCTTGGCAGGTGCGACCAGCACTGGAGGAAGGCGCACCCAAGCTGTGCCTGACAGCAGGAAAGCTCTTGCAAGCAGGAAAGTACTCGCGGCTCGAGAGCGCGATCGTCTGATTTGGAGTGCCGCATGGACAGCCTCGTTTCGTAGCATTTGACGTCGGTCGTCCATCTTACGGAACGCCATCGATAAAGCTCCCACCGCGCGACGCCATATCAATTGGCAGCTTTGCAGTCCATTGCTAGCTCCAACGGCCTGGTCTGTCGGCACTCACTTGGCCCGTTTCAGTTTCTCTACCCTCCACCGATTGCCACACAGAGAGAATGCGCACTAAGAGTCGATTGGCAAAATGCGACGACAGACGAAAGCCGATCACAATTGGATAACGGGCCACGGAAAGTAGGCCAGGCTTGCGGAATACAACAAGAAAACAGAGCCGGCGCGAAACAACGTCGGTTAGCCGCATAGACGTTGAGAAGAACGAAGCTCAGAGCGGGGAGCGACGAGAAACGGCGGTGAATTGAACGGGAGCAGCAAAGGTTCGTCCGTGACCCTGAGTCCACGTTTTCGTGCATTGTTAGTTGCTCCCTCTGACCCTCGTTTGTACTATTTTCTGACATCGGTTTTCTCAAAGAGAATCCAGAGCTTGGCGGAGACATTCACGATCTTACCTCGCCCAGCCTATGACTGCATTACAAATGGGAAACTTACAAATAGGAAACTTACAAATAATAAGCACGCACGTACGGAGGTACATAACCGAGGATCACAGATCTAGCCTGCTGTATATAATTACATAGAACTATATCGCCGACCTTCACAATGAGTTGTCCAGTCTGTAACCTCTAACTCGGTGGCTCTTCGAAAATGGCTCGCTCGTGGCAGGACCGGGCAGCTGCAAAACAGCAAGCTGCGAGAGACAAGATTCCCCCGGAATGGCGGTTGTCGACGAGCTTCCTCGAGAAGATCAACGCATCCGAACATGAGCCGACTGACCTCCTCGCGTCTGATGCGATTCGCCAAAGCGGCATCTTATCCACGTCTGAGATCGACCTCACCGAGAGCTATACCGCCAAGGCGCTCGTGGACAAACTTGCTTCTGGTTTCGTTTCTGCGGAGGATGTTACTCTGGCGTTCTCGAAACGGGCTGCTATTGCCCAACAACTGGTGAGAAGACATCATCACAATACATAACATGTCCGATGACACAGTTCTTACGAAGCATGATACAGACGTCGTGTCTCACCGAGACATTCTTCGACCAAGCAATAGAGAGAGCGCGGTTCCTAGACGAGTACCTTCGCAAGGAAGGGAAGGTGATAGGACCTCTTCATGGACTTCCCATCAGCATTAAGGTATGGTGGCGCTCTACATCGATGGACGAGCCGTTGAAACTAACCCCGTCTCTCTCATCCCACCAGGATAGCTACAACATCAAGGGTGTGCAGAGCACTATTGGCTACGTGTCTTTCCTTGATCGTGAGCCGGCGGCGGAAAACTCGGTTGTCGTGGATATGCTCCTCAAGCTTGGGGCCGTCCTCTACGTTAAGACCAACATCCCGCAGACGATGATGGTAACTGATTGTCTCATTTCGTACCCTTGGTTTGGTCTTAATACTGACACGTGTTCAGGTCGCTGATTCCGATAACAATATCTTCGGACGTACTCTAAACCCCCATCGTACCTCGCTTACGGCTGGTGGCTCGTCTGGCGGTGAAGGAGCGCTTGTTGCGTTGCGAGGTTCCCTGATCGGAGTAGCTACGGACATTGCCGGCTCGATTCGCATCCCCGCATTATGCTGTGGCATCTACGGCTTCCGGCCAACGTCCGGCCGGGTGCCTTATGGGGGCGTCACATGGCACGGCCTCCCGGGCCACCCAGGAATCCTAGCTACGGCTGGACCGTTAACCACGTCGCTTGAGGACACAGAGCTGTTCCTTACAGCTGTGCTTGACGCCGAGCCCTGGAGATACGACTCGACCACGCATGCGGTGCCGTGGCAGACCACTGACGTCACATCTCTGTCTTTGAGAATTGGCGTCTTGGCTGAAGACCCGAAATGGCCGCTGCACCCACCCGTCCGACGTGCCATCCGCGACGCTGCTGACCTCCTCCAAAGTGCCGGACACACAATCGTTTCGCTCTCACAGGACCCTTCTACAGCGGCAGGGACAGGCCTCGACCTGTCTCTCGAGTACTTGTCCCTCGATACCAGCCAGACATCAATTCGTTATGTGAACGAGAGCGGCGAACCTGCAATAAACTCGCTGAAAGTCCTGGGTCTGGATAATCCGCCAACCGACAAGCCCCCGTATTCGATCCAGGATCTCGCCGCCCTAGATTTGAAACGGGTTCAGTACGGTAATTCGTGGCGCCGGCTTTTTTCAGACCTGGAACTAGATATTGTCCTGGCCCCCGCAGCGCAGAACACGGCAGTGCCGCATGATACATATGGCCTCTTTCCATACACGGTTATGTGGAATCTTCTTGATGTATGTCAAAAATTTCCTTTCCCAGCACATATCGTGATCGATGGCGCTCCTAACCATTGCCGACTCGCTACGTAGTATCCCGCTGCCGTCATTCCATTCTCGCAAGTTTCCAAAAGCCTCGACCCGAGCCCAGTAGCATTTGAAGCCCCAGCCAGGGGACCAGCATGTATGTATGGCCGACACCAACCTCGCGTGCTTACAGCCTTTAACCATTCTTCTCCTTGTAGACGACCCAGAGGCCCTCGACGGGATGCCCTGCGCTGTTCAAATTATCGCTCCTCGCTTCCACGATGAGAAATGCTTGGCTGCGTCGAAGATTATCGATTCGGTCCTCCACAAAAGGAAATAAGCCGACTCATAAAGAGCTATATTCATCAATCATCGCTTAAGAGGTCGTTGTCTTGTAGGCCTACAGAGTGCTGAATTCCCAAGCGCAATCAACTTACAAAACTCACAAGGCAAAATAGTTTGGCTAATTGCCGGCTTAAGATGGATCACGCTTTCGTGCAGGTGTCGGAGGAGGCGCGGAATAGGCTGCAAGTCATGAATGGTCACTGGCACTGTGGTTGTACTAAGGGCGAGGCCAGAGTCAGCCATGGCAGAGGCACCAAAACAACACCAGCGTCGTACGAAGACCAATGGATTGACAAGAAATTATCGAGTGCCGTATATTTGTCTCACCAAACCCCTGCTTTTGTGTCTGCTTCAGCCCACACACGCCGCATATCCGAAGCTGTTGGCAGAAGCAGCTTGTACGAGCATGCATCACTAGCCTTGCCAGCTGCCGAGCATTGCAGCTGAGCCAGCTCAACCGTGTTTCCAGCTCCTCCTTTCCTTTGTCCTTTTCGTCGTTTTCTGCTTCCTTTTGCGAGCCCTGGTTTGCTTCCGACCTGGCTTCTCGCCGCGGCCAACATGTTTACACCACTACCGGGACGGGATGGAGGGGAAAGGGTAGCTACGTTTCTCCTGGGTGGCCGACAGGGGGATGACTTGCCAGCATGGCATAGCCCGGGCCCGGGTAGGTCTAGCCCGCGCCAGCTGCGTGCCAACGCAGCAAAAGTATGAGCTGGCAGTCGACGATGCAGCGCTCGTGCATCCCTCGCTTATTGGGCAAGCCACAGTGACAATCGAAAGGATGCCATTTTTATTATGCTGCATTTTCTCTTCATTCATTATGGCTTCGTTCCGATCATGACCCCTTGTTTGGAGTGTCGCACATATTTACACCGACGGAGAATATTGCTCTCGAGGACTTGATGGCCGCGTGTCTATTTTGTACCCTATAATACGATGTGAGCCACAGAATTGTGCCGGCAAGGCCCGATTAGTACACGGTATGCTTTGCAGACAGTCCCCCGACTGACGCGCAGAAAGTGTCGGCGATGTGCTGTCCGAAGGATTCTGATGAGGTTAATATGCATGAATCCCGGGCCTCTGGGTCGAAGAAACAAATTAATACCAAAGTAGATTGATGCCCGACTAACCTCAGGCCCGTGCAAGAGCAAAAACGATAATGCACATGTCGTATTACCCGAGACGTGGGGTGAAAACGATTAGGATGTCAATATGCGCAAAGAGGCTTGAAAAGGCTCCGACTTGATGTGGCTTTTCGCTTGTGTCTCTGTAACTGAAAACAAAACGGATGTCCAGAAGAAGCACGATAATAAGAGCAAAGAAAAAGAACATCCCGCGCCGCGAGGATTCCGAAACACCTTTTGCGCCGGCTGATTCGCTGCTTATGCAGGACGATTTGACTTGCGGGACAGATGAGCAAAAACCACAAAAACAGACAAAGGGTTACGCACTGTAAAAAAAACCAGGCAATGCAAAGAAAGATGGACGGGGGCGTGCGCTGGTTCCAGTTCATTGCCAACCTTGGTCCATACAGGCAGCCTTTTCGTCCGCCAAAAGCACAGTCCAGTTTGTGTGACGATTTTCATGGACCATGTCACACGGTGTACTACTTTCCTTCCGGAATACTTCGCAGAACTTGGCCATGATGAGGGACTGTGTACTCCGACAACACGGACTATAGTACATAACGTAGTACCTGCGTATATGAAGAAGCGTGGGTAGAGCGACGATCCACGCAAAGCACAGACGAGACGATGCAGTGCACGGCGAATGGGGCTCGACACCAATTATTCGCTGGCCAACATTCGCGACGACGACATCATCGGACAGCCTTTGTCTTTGGACAGGATTGCACTCTGCAACGTGTAAAAGGGAAGTAGATAAAATAGACAAAATAGACAATATAGAAATAAAAGAGCGCGCATAGAACGCTGCAACATTGCGAAAACGCAGACACGTTACTTGCTATGAGGGCCGTATAAAGACAGAAAGGGCAGCGGCAGATCAGCAGAGATCAGATGTGATGTGACATATAAAACGTAGAGAAAGGGAAACGGCGAAAGGGTGCACAGGGTGCACAAACTTAGGAGACTGAATGAATGTCTTCAATCATATAGAAGGGCTCGTCTGCCGTCCTGACGCGTCTGAGGATCGCTTCGGAGACACCCTAGACCGTGCTGGTCGTTCCCGGCTCGGCATCGGCTGCTGTTGACAGTGCCTTGGCATCCTTTGCCTCGACCTTTACGTTCACCTTCTCGTCGTCGGCGTCCACGGCTGCAGCGCCCTCGGTGTCAGCCGTCTTCTCGGCCGAGTCGGCCGCCGTCCCTGCGTGCTTTGTCTCCCCAGTCGTCGCCTTCTCTTCCTGCTCCACCCCCGCCTCGTTCGCCTTCTCTTCCACCTTTCCGTCCCCTACTGGGGCCGCCACCCCTTTCTCCGGCAGACCCTCGATCGTCGTCGTGCCCGGCAACAAGCTCCAGTCGATCTCCCCCTCGGCGCCGTACCGCTTCATCAGCCACGCGTTGGCCGCACGGAAGTGGCCACAGTTGAAAAAGCCGCGGTGGGCGCTCAATGGGCTCGGGTGCGCGCTGCGCAGCACCAAGTGGCGCGTCTCGTCGATCTTGGCCACGCGTTTGGCCGCCGGCGAGCCCCAGGCCAAAAACACGACGCCGCGCGGGCGCCGCTGGGCCACCAGGTCAATGATCCGCTGCGTAAAGCGCTCCCAGCCGTGCAGCGAGTGCGAGTTGGCCTCGTGGGCGCGCACCGTCAGGCACGTGTTGAGCAGGAGCACGCCGCGCTCGGCCCACGGCGTCAACAGGCCACCCTGCTGCGGCGGCGGCGGCTGGAACGCGTTGGGATAGTCCCTTTGAAGCGCACAGTAGATGTTCTTGAGCGACGGTGGCGGCTTGATGGGCGGCTTCACCGAAAAGGCGAGGCCGTGCGCCTGTCCATCGTTGTGGTACGGGTCCTGGCCAAGAATGACCACCTTGACGTCGTTGAAGGATGTGTATCGAGACCTGAACAAGTACAGGCAAGGTCAGCAGGGTGGAGGGGTGGGGGTGCACGCAAAAAAGGGACGTGAGAGTATGGCAGAGCCTACCAAGAATAGACGTCCTGGGGTGGTGGGAAGATCTTGCAGCCGGCCGCGTGGTCGCGGCTCAAGAACCGCTTCAGATCCAGAAACGACGGCGTGACAAGCTCGTCCTTGAGGACGGCAAGCCAGCTCTCGCCAAGGGTGTCGATCTCAAGTTTGAGCAGCTGCTGCTGCTCCTTGGTGAGCTTGGCCACCCACTTGGCCTTGTCGAACTTGGGCTGTGAGTGAAAGAACTCTGGTGTGGCCGGTGCCAGGCCTGGCTTCGAGGCGCCGCCCGCCTTGCCGCTTGCGCCGTTTCCGTTTGTGCTTGCGCTACGCGCGGATGCTGCCGCCGATGGCGCTCCCTTGGGGCCCCCAAAGAAGGACATGAGCGAGCTCTGCTGTCCCAGCTGCTGCTTGGCCTTCTTGGGATCGGTCGAGGCAGCCAGGTCAGCACCTGCTTTGCGTTTGAGAGAAGCCATGTTTGCAAGAAGGCTCGACGAGGGCCGCCGGTGGATGGAAGGCAGCCACAGAGGACGATGGACAGCGGCTCGCCGGTGCGCGTGGAGAAGATCGTTGGCGAGGCCGGTCGACCGTGCAGACAGTTGACCAAATCGCGCCGTGTTGAAGTGACTTTTGAAAACGCGGTAAAAGAGGCAATGATATGGCCTTCGAAAGCAAAAGCCAGTTGAAGTCGTGGCCGTTTTCGAGGAAAGGGGATAGCGGTTCTGCCCGTCAATGTCTGGCGGTTGTATCTCTCTCGCTCTGCTCAAGACAGAAGAACAGGGTTGCTATGGAAAAGTGAGCTGGAGAAGGGGGAAAAAAAACATTGGGCGTTCCAATATGTCGTTCGGTGGTAGTATATCACAAGGGTCCGGGGAAGGAACGCAGCGATCCAATGTCTGTGAAAGATGCTGGGTCTTGCCTTCCTGTTCGCCAACCGGGTCTACAAAAGCAAGAGCGTACTCTGTACCGGAGTAATACGACGTGCTTCTCTGGTTAAGATTAAAGGTGGTTCATTGTGGAAAGCACCTGGAGAGGCTAGCACCTGCCACCACCATTTAGCAGACAATGGGGGCAGGGGCTGTGGTGGTTTCGGCTGCAATGGGAAAGTGCATGCAGGGGCGTTGACCGGTGGCAGGAGCGAGAGGTCGCGTGTACGCCGTAATTCGTATTGTGTGGTATGGCGTCCAAAATGCAATAGCGCGTAGCTGAGTTAAAGTGCGACGCGGGTCAGACGTGGAGGGCCGTGAATTTTCGCGTTTTGCTCTGCGCAGACGGTCACTTCCAGACTCCCGTCTCCCCTGCGAGCCAATGAAGGCGTTCATGACAGCGGATGAGCCTAGCAGTGGGCCCGTCTGATCCTCTAGCTTGTTTGCTCTGTTGCCAGCGTGCGGAGAAACTGGCTCAGCTGGTATTTTGGTGGCATCGCAGCATGCGAGTGTCTTGTCCATTCGACAACAGCCTGACTGCTGCTTTGCGAGGCAGAGAGAGGCTACGGCGTACAGAGAACGAGATATGCAAAGCTGCATTCGTACATAGGCTCAAGGCGTCCGATGCGACCCTGACAAGTCTCTTGGCGACTCTCGGTCCAAGACCGTTTGCTGTCTGCAAAAGAGTCAGACAAACAGGACGAGGCAGCCATAAGCCAACAGGATTTGTGGGCTTTGAGGGGGTTGAGCGCAGTCAAGCAGGTCTGTTGACAAGGGCAGTCTGTCCAACAGTTTTGTATTGATACGTCTTGGGAAGGGAGTAAAGTACATGGGTTCCTTTTTTTGAGTTGCGTTCCCCGAACGAGCCAGAAAAAATAATGAAGAGATGTAAGGCAAACATATCACGTAACAGAGGGAAGTGTGAAATCGTAGAGTATCTAGAGACCGCCATGCTGACCAATAAAACGCCAAACAGAACAATGCAATAGTCAAAAGCAAATCAGCCGCCCATGTTGTTGGTACAAGCATCGTGATAAAAATGCAAAAGAGAAAAGAGGCGGAACGTCACGCTCCGTTCATTTTTCGCTCTCGTGCACGTTCATTCATGCCGCGAAACACCTTCTTGCCCACCTCGTAGCTGCTAATCATGATCGCACATGCCGGGGCCACCTTGAGCGTGCGGGGGATCCAGCCTTTGAACAGGCCGGCAATGCCCTCGGTGCGGAAGATGTGCCACAGCAGCCGACCCATTGTCTGCTCTTCCGCCACGGCGGCGGTGGGCACGCCCGCCTGGGCCGCTTCCCGGAACACCTGCGTGCGGGTCTTGCCGACATCAAATGGCATCGTTGCAATGGACGCCGCCGCACCGGACAGGGAGCCCGCTGCAAAGCTGTCGAGGAACGTGGCTCGGTGGTTCTCGCGGCTCTGCGACCGCCGGCGCTCGCGGACCCGCCGCGACCCGTCCAGGTCCAGCAGGTCGCGGCCACGGCGCCGCTCGCGCGCCTCGGTCAGCTGGCTACGCACCGTCTCGTAGCCCCACCAGTACATGGCCGAAAAGGGCGCGTCACGCCAAAGAGTCAGGGTCAGGCCACGCCAGAGCGAGTGGATGCCGTGCGTCTGCACCATGCGTCGCAACCCTTGGAAAGTATCCCGCAGGGGGCCGGCAGCCGACTGGCCCTGCGCCGCTTGCAGCCGCGTGCGGAACAGCTCGATGGGGCCCACGGCAGTGGCGGCCAGAACTCGAGCAAATGCGCCCGCCACAAGCGGGGCGTACTGGTCGGGCGTAGCGCGGTGAATTGGGCTCTCGGGGTTGAAGCGCAGCCACTCGTAGCCGGTGAAATAGATGACGTTGGCGGGAATGGACATGAGCAGCGTGGGAGACAGGCCACGCCACAGCGTGGAAATGCCCTCATTGCGAGCAATCTTGCGGAGGCCGTCCACGGTCGAGTTAATCGTCTTCTTCTGGTGCTGCTCAACAGCACAGTCCGGTACCGCGGCCGCGGCCGCCGTCTCGGCTTGTGCGGCCTTTGGGCCGGCGAGACACACCTCGGAGTTGGCATTCACGAAAAACACCTCACGGCAACAGGCAGTCACGCCGAGGTCCATAGGACGAACAGCGGTTGGCGATGAGCCCACGATCTTCTGGAAGTTGGCGGGCAGCTTTGCAAAGTCGACGCGGGGGCGGGACACGTTTTGGGACTGTAGGCGGACACGAACGACATCGAGGGGGGTGACTGCAAGTTGGCACATGGTTAGTACAAAAGTCGAGATCCAGGCCGTGCCAGAGGCAATGGACAAATTGGTTTTTTTTTGGTAAAAAAAAAAAAAAACACGCAAAAAACAAGTGCACTCACCCAACAGCGCTGTCAACAAGCTCCCAGTCGTTGCAGACAGCATCCTCTGCAGCACTGTGATCTCCGGCGGGTCAACCGGGTCGGTCGCACGAGCCTTCATCTCGGCCATGACCGGTGGCGTGTACGGCAGTGTCTCTGGGCCCTCAGCCTGCTGCTGCAAGCGTAATCTGTCGTGGTCCTGCCCGTCGGCGTCGTGCGGCATCGTGTGCCTCATTGTGAGGGAGAGAGTATCGCCGAAAGGGGCGATTGAGGATCGAAGCGGTTCGGGTGGGCGAGGAGGAGGTTGGCAAGAAGTGAGCGACTCGCGATGAGCCCTCTGCAGAAACGATGAGTCAGTCCCTTTTTCCGCACGTTTCCATTGAAATGCCGTTCAAATCGAGTATAAAGGAAGCAATTGACTTTGTTGTCGTCGTGACGTGTGTTGTATGAATCAGAGTACAAAGGAGACCTGTGGTAGAAGAACGGAAACGGCTGCGGAGATAAAATATGTATGACCGCACTTTTTTTCGTATGTCCCATGTCCTGCGAATGCGGTCAACGGTTTAGTTCGGGGGGCGAAAATTTCATTGGGCTAGATCTAGCCGAGCTATTCAGCCGCTGCTTTCCACAAGTGCCCGTCGGCCTTTTGCACTGGCAGGAGCTATTGGCGCCAACAATGACGCACTGAACAATTAAGCACTTATCAATCACCTTTGGTACGCGCCCAACGGCAGGAGCGATTCGCACTTTGCCAACACCGATGGCAAGAACTACTTAAAAATAAAATAAAAATAAAAATAAAAATAAAAAAAATAAAAAAATAACAGACAATCAGGAACTCAAACGCTGGACCTCCTGCAGGCCGGATAATACAAGTCGATACCAGCGAGTGTGCAACTGGACTCCATAAAGCCAACACCAATGCCGTACACAATAATTACGTTGTGCTGCATGTCAAACATGGCAGGATCAGGGACAATTAAAGCACCAAGAGCATAAAAAGCAAAGACGATGTGCTTGAGGAAGGAACAACCCTCTTAATAGCGACAAGCATCATGTGCCGGCCAAAGGAGCGACACCATTATTGGCGTTGATGTCAAGCTATTCACTGGCAAACAAAAGCTCCGTGCTTGCAATTGTTCAGGCGGGTTTGGTAGCCAGAATCACAAATACGAAAATGGCCGCTATCGGCGTCGGTGGCACTAGGTTGCTCCGACACATACTGACACGCGGTCACGTGCAGCTGTGGAGCATTCTAGCCACAACTGTCCAGGGCAGGCTTGGCGAAAATTATGGGGAAAATGCGAAAAGCTAGGCGGCCAAGAATTCAACCTCACCCGAAATCAACAACACCTCGACGCACAACGATTCATAGCCCGGTCAGCAAGCCTTGGATACCGCACGACAAAGAACGTCCTTTCTAGCGTCTCGGATCCGTGTTCAAGCCGACGCCAACCCCGCCAGGTTACAGCCAGCGTCACCAGTTGCCGTCGTGTTGCCAACGCAACTGACGTGAGCTCGAGACCGACGCGACAAACGGCACAATGTCCTCGGCAGCAGAGCGGCTGGCCGCCCTGAAGGCACGGGTGGCGGCGGCCGTTTCGGGGCCCAAGACGGAAGATGGCGCAAGCGGAAGTAGCAGCACACGACGAAACGAGGGCAGCGGTAACACATTTGGCAACGATGATTCCGGCGGACGAACAAGCGGTCTGCCGCCGTCGGGCGGTCTCAATGTGCCGCTCCATCCGGCACTCGAGAACCTCAACGCGCCTTTCTCCTCCTCGTCGACCTCCAAGCCATTCGGTCGCGGCGGCAAGCGCGACAACCGCAAGACCCGCCCCAACCCCTATCTCGACGCGAGCCCAGCGACCGTGGCCACAGCCGAAGGCGACGCAATCGTCGAAGCAGCTGCGGCTGCACCAGCACCGGCTGCACGCGCACGTCACTCACGGCAGCTCCTGTTCAACGAGCAGGGAAAGTACATCCAGCAGGGCAATGCGCTGCGGCGGCAGGCGGCGCTCGAGGCGATGAAACGGCGGATTGCGGAGCAGGCGCGCAAGGCCGGCATGGACGAGATCCCCAGCGACAAGAACTTTGTGGTCGAGGCGCCACCAGACATTGAGTGGATCGACCAGGCCTACTTTGCCGAGGGCAAGACATACGACGACCTCGACATGCCCGACTGCCTGGTGGTGGCAAAGCCCAAGGTGGCGGGCGAGACACCGGGCGACGAGGGCGAGGAGAGCATCATCACAGACCTCGTGTCGCACCCGATCCCGATTGAGCCGCCACAGGACAAGCTGGTTCCAGACGCCAAGCCCATGTACCTGACGAAGCAGGAACAGAAGAAGCTGCGACGGCAGCGGCGCATGGCGGAGCTCAAAGAGAACCAGGCCAAGATCCGGCTGGGTCTCATGCCGGCGCCGCCGCCCAAAGTCAAGCGATCCAACCTGATGCGCGTGCTGGGCGAGGAGGCCGTGCAGGACCCGACAGCCGTGGAGGCGCGTGTCAATCGCGAGATTGCGGGGCGTTTTGACAAGCACATGGAGGCGAACGAGTCACGGCGGCTTACCAAAGAGCAGCGGCACGAGAAGCTAGCAGCGAACCAGGAAAAGGACGCGGCCAAGGGCATCCACATGCTCATCTTCCGCATCACGACGCTGGCCAACGGGCAGCACCGGTACAAGATCTGGAAGAACGCCGAGCAGCTGGCGCTGACGGGCGTGTGCGTGATGCATCCCAAGGCGAGCCTGGTGGTGGTTGAGGGCGGCGAGTACAGCATCAACAAGTACCGCAAGCTGATGATGAACCGCATCGACTGGACGCAGAACATCCCCACAACGATCCCGACACCAACGCCGTCGGCCGTGGGTCGCATCCCCAATGTGCCGGGCCAGAACAAGGGGCCGTCGCGCGAGTGGCTGGCCAGCGAGAGCGAGTCGTTGCCAAACAACCAGATTCTGTTGTTGTTCGACGGCGAGACCAAGGGCCGCGTGTTCCACAAATGGTCCAGCAAGATCTGCGACACAGACCGGGAGGCCTTTGACTTTCTGGCGCGGACGAAGCTGGAGAGCTTCTGGACACAGGCACGGGCAGGCTCTTAGCGAGGGACGAAAAGGACTGTGTCTGTCTACACACAAAGGTTCACTGTTGTATTTTTGCATCGCATATATTTTTCAAGCATGGCGTTGTCGGGTCTCTGCGTTGTGGCAAGTAAACATGATATCAAATAACTAAGCATTTAACAGGTACATCGCGTATAATAGAAAAATGTGCCATAGCGTGCCTCTCGGCCCAAGTAGAAGCAAATCTGTTTATTGTACAAAATAAATATCAAAAACGCGAGATGGTGAAAATGGGTGGTGGATTGCTCCTTCCAGCGCACAGGGCGGCGAGGCTTCCAGCCTTGCAAGTGCCAAGCGATCGCGCTAGGTGATGTGCCCCACCAATCCGCTAATTCCCTATTACCGCCCATTGGCCGCCGCGAACAGTCACACGCCGGATCAGCTCACCTTCTGACTGCACGTCCGACTGCATGACTGCATGACAGCAGTGGAATACGCTGTTCTCGCCCGGCCCAATCCTCTGTCACAATTCCATGACATTGTCTCGACCGAGAGCGCATTCTTTTGCGCGGAACATCCCTGTCACTGACGCATAGAGCAAGAGCTGATTTTGGAGTGTTTGGTCCGAGGAAAGTGCTACCGTGTGTTTGCTGCTACAAATACAGGGCAGTTCAGCACTCGATTGCGCCTTCCCCGGCATTTGTCATCTTTATCTCCAGAACTCCAGAGCTCCTGTTTTCTTCTTTTCGGCCACTTTCTTTCCTTGCCCCATCTCCACGACCAGTATGTCACAGCCACCGCCCTCCGGCGACGGCTCTGGTGACATCAGTTCCGAACTCGAGTCGTTCCGGCAACAATGGAGAGCCGAGGTCGAGGCCAAAGTCGCTCCATCTGGGGCTGCAGCCACTGTGAGCCGCAGTGCGGCGTCTACCTCGTCGAAAAAGAAAGCGACGACGAAGACGGTCACTGCACCAGATTCTGAGTCTCCAGAAACAGCACCACACCACTACCGGCCGCCCCAGGCTCCGCAACGCCCAGCAGGGCCGCGGCGTGGAAGCAGCGCGGGTGGACCGCAGACACCACTAAAGCTACTATCATCCGGAAAAAAGCCGATCGCGCAGGAAACCGACGACGAATATGCACCGCCGCGAGCATTCGACGATGTGACCCACGAGCCCCGGACAGTACAAGGTGCGAGTGTGTCGTCGGCAGCCGCACCGGCTTTGGATGAAGGCAGCAGCTCGGTTCACAAACTGGTTTCGCCTCCAGCCCACCAGGAACAGAAACCAAAGGCCAAGAAAGAGCCCGAGTCGGCACTGGAGCACTACGAAAGAGCGGTCGAAAAGGAGGCTCTGGGCAGTCTTGGCGACAGCCTGCGGCACTACCGTACAGCTTTCCGCGTATGTCGGATCCCCGACCTCTTTACAGCGTATATGCCGTGCTAACATACCTCCTCTTGATGCAGATGGACAGCAATGTGGACAAGGCATACAAGAAAAAGCACTACCCCGCACCGCCCCCGGCGGCCGCGGGGTCGTCTTCGTCGCGAGACGGAAAGCAGCCAGAAGGTGCCAGCGGCGGTGCAGCTTCCACGGCCCCGGCGAAACCTGTCCGCGAAGAACCACCACCAACCCTCAAGGAACTCATCTCCTCGTTTGCCGGGCTTGCCATCGAAGGCGCACCACCGCCAATCGAGGGAATGCCCGCGCCACCGTGCCCCTTAGCAGAGCTTCCTGACGAGTTGCTCGTGCACATCCTACGGGATGTAGCCCTGGACGATGTCGGCGATTTTGTGCGGCTGGCACAAGTCTGCCGCAAGTTGGCGTTCCTTGTGGCGACAGAGGACCGCATCTGGCGGCGCGTGTGCGTGGGCCCCGAGTTTGGCTTTGCCAACATGTACCGCGCGTGGGAACGGACAATCGCATGGGGCCCGCTCGAGGACGACAACAAAGGCGACGGGTTTGCTGTCGGCGATGGCATGGTGGTGTCTGCCGAGGCCGCCGAAGACGAGCGGCGGCGGCAGCGACAGGCCAGCAGCCTGGCAACGACCATGAAGCTGCGGAAGGGCATCAAGGTGCCCGGTACGGACGGCGCGCAGGTCACCTCGATCCCTCCGGCGTATCCGTCGTGGCAGCGCATGTTCCGACTGCGCCCGCGCATCCGGTTCAATGGCTGCTACATCAGCACAGTCAACTACATCCGGCCTGGCCAGCCGACGGCGAGCCTGGTGGTATGGGGCAACCCGGTGCACATTGTGACGTACTTCCGGTACCTCCGGTTCTTCCGCGACGGCACGGTGATTAGCCTTTTGACGACGTCGGAGCCGCCGGACGTGATCCACCACCTGACCAAAGACCTTTTGACGCTGCACCAGGGCGGGGCCATGGCGCACCTGCCGTCGATTGTGATGCAAAACGCGCTGAGAGGGCGCTGGCGGATGTCGGGAATTGCCGATGAGGAGGACAGGGAGGGCGGTGCCGGCAGCTCGGAGGACGAGCTGCGCAGCCGTGATGAGGTAGTGGAAGGCGATGCACGGATTCCAAAGAAGAATGGCGTTTCAGCAACAGCAGCAGCAGCAGCAGCAGCAGCAGACGGCACCGAGAGCACGCTCGTTTCCCCTTTTTCGTCGCTGGCGGCGGCCTCGGATGCGGAAAGCGACGTGGTGGTGGAGACGGAAGGCGTGGGCAAGTACTACTACCGGATGGAGTTGGCGTTCCGGTCGGCGGGCAAGGGCACGCGCAACAACAAGCTCAACTGGCGCGGGTTCTACAGCTATGACCGGTTGACGGACGACTGGGGCGAGTTCGGACTCAAAAACTACCGTCCGTTTTTCTTCAGCCGCGTGCGCAGCTACGGCGTTGGAGAGTAGGCGTTGGATCTGATGGTAGGAGATACGGCAGCCATCATGTGCATCTACAAGAACAATAGACATGTGTTATGAATTTACTTTATGTTGGTATTCCGGGTTTTATACTTGTGCTTTAAATAAAGATAGTCTTGAAGCAGAGCAGGGCAAAGCAAAATGAATAAAAAAAATAAAAAAAGGTTGGGTGAAAATTACTGTCGATAAAAATAGAACAGTCGTGATTCCAACACTCGATGTGGGAGCTATGCAAAGGAGGCAACGTGGTCACCTGGTCGTTCCCTCACTCTTCGCTTGTCTCTCATAAAAGGCCGTACTACGACACTCGATGCGGTAGACGATACCCTCAGTATTCAACCACGATCATAGCTACGGCATATGACTTTTACAAAGAGAATCCTTCTACATCTGATTAGATATCTCAAAGTATCATCCCAAATCGATTCCACTCTGGTCGACAAGGGGATCAGCAGCGGCCACCATCGCTACTCACAAAGAGTCGGCCCCATATATCGTCGACTTCTCGGCGGAGCCGCCATCAAATCGTCCCGACTGGTTCCGTGGTGCAGTTGGTTAGCGCATCGTACTAATATCCTCTCATCCGAGAATACCATGCGAAAGTCGAGGGTTCGAGCCCCTCCGGGACCATCTCAATCCGGTTCTTCGAATCGGACGGTCTTTCCAGTCTTTTTGTCAAGGGTTGGTCGACCAACCGGCTGCTGCTTTACTTTTGTTTGTTTTGTTTGTTTGTTTGGGTTTTTTCTTCCTTGACTTTTTAGTTTGAAATCGAGGAAATCAGGTAGGAGGAACAACAGCATTGTCTACAAAAGTACAGGTTCGAGTCCTGTCCTATCCACGATTAATCACCCTATACCTGGAAAGGCCTTACTTCCCTTTGATAGTACGCCGTAGTGAATATATACTCGCATCCAATATTTATTGTCACCAGAGACAGACTCTGTTAGCAGCGCGGCTTTGGCAATACACAACAGACCTCTCCTACGCAGCACAGAAGCCGAATGAAAAGGAAGGTCGGCGCCGCAAAAGCTCAGCAGCCAAGGGCACCAAGGTGTGAGGGCAGAAGTGAAATGCGACATCACCTAGACATGGCTTGAGCGAAGAAGGAAGAGAGTTCGGCATATGTCTAGCGAGGACCTGTACGCGACGAACCCGCCGTCTATGTTCAGTGTCCTTGACGCGCGAGCATCGCGCGCCCCGGCCACCACAGAAGTGCAGCCCTGCGTCCTTGCTGCCATGTCGTCTTCTATCCATGCGATTTCGCAATCCTTCACACCACAATTAACACAGCCTTCCATCGGACGGTGTCAGTAGCCAATCCAGAAGCCACTTGGTGTTTTTAGAGCACCGGTCCCAGTACGCAGAGTACGCCCCGATGATCTCCGAGTGGTCCAGCAACACGCCGTTCTTCCAGTTACGTGCTAGTGGCTGGCAACAGAAATCGAAGCCTGCCAGCCACAGAAAGTCGGCCACGGCAGATACCCGTTCCCGGTGCTTGGCGTCCCTTGCGGCTTCTGCAGCCTGGCGGGCGTGCGCGACCTCGTCAGGACCGCTAACATGCTCCTCCGCGGCCGGCGCGGCCCCGTGCCCAGTCTGTCTCGTGCTACTCCGTGTGTTATGACGCCGGGCCACCGGAGCTGTAACCTTTTCACTTGGAGCCGTTGTCGGGGAAATCGTTGTCTGGCGCCACTGCTCTTCGCTTTGGCTGCCGTCGCTATCGTCGCTGTTGTCGTTGTCGTTACTATGAATGTATTCGTACACGATGCCGATGAAGTCGGTGCGCGCCTCGTCGAAACAGCGGTATGTTTTGCGGTCGACGTGGAAGCCATACGAGCGGATCCGGCGCGGCATCTTCTTCATCAGCTCGTGTACGTTGCAGGGCAACCATCCATAACACTGCACAAACCGCGGCATGCTCATTACGGGCACCAGTCCAGACGGCGGCGGCTTGTTCTCGGCGGCTCGCACTTGGTGGTTGTGTCGAACCTCCTCTGAAAATGAAAACAGATTGTTGGACGCTGTGAAAAAATCCACGGGGTTCGGATCGACGAGGGGAGGCACGGTCGGTCCGTTGGGTGTGCCACCGGTGATGCCGGCTTCCGCCGCAGCCGCAGCTTGGTCCACGGACGCGCGTAACATTTGTAGTAGTGCGGCGTTTTGGCACTCGCGATGGACGGCGGAGTATTCGGGATACTCGAGGAGAATGTCTGGGATCCAAAACTGTTGATAGTTAGGAGATTACCGTCTATTGTACATAAGTGGTCAAGAGGGAAACGCACAAGCTTCAAGGCAAACGGCCCTTGGTCGCCAAAGTGGACGCGGTAAACACAACCATCCGTGCCGGCCCCGAGCAGTCGGGCACGACGCCAGTCGATTGTGTCAATGTTCAATGGACACCTACGCAGGCGCGGTTGCGCGAGGTTCTTGATCGTCACGCGCGGTGACGTAGTCGCGTCCATCAGCTCGTCCGTCATGCAGGGATAACGGAAGAGGTGGTGCCAGCGGCGCACTGTCGGCATGGAGTCCAAACGCGGGTCCATCTTTACTGACGATCGCTCAAGCGAATGAGGCTGTGGAGGGACACGTCGGGGCTGTCCATAGAAGGGTGCTGTGAAGAACTAGCGATGGTTCTCACGAGTGGGTGTGGTCGTGTTTGTAACCTTGTTTGCCGGAGGGTGGTGCCTGAAGCCCTGACTCTAACAATGAATGCATTTGCTAGCCAAGAAACGCGTCAACACGTGATATTCTTCCACTGACACGAGGCCATCCGCTGGCCGTATTGGCGCTCAACTCGTGGCGCATCGAAGGCGGCCTAGGATGATGTTTTCGTGGAAGAGAAGGGTTAACTGTGGCTCAGGCAACGGCTCTGACACACCGGTGCCAATTACGGCCTTCAAGGACGACAACAAACGTTTCCGTGTAAAGAACCGTGTCGATAAATATGTGTTTTTTCTTTAGTCTCGACACCTGCACTTGACCCGGCCTATTGTTGTATCGTTACTATTAACGATATCTTCACTGTGACGCCCACGTCACTTAAAGGCTGGCCCGTCCCGCTGAACAGCAGTGACACGCTAGCCCGAACAGGCAATTGCAGACTTACAGGCAGCGCCGGCACCTCTGCAGAGCCCAACAGTGTTAGGGCTACAAAACCATTTGGCTAGATAAGCTTCTGCGTCTAGATTGCGACGAGGCGGTGCACAGTACAGTGACACCGCGGCAGGGCGCTGGAATGGCCTGTGGCGATAGCGCTAGCGGCGCTCTTAGGGGGCGCTCAAGTGTCCAGTCCAAGCGCGGCATTGCTCCTGCCCCACCCGGTTTCAGGGGAAATAGGGCCTGCTATTTCAAGCCGTCCTTGCTGATTGGCGGGGCGCTCTTTCCACTTTACGTCGTTAGCGTGCCGCAGTTTATGAGCATCGTATCTCGTGGCTTCTTCAAGTGACGCGTGACGTCTTCCCCCGGCTTCACTTTTGCCTTTCGTCTCAATTTGCCCACGCCACGCCCACAGCGCGCTCACCTCAACTCTCTGCACCACAGACTCGCCATGGTCTGATCCTCTCGCTTCTGCCCAGTCGTTTTGCCCTTACCTGCCCTTGGCGTCCCGACGCCCTCCCGTGAGCCTTCGCCCACTATGTCGCTCTTTTCGTTCCTCCGCAGCATCTACGACGTCGACACGCTCGACACCCGCTTCACCACGCCGTCGACGGTGCCCTACAAACCGGATACACCGTCGTCCAACGCCGCCGGCCGCAGCAATGGCACGCTCGACCACACTGACAGTCGCCGCGACGCGGCCGCCGACGTCGCCAAGCGCGCCGAGCCGTCGAAATGGCGCTCGCCCGAGTTCTTTGTCTACTACTTCATCTTCCTGACCGTCGTGCCCTACATGTTCTGGGTGGCCTACGACGTATCGCGGCGTATGTTCTTCGCCCCGCGGGCTCCCAAGACAGCCGCTGTTCTATGACCAGCGACCACGTAATCGCCGACTTCTAACGTTCTGTCCCATCTAGCGTCCGATCCGCGTTATCCTCGATTCGAGAGCAAACTGGCGCCTGGCTGGATCCCGGGACGCAAAGTTGACACGTCCGATGCCCAGTACCACACATTCCGCTCCAACCTGCCGTACATGGCCCTTCTTCTCCTCTTCCATCCCCTCCTGCGCAAAGCCTGGAACGCCGTCTATCCCACCTCGACTGCCTCCTCCTCTTCCTCCTCCTCCTCGACGTCCTCTCCTTCTCGCGCACTCACCCCCGACCAGGCCAATGCCCGCAAGGAGCAGCGTCTCTCCTTCGACTACGTCTTTGCCTTTGTCTTCCTCGTCGCCCTGCACGGCATCTCCGCCGCCAAGGTCCTGCTGATCCTCTGCATCAACTACAACCTCGCCACCGCCTTGCCACGTCAGTACGTCCCCGTGGCCACCTGGGTCTTTAACATTGGCACGCTTTTTGCCAACGAGCTGGCTGGCGGCTACCACCTCGTGAATGTGGCCTCACTCGTAAGCGACGGCTCGTGGGAGCCCATCTTCCGCGCGACCGTCGAGGGCCACGAGACGGCCACCGCCCTCGTGCAGTGGGGCTCCTGGCTCGACGGTTTTTGTGGCATCATGCCGCGCTGGGAGATCCTGTTCAACATCACCGTGCTGCGTCTGATCAGCTTCAACCTGGACTACTACTGGAGCCACGGCGGCCGCGGCTCAAGCCCGCTGGAGGTACGTTTTGTTGCCGGCCTTATGTCATGCCTTGATGTCATTTACTTTGGCACCCATGCCTTTGCCTTTGTGTACATTCGCTAACACCCCCAGAAGAAGCAGCTCGATCCCGCCAACCTCTCGGAGCGGGATCGCGTTACCATCTCCGCGCCCCCGCAGGACTACTCCTTCCGGAACTACGTCGCCTACGCCATCTACGCCCCGCTCTACCTGACCGGCCCCATCGTCTCCTTCAACGACTTTGTCCACCAGGCCCGCTACCGCCCGGCCACGATCGAGGGCCGCCGCACCCTGCGCTACGGCGTGCGCTTCGTCCTGTGCCTGCTCGCCATGGAGCTGGTTTTGCACTACGATTACGTCGGCGCCATCTCCCAGTCCGGCCCCCACTGGGGCTCGTACACCCCGGCCCAGCTGTCCCTGCTGCCTTTTTCAACCTGCACCTCATCTGGCTCAAGCTGCTGCTTCCCTGGCGCCTCTTCCGCCTCTGGGCCCTGCTCGACGGCGTCGACCCCCCGGAGAACATGCTGCGCTGCGTCAGCAACAACTACAGCACCCTGTCCTTTTGGCGCGCCTGGCACCGCTCCTACAACCGCTGGCTTGTTCGCTACATCTGGATCCCCCTGGGCGGCTCCAACTTCAAGTCGTGGCTCGGCGCCGCGCGCTCCCTGCTCACCTACATGCTCGTCTTCACGTTTGTCGCCCTCTGGCACGACATCCAGCTGCGCCTGCTCATCTGGGGCTGGCTGGTCGTGCTTTTCTTTGTCCCCGAAGTCCTGGCCTCGTTCCTCTTTCCCCGCCGCCGCTGGGCCGCCCGGCCCACGGCCTACCGCATGCTCTGCTGCGCCGGCGCCGTCGTCAACATTCTCATGATGATGAGCGCCAACCTCGTCGGCTTTGCCGTCGGCCTCGACGGCCTGCAGAGCATCGTGCACGGTATCGTGCACGACTGGTCGGGCTTTCTTTTCCTGATCACGGCATGCAGCGCTCTCTTTGTCGGCGTGCAGGTCATGTTTGAGATCCGCCAGTCTGAGATGCGCCGCGGCATTTTGCTCAAGTGTTAGTGCGGAGGTGCGAAAGGAATGCACATGGTTGCCACCTTTGTATGACGTTGGGTTTTCTTCATTCATTGGTTCTGTTTTCTTCGTCAGCTATGGTAAATTATTGTAAAGCACAGGTTATTGGGAGCATTTGGTTTGTTTTTATCATATGTAGTTTGACATTTTGCGAAAAAAAATTAGACATTAACGGAAACACATCGCTTTTCGCTTCTCCTTCTCGTCTCAGGGTATATCGCGCCAAAGAGATAACACAGATGCAGAGCACACTCTAAGTGCAACTGTTAAAAAAAAAAAAGAAGAAAATGCACGAGCAAAATGTTCACTAATACGACTCTCCAAGCCGCTTAGGCCTTGTTCGGCCGCGCCATCTCCATGTCAACGGCCTGCCGGTCGTTACGGGCAAACTTGCCCGGCATGCCCAGCTTCGTCTCCGTCGCCCACCGCCGCACCCACAGAGCACCCTGGACCACGGCAAACACCACAAGGCACCCAATAGCGATGCCAAACACATACGCTGCGATGAGACCCGAACCACCCTTCTGCGCCGGGTCCAGGAAGCTGTATACATAGAAGCCTTTGGTGGCCCGCGTAATGTAGGCCAGCGCCAGGTACAGCGCCAGCAGAGCGATCAGGCCGACCACGTGGAGCCATGGCTGCGGCGCCGTGCGTGCAAACACCACTTCAAAGAGCGCAAACCCCGAGTTCATGGCGTGCTGCGACACATTGCGCCAGGCGTCAAACGGCAGCGGGAACCAGGCGCCCGCGTACAGCTTGCCCCAGTAGACGGCGGTCACGATAAACGGGAATACGGCAATGGTCGAGTAGAGCAGGCCATGGGCCTGTTGCAGCACACGAGGAAACCGGTCGAGCAGCGCCGAGCCGGTGCGCGCATAGGTCGCTGTGTGGACGGCGGCGACGGCAAAGTAAAACGCCAGGCCCCAGTAGGTGAGCACGGTAAAGTACGAGAACTCGTCGCCGGCTGCCGCGCAACCGCCGAGGCCGACATGGCGACACTCCCAGGCGATGACGAAGAGAAGGGTGACGAAAATGTAGAGGCTGAAGAGGCCGCGCAGGACGGCGAGAACGGCCGGCGGGAGCAGCCACGAGGTCACGAAGCGATGGGAGGGGTCCCAGGGCTCATCGGTCGATGCAAACGGATTGCGCAACATGTTGTCTGCGTGCGGTCGAGATAAAGTTGATAGGAGAGGATGGGAGAGGGATGAGCGAGAGACTGAGAGGAAGGACAGAGACAGGCGACTTTTGCCGAAACAGGCAGTCGCGCTGATTCATTGACGAAATTGTCGAGGAAGGAGTGACAAACAAGAGCTCGATGGAAGTCGACAACAAGAAAGACAAAAAGTGTGGAGGGCACGACCAGGGAGCGGCGAACCGTAGAAAAAGACAACCAGATACACAGTGTCCCGTGTCGCGCGTCGTGTTGTTAATGTTCTGTGCGTTTTTAACGCCCCGGCCGAACGTCGTATTTTGAGAATACGAAGGCCGATCGAGCACGTGTTGTGCAACGGAAAAAAGGCGCGTCGAACAGGAGTAATAATGATCGACATACGTCGAAGTATAAAAAATTCGGCACGAGGACGAACCACAGTGTTACTTATGTCATCACCATTGATTTGTATCACTATCAAATTGCGAGTCAGTTGGTGGCCGCATGAACTGATATAAGCAACGGCATCAGTCGAGTACCAGCCAGGATGGTCTGACTCGGAAAAGCACACACAAGAAGCTAGCCATGGCCATTTCATATACGGAGTACGAGGCATCGTTTTCCCCATGACCACACACAATTTGGCACCTTTTGTTGCATATTCGTTATCGCCACTCTACGAGAGGACTTCCTTCTTGATTCGGCCATGTGTCTCGGCACGCACCGCCCTCCTGCCATGAGTGCACCAAGAGATGGTGCAGGGATTACACGCTATGCAATGCTCGTCATTCTTCAATACGAACCGAGGGAGCGTTCAATGGTAAATAAGGGCTCTTACTTCGGAGAGACAAACATCAGGACAGAACCTACATTTATACAGGCTGGCTCACGCATGCCTCTTGAGCGAGGGCGGTCGGCTGTAAATCCAAACCGATCTTTTCTGGCAGGTATGCAGTCATCCTTATCGTGCCATAAAGCGAGAGGCGTTGTTTTCATTTGGTCTTTTATGTCACTTGGACCACATGCAGAGTGGCGGCGAGAGCGGCGTTATGTGGCAGCCTGGTTTGCTGGTTCTTGGTTTCAGCAGTTTGATCGTCTTCATCGTCTTGTGGTGGAGACCTCTGCGTCTTGGGACAAAGCGGACCAATGACCGGGACCCCATCATCCATTATTGACTGGCATGACTCTGGCACCCCGTTGGTCGACCCGGTTCTGGCGTTTGAATAGGCGTGTGCTCAACGATTAGGAGGACGTCCATTTGTGGTGGTGGCGTGTGGTTATGGTGATGGCGGAAATAGGCCAGGCTCGCTCATGACCTTGGCGAGGATGCCATCATCAGATCAAAAGAACGACCTTCATAAATGTCCAGGCAGTTTTGAGACGATTTCATGACAAAGTTTCATAATGGCCAGGGCTAGTTCAGCCCTGGCAGTAGAAAGCGCTTAATTCGACGCCGCTAACAAAAGATGAGACGAAAGCGCCAAACAGAATCAAACAGGCCACCGAGAGCGAGAAAGATTGAAATAAGAAAACAAAACAAAAATGCAATAAATGAGTTGTGAAGTCGTTGCAATGCAGGAAATGCGTAGGACGCCCAGTGGCCCCTTCCCTTCCGTCGTTGTGTGTTTAGCCCTGGTTTCAAAAACGCCACATCCACACACGCCTTCGCTCTTCGCTTGGAGCTTGGAACCTTAAAGTCGACCCTGTACGAATGTACTCTTAAGAAGGCGCAGAAAAACCACATATTCCCAGAAATCTGATATTCTCAGAAACTCGAGCCGGGTTCACACGCTGGCCTCCTGTCCTCCAGTGCGGAAGGCGCCTCCCACCGAATCTGCTTCCTTCCTCTTCGTGACCTCGCCTCGCCCTTTCCCTGTCAGTGGACGGGTGCCCGGTCGTAGTTTCCGTCTGTAACCCATCTGCGATGGACAGTGGACAGTGCCTTCCCAGCATCCGCACTTCCGCCCCCTTTGTCATCTCGCAGTCAACTTTTCCGACATTTCGCTCCATATTTTACACATTTACACATTTACACATCAACAGACCCCAACTTCACCTGACTCTATCCCAACCCTCCCCCGTCTTCTCCATGGACGCATCAGAGGCGGTGCACCCATCATTTATGCCGTGGCTCGTTTTTGTTTATTTTCAACCCCTGCTTGTCGTCTCTTGACCTGTCTGTCCATTAGTCTCCACCGGTGAAAATCATAAGAGAAGATCTTGGAAATCCTAAGAGGCTTGGTTGCTCTCCCTCTCGCAGCTCCCTCTCCCCTCACGTCGACATCGCTTATCACTCAGACAATCCTCTGTCTCTGGACCCTCCCCACTTCCCCCCAGGTCCCTGCGATTTATGCATGCTTGACATCTGCGGCGATCGTGGCGCCCTGCAGGACGACATGGGGTTTTGTTAGAGAGAAAGAGGCCATCGTCCCAGAAACCAGGGTCCGCTTTGGCGGCAAAGGCCGGACCACCCCCTGCCCCAAGAGCCGCACCCACGAGACACGATGACGGTGGTTGCGGCCCCTGCCAGACACCTGGCCCCATCAGCCATCAATACTGTCTCTGTCGTCATGGAGGCTCTTCACAGTGTCTCCATCAGCAAGACCCTTGGGTGGTCTGGCCTCGTCTACGGAGCACGATGCCAAGCCTGAGTAGTGGGTTTCTTTGTGGTCTCGTCTCAACTTCTTGCAAGACTGCTGGTGGAAAAAGAAGGGTGCATCTCGCTTGGCTGGCGACTGACGAGAGCGCGACAGCCCTTGTGACACGATGCCCCTGGGCATGGCCCCTGGCATTCCATATGCACTCTTCTTGTCTCCACTGACTCTGCCTCGAGGCATGATGGCGAGGACGGCCCTGCCCCTGGGCCTTTCGTCCCATTCTGTGAGCTATTCACTCTGTTTCTCACGATGCTGCTATTCCACCCCTCGACGGTATATAATGCAGGCTTGCCTCGCCCTCAACATGCCGTTCTTTCGTCTCTTTTCCTCACCAACCGACATTTACTTCCGGGTTTGACTTCTGGCTTTGCTACCTTCGTTCTTTTTTTTTTTTTCTCCATTCTTTCGTTGCAGTTCTGTGAACTCGCCCATTCGTTTTTTCTGATTCAAATACGCTCCTTGCTATAAACGGTCATCTGCACACCACTTTCACTACCTGTTCTGAGAACATTTTTGATTTTTGACTCGTTCTGTCACCACCTTTGCAAACAGACTTTTACTTTGGCCTTTGAAAAAAAAGAACGCTTTATCATTTGTTTTGTATACCATCATCCGTTGGCCCTTTCCAACCTCATAAACACCACCTAGCTTCAAAATGATGTCTCGCTTCGTGCCGGCTCTGATCTTTGCTTCGGCTGTCCAGGCCCGCTTCGGCCAGGAAGAAGGCAACGGTGCTATTGCTGCCATTGGCGCCCTCACTGATCTTGGCCAACCCGGCCAGGCCGCCACTCTGGCCGGTTCCTCCATCCAGTTCCTTCTGGCCGCCGCCAACCCCTGCGGCAAGCTGACCCAGGCTGATCTCATCCTGTCTGAGCTCGGCACCAGCGATGCCGCTGTGGCTGCTGCCCGTGGCCTTGTTGCCGCTGAGCAGAACTTTAACCCCTTCGTCGTCAGCGTTCCCTCCATCTGCTCTGACCCGACACTCCCCGTCAGCCCTGAGCTGCGCGGTGTCATTCCCCTGATCGACCCTGCTGTTGGCGGCTCCAACTTGGAGAACGCCAACGCCGCAAAGTCCAAGTCCACGCCCTTTGACGCTACCGGTCTCAGTGTTGCCCAGGTCGTGGTCGCCCAAGGCTTTTCCAACTTCACAGCCGTTTCTGCTGATGGTACTAAGGCGGACGCCTCTAGCCTTGGCACCTCGGTCTCCGGCAGTGCTGCCAATGCTGCCGGCAGCTCGTCTGCTTCTGCTGTTGCTGCTGTTGCCTCGTCGGCCAAAAACTGCGGCGGCGTTGCCACTACGTTCATTACCGTGACTGCTGGCGCTGCCGCCGCTGCCACGACTGCTGTGTCCTCCACCGGCGCTGAGACCTCTGGCACCAGTCCCTCCACTGGCTTCGGTGCGGTCTCCGACCCCGTGAAGGGCACGTTTGACGGCTTCGTCGCGTCCACCGTGGCGGGCCTTGACTTTGGTCTCTGCGTGCCAACCATGAAGTTCGAGGCTGGCCTGAACGGCCGCTCGACGAGCGAAAGTACTTTCCAGGCCATCGACCCGCTTGTCAACGCTGGCCAGCAGGAGGCCCTGAACCCCCAGATCATCATGAACCGCATCCACGACCAGCTGACCAACGTTTGCGGTGCCAATCAGGCCGCCAAGGACGCCGCAGCTTCCGCCCTGGCCCAGGTGGTCGCCACCGGCAAACGCGACGTCACTACTGCCGAGACGTGGAACACTCTGCTGGGTTTCGGCGGCACCAACACCAACCCCGACAACGCTCCCCAGACTGGCCTTGTCGGCCACGCATAAGTGACCGGCTTCTAGATGCGTGTGAAACAATTCACATTCTCAGAGTATACATAAAGGAGGGAAGGATTTCCTATGAAGTCCGTAAAAATGCAAGGACAATTTGGTCTTCCTTCATGAGTTGTATTCTATTTCAAATTTAGCACTACCAGAGATATACGAACACGATGTTACGGTTGCATACTACAGAGATCAAATCGCAGGCGAATGGATGTGTCGAGGCGTACAACTAAGACGCACAGATGTGTAAAAGAACTGTAGAATTTATAAGAAACTATCTATCAAAGCACGCGTAAAAGAAACACAGGTCAATCTGGCATTCTATTGTGCAACCTCCAAAACCAGCCTCTCACCGCTGAGTCCGCTCTGGATTTCGTTCAGCGCGGCCTTCAGACCGCCCAGGCCACCAGGAATAACGCGGGCAGACGCCGGCACAATGGTTCCGTCAGCCAGCCAGCTCGCCAGGTTGCCCGAGACAAACAGCCACTCCGCAATGTCCTTGCGGTTGGACCAGGTGCTGCCAATGTTGACGAACTGGGAGGTGATGCCTTCCTTCCACTTGTGCTCGGGTGCAAAGTTGACGTAGGCAAGATCGGGCACTGCGGTCGAGGACGTCGCGGCAGCTGACTTCAGCAGGAGGTTCTCGAGATGCGGGAGGGTCTTTGAGGGATCGGTGGCGGTATCGGCGGCGTACGAAATCGTGCGCTGGCCCGCGGCTGCCAGAAGCTTCTCGACCGTCGCTTCCGGGTCGCTGTAATCGACGGTGACCTCGGCGCCAAACTTCTGCAGCTTCTCGTGGTGGCGCGGGCTGGCAACTGCGAAGACAGCGAAGCCCAGCTTATGGGCCAGCTGGACCGTCAGCGAACCAACGCTCGAGGCGCCGCCCCAGACAACCAGGATGGGCTTCGACCCAGCGGCCGGAAGGGGCTTCGTCTGCTCCTTGGCGCCCGGGAGGGAAAACTTGAGGCCGTCAAAGAGAATATGGCTCGCCGTCAGCGCAATCGTGGACACCGTTGACCCCTGCAAAAGCGTCAGGTTCTCGGGCAGCTTCGCCGTGGTAAGCGTGGGCACCGCAACAAAATTCTGGTAGGCCTCGTGGTCATCGTCACCGGTGGCGATCCCGTCGGCGGCGGCGATGACACGGTCGCCGACCTTGTATGTGCTGGCCGCGTTGGCGCCAGCGCTCACAACCGTGCCCGTGACGTCGCTGCCGACAACCTTGGGAGTGGTCGGCACCTGGAAGCCGTACAACTGGCGAATGCGGTCAACTCCATTGACGGCCGCGAAGTTGGTGCGAATGAGGACGTCATCAGGGCCCGGCACAGGCACGGGGCGCGTTGTGAGCTCGAAATCCTTTCCGATAGCCGGCAGAATGACGGCGTTGTTTGTTTGGTCAGCCATTGTGAGAATAGGGTGTGATTGGTAGTGGTTGTGGATAATATTTGTAGAGTGTCAACCCGGAGCTGAGAAAACGATTGAGGATGCTGGTGAAAAAGGAGAGATCTCCAGACCCAAAAATCCTGAGAGCCATCCAGCGACTTTAAATACAGCCATTGACTCTCGTGTCAACATCCCCAACTCTGCATATCCGGATTCCGGATTTCCATTGACGACTTACTCCGAGCCGTTGGTGAACAGCCAATTGACTAACCACATCCTCGTTCCTCTGGGCTCTGGCCCAATTGCCTTCTCTCTCTCTTTCTTTCATTCTTTTTTTTCTTTATTTTTTTTGGAAGCTTCGAGGGTCCGAAACAGAAAGAGGGGCTAAATTGGCCGAACACATGTCACTGCGGTTTCGTTGGAGAGGTTGAGGCTACCAAAGTCGTAGTAGTTGGTAGCAAAGGACGAATGTGGATGACAAAGGTCGAGGTTGGTGTGGTATTAAGCCCGAGAACCCATGCAAGCAGGAGTTAATAGCGGGCGTCGTCGTGATTGGCTGCTTTAAAGTCCGCTTCAGCGTAAATGAAGTGACTCCACCAGCGAACCCCATAATTACCCCCGAATCCAGAATGAACAGTGGCAGCCGGCCAAGTTGGCCGGCGCTTGCCCGAGAACGATGATCAGTCGAAACAAGATTTGTCAGAAAGCTACAGTGGCCGCATTGCTGATGGCACACTAAGGCTCAAAGGCGTGTTCTGCTGCAGCTGCGGTCACCATCATACCCAGGCTGTCCACGCCCGCGTGCCAGTAAGCCAGGAGATCGTCCTCGTAGAGTGCTTTGTTGCTCGGTAAGCCAAAACTTCCCTCGTCGGCGACCGCTCGGTCGATGGCCCGGCTGAGATCACCAACAGTAGTCAGCTTGAACCTGGGCCCGTTGCTGATTGGGTTGCTGTGCATGGCACTCTGGAAAAGGATGTGCTTCTCAAACCGGTGGTTGTCGTATTCGCGTTCCCATGCCGATTGGCTGTCTGCCTCCCAGAGGCGACGGCTGCTTGGTAACGGGAACTTCTCTGGTTGTGAAAGCTTATAGGTGTGGGACCGCGAGTTGACCGCGAGGGACATAAGCCAACAAATGGTGACGATGCGTCGGCGCGTCTCATCAAAGATCCAGTTTTCCCACTTGGGCCTCTCAGTGCGGATCAGGTCGCTGTCCTCGTAGTGAGCGGGGGTGAACGGCCCATGCCAAAGCTCATGAAAGCGGTCCGAGAGTTTCTGGTTTCGAGAGCATGTACGTTAGAAACCCTATCTCGTTGTGGCAGGAACGAGGGCAATGAAAACGAAAAAGGGATACTTACACCCATTGTGTCCAAGAGAGACATGTCTGAGCAAAAGTATTCGCGGCCATAGACAATTAAGCGCATCGTGGTGTAAATGGCCAGCGCCTGGATCGAAACAAATATCTCGCCGAACGACAGCGATCGCAACTAACAAAAAAATGCCATTAGATACCGCAGCGACCAAAGGAGTTCGGAAACGGACACTCACTCTATTCACAATGTTTTGGTGCTCTTTGTCGATCGATCGCCACAAAAACTCGTCGGAATGCGCGCTTCTTGTAACAAATGCATGGGAAATACCGACACATGCAGCCATGATCGGGAGTGGAGTAAACAGCGCCATTTGGGGTGAGGACGTCGATACGGAGCCGTCAGGCGCGTCGAGGACACCACTCCGGCCATATACAGAAGAAGAAAGCAAAGCTGACGATGACGATGAAGATGACGACATTCCATCTGTCACTTCAGACGAGAAGGGTTTCTCCACTTCCACACTATCGTAGTGCAACCCGCACCCAACGCGATGGATGAACGGCGGCATGTTTCCGGGTCTCGTCATCATGTGCGGGAACGTGCGAACCATGGAAACGATGAGGCGGCGAAGATCTGCAGATATGGGCGATGGCGAGGACCGCTCCGATACTTCCAAGATGGGGTTCGGGGGCGCTGCATACGGCAAGTGCAGCGACAAGGGCGAAGGCATATTCACCCCGGACACAGACGACGGTGGCACCATAGGAAACCCCAACGATGGGGACGCAACGCCGTCGGTTCCAAAGCTGCCGAAGCCATTGAGCCCAAACATGTTCATCGCCTGAGGAAGCAGAAAACTAGGCATGTTTCCATTACCGGTACCAAGACTCGGCGAGGTCAGCCTTCCCGTGGCTGCTTCTGCAACGGACAGTGTCACGGGAAGAGCGGCTGAAACTGCAGTGGACATTGCGACCGTCACTTCGGTCGTTGATTGACCGTCCTTCCCCTCTTCTTGTCCAGAAGACGGTCTGCCTGACGGTCTATGGAGGGTCATGTCGTCGCTGGCGGCCGGGCTGTTGGAGTTTGAGCCAGCAGCCGTATCGGAACTGGAGCTGGAAGCGGACGTCACCAAGGCCCCAGCACCGGCACCGCTTGAGGTTTGCTGGGCATCGCACTCTGCCGCTCGAGCCGGCTTGGGGGCCTTGGCAGCTGTTGAATCGCTCGCAGCATCTGCCACATGCCACGGCTTGTCGTAGACGCACTCTTTGTGCTTGCTTGTACACCGGCTGCAAGGCCACTGCGCGTCGCATTTGCTCTTGGTCGCCCTGCAGTGCCGACACGCCCGCGGCCGTGTTGTCCGCTTGGTGGCGGCCCGTCGCCGGCAGTACTGCACATGGCGGGTAAACGATGATTCTGGAAGCCGTCAGCATGTTGGGACTGGACAAAGGTCACGTCGGCCTTGGTTATACCCACCTTGCGTGGATGGTTTACCACAAACCGGGCAGAAATACAGGCTGGGCGCCATGTTGGTAGCAAGGACCGTGTCTGAATCCATTTCCGACGCCATTGTCAATGAGAGTTGAATGAAGTGCGGAATGAAATCGTAGGACAAAACGATACCCAACCTCGCGCGTGAGAAGATAGTTGCACGGAGTGAGGTCGCGTAAGAATCAGGAGGAGACCAGCCGGTGGTCGGCGGACGATGTAACTGCTTTGTCATACAAATTTCCGAATAGGGAAATCATCTGCCATCATCTTGTTGTTGGGACGCACCTTCTTGCCCTGGCTCCTCATTGGACTGCGCAGTGGATCCGAATATCACGTGATTTTACTCTCCGTACATCCGTGAGACCAAGGTTTGCTGTCCATCGTATGGAAGAAAACAGCAACGACGTGTGTCGTAGACATGAATGGTGCTTTTTCAGTGCGAGATCCGATGCAGAAAGCCCGCGATCCACGGTGTCCATGCAAGTGACATCGAAATAGGGCTGAGCAAGGTCCAGTAGACTGGGAAACACGCGCTGTTTACTGCCAAGTGCGTGCCCTTCATTTGCTTGCGTGCAATGCTCAGACCGGCAAAAGCAAACCCACTGTGGACATATTTTTAGTATATGGATATTTTGCGGGCTCCGACTTACATGCGGGTGATCCTCAAGTCCCAGCTGGCCTCGCCTACATAGACGCTCTCTACATGCTTGCATATGTATTTGGACAACGAGCTGCTCTTGCCGATTTCAGCTGGAGTGTCAAATGCGCACTTTGACTTCAAGTCGCGCGGTCGTGCTTTCCTCACGGTAAGGTGATGCTAAAACGTTGCATGGCTCCTTCCTGTCTACCCTTTCACTGTCCCTTCCTGTTTCTCATGTATGCCCTTTCTCTGTTTACTCCCCTTTTTCTCATGGCATCCAATTCTTTGTACCACACTTGACTCCTTTCTTCCTTGTCTCGTCCATCTCCGTCCTTGATCGAACCATTCTACTCCGTACTTCTCTGTCGTCTCTCCCGTCCACCCCGCATTCAGATGCTACGCTTGCGCCGAATGACACTCCGCATTCAAAACCTCTAGAAAACAAGGCGGGCTCAGGAATGGAGCCTCGGAACCCCAAGATTTGCGCCTGTTAGTGGCAAAACAGAACCTGAAGTTTGCAGACTGCCATTTGAAAACGGCAAAAGCGAGCCTCGGCATTACCTTCAATCGAGACCGAGCAAAGGAGAACCAAAATTGGAGGCCAAAAAGGTCTGCTCGGCCTCGCCTACGAGCAAGAGGTGATGTACGAATACCATGCTTGGTATCAATGGGTCTTTTGGGGCATTGGCCTTGGTCGTTGCCACAATCCTTGGCTTAGTCACTTGCCATATGAACCTCTTGTTTGTCCGCGAGTAAAGTAGTGCTTTGTACTCAGCTACTAACAACAGAACAAGAGAATCAATCAATCAACGCCGTCACAAGCCGAGGCACGACATCAATTATCCTAGGTTTTTGAATTCGAATACGCAGAGCCAACAGTATCAGTGCTACCTCGTTGCCAACTTTGTTGAGCGGAGTTGGCAACGGCCCAGTGTACGACAATACCCAATTGTGCTTTATATAAAGCGTCGCGTCTCAGAGACAGTAACGGGGAAAATTGGCCGAAGAGTAAGATTTGTGGTCTACCGTCGCGCGGAAAGAAACTCGCAGAATTGCCCTCCCTGAAAAAGGTCGCTGAGAGTCGTCGTCCAGCGGTTTTTGCTTCCGCTGATATTATCTTACCATATTCGCAATCGCTAAAATTAACCCTGACACAGTCTCACGGCACCAACCCCAGCTCCAGCGCAGCCGATCGCCAAGCCGCACCGAGACTGACCTATTGCGTTCGCAGGCCGTTTACCATATATACGCAGCCCGACCTACGCCAGAGCCCAGTGTGCTTTTGCTCACGGCATCGAAACTTGTTAACGTCCCTCCTCCTGAAAAAAACAAAAACAAAAAACCATTTCTTTCTATACGTACTCTTTTTGACATCGCAAGCCGTTGACCCCAGTGAAACTCGGAGCTTTAAACGCTCTTCAGCCGATCCTCGCTCAGTTAACTTCCACTGTTGCGTGCTCTTCCTTCGAACACAATCCTCCCTCCTCGAGCAAAGTCTGGCACGCAGGCCCTACTCTTTCACGATGTCATACACCACGGGACCTTCCCCCCTCTATGTGGTTCAGAAACCACCATACTCCATCGATGTGCCGGGTGCGCAGCCGGTCCCTGGCGAGACAATCCCCCGCCGTCATCCCAAGGCCCGTGACGGCCTGGTTGAACGCCCAGCTCCCGACGTCGACAACGTCTTCTCTCTCATCCGCCGCTCGGTCAACAAGTACACAAATGAAACCGCAGTTGGCAGCCGCAGTTTCATCCATATCCACAAGGAGGTCAAGAAGGTTCCCAAGGTTGTCGATGGCGAGGTGCGCCAAGTCGACAAGGAGTGGTCGTTTTTTGAGCTCTCCGACTACTCTTACCAGACCTACGGTGATTACTTCCAGCAGCTCCTAAAAGCAGGTAGTGGCCTGCGCCGTCTTGGCCTCGATCGTCAGGACAAGCTGCATATCTTCGCCTCCACCAGTCTCCAATGGATGACGCTAGCGCACGGTTGTGCTTCGCAGTCGTTGGCCATCGTGACTGCGTATGACTCGCTGGGAGAGTCGGGCGTGCAGCACTCGCTGACTCAGACGGGTGCTGTCGCAATGTTCGTTGACCCCCATCTTCTCGACACGGCATCTGGCCCCATCGAAGCGGCTTCCGGCACTGTCCGCTACGTTATCTACAACAATCTCAGCCACCGGCCTGTGCACCCTGACCAGATCGATAACTTTCGTCGGAAGCACCCCAACGTGCGCGTTTTGAGCTTTGACGATCTTATCGAACTCGGCACCGATGCGGACGGCAAGCCCGCCTTGGCTCCAGATGTCCCATCGCCCGATGATCCATTTTGCATCATGTACACGTCGGGCAGTACAGGCCTTCCCAAGGGTGTGCCTGTGACCCATGCTGGTCTTGTGGCGGCCGTTTCTGGCCTCTACTCGGTCGTCGAAGAATTTGTTTCTCATCGGGACCGTGTGCTAGCGTACCTACCGCTGGCGCATATCTTCGAGTTGGTGTTGGAGAACCTGGTCTTCTTTATTGGCGGCACGCTGGGCTACGGCTCTGCACTCACGCTTACAGACACATCCATGAAGACGGGCTGCTTAGGTGACCTGCGGGCCTTCCGCCCCACGATCTTGGTGGGCGTGCCACAGGTATGGGAGACGGTTCGCAAGGGCGTAGCCGCGGGCGTCGATAACGCGAGCATTATTGCCAAGTCCTTGTTCTGGGGCCATCTGACCTTAAAGAAGGTTCTTATGCAGCGTGGTCTGCTCTTTGGACCCGTTGCATCCGCTGTCGAAAAAATTGACAACGTCGTCTTTGGACGCGTGCGCACATCTACTGGTGGCAACCTGCGGTTCATTGTCAATGGTGCAAGCGGAATCTCCAGAGATACCAGACAATTCCTATCGCTGGTTGTCGGCCCCATGATGGACGGTTACGGCCTCACGGAGACCTGTGGCAACGGCGCTCTTGGCTCGCCGCTGCAATGGACCGAGACCCCCACTGGTGGTAACATCTCGTCCGCCATCGAGGTCAAACTCGTGGGTCAGCCTGAGCTGGGCTACAACGCCAACCCCACCCCGGACAGCGGCGAGGACCCGCACGGTGAGGTGTGGATTCGCGGCAAGGCCGTTGCGTCCGAGTACTACAACAACCCGGCGGAGACGGCCAAGGCCATCACGGCGGACGGCTGGTTCCGCACGGGCGACATTGGTGCTTTCGACCGCCACGGTCATCTCCGCATTGTCGACCGCCTCAAGAATCTGATCAAGATGCAGGGCGGCGAATACATTGCGCTTGAGAAGCTCGAAGCCATCTACCGCGGCGCGACGGCCGTGCAGAACGTTATGATCTACGGCGATTCAGAGCACTCGCGGCCTGTGGCCGTTATTAGCGTGAATGAGAAGGGCCTCGAGGCGCTGGCCAAGAAGAACGGCATTACGGTCGGCGGGGGCGGGAGCGCGATGGCGCTGCACCACAACCCCAAGGTGCGCGACCTGGTGCTTAAGGAGCTGCTGAGCGTGGGCAAGGTGGCCGGTCTGTCGCCGATCGAGACGGTGCAGGGCGTCGCACTGGTCGACGAAGAGTGGACGCCTGCCAGCGGCTTGGTCACTGCTACGCAAAAGGTGAACCGGCGCAAGATCACGGAGACGTACAAGGACGAGATCAACAAGGCCTTTGCTGGCAAGTAGGGGGGCAAAGAAAAATGTCGGCAGAGACTTGCTGCTGCATTTCAATTGGGGATTGTATTTTGATTATTATGGGCCTTACTACGTCTTTTTCCTTCTTCTGTCCTTCCTCGTCTTTGAATTTTTCTTTGCGCGATCAACTCGCCGATCACTTCGGTCAAACGTCCAGGGTTCGTCTTTTGCCAATGAGTTTTCAGCATTTTGTAAGGTGGCTTTAGAGACGAGCTGCATGTTCGTCGACAGATGACCACTCGGCTCTACAATATAGTATTACAAGTACAAATCCGAGGGCGACAAAGACCCAAGACAAGACACACGAGAGACAACATGCGAAAAAAGGTATGAAAGCCCAAGTTAAATCAAATGTTTAAAAGCAAAGACACTCGCTTCATTTCGCTCATGGTATCGTGAGGGATGCAACATATATGTGAACAAGGTAGAACAGAAGAAGGCAAGAAAGAAGAAGAGAAACAGGAAAACCGGTAAAGGTCGACAAGTGAAAACTACACCACGCATCATATGCTCGACTATACCCGCCTCTTGTAGAACACCATGTAGGCGCTTGCGCCACCGCTCTGGTTGTCCCGGTAGAGGCGCCGTGCCATGTCGCGGCTGTCGTTGCTGCCGATAATGACGGGCTCGATGCGCGCATCGTCAAAGTGGTGCCACTGGTTTGCGTCGGCCGCGCCCTCGTCCTTGATGAACGAGCGGTAGTGGCCTGACTTGAGAGTACCGCTGTGCACGATGACGGCGTAGCAGTCGTAGATAAAGGGCGCGCAGAACTGCTGTTCGGTGCGGCTGGGGCCGTCCACGAAAATGCCGTCGGCCGCCTGGTCTTCGGGCGCCGTGATGCCCTGCATGGTGTATGGCGTCATGTCGAGGCCGTTGATGGGGAAGACCACGGCCGTGTTGTTCTTGCGGAAGCCGTAGTGCTCGTTGCCCTGGAAGCGGCGGAAGGAGACGCACAGGATGTCGGGGAGGCGCACAAGACGTACGCGCTTCTCGGTCGTGTCGATGCGCCGGCATTGGTCGCACTTGTACTCGTCCAACAAATCGGCGCTGCAGTACTGGGCCAGCAGGTCGGCCATGGTGGTGGCGGTGGACGCGGCATTGGGTGGGATGGGTAGGTGGATGGCGTCAAAATGCTCGTACGTCAGCGACGGGTGGCCACAGGCGCGGCAGCGGCGGTCGGTGACCTCGACACCGCGCCAGTACTTGTCGACCAGGCTGTCGTTGTACTTGCGGTACTCGTTCCAGTACAGCAGCGCGTTGCCCAGCGCCGTACTGCGCGGGCCGAGTGGAGGCTGCTGCACCTCGCCTGTGTGGTCACGCAGCCGGTTCGTTTCGTCGTGCAGGTTCTCAAGCAGGAACGAGATGAACTCTTGTGCGTCCTGCTGGTAGGGCCCGCCGAAGATCATGCTTCGGTCGGTCTTGATGCTGCCGTCGAAATCGCGCGAGTGTATGTGGTAGCAGTAATCCTAAATGGTCAGTACTCGTTGAGCAGGAAGAGATACCGCACGACGGATAGCAAAAGCACAAGGAGGCACATACCATCAGTGTCTTGGCTTTCATGGCCTCAAACTTGCCGTACTGCATCCAGTGGAACGAGTTGGCGAGAATCTTGGCCAGCAACTGCGGGTGGCTAATCTTCTCATCGGCCTTCATAGGCACCTTCCAGTTGCTCAGCCACTCGCTCGTTGTGAGCTCCTCGGCAAAGGGCCCCGACGCAAACATGGACTGGAACGAGCTGTTTCCATAGCACCAGTTGCCCGGGTTGTAGAGGCCGACCTTTTGCCGCCGGATGCGGCCGCCCCCCGTCACACCAGCCTTGGCCAGTTTTGTGCGCATGTAGTGGTCCTCATCGTCTGCTTCTGCCACATCGTTATGTGTCTGCCGGGGTACTGTGGGTGGCGGGCGCGTAGGTGGCGCAGGGAGGGTAGAGTAGAGCGTTGCAGCTGCGGCGGCTGCAGCCGCCGGGGACGACTGGACCGGGGCACCCTTGTACTCGAGATTGGATCCGACGGTGGCACGCGACGATGGACGGTCTTGCAGCGGCGTGATGGTAAACGACTTGTCGGTGGCGGTGGGTGCGTGGAAGCCGATCTCGCTGTCATCTTGTGTTGTGGCTGGCGGCGTCGTCATCGACTCCTGGATGGCCGACACCGGAGGGAACCGCCGCAGAAAGTCATCGGTGGTCCGAACAAGGCCTGCCGACTTGTCCATGCTCTTCAGACTCTCCTCCCAGCGCTTGGCCTCATCCGCGTCTTGGATCGGCTTGGCCATGTACTTGGACTGCGGCCGCGTGAACGTATTCTGTCTGGGCCGCTGGGCTGCCCTCGCCGCCCGGAGTGCGGCTGCACGGCTAACTACACCTGCTGTCTCGGCTGAGGTCGAAGACGTCTGCAGCGAGTTCGGCCCCAGTAGTGAGATCCAGGCCTCGATGCCGCCCTTGAGTAGTTTCGGCTGGCCGCTGCTGTCGCTGTCAGATTGGTAGTCGTAGTAGGCCAGAGCGTCGAAGAACCCCGAGACGGCGCGGTCGACTTCCGACGACGGCTTGCCATTGCGGACGATGGCCTCCGAGTAGTTGTCGTAGAAGACGATTAGATCGGCGTCGCTGCGCCGGTCGAATTGCCGCTTCTCTGAGACAGGGGCCAGTACCATGCTGTCGGCGATCTGGCTGGCGGAGATGTCCTCGCGCTGCAGCACGTCGGATTCGACGCATATTGTGGCCTGCGACATGATGTGGCCCTCGTCAAACTCTTCGCGGCTGCGAATGTCGACGAGAAGCAGCTGGACGTCCTTAGCACCAGCCTGGATCAGTTTGAGCAGGTCCTCCGCGTCGATCGTGTCGCCGTCGGGGATGGCAATACGGGGCCGTCTCGGCGGCGCAGAGTCGAGGCTTGGCCGGGAGGACTGGCGCGAGTGGGTGTAGGGAGACGAGAAGTAGTCCTCTGCGGTCGATGCACCTGCTTTGCCCGTACCCACACCCGTCGCACCCGGGCCTGTTCCTGAGAACGAGGATAAGGAGTTCGTCCTGCTGTACAGGCCGTTACGGGGCGTGGTGGTTCCTCTCGGAGTCGTGTTGGGCATTGGGATCGGCTGGCTGGACACGCTGCCACGGGCCGGGCTGTAGATGGCTTCTGGGAGCTTCGGCAAGTCGGGCAGTGCGTGCACCAAGGTCGGATTGTTGGATTGGTTCATGGTCGAAGGTATGGGCTCAAAGCCTTTCAAGGGGAGCTGGAAGTTCTGGAACTGGTTGTAGATGTTTTGTTGGTTTTGGGTCGGGGTCGGAGTCTGCGTCTGTGTCTGCATCTGCGTCTGTAGTTGGGGTAGGGACTGGGACTGAGGTAGCGATTGGAGCGAGGACTGGCTTTGCGAGGGAGACGGGGTCGGAGATTGCTGCTTCTGCATGATCTGGAGATGGTGAAAGCTCGGATGGTTGATCGGCTGTGTGCGTATCCGGGGATCTTGCACGGGCTCTTTGGTCGGGGAGCTGGCCGTCCGCAGATTGGCAAACCGCTCGGCCAATTCTTGGGCCGTCTTGCCGCCTCCATTGGCACTCGCAGCAGCCGGCGGGGCCGACTTGTTGATTACGTTGCCGTGGAGAGCTTGCGGCTTCGGGTGGACCGCGGGTTTCGTCTTGGTCGCCGTTACCGGCACTGCCGGGGAAGGTCCGCTCGGCCGTGGCGGCACCGGCCCGTCGCCATTGAGTAGTCCGAGCGAGCCAGTCGCGCGGTGCCCGTTGGTGACACGGCCATGTCCGTTGACCTGCTCATTCTGCCGCGTCTGGGATGCTGCTTTAGCTGCAGACTTTGGCTGGACACCCGACCGCACATTGTCCTCCTTCACCTTGGCCTTGATCTCCTCGTATGCGGCACTGCTGGCACTGATGCGGGCCATGAGAGCATTGTAGCGCGTGCGAGCGCCCTTTTGGTCGGTCATGACAGACATCCAGGCGCTGTTGCTCGGTAGCACTTCGAGAAGGGCGATGCTGGCCAATATGTACTCCTTGAGGGCCAGGTCCAGACGGCCAAAGTCCTTCATGAAGTCGGCCTGCTTAATACATGACTCGGCGTATCCCAGCACCGTCTCGACGGGCGTCAGTGAGTCGACGCCCAGCGTGGCATGCTTGATGTCGTCAAAGTGCATGTAATTGTGGACCTTTCCCGTCGACGGCCCATTGGCGCCGGTGCCATTCGCAGCCGCCGGGCCAGGCCTGTAGCTGTCCGTCATGGCGGTCGGAGCAGAGGTTTTCAGGGCCAGTAACGCGTGTTGTTTGTGTCGGTATCGGTGATGGTGGTTCGTCGCTGCACCACCGTCGCCGAGACAGACGAGGTGGTGAGTGCCGTGATCCGGGACCCTCCCTCGTTTCGCTGCCGGGGACTGGTGCGGTGGAGTATGCGCGGTTGGAGGCGTGGGGGGGATGCCAGAGCCGTCTCACGACAGGTACATTTCGTGTCCAAAGCAACCCAATGGCAGGGAAGTCAACGAGTCGACGGATGGAAGGGTCAGGTTAGGAGGCTCGCATGCCCTCGGCAAAGTTGGCCTGTGATGGTGTGACGCAGCGGTTGCGCAAGTACGGAGTATGAGTATGCGTAAAATATCCCTTATAGACTGCTGCGATCTTGAAGCACATCGACGCAGGAGTGGGCAGTGTCAGATGTTCGATTGGGCGGTGGACGATCGATTGCGAGGCGTCAAAGAAAGAGGCTGTTTTGCCGGTGTTTATGAGTAGTGAAGCGCTGCTGACGACAGATGCAGATTTGAGAGAGATTCCATCTGAAGAAGGAACGAGCCACGGGCATCGGGCGTGCTAATGCGCGGTGCCACCCCAGAAATAGAAGGCGGGGGCAGTTTGGAGGGCAGTTTGAGAAGGAAGGAACGGTGCGCCACGCCACTCGCATTGGGCCATATTGTCAAATCGAACGGCCTGTGGATGCACCTAAGCGTTACTGGCGTGCACTGATGCGGGCCCTGTCACAGGGCACTCTACCATTACAGCGCCCGCCACCACGAAACAAGCCGCCAGGAACGCCACGGCGTCGTCATTCTAGCGGGTCAAACGCCCCCTCTCCAGCAAAGGCCCAGGCAGCGAGATTCGAGGGCCCAACCAAGCTCGAGCCAATCACAGAGCTCAGCTTACGGTGCTGGCAACGGCAGGCGCTACGGGAGGCCAAGTACTCAGCATCCACTCCGCAGGCAGACTCCAGAGCTGAGGAAGGCACGCTGCAGCACGGCGGAGGAAGGTGGCAAGCAACCAGCAACTGCCAATTTGGAATCTGCCATCACCAACACTCCGAACCTCACTCGACCCTTTTGCATCCTTCGCCTCCCGACACCATCCCATTGTTTTGTCCATCGAGCGAGCGGTTGCTGGCTTTCTCTCCATCGACAACATACGCTGCGTCCTCGGCTCGCATTTCGTGCACGTCTCACCAAACAGGTTGTCTGTCGCACGTAAGATACGCCAGCCACCTGGATCTGCGAATTGCTTCACTTTCTCTCGACCTCCATACTCTCCGACGCACATCCCCTGTGCACCGATCAGTGTTGCTGTCCCCTGACGCGCGGCATTCTTTGTTCCCGGCGTCACCATGATGTCCTGGTGGTCTTCCGGGGCCAACACAGCCCTGGATGAGCAGATCGAGAAGGCGACCAGCAGCAGCCTGTACGCCATTTCCACACGCTTCCCCTGTTTTTTCTTGTTGATTCTTGCATCCCATAGTATGGCTCTCCGGCACTGCCATTGAATTTCCAAGCACTGACCGCAGCCTTCCACAGCGAGGACATTGCCCTCAATCTCGAGATCTCCGACGTCATCCGGTCCAAGACAGTGCAGCCCAAGGAGGCCATGCGCTCGTTGAAGAAGCGCATCGACAACAAGAACCCGAACACGCAGCTCAGCTGTCTGAATGTATGACCGGACATCCCGGCCTGTCATGATTTGTATCCTCTTCTCCCGTTTATTCGCAGACTAACGAAAAACCCTCCTGCCTCGCAGCTCACAGACACCTGCGTGAAGAATGGCGGCACGCACTTCCTCACCGAAATCGCTTCCCGCGAGTTCATGGACAACCTGACATCGCTGCTCAACGCAGCCGGGCCCGCCGCTATCAACCAGGAGGTCCGCAACAAGATCCTCGAGCTCATCCAGTCCTGGGCGTCGGCCACCGAGGGCCGCCACGAACTCGGCTACATCGGCGAGGTCTACAGAAAACTGCAGCGCGAGGGCTTCCAGTTTCCGCCGCGCACGACTGTGGCCAGCAGCATGATTGATAGCAGCGCGCCGCCCGAGTGGGTCGACTCGGACGTCTGCATGCGATGCCGCACCGCCTTCACCTTTACGAACCGCAAGCACCACTGCCGCAACTGCGGCAACTGTTTCGACCAGCAGTGCTCGACCAAGTCGCTGCCACTCCCCCACCTCGGCATCTTGCAACCCGTGCGTGTCGACGATGGCTGCTACGCCAAACTGACGGACAAGACGGGCCCTGGTGGCAGCGGTGGCGGCGGCGGCGGTGCAGGCAACACGTCCGTTGGCTTTTCGTCGCACCTGCCGCCCAAGACACAGTCGGCGATGCAGCCGCGCGACGCACGGGTTGAGGACAGCTTTGACGAGGACCTGAAGCGGGCCCTGGCCATGAGCCTGGATGAGGTCCAGAGCCACTCGCGGACATTTAACAGCCAGCCGGCGGCTCCCAGCAGCAGCAGCTACAACAGCGCTTCGAAGACGTCCAACAGCAAGTCTACCTCTTCGGCATACGGAGCCGTGCCAAAAGCAACGACGGCCACCGTGTCTGCGTCCACGACAAACGCGCACCAACAGACAACCTCTGGTGGCTCTGCGGAGGAGGAAGACGAGGACTTGAAGGCCGCGATCGCGGCGTCCCTTGCTGACATGGAGGAGCAGAAGAAAAAGCATGCGGCGGCTTTCCGCCAACAGACCGAGAGCGGCAGCAACGGCAGCGCGTCGACATCCGCGCCTTTTGTGCTGCCGAAGAACGACTATGAGCTCACGCCCGTCGAAGCCGAAAACATCAACCTGTTCTCCACGCTCGTCGACCGCCTGCAGACGCAACCGCCTGGCACCATTCTTCGCGAACCCCAGATCCAGGAGCTCTACGATAGCATCGGCACGCTGCGACCCAAGCTCGCACGGACGTACGGCGAGACAATGAGCAAGCACGATACCCTCCTGGACCTACACGCGAAGCTGTCAACCGTCGTCCGCTACTACGACCGCATGCTCGAGGAGCGCCTCTCCAAGGCCTATAACCAGCACAGCCTCGGCGGCTACAATATTCCTGGCCCTCGGCAGCAGCAGCAACAACCACCATCCATGCCCTACCCGTCGCTCCAGTCCTCGGCACCACCGATGCGTGCTGGCGGTCCTGCCGAGAACTTTTACACTAGTGAAGCCGCTGCGATACCCGACTATGCACGACAGATGGCTCAGGCCGGTGGCTATGGCGGCCCGCAGCCCCTCCAACCGCAGTACAGCGGGTATGACAAGCACGGGTCGATCTCCGGGCCATCTGTTGCCAACCCATACCCTGGCCAACCGCAGAGATCCGATAGCTGGCGGAACTCAGTCGCACCCGGCCAAGTGCCCCAAGGGTACCCCCAGCAACAGCAACAGCCACCGCAACAGCAGGCCCAGGCACCACAAGGGTATCTCAGCAACGACCCATCGGCTCCCGGCGCACCGAGTGCACCACCCGATCCGCTTGCGTCGACTCCCTCTGCCGATCCGAACGCCTCGTACTACTTTAGCAACGCCAACGCCACACCTGGCCAGGTGCCCCCTCAGCAGCAACAGGCCCAGCCGTCCCAGCCTTCCCAGCCCACACCGCCCATACAGCCGCAGCAAACCGGCCCGGCCAGCGTACCGTCCGATCCTGCCGCAACATCGCCCTACCCGACTTTGCGACAGCCGTCCGCGTACCTGGCCTCCGTCCCCCAAACACCGGCCACCACTGCTTCGGTTCCTGTCCAGCAGCAGCAGGCCCCCACTCAACAGCAACAGCCACCTCGGCAGCAACAATCACCTCAGCAACAGCAGCAGCAGCAGCAGCACCAGGCACCGACCGCTCCGTACTGGTCTCACCCAGCTTCGCAGCACCAGCAGGTGCCGCAGCAGTTTACTTCCGGCCCGCCGCAACCTCTTCAACAGCAACCTCCTCAAGCCTCCTGGTCGCAGGTGCCTAACAATGGCTACAACAACTTTGGTGCGCAGGAGAGCTTCCCGTCGGCGCCGCAGCATGTGCCACAGCAGCCTGTGGTTGAGGAGGCTCTGATTGAGCTGTGAGGGGAGTGGCGTGGTAGAGTGCGACGTGTGATGGGGGCGAGTTGATGTTTACTTTGTTGGGGTTTTTACCTCTGTGCCTCTCTCTTGTTGTTACGTTTTCCTCACTATTCTTGTATCTGTCTTGCTTTTTTGTGCGATTTCTGTTTGTAATGGTAGTCGTTTCCAGTCTCTTTGATTTGCGTTCCGCTCTCTGTCTCTCTCTTTTTCTCTTTTGAGCTCATCCAACTTCTTTATACATACCCCAGTCCCAATACAATACATTTCATTGCTCAATATTTCAGTTCACGAAAGTTATCTCAATACGTTGAAATATTGCTCGAAAGTACCTTTTCGGATCCCTTCTTGGCCCGCCTTGGAGTCGGCCCTCGCCCCGGGTGTCGTTTCCACCGGAAAAAGTCACTGCAAATATAAATTCTCCTTCCGTGGATATAAGAGTGACGTATATATCCCGCACCTTAGATAGGAATCCCCATTGCGATAAAGTAGACATAAAGATTTAATTAGCAAGGCCTCTCCGCATCTTCAAGACCCACGGCTATGGAGGGCAAGGCTTGGACCATGGATGACTGTAGGCGACGGCCCCGAATCGACTTGTTGAACGACTGACTCGCAATATTCGGTTCGCTCCTTATTGACATCTACATTTTATGTGGCAGTCGTGGTCGTCAAATCTTGAGATATCGCCTTCGTTTTGAAGCCTGCAGTCTAATCTCGAATTTGTCACTTGTTCTCGAACCGCATTTGCAGAGATGCTGCGGTCCAGCTTGCCTCACCGGCCACTGGCCAGGCTGGCCTTTACCTTTACAGTTCTTGTTACACTCAACCTTTTCATTGCGCCCCATTCCGTCCATGCGCAGTTGCTGGGCCGTGTTGGACCAACGACATCGACAGCCGCCAAGCGCGCAGCCAAGGTTTGCAGCGTTCTCGACCACGGCGCCACTGCTAGCAAGTCGTCCGACATTGGTCCCGCACTCGTCGCGGCATTTGCTGCTTGCAAGACAGGCGGCACAATCTATGTACCGCCCGGTGAGTATGGCATGTCGACGTGGGTGAGCCTCAGTGGTGGCCAGGGCTGGGCACTGCAGCTGGACGGCATTATCTACCGAACGGGCACCGCCGGCGGCAACATGATCTATATCGAGAAGGGCAAGGACGTCGAGATTTATAGCAGCACGTCGCAGGGCGCCATCCAAGGCAACGGTTTCGAGTACCACAAGGACAACAAGAACGGCTGCCGGATCCTGCGCCTGGCGCACATGCAGGACTTTTCGGTCCACGATATTGCGCTCGTGGACTCGCCGCTATTCCACCTGTTTATGGACACGGTGACCGACGGAGAAATATACAACATGATCATTCGGGGCGGTAGCAAAGGTGGACTAGACGGCATCGACGTGTCCGGTTCCAACGTGTGGCTGCACGACATCGAGGTGTCGAACCGAGACGAGTGTGTGACAATCAAGGACCCGTCACAGCACATGCTCATTGAGAACATATACTGCAACTGGTCAGGCGGTGAGTCTGACGGTGATCTGCTGGTCAATACATCTTTTCTGTGGTAGCTAACAATGTCCAGGATGTGCCATGGGGAGTCTCGGCGGAAGCGCTATCGGTAAGACTATCCGCGTCACTTAGTGTAATATCCCAGTCGGGTAGATGATGACGATTAACACGTAACTCGAACCGTAGACATTCATGATATTCGCTTTGACAAAGTCTACTCAGCCAACTGCAACCAGATGTTCATGATCAAGTCCCACGGTGGCGGCGGCACCGTGCGAGACTGTTCGTTTAGCAATTTTGTCGGGCGTCACAACGCCTATACGCTCGACATCGATGCCAACTGGTCGCAGCTCAAGAAGGCAGCGGGCGACGGCGTTCTCTTCCGCGACCTCAACTTCACTGGCTGGCACGGTTCGTGCAGTGACGGAAATCGGCGTGCGCCTGTCAATATTGTGTGTCCGGATGCAAAGCCTTGCTTTGGAATCCGTGTGAGCGATTTTGCGGTGTGGACGGAAACAGGATCGCGCGAACTGTACAAATGCGCAAATGCATATGGCGAAGGCGCATGCCTGAAGGGAGGTGCAGCTGCAGGTGGAGGATCGCTGGATGGCTACGCTGTAACGACGATGACGGTGCCATCGGCACCGTCGGGCTGGAATGCGCCGACCATGGCAGCCGATCTCACGACTCTGGGCTTGTCTAGTAGTATTCCGATTCCGGCGGTGCCGACCAGCTTTTTTCCTGGTGAGACGCCGTACAGCAAGTTGATGGGCGGTGCTGCAGCATCTGCAGCAGCAGCAAAAGACCGGCAGTGATGCATTTTGTGGTTGGTTGGTCTTGTTTTTGTCAGTATTCTGTTGGTTGTCGTCTAGACAAAGAACATCCGGATTGGGCACTCTTGGTGCATCAACGAACACGGCCTCTTCTTTGTTAGCTCTTCAATACCGAATGCAGTAGTTTTTTATTGTAAATTATACATAGGAATAAATTTGATGTAAACGCATTTTTCACGTTTGTGATTGACCCAGATATCTTGTTGAAAACAAAAACAAAACAGTCAACGACATGAGTATCGCACATATTTGTTAGATTTTGAATTCCACCATTTGAACCAACTTACCAGTTATCGCCCTCACAATTCATAAAATGGGCAAAGAGCCGTCGTTTGATGTCGTCCTCGACGACCAGCTGGACTACACGTATGTGCCACAGGTCACGATTGCGACGCGGGCGGCCGCTGCCGAAGAGAGAGCGACTCTCCGGTTTCTCGAACGCTGGACCGAGAGAGGCGGTATCTCGCGGGACGGTGCCGACGATGAGGACGAAGACGACGACATTGGCGACCGCTTTCGCGATGACGGACGGTACCTCGCCAACGAAAACCGCGACATCACCCGGCTGCTTGACAATGTGCGCCGCATCCACGCCAATGACCCAAACGCGCCGGATCTGCCCACGGGCCACAAGATGGTGCTGCTGGACCGGGCACGGCGCGTGAAATTTGGGTACGTCAAGCCCCCGCCCCAGACGCTGGTAGGGGGTCTCGACGGCGGTGTCAACACTTGTGTGTACCAAAGAAGGCGAGTGCGGCCGGGCGAGGACGACGCGTTCTCTCTTCGTCGGGCCCCGGCCGCGAGAACATCGATCGCACCTCGCCACCGTGCCGACACAGGAACCGCATGCGTCGGCGTGCTTCCGGATACTATCATCACGGCCCGGGTGCCGCGGCCTGTCACGGGTCGTGGAAGCGGCGTAGCCAAGAGGGGCTCGACCACCAAGACCAACAAACGAAACGCACGTCTGCAGCGAGAGCTCGCCGAGTATTTGCTTCGACAGCCGGCGGCAAATACTGTTCAAGTGGCCGTGCGCGGCAAGTGATTAAGAAGGCCGACAGTTCAGAAGCAACCGGGCACTGTTTCAGGTGGTGCAGCCGATATCGAAGCATGGAATGCGGTGTCGTGCCGTTGTCGGATGACGGCATTTTGAGTACATGTTTGGAGGCCTGAAGTCGATTTTGAAATAGGGGGAGGCAAACAACAGAGTCCCAAGGCGTACCTGCCGACATAAACTATGGACATCATTTATTGAGGAAGGTGCAGATGTGTTTTGCAGGTGACACAAGTGAAAGTGCAAGTGGATGGCGCGAGATGGCGGACTGACCCAAAAAGGAAACTACGACTTACAGTATTAGTTTTGGCTGCGCTGCCCGTTCCTGAACGGTGGAATTTCCCGTTAAGTCTCTAGGCCTCGACCGGCCGCAAATAGTATGCTATTACGTGTTGTTTGCCATTCTGCTGCCAATTGGCAAGCTGCAATTGACTCACTTTTGCACGTGGGCGACCGTAACGACGCCGTGTCCGGAGGCAATTAGGCGGCTGTGCCTTTCGCGCATACATTCGCACCTTCCTGACCAGCCTGAGCGGTGTTTTACGGCCGTCGTTCGGAGGTGTCGGTCATTCCTACCCGAAAGGCGAATGCTCGCCCGCATTGGCTCTCGCTGTTTCCATTCTTGTTATTTTCTTATTTCCTTTCTTCCTTCCGGTTTGGTCTTCTGTCCCACGATCTCGAATTTCCTCCCAACTGCGACGCAATACCTCCCAAACCGCAACCACGACAATCTTCGTGACGCAGCCTCCGCTTCACCGTGACACCCACCTCAGCGTCCCCCGGACAAATTCTACACTACCCCACACGTCACCAGACTTCACCCGACGTTACCTCAAACTCCCACCATGGTTGTCATCGACTTTGTGCGCCATGCGCAGGGCTTCCACAACTTGTGCTCGGACAACCTGAAGATGCCCGACCCGCTGCTGACGTCGCTCGGCGAGGAGCAGTGTGCCACGCTGCAGCAGGTCTACGGCGCCGACAACCACGCCAAGGTGCGTTTGCTGGTGTCTTCACCACTGCGCCGCACGCTGCAGACGACGCTGCTGTCCTTTGCGCCCGTGTCGCAGCGCGGCGTCCGTGTGCTGGCGGTGCCCGAGCTCCAGGAGGTGTCGGCCATGCCCTCGGACGTCGGCACACCGCGTGCGGTGCTTGAGAAGCAGACCGACCTGTTCCCTGCTGACAGGGTCGACCTGTCGCGGCTGCACGTTGGCTGGACGAACAAGGGTCCCGGCAGCCCGTACGCGTTTGCGCTGCCGGTGCTGGCGGCGCGGGCCAAGTCGGCACGGCGGATTCTGCGGGACCTGACCAAGGACCTGGGCGCCGACGACCGCGTCGTGGTGGTGACGCATGGCGGGTTCCTGCATTTTCTCACAGAGGACTACGAGGGCGTGGACCCGGGTCGGGGCACGGCCTGGAAGAACACGGAGTGGCGGTCGTACGAGTTTGTGAGTGAGGAGGACGACAACGTGTCGCTCAAGGAGACGACCGAGAGCGTCAAGCGGCGGGCGGGCTCGGAGGCGGGTCTAACGACACAGGAACAGATTGAACTGGCGGCGGTGTACCACGGGTTCCTGGCGTCGGAGCAGGCCCACTGGCCGAAGCCGCGCCCCGAGGACATTCGTGACTACGAGACGGCGTTGAGTGAACCACAGGAGGTGGACGTGGCTGCATAGACGCGGGGGACAAGGGCTCGAGGAGCTTGAAGGACTTGCGATGCGACGTTCTTTGAGGATCGGCTGGGAGTCCAAAGCGACGTCGTCAAATGGGGAGATTTGTACAATACAACAGAGACGGCCCTTTGACGTATTGCGTTCGACGACAATAGAACAAGTAGAAAATAAACAAAACGTATCCGAGCCTTTGCTTTGGTCCTTCAGAGGCCACCTGCTGCGCCGTGCCATTGCCCATGTTATGTTGCTGGAGCTCAATATCACGAAATACGACACAATTTGCCGTGCTCCGTCGTCGTCGACTAATGCAGTTTGGCCTGAGGCTGAGAGTGGTACGAATGTATTAACTGTCCATTTTGGGTCTGGCTTCTGCCGGACGACGTTTGCATTTATTTACGGCTGGTATGTCCGTGTGGCCGATCGAATGCTTTCTCTTGACGTTCTGTTTCGCTTTATTCAATATTCCAATCACTGACCACGACCTTTTCATTGGTCTGTGTTGTCCCCTCCATCTTTCCTTTTTTAGTTTTTCTTCGCGCGTTTCAAGACGGCAGGCGCGACGCCGGGCCTTGCTCTGGCTTCTCCAAGATTTTGCAGGTTTGCTTGTGTCGTATGGTCTTCAGCTGAGTCTTCCGTTGCCAAAGGCCGCTCTTTGCCGTTCTCTGGCCCTGACTGGCCTGCCAGTGCTCACCCACACTGTTTCGTCCCTGGTCGCGGTGTGGCCCCCCTTTTTTCCTCTCTCCAATAAACAGCGCGGCTGCCAAATCTCCCGCCAGGGCCCACTCCCCGGTCCCTCCTTCCTTCTTCTCAGGGACCAGGCGCTGGCCAATCAGCAACCTGCATTGGATGTTTCAACCAGTCGCAGATTCCCAAAACAGGACTAGCGTCAGGTCCATCCTCTCTTTTGTAGACAACAACAACGATCTTCTTGACGAACCCTTTTCTTCTCCTCTTTTTTTCCATTCCACCCCTGACACCCGCGCTTCGCTGCAGGCCGCAGGAATTGAGACGCCGGCCTCTTTTATCCGTTTCTCCTTTCTTTCTTCCTATTCTTCAACTCGTTTCTTCGTTTGTCCATCCCGTTCACTCACAGTCGCACTACCCACTTGCCCATCTTGGCAGTTGTAGGCCGCAAGGCCCTCTTCCACGTCTACGGAGGTACTTCTCTCGTTCTCTTCGCCGCCATCGCAGGACAAATGGCGCCGTGGGGACCGTGGTCAATGGCTCGCGGGTCCTGAGCTTGGCCCCGATCCTTGAGTTGCTGGCATCGAGTTTTGCGAATTGGGTTGACCGTTTTTCTTGCTTTGAGGTCTTGTTATGTACTGTGTGTCTTTGCTCCGTGCTGCAGAGCGAGTCTTTTGAACGCCGGGGATCCGTCTGTGGCCTGTTCTTCATCTCCTTGTGTCTATCAGTTGCTTGTGTACTTCATACATCCGTATGTTGTACGACATACGGAGTACACGACGTAATATATATCTTGATCCGTTCCTGCATGCGTCCCGCTTTCTTACACCCCTGTTAATCCCTGCTCCAAAACCACCATGGAGAGGAAGGCCCTATACCTCATCCTGTCTCTTTTGCTTGTTTCCTCTGGCCTTTTGTCTGCGATCCTGTCAGCGTGTGTCGTCCCGGTTCTGTTTCGCCATTGTTCATCTGTCGCTGGTCGCATCTCCGGCGTCTCTTGCGGCTCACGTCTTCCCTCCGGGCATTCTCTTTTTGTCTCCGTCCTCTCATCGTCTCACATCCAACCAAACACCGCTGTGGCCTCGCTGAGCGTGGCCGCTTTCGTCCGGATTCGACGTAAACGCCCATTGGTATCATACCGGCCTCCAACTCCTCTTTGAATTTTTATCTATGGCCGGCTGTCTTCAAATCCAAGCACGGAGAGCCATTCACTTTCTTGTGCCTGCCCTGCCTCTCGTTCGGAGCTATCTTTGTTTCTCTGCACTTCTTTTCTCCTGTCGATCCGGCGCTTGTCAACAATTGTCTGGGACGACTTAAAGAGAACAAGCATCGTCGACAGTCATAAAGCGTTCTTAAGGCTCGTCCTCTGCACTCTATTCTTATTTATTATTTATTATTACTTTGCGCACACTCACAGTCACCCTCGATTCCGAAAACTCATTTTGCCTCAGCGGCAGTCTCGCGTTCCGTTCCTCTCCCTGGCTCTCAATTCGGAGTACTGTCGGCGACGTAATTCCTCCCTTCCCTCCCTTCTGTCGATCAGACGCCCGCCACCGTGATCTACTGCACATCCTCGTCCAACAGTCCGCAAAACCGTCCATTATTATCAACAAAAAGGACGACCTTCTGCACACTAGCTGTTCTTCCCTTTGCATGGCCGTTCCCACGTTCCTTGGTCCGTCTCATACTTTGCGTCCGCATCTGCATTGAGTCCACGTTTGCATTACGCATTTTTCGTTTTGCATGCTGCATTTGGCTCAGTGACCGGGCTTCCAGCTGCAGACCGACCCAGAGGTCCACTGTTGATCGCCTGTCTTTCGGACTGCAACTTGCCCTGGCCCACGGATTGTGAACGCTGGTCGTTTGCCGTTCCCTCGTCTTCATCATTTGCTTTTTGTACCCCTCCGCATCCTCTGACACTGACGGGGGTCTGGTAGCGTTTCTGCGTCTAAACCCCCTGGCCACCTCGGGCCTGACCAGGGCCACTTTCTCCCCTATCTCACTGTGTGTGCACGCTCTTTCGCCCTGTGCCCACTCCTCTCATCTTTCAACCGCTTCCCTCGCACTCACTTTCTTCCTCTCTTCTCTCCACGCATCGTCGCTTCGACCTTCACATTGTTTCGTTGTGTCAACGACGTCTTTTGTCCTGAGTCTTTGCAAAGACGAAGAGACATCCTCCTTTCGCTACTCTCCGCTCTGCTTTCGATTTTTTTGTTGTTGTTTTGTTGCTTCACTCCTTTTTGAGTGTAATTTTGACGGCCGGCCCGAGTTTCTCTTGTTTTCTCACATCGACATCGACATCGACATTTATCAAACATTTTTTTTCGACAGAAACTGTGTTTCTTCTCCGTCCGTTCTCTTTCGATATTCCCTCTTTTTGGATACCCACCTTTTCTTCGTCTGTTCAACTGAGTTGAGACGAGTCCAACTCTGCCAGTCTTTATTACATCAAGGGATATATACGATCTCTATATACCATTACATACCGCATCGACACCGATCACCCGGCATGCTCGCAATATAGCAGCTACGTCTTGTCCCCTACCTCGCCATACGTCGAGTCTCTTTACATCATCCTCTCGTTTCCGTCACATCGCCACGCAATGGGCTTCTTAAGCCACGGAAACAAGGCCGATGTCCGCCCCGAGCAGAAATGGGACTACATCGGCCTCAACGACTTCAAGTCGTCCTCCTGCTTCACGCCCCTCGCCTACGCCTACCTCTACTTCTCGCTCGGCCTATCCATCGCTGTCTACGCCGTCGATACGTTTACTGCCGTCAACCTGCTCGTCTTCGACCGTTGGTCGTCCGAGATCACACCCACGCAGCTCATCTCCTTCACGGCCTCTAAGTGGATATTTTCGATATGTATCATCCTGTCCGTCGTCAATCTCGCGTACGAGCACATCCGTGCCATGCGCATCATGCGCCGTGGCAGTGTCGCCGAGTGCTACCTCGACAGCCTGGCTGTGCGCCTGGAGAGTGTGCGCTGGGGCAAGGGCCAAGGCTGGAAGCGTTTCCTGGTGTTCGCCGAGCTCACCAAGAGCAAAAAGGGCGCCGAGTACATTGCGCTCTTCACCTACTTCAGCTTCCAGAGCTGGATCCGTGTGCTGCTGTGCTCGGGCCCGCGCCAAGCCGTCAATGCCTTGACTCTGCTTTCTGTGTACAACGCGCAACTATCTGCGTCGGGCGACAATGTGGGCAACACCATCCTCGACTTCTTCGACAAGATCCGCACACTGGCCGAGGGCGACTACCGCGAGGCCGTCATCCTGTCTGGCATGCTCTTCACGCTGATCATTTGGGTCTTTTCCTTCCTGTCGCTGCTGCTCGCATTCCTCTTTTTCGTCTTTTTCCTCTGGAGTTACATTCCGCGCTCCGACGGCGGCCTGTCGGGCTACTGCTCGCGCAAGATTAACAAGCGGCTCATGAAGATTGTTGCCAAAAAGGTCAATACGGCCCTTGCCGAGGAGGAGCGTCGCCGCAAGAAAGCCGAGCTCAAGGCCGCCATCAAGAACGGCGTGCAGCCACCCACCGAGCTGACCGCCACCATTCCCAACGTTGGCGACGACAACAAGTTGCCGATGATGCCACAGCTGCAGCGCAGCGAGACGATGGCGAGTATGGCCACGCTGCCGCCGTACACGTCCCGGCCCGGTACCGCCACCGGTGGGTTTGGCGGCAAAGGTCCCACCAACGGCAGCACCTTTGAGCTCAATGCCCTTGACCAGAAGCCACGGCCCAGGATGCCACCTTCGCGCTCCGACACGATGGCCTCCATGTCCACCATGGCTGCATCTACGCCAACCAATGGCGCAAAATTTTCGACCCGCGCGCCTTTGCTTGGCTACGCCGCCGAACCGGGTCGATCGTCTTCACCTACGCCGTCACTACCGGAACTGGGAGACGGTCTGCCTAGTGGTCTGCCCAGCGGACGTCCTCCAATGCCATATGGTCAGGGCCCGGGCCCGGGTCCGGGTCAGCTCAATCGGACTAACACGGGCGGCTCCATGCCGTACGGCAACATGCGCAACAACAGCCGCAACGGCAGCTTCTCGTCCATCTCCAACAACCAGGGCATGTATCCTGGCCAGGGCTCGATGCCTCAGATACCACCCCCTGCCCGGTCGCCCGCAGGTTATGGCTACAACCGCAACAACAGCAGCAGCAGTATCAACGACATGCCGTCCACGGACCTTCCATATGCCAATAGCCACAGCAATGGCCAGCCGGGCTCGCAAGATTTCGGCTACAACAATGTCAAGGCCAACGGCCGAAACAATTCGCTGTCGGGCAACGGAGGTCCTCGCTATGTTGCTTACCGTCCGGACGAGGGTGGTAATATGGGCCGCGTCAGCCCTGCACCGTCTGCTCGTTCCTATGGCCCTGGCCCAACGGCGCCTGGTGGAGGTCCTGCTGGTCCTGGCCTTAGCTCGCCCCTGCGCAGCGCTACCAACCCGTACCCGGTATCACCACGGACGTACGGTGGCGGTCCGCCTCAGCGCAACATGACGGCGCCCATGCCGCAGATGGGCCAAGTCACGCCCGTTGCTCAGAATGGCCCCAGCAGCAACTTCGGCTACGGCCACGGCCGCCAGATTTCCGAAGAGAGTTCGTACAGCTCGTACTTCAATGAGCGTCCCACGACAGCGTCGAGCCAGCGGGGTGCCGGTGTCGGCGTGGGCGGCGGTGTTGCGCCCCCCAGACGGCCCAGCTATGGCAACAACACTGGTGGCAGCAATGCGTGGAACAGCGATGTTGAGTCACAGCGTTGGCGGTCCTAAGCGTACCCTGAGCATTTCTCTTTCTATCTTTCATGTCTTCATATGGTATCTTGATGCTCTTTGATCTTTTGATCATTAACATAAGCGAATTGTCCTTACACCCAACCATTTACTCTCCGTCTTATTTCCTCATGTCTATTTACCATCTACCTTGGTATATTTCATATTTCTTATTCCGAAAATAGTTACACGGATTGCATGGGCTTGCAGCCGGCTCGAATTGACATCATGACCGTGTTGATGAGATTCCCCATGGTGTACGACGTTATCCTGCGTAAAGCGCTGAACAGCGTAAGCTCAATTGCCCTGTGTGCCCTGTAAGTGCCCCGATTTGACACGGCAGTGGGCTCACTTACACATAACTGCTGAATGTCAATAGTGGAAGAATTGGCCAATCGTATGCTACGAAATACTTAAGCTTCCCCACCTCGAACACCTTCAACGTAAGATACATCACGTGCACAAGACCCACAATGCCTCCAGGCCGCACCTTCCCAATGGGTGAGGCACTTGGGAGCTCCAAAATTTTTGTTCTTGCCCAGTGGTACTGTAGCCCGAGTGCCTGCCATCGCTGTCGAAAATTTGCGGCTGCAAGAAAATCAAACTATTTTGGGCCTCTCTTTTCTCCTTCCTCTTCCCTCCTCCCTCCTCTTTCCCCCTCTCCCCCTTCTCTACCAACGCGGCCTTTTTATTTTAGGGCACCGTCATCTCTTCTCTCTGTCTCCTTTTTTCGTTTTCTTTTCGCACATCCTTCACAATGGTCGCGACCACCTTCCGGACGCTGGCGCCGTTCGTGCGGTCGGCCCGCGTCGTCCTGCGGTCGCCCAGCACGAGCCCGTTGGCCGCTCTGCAGCGCAGCGCCGCCAAGCCGTCGCCGGTCCTGAGCTTCTGCCGCAGCTACGCTGTGTACGAGCGCACCAAACCCCACGTGAACATTGGCACGATTGGCCACGTCGACCACGGCAAGACGACGCTGTCCGCTGCCATCACGAAGCGCCAGGCCGACCGAGGCATGGCCAACTTCCTCGACTATGGCTCCATCGACAAGGCCCCCGAGGAGCGCAAGCGTGGTATCACCATTTCGACTGCCCACATTGAATACTCTACCGAAAACCGCCACTACTCTCACGTCGACTGCCCGGGTCACGCCGATTACATCAAGAACATGATCACGGGCGCCGCCAACATGGACGGTGCCATTATCGTCGTGGCTGCGTCGGACGGCCAGATGCCCCAGACCCGTGAGCATCTGCTGCTGGCCCGCCAGGTCGGTGTGCAGAAGATTGTCGTCTTCGTCAACAAGATCGACGTCATTGAGGATCCCGAGATGCTGGAGCTTGTCGAGATGGAGATGCGCGAGCTGTTGACCACGTACGGCTTCGAGGGCGACGAAACCCCCGTCATCATGGGCTCGGCCCTGTGCGCCCTCGACGGCAAGCGCCCCGACATTGGCGAGCAGAAGATTGACGAGCTGATGGCCGCTGTCGACTCCTGGATCCCCACCCCCCAGCGCGACCTGGACAAGCCCTTCCTGATGTCTGTTGAGGACGTGTTCTCCATCTCGGGCCGCGGTACCGTGTCGTCGGGCCGTGTCGAGCGCGGTACGCTCAAGAAGGACTCGGAGGTTGAGCTCGTTGGCAAGGGCATGGAGATCATCAAGACCAAGGTCACCGACATTGAGACGTTCAACAAGTCGTGCGACGAGGCGCGTGCCGGCGACAACTCGGGTCTGCTGCTGCGTGGTGTGCGTCGCGAAGATGTCCGCCGCGGTATGGTCATCTGCAAGCCCGGCTCCATCACCCCCCACACGCAGTTCTTGGTGTCGCTCTACGTCCTGAGCAAGGAGGAGGGTGGCCGTCACACTGGTTTCCGCGAGAACTACCGCCCGCAGATCTTCCTGCGCACGGCCGACGAGGCCTGCTCGCTGACCTTCCCAGAAGGCACCGAGGACAAGCACTCCAAGATGGTCATGCCCGGCGACAACGTCGAGATGGTCGTGACCCTGCAGCACCCCCTCGCAGTCGACAACGGCCAGCGCATCAACGTGCGTGAGGGTGGCCGCACCGTGGCCACGGGCATTGTCACCCGCATTCTCAAATAGATGACAGTGTGTGGGTGACTTGGACAAGAATTTAACGAAACAAAATACTGGGGAAGAAAAATACAAAATGTTGGTATGATATACAGCTTGGACAAAAGATCCAGGGAGACGGACTACCGGTTCTGGCTGGAGGTATAAAAAACGGAAAAGGCAACATATAAAAAGACAAAGACTCGACTACCCAAGGCTTGTTTTTCTTTTTCTTTTTGGCTTTACTCGTGCTTCATACTTTCTTTGCTGTGCGAGTTCAAGCCCGCCCTCACCGGCCGGAGCCGAGTTTACTCTTGACTCGGACATGGCGTCATGTATCTATCATTGACATACAATCTCCTACATCTCCTCTCGGCAAGATTTTCCCCTTGGTAGCTGGCTACACTGTGTACATTAGAAAATAAAGGTTTCAGTTCCAAGTTCGTCACATGGCGACAAACAGTTACGTGTAAGTTATGTGTACGTGTCTGTTTCGCATAAAATCGCGCCACTTCGTTGCCAGAATTATTTCCGTTTATTCTGTAGAAAAAAAAAGCAAAGTAACAAAACAGTTCGGGGGAACAGGACAGAGAAACTATCCCAAGAGTGCGCCCCCTTTTATTTTCCGCCCGTCATGCTCCCGTTTGGCTGAGTTAAAAAGCACAAAAGAAAACGTTCCCTCCTCTTCTTCTGGCTTTTGTTCTTGGGCCATATACATCTCGTTTCTTCCCCGGTCCACAATATTGGCCCTCATTCAATCGTCAATAGGTACAGTACTGTTGTGCTGCCAATGCCGAGAGAATCCGGTCGGGTGGGTGAGGTCGCGGTCTTCGTCGGCACCTCGCTTGTCGTACAGTGGATTGTGTTCCCCTCCTTCTCATTCATGCAGCACGTCCTCCTCCCCTCGTCGGTTCACGTTCATCGTTCCATTCCGTTCCAAAAAGAGGTTCGTTTTGTGTTGGTTCAAGTTCCCGTGGCGACAAAGATAGAAAAGGGACGGCCGTATCGTTATTTTTTGTAGTAATTTAATGGATCGTGTTTTTTTGGTTGTTGAGTTCTGGTCCCAGGAGGGGCAAATCGCTTAACGGTGCTTGACGAAGCCAATGTCGTTGGCCTTCTCACGGAAGCACTGACGGCAGATGTCGAGGCCGTACTTGCGGATCAGACCAGCGCGGTGAGCGCAGACGCGGCTGCAGAATGTTAGCATTTGTTTCTGTTCGTTCACCATCTCTCTACCATGTCGTTTGTTCGCCGATGCAGTGTCTTTCATCTCTTCCATCTCTTCGTCTCCGTGTTTCTCGTCCATATCGACGTCCATCTCCATCTCTTCTCTTCGAATCGGGGTTGCGTACCACTGGCGGGCGCCCTTGCCGTACGACCGCGGGCGGGAGTTCCAAACAGACTCGTGAGACATGATTGCGGTTTTGAGGTCGAAAAGAACGGTTTGCTTTTCTCGGGGAGCAAAAGTTGCGTGGTTGTGGTGAGGGTGGAAGGGGAACGAAAAATAGGCGAGAGGAAAGGGAGAGCGGAAAAGTGCTACACTAGCGAACTTCCCTCTGGGGCTCAGGTGGGATTTTTTTTTCCCGCGGGCATAGGCAATTTTTTCGAATTTCGCAGCTCTGCTGTGTGGATTTGTGCGTCTGCCACAGTTATTGTGGGCCCAACACGAGTTCCGGAGATGTGGCGCATTGTGGCTGGTGACCTTCACGTGAGTGGGGAAGAAAGGTTGGCTATCGATAACAGGGACCCATATTTATCTGGCCCCCTGCCAACACCTAGGCGCTGAGCAACAGCCTGCCCTGACTATTATAGGCCGCCTTATGGCAGTGCGGGAAGCTGCAAAGTGGCATCTTCTTCGGTCGAGCTCTGATTTCAAAGCCAACGGCCATCCTGTTGAGTGCCGGCCACTTTCATATTTACCAAGTATTTCTAGGTTTTTTGTTTTTGGTACGTACTTTGTGGGCTCGTTTTGTGCCAATGCGATTCATTTCTGCTGTGCTTTCCATCTCGTCCACCTGTCCCACAACCTTCTAACGCTGCAGCTACAGGCTCAGACCACTTCTTATCGACAAACAGTTCCATCAACCTATCAAGAAACATCACCTTCCACACCATGCGTCTGTCCCTTTTTGCCCTCACGGGCCTGGCCAGTCTCGCAGCCGCGGGCTCGGCCGTGCTGGACCTCATCCCGTCCAACTTTGACAAGGTGGTGATCAACTCTGGGAAGCCCACACTCGTCGAGTTCTTTGCGCCGTGGTGCGGCCACTGCAAGAACCTGGCCCCCGTCTACGAGGACCTCGCGCAGGCATACTCCTTCAGCGACAAGGTCCAGATTGCCAAGGTCGATGCCGATGCCGAGAAGTCGCTGGGCAAGCGGTTCGGTGTGCAGGGCTTTCCCACGCTCAAGTTCTTTGACGGCACCGGCAGCGACCCCGTCGACTACCAGGGCGGCCGCGACCTCGACAGCCTGACGTCTTTCATCTCGGACAAGACGGGCATCAAGCCCCGCAAGAAGGCGGCGGCCCCCAGCGACGTTGTGATGCTGACGGAGTCAACTTTTGGCACAACCATTGGCGCCGAGCAAAACGTGCTCGTGGCGTTCACGGCGCCGTGGTGCGGCCATTGCAAGTCGCTGGCGCCCACGTGGGAGAAGCTGGCGACCGACTTTGCGGCCGAGAGTAGTGTCGTGATTGCCAAGGTGGACGCCGAGGCCGAGAACAGCAAGCAGGTCGCCAAGGACCAGGGCGTCTCCTCGTACCCGACCATCAAATTTTTCCCGCGTGGCAGCAAAGAGCCCGAGTTGTACGCCGGCGGACGCAGCGAGGCTGACTTTGTCAAGTTCATCAACGAGAAGGCTGGCACGCACCGGACGGTCGGCGGCGGCCTGGACGCTGCCGCGGGCACGATCGAGGCACTGGACGAGCTGGTGGCCAAGTTTGCGGCGGGCCGTGCGACGCTGACAGAGGCGGCCAAGGACGTCAAGAAGGCGGCCAATGCGCTGCAGGGCCAGGCGGGCGCCAAGTTTGCCGAGTACTACGTGCGTGTCTTTGATAAGCTGAGCGCCAACGACGGTTTTGTGGCCAAAGAGCTGGCACGCCTGGAGAGCATCCTGGGCAAGGGCGGCCTGGCACCGACCAAGATTGACGAGCTGACAAGCAAGTCCAACATCCTGCGCAAGTTCACCGAGAAGCCGGCGGCGGAGAAGAACGCCGACGACGCCGCCAAGGACGAGCTGTAAGCGGCCTCTCCTCTCCTTTGCACCTATTTCCTAGAAAGGCACCTGGAACGGCAATTACGTTGTGAAAGGAAATGTCTTACTAGGGGGGACAAAATAAAGCTGTCAATAATGGGCTCGAATAAATTGAAAGTATCGTTATGTATTTGAATGGCATGCTACGTCCGGTTATTGGTGATACGTGTCTCTTTTGTCCTTCCTGTGATCAAGTCGGCCATTGGTTTTCGCTATTATTTCGATCCGTCCTCCTTGTTTTTTAGAGCTGCCTCTAGGTTGTCCAACCGACGCGACATTTCGTCCACTGCATTTGTTAGATATTTGGTATTATGAGGAGGTAGAATATCGTTATAAAATGGAAGGAAAAAATCAAAACAAAAACCGCCACACGTACTCTTAGCGAATATCTCGCTCGAAACACCGGCAAACTTGTTAGACACCGAGTTGAGGAGATCATCAAGCTGCGCCGTCAGGTCAGCACGGGCATCGTCGGACGACTGGGTAGCTTGTTAGTTGACCGAGAAGGGAGACAACGAAGAGCATCAGTGAGATCCGTCTAGCAAGGGGGAAGCCTGAAGCCAGCATAAAGACGTTCAGTGCTTTAACGTGCATTGTCAACTTACTGTCGTCTGGCTTGAGTCGTTGTTGTTGGAGGACATGATGAAGGCTTTGTTTAGCACGAATGCCCCGTATATCAGTACGTAAACAGAGTAGAACAGGCGGCGACTTAAGTTGTCACGTCTGTGGTGTGGCACCGTGATGATTCGATGCGGTTGAAGCGTTTGGTCGCTTCCCTGTAACGGCAGCCCCCTGCAATCCCTGTAATTGACTGCTTAGGTAATAAAAGCTGGAGGTAGCGAAGCCCCACTGGCCCACCAACAGCTACTTTCCGTATTCGTGGTTGACGTCGTATGGTCAAGCCCTCTGTATTCCCCCGAACGGCTAGCCCACCAAGACGGTCTGCCACCTTCCAAATCGACCAGGACGGGCCGTCCTTGCATGCCTCGCTCCTTCCTTGTAAACAATCACGCCGATTTGCACGCCCCTTCCTGCCGTGCAGGTAGCAATTGGTCTTGCCGTCTTGGCTACCTTGCCTGCATCCAGAGAGTTTATTGGAACATCCTTATCCCGCGATATGCATAATCTGCCCGCCACCCGGAGATGGGTGTGGGCAAAAGAACTCCGGTCCGGGTACAGTGCTCGCACTGACCGGCCTCTACCGGCAACGCTTAATAACGCACATGCAGCAGCATACGGATTGCACCATCGGATATAGCGGGGCTTTTCTTTGACTTGAGATACGACAAAGCGCTGACGGAATTTTATTCTACGTTCTGTTCTTGTATCTTGAGCACCCGACTGTCTTTCGGCTTTTGTTATTTGACTGCATTCACATCTGTCGTCGTGCACTGCTCACCCGCTGTTTCTCTTTGCCTCGCGTTGCTCATCACCAACTGACTCTCTACTGCTTCAAAAACGCCGACTGAAAGCCGACCAAAATGAGCCACGAACTCCATACAGGTAAGTCAAATCTCTCTGCCAACAGCGTGCGTCGAACGCCTTCTGACAAGACAGGCTTCCACTTTGTCAATGAGCGTCACAACGACACGTATCCGACGGTCGACCCGAGCAAGCGGGACTTCTCCGGCCGCTATGTGTTTATCACGGGTGCCTCCAAGGGCATCGGCCGCGAGACGGCTCTGTCGTTTGCCAGCGCTGGTGCCGCCGGCATTGGCATCGGTGCGCGCTCGGGCCTTGAAGACCTGCTAGAGCCTCTTGCGGCCGCAGCGAAGGCCGCCGGAAAAGCGCCGCCGCAGGTCGTGGCCGTGCCGCTGGACGTCACAGACGAGGACAGTGTCGCTGCGGCTGCCGCCACGGTGGCCAAGACGTTTCCGCGCATCGACGTGCTCGTCAACAACGCCGGCTTCCTCGAGAAGCGCGCCAAGATTGGCGACAGCGACCCGGCCGAGTGGTGGACGACCTTCAACGTCAATGTGCGCGGGCCGTACTTGGTGACGCGGGCCTTTTTGCCGCAAATCACGTCGCCCAAAGACGGCGGCGGCACGATTGTCAACGTCAGCAGCATTGCCGCGCACCTACTATCCCAGGGCGGCTCCGCGTACCAGACGAGCAAGCTGGCGCTGCAGCGGTTCACCGAGTTTCTGGATGTCGACCACGGCCTGAACACATCCGAGGGCATTCTGACGTTTGCCATCCACCCGGGCGGCGTGTTGACCGACATGGGCCGGCGGCTGCCCCTGGAACGGCAGTCCTACCTGACTGAGACGCCAAAGCTAGCGGCGGACGTGATTGTGTACCTGACCGAGAAGCGGCGGTTGTGGCTGGCGGCGCGGTACCTGTCGGCAACGTGGGACGTCGAAGAGCTACTGAGTAAGGAAGACGAAATCGTCAAGGGCGACAAACTCAAAGTGCGTATGGTTGTGTAAGGGCAGAAAGCAGCTTTCTCTATGTCTATACAAGTTATAAATTCATTCGATTTTGTGTTTTGTTTGTACAACCTTGTACAAATCCTTTATCAGATCGGCGGAAGTGATGGGACAGATACATATTCTCTCCGCGAGCAAGACCTGTCGACATTCAAGCAATGCTCTGCACGCCTTACGCAAATGATGCGCATCCGTTACGTTTTCATGGCTGCCGACGACTATATGTTCAATACCAAGGTCGCTGTGTCGATGCTGGACTTGACGGACTATGAAAACACGTTTTTCCAGCAGCCACTGAGACTTTGTCGTTGCCGTGTGACGTTTGCTTAGGAGAAGGGGCAATTCACTGTATTGCTGAAGAGTTTAGACTGAGAAGCTTTGCTTTCATGACGAGAACAGGCGGAGGTCCAGCTCCTTCCATTCATGGCGGTCATAGCGACTCTTGCAGAATTCAGACTGTAAATTGCGGCAAGCATGGAGGGTAGCACCTTCTCGACTTTCCAACAGAGGGCCAACTGCTAAAACAGCGCTAATCGCTAATACAACGTAATACCCCATAAAATGCCCCAAAGTGGACCGACCTTCTGCGCCTTCCCGTCCGCGCCGGATCACGAGACACTCCTGCCAAAGCCGCCAACAGACAGCTTGACCAAAAGTACCTCCTTTTTGTCATCATTCGACATCACCACTCCACATTCGACGACGGTGCATCACGACGTCTGCCGTCTACTACGAACACAGACGTCAATACAAATGAGAAATTGTCATCCAGCCATCGCATGTACATAGGCAGCATCGTTCCTCGCATCGACGCCCCGCCTGACGATTATCTCGACGTTGGCATCTAATCGCGTGACGACATCACCACAGTCAACATTCTCGACCGCCTCACGTCCTCCCTCCACCCCGCCTCCTCCCAAATGATGCCCTCCAACCTCCGCCCTCGGTAGTCGGGTCCCACACGACCGGAGTCGATTCTCCTTTTCCTCCCTCCCTCCTCCCTTCCCGGCCCCTCGTCCTCTTCCTTCCCCACACCCGCCGCCATGCCTCAACCGCAGGATAACGCGAGGTTCATCCTCCTCGTGATGATGATCTTGTGGATCAACACTAGCAACGACGCCACGGCCGGCATCCTGTCGGCGCCGTCGCTGATCATGGCCCGTGTCGGCCGCCAGCGCGCCGCCTTTGAGGCAATCCAGCCGACACAGTGGGGCGACTTTGCGCCGAACACAACGTCTCCTCCACCCGATACGAAAACCAACGGGACTACAGAGGACATGGCCGGCTGGCTCAACTTGACAGGCTTTCGTCGCGAAGACAACCTCGCGTGGGACGATCTGGACCGCTTCCGCGCGCGCTGCCTCGAATGGAGCCGCAACGCCTATCCCATGGTGAATGGCGTCAGTCTATGGGACCGCGGCGAGACTATGCTTACCTGGCAGAACGCCACCAGCTTCGTGGCCGGCGAGTGGGTGCGCCGGCCGGGGTCTGTCGAGCGGCACATGTCGAGCTACAACCTGTCGGCGATCACGGCGCAGGCCTATGACTTGGGCGCGGCCAACGATGTGGCCGGGCGCGGCACTGGTATCTTTGGCAGCGGGCCTCGGACTTCGGTCGGCGCTGCCCCCGCAAACAATACAGACGCCGTGACAGGCGGCAAGAACGTGACTACAATGGCCCTTGCTGCTGCGGGCGGCTTGTTAGGCAGACGGAGTGCCGTGGAAGACAATGGAGCACAGCCTGCGTCATCAAACGCAAACGCAAACGCAGACACTAAGGCAGACGCCAAACCCGACGAGCCCGACCAGCACGACCAGCACCCTCTGCGACCACGGCCCTTTCCTTTGCAGGCTATGGAGTGGGGTCGCAATATCACGGGCTTCAACGGACGCATGGTGTTGCGCGTCACGGACCAGGACGACGAGGCTGAATATGTGGACGAAACCGACCGCTTCGCCGACGAGCCGCCCACTGGCGGCCTTGTGCGCACGACCACGGCCACGGTCACGCTCGAGGACATTGAGGGCACTGGCAGCTCGTACGACATGCGCCTCTACGGCGTGCACTGGCCGCGGCAGGGCGCCCTGCTGCTGACGACGACCAGCGAGAAGTTTGCCGGCATTTTTGGACTGCCACACCTGGCGCCCGGCCGCCCTTTTTTCGATTCCAGCAAACGACTCCTCAACCGCACACTCGACGCGGCACTTGCAAAGCGCGAATCCACGCGCCTCTTTGGCCCGCCCGACCCGGCCTTGTCGGCGCCGCTGTGGTCGTCCAACGTCGACGGCGCGCCCGAGGGCTTGACACCGCTACCGCGCTGCGAATACGTCATGTACGTGCAGATCCACCCGCTGGACGCGACACAGTTTCTGCCGACGAAGCACAGTCACAAGCGACCGCTGGGCACGAGAGATGTCTCTGGCAACGCCAGCATGCCGGTCCAGACGTTTGAGACCCGCGAGGCTCTTGAGACTCTTGAGACTCGCGGCGTTCCTGACGAGTTTGGCTACAGTCAGGAGGACATGACGCGCCTCATGATCGGCATCGAGCACGAGATTCGGTTCCCGACTGGCGCGCCCATCTTTGGCCGTCGCGGCGTCCCGGACATGCAAATGTCTGCCGTGCTCTACTCGCCCGACTGTGCCTACTTTATCGAGACCAAGGGCCCGCCGCATTTTGCCGCCGGTGCTGGCGCCGAAGGCCAAGCAGGTGGTCTTTTTGGACAGGAGAAACAGCCTCTGGTGCACCTGCGCGGCAAGAAGTCTGAGGCCATTGTTTACGACGCCCGCTTGTTGATGCTCGCCTTTTCTGCCGTACTTTTTGGCCAGGTCAAGCTGTTCTTGGGTCAGGTTCGCGAAACATACACGCCGTCCACGCTGGGCCGCATTAGCTTTACGACGATGGCCGCCATGGTGCTCGCCGACGGTCTCGTCTTTGGCGCTGCTGCGGCCTGGGCCCTCACGGCGTCTGCGAGCTTCTTGCCGTCGCTCGTCGTCACCTTTTCCTCCTTTACGTCCATGACCATTGGCGGCTACTTTTTGTCCGAAATTTACACGGCCCAGGAGCCCGAGCGCAGACGACGTGACCGCCAAGAGCTGCAGCAAATCCAGCAGCGACAGATGGAGATCCGCGAGCGACTGCGCCAGCACTATGCCAACATTGCCAGAATCCGCGCCGCGGCTTCCACAAACACCGCTAACACCGCGACGGGACTCGGAGCAACCGCAGCAACACCACCTGCAGCAACACCGGCGCCACCTGCTCCACCTGCTCAACCAGTGATAGCAAGGGCATCATCGCCGCCGATTATCGTGCCGTCTGACCAAGACATAGACGCCGAGATTGCCGACAACGCCCGCGCTGCTGCGACTCCCCTCTTACCGGCACCCGCGACGGCTCCAGGTCCTGGCGGCGCTGCAGCAACAACAGGAGATGCTCTTGCCACAACGGCAGCCACGCCCGTCCTGCCGCCTTCGACGCCCTTCTCTAACATGGCCGGCCGCATGCTCATGATCGGCATCGTCATCATGTTCCTCAGTCTCGCTGCGTCGACCTGGTGGGCCTCGCTGCGTGCCACCTATGCCAACATACTGTGCTTCATCTACCTGTCCATGTGGCTGCCTCAGATTGCCCGCAACATTGAGCGCAACAGTCGCCGCGCCTTTGCCTGGCGCTTCATCTTTGGACAATCTCTCCTGCGCCTGCTGCCCATTGCCTACTTTTACCTGCGTACCGACAACATACTGTTCGCCCAGACCGACTGGCGCGCGTTTACCGCGCTCGTCGCCTGGGTCTGGGTCCAGCTGTGGATCCTGGCTGCCCAGCACGAGCTCGGCCCGCGTTTCGGCATTCCCAGCAGCTGGGTCCCCGAGGCTTGGGAATATCACCCCGTGCTGCGCGAGGACAACGTCGAGGCTGGCGGCTTGCCTATTGGCCTCGTATCGACGGCCGAGGCACCCGCAACCAGCCCCGACGAGGGGCCTGCTGGCGCGGCCAAGCGGAGACCTTCGAATCCAACGCCCTCCACGTTGGCCAGCAACAGCATCGCTGCCAACACCAACATCTGGACCATGGACTGCGCCATCTGCTGCGAGGCCTTGGATGTGCCCGTCGTGCGCGCAGGCGCCGACGAGGCCGGTGTGTCGTCTGTGGCGAGCAGCGTCTCGGGCGTATTGGCTCGTCGCCAGTATATGGTCACGCCCTGCCGCCACATCTTCCATACCAAGTGCCTCGAGGGCTGGCTGCGCTTCCGCCTGCAGTGTCCCATCTGCCGTGAAGAACTGCCGCCGCTGTAGTCCTTCGGCGTCTGATTTGCCGGTTTTATTTTGTTGTTGTTTCCTTTTCTATTTTGTTTTGCGACGCATTGGTGGCTGGATTATTATGCTTAGAGTCGGCGTTTCGTGGTTTGCGATGTTATTGCATTTGGCTCAACTTGGCTTTCTACCTGTCCTCCTCCTTTACTTGTCTACATACTGATTGGTTTTGCCAACGAGCGCCAACAGCTCAAAAAGCAAGGCATAACTCTGTGTATTCTATATTGTATTGTACATATTTTGTCGCTTGTCCTGTTATACAATGGCCGCTTCTATGGTATGGCGTCCTCTTTGGAGAAGTCTTAAGTGCAAGCGAGAAAATGACGTCGAACCCTCGAAGCTATTCAGGCCTCCATTCCCGGTAAGCGACTGGACACCAATATCCGTCATTCGTGACCTTTCTTCTACCTTCTCCTTGTCGCCGTCTTCGCGGCGCATGAGATCCATGGCCCTTTAGAGTACACTTATCAATCTTCTTTCCCATCTGCATCTTCTGCTTCTCTAAGATCGCTCTGTTCCTGTTCCTGTTCCTGTTCCTGTTCCTGTTGTTCCATTTCCAATCATTTTCTGTTCCCTCTGTTTTTCCTCCTGTCTCTCTCGCCTCTGCTCCCACTGCCGCTCTCGCTTTTGAGCGGCCTTGGTTTTTTTGTTAATAATGCGCTGTTCTTCTCGGGCCAGACGCTGCGCTTCGTCAGTCGCCTTGTGTTGTGCCTTTCGTAACTGTCTCTCGGCGATTCGTGCTGCAAATTCGGCGTCTTGTTTCCGTTGTTCAGGCACGAGCAGGGCAAGCCGTGCAGCGTTATCCTGCACTGGCAGTTCTCCATTCGTCCTCCAAGCGTCCGAGTCAAACAGTAATGTGTCTGTGGCTATACGGTTCTCAGTGACGGCCTTTTTTGCTGCGGCTGTCTTTGTTATGAGATTGGCCACAACGGCTTTTGCGGCTGCCGCCTCCTTTGCAGCAGCCGTCCTTACAGCAGCCTTCTTCTTGGCTTGGTCGGTTCGACGGCGCCGGAAAGCAACTAACGAGGTCCCGGAAGACGACGTGGTCAAGGACGACATAGAGGCCCACCGACGGTGTGTTTGGTCGTGAGGTACCCGTGATAGGTTCTCTGGATTGAGACGGGCCCCGCCTTCATCGCCATTACTCGTTGTGGGGGCAGCTGTCTTAGGCGCGGGCAATGCTGGCGTAGGCGCTTGCTCAACTGCGACCGGGGCGGACATGGCGGGCACTGGTGTCGGCACAAAAGCTGACTCCGGCACCGATGTCGATGCTGTTTCCAGTCTCTCAGTCAGCTTGGAAATAACGTCTGTCGCATTGTGGCTCTGTACTGCCTGGCCAGCTTGCTTCGTTGCTGGTGGCTTGGCTATGCCCAGTGCCATGTTGTGTCCCTCATTTGTTTTCGTTCGGACAGGCAGGTCGACAGTACAGTTCACTTTGGCAGTGGCAGACGGCTTCCCACTTGTCGAGGTTGCAGCTCCGTCTGTGAACACAAACTGCTTGTTGGTACTGTCTTGATGAATTGTGTCCTTCTCAATAACGACATAGGCATCCAGACTGCAGGCCAGATCTTCTATGCTGTCTGCCGAACGGATTTGTTTATTGCTGTCATTGACGCCTTTGACGGTGTCCACATCAGACTCCGAAAATGTCTCATCCTGGGGCTCGGTGTCGGGCACTGGTGACGAGGCCTGCCGGTATTTGTCCTTGGTAGGCCGTGTGCCACGCAGCTCGGGGTGCTGATGGTAGCATTCCGCGTCGCCTCCCACGTGGCAAAAGTCGCAGAACGAACAGAGCATATAGAGTTTGGTAGGGTGCTGACAGCGGCACTCGGGACACCGAGGACAGCCGGGGAACTTTGAGCGGAAGAAGTTCTTTATGACAACGCGAGGCGCGGAAATGAGAGTGTGTCGTGGCTTTTTGCGTAATGCATAACCTGGGATCTGGTACCGGATCTCACCGTTGATGAGTACCATGTCCTCCTCATTTCTGTCGCCAGGCCCGTCGACATCAACATCTTCGTAGTTCACGTCGTCAGCATAGCCGCCGTTTGGGCCATCGTGGTCACCGTAGTCGTCGTAGTCTTCGTCGTCTCCTTCAAGTTTGTAGCTTGTGGCGGTCGTCTCATAGGGCTCTGTGACGCTGGTCCTAATTGTGTCTTCTTTTCCGACAGAACGGCCTCGCTTCGCAGTGTCACCGATTGTCTGTTGGCTGTCGAGTTTTGATGTTTCGGTAGCTTCGGTCTTGTTGGGGGTATCCTTGGCTGTTGTGCCGTTGACCTCTGTAGGTGCTTTGGACATGGGGTTGCGGTATTTGCCGAGGGCATCGGCCGTTTCGTCCATATTATTTTCCTCCGCAAGTGGTTTTGCCGCTTCTGCAGCTGACCTGATGGGTAGTTGCCTTTCGACAACTTGCTCGTCAAGAGCTTGCTTGTCAACGGGTGTTGGATTCACAGCCGAGTTATTCCCCGAATGCTCCGTCATTGCTGCCGCATACAGTCCTACTTCCTCGTCGTCAGCAGGCGGCCGAAACTGCATCTTGCCGCCCCTGTATATCATCAGCCGCACAAAATCATCCCAATTTTGGATCAACTCCCACTCGACTTTCTCAAGCTTCTTCTTCTTCTTCTTCGTTTTGGGCATACGCTTGGACCTGAAAGCATGCAGCCTGTTCTCCCAGTGCGGATCTGCCTCCTCCAGCATGTTCAAGCAATGCCATATCCGAACCGTGTCGTTCTGCTCGCCTGCTAAAGCCTGAACGACATCATATCGCCTTTCGAGGCCGTCCAAAAACTCCTCGAGATTATGAAAATTGTAGGGTCGGATGTAAAGGTAGTCCGATAGGGCATAACGGCCTTGGGCGCGCCATTCGGCTCCCTCGTCATGGACAAAAGGCATCGTCTAGGGTAGGGTATGAGAGCAGAAAATTGGCCGTGCGGCCGTCAGGGTATTTGCGTGGAGTATGTCGGTGGCATTCGGGCCATATATGAAGTTATGCGGTGGTGGCCAGCCTGGTAAAATGGACGTTAAAAGACGTGTGGTATCCGTGAAAAGTGAATGTACAAAAACAAAATAAATACAAAACAAACGCTTGACCAGACTTTACACTGGCTGCTTGCGCACGGCTCGAAAAGATGCAGCCACGGCGAAATTTGGACCAGGGACCGAAATCGTAATTAAACTTTTTTTGGGCCCCCCTGACAAGCTATCAACGTTTTGTCAACGAGCCAGAGCCCTCACATGCCATAGACACCACATGGCGTACACGTTTTGGAGCCATTCTTCGTCGACATAGGTTTGAAACGGACCAGAAGTCAACCAATTGACTTCAATTGATTTCGATCCGTTTTTGTTGACTTTGCGGCACTGGCCGCGTCGGTGGCCGTGTGGAGACATGGCTGTCGGACCGGTCGCAGCGATAACCGGTACATCGAAGCGAGATATGGTGTCGAGTACGCGGGATATTGTTTGGAAGATGCAGAAGAAAGGATTGGAAGAGGAAGAAAGAAGGTGACGAAAGTCATGTAGAAAGCAGCACGATGTGTTTTCTTTCACCCCCCCTTGCTCCTTCCTCAAGGACCAACGTGAACTATCACGTGTATGTGAATTTTCGGGCAAAGGGGGAAGAACGTGCGCTTTGCAACAAGCTAAGCTGCAGCTACATCGTAGGAGGCCCCACCTATGACGACACTGGTGGGGTTGAAGCTTGTCGCAAAACAGAAAGACAACAGAGCTGACTTCCGGCCGAATGTAGAAAAGGGGTTGAAAGAGGAAAGAAGAGCATGCAGGATGCCAATGGCCAATTAAGAAAGAACAAGTTGTGGCGTGGTGGTAGAAGGAACAGAGGGAAATACGACAGCATGCAATGCACGTCAGAGACTTCACACGGGCTATCTTAGCCAAGAAACGGTTCGGGCAAGGAAACAACGAACGGCGTGGAAGAATGAGCCAGAGCACACTCAAGGAGAGGGTCAAACCCAAAACAGGGAAAGAGCAAACAATGCAGCCTAAGGCAACAACGATGAACAGGATGAAGACTTCAAGATGAAAAGAAGCGAGAATTGTAGCAGAATCCAGACGTCGTGTAGTACAATGGACGGCTTGTGAATTGAAACAAGAAAAGAACGCGGGCGAGGCCATTCCCACTTTTGATGTACAGAGCTTGCAAGTATATTCGTTTTGTGCCTCGTTCTTTTTTCCCCCTTGATTTGATTTCGACGGATCTCCACTTTTCAGCAGTGGTTTGCGGTTTCCCGTTTCCCTCAATGTCCCTTGATGAGAAGGAGCCACCGGCGGCCGTTTCTGAGTTTAAATCTCTCGCGTTCCCATCTCTTGCAGTTCCTTTGTTCACCTTCCCAACAACGATCTACAAACCGTCTCTGCTCTACGTCCACTTTCCCACTTTTCCACTTTTCCGCTTGTCCGCTTTTCCCTTCATTCACAACCAGACAACCTTGTCATCTCTATTTCACACCTCTCCACAACTGTCTCGTCCCCCACCACCGCCGCAATGACTATCAACACTATCCTGTTCGACTGCGACAACACGCTCGTCCTCTCCGAGGAGCTTGCGTTCGAGGGCTGCGCCGACTTGCTCAACGAGATCTGCGAGGCAAAGGGCGTGTCGCCATTGCCCAACTTTACGGGTCCGACGCTCATCACCGAGTTTGTCGGCCAAAACTTCCGCGGCATGCTCACGTCGCTGCAGTCGCGCTACGGATTCCCGCTGACGGCTGACGAGACCAACTCGTATGTGCTGCGCGAAGAGGAGGTTGTGATTGCCAAGCTGCGCCAGGCTCTGAAGCCGTGCGTCGGCGTGGAGCCGCAGCTGGAGGCGCTCAAGGCGGAGAACAAACAGCTGCTGGCGGTTGTCTCGTCGTCGGCGCTGCGGCGCGTCAAGGCGAGTCTCGAGGTCGTGAAATTTGACCGATTCTTTGCGCCCGACCACGTGTACTCGGCGGCAACGAGCCTGCCGACACCGACGAGCAAGCCGGACCCGGCCATCTACCTGCATGCACTCAAGGAGCTGGGCAAGACGGCCAGCGAGGCCGTGGCCGTCGAAGACAGCCGCAGCGGCACGCTGAGCGCGACGCGGGCAAAGATTCCGACGATTGGCTATGTGGGCCCCTACGCAGCGGACAAGCGGACGGAGATGGAGAAGGTTCTGCGCGACGCGGGTGCGCAGGTGATTATGCAGAGCTGGGACGAGTTCCCGGCGAAGCTGGAGGAGATTTCCAAACTGTAGAGGCTGGACGAAATCATACGCGACCAAGGGCAGGCAGATGGCATATCGGCGGCGTACGAGACGAGCTAGACGAAGGAGGCGATCCTATATACAGTCGATACAGAAAGACTATAACGTCTAGAGCATTGCTTTTCTTGTTCTCAGAGTATAGAAAGTCAGGCATCATATCGTTGTTATTGCTACTTGGAAGCGAATGGTATTTCGCGATGTTCTTTAATCTCGTTCAAGTGGTGCCAGCGTACCCCCCTGCCTCTCAGATCAGTCTATCAGGAAGCTGTTGACGCTCTGCAGGGTGGTCCGGCTGGGATTCGCGTGAGGCATGGCGGTCATGATGCGGGCCAGCCGCACGCGAATGACGTCTTTGTTGACAATTGTGACACGCGATGTAGCTGTCCGTGTTTTGCCCGACTCTTCGAAACAGTAACAAAGAAGAGCCAAGGCCGTGCCTACAGAGATGTCCCGTCCGGTCGGGCACAGTATGCGCACGCTCTTTATTGATGAGCACCCGTTTTCCTTCGTCAAGAAGTCCGAGACAAACTCGCAGATTTGGGAGAGCGCATGCCGCAGCGTCCGCCCAGCAATCTTATCTTGCTTGCCAAGTCCGACTTCAAGACTGGTGGGTGACCGCACCCACGTCACAGGCTCGGTCGTCTGGCGAACAAAGGCAATTTGACAGACTCCCGAGGACTCTTCCGGTGCTGTTGGTGGAGATGAGCCCGTCCACTGCCCGACGGAGAGGTGCGGCGTGATGACAGTCGCAGAAAACGTTGCGCCACCCTTGGAGACGGCGCTTTCGCTGCCGGCCTTGACAATCGCTGCGATCATTTCCGGCAGATCAGCCTCGGGCGTGTCGAGGAGCTTCTCGCAATTCGCCCAGAACAGGTCCGGAGTCAAGCCATGCGCCCAATTCTCGGTATCGTCAGCAGCGCCTTGTATGTAGTCAGCTTCCACTCCATCTTCAACGTCCTCGCCAGTTGGCGGAACGCGTGACGAGGTGCAGCACAGGACTACATTAAAGCGGTCGCGCAGGTGGTCGACATTAGGCCACGGCATGTCGGGCGTCACCCAAACAGGGCGCAGGGGTTTGCCGTTGGGCAGATTCTGCCGGCGCCACGCAATGGGGTCCGAGTCCGTCTCCTCCCCGAGTCGGAACACACCGAGCCCACCCAGAGCATCGACAAATGCGGGCACGCGTGCGAGCATCTGGCTGTGCTCGGACGCCGAGACGACACCAGGTGGTGTGTAGAGAGCTTGAGCGTCCGTCTGTTCTGCCTCGTTCCGGCCCTCTGGCACATGTGCAGGGAAGAGCGCTCGATTCAGCACACAGCACCACAGCGGAACCGTCTTGCTTAGCGCATCGGGCATGCGTTTTCCCCGGCGGGTGGAATCGACTAGTATGCAGCCGCCGCCTTTCTCGGGAGAGTCTCTGCAAAGCAGTGGCAGTATGTGCAAGTTGAGGCGGCGCGTGCTAAACTTCCACTGGCCTGTGTGGCCATCCGTGGACTTGAAGTAGGCCGAGCCGGCCTTGGAAGACACTGGAATATACCAGCTGCCACAGCGCTCGTTGGCGACCACGGGAAAGTCAGGGTAGCGCGCAGCCACGTCCGCCACAAAGGCGGCATCGCGGCAGATGGACTGCAAGCGGTGGGTGATGGACAGGTGAGACCGGCGGAGGTCGCCGAGAACGCGTGCAAAATTGTGGTTGGCCTGGTCCGAGGCAAATATCAAGCCCGCCGTCGCATCATCGGGCATGGTCATGCGAGGTGCGTCGCTGCGACGTGGGGAAGGGCACAGCGATCTGGCCGGCGGTAAGGAGCTCGAGGTGAGGCGAACATGAAGTTGAACAAATTTTCTTTCTTGGGTGGTAAACTGCCACTGTCGCTGATGTCCGCCCCACCACAGTTCATTTAGCATGTGCGGTCCACTAAAGGAAAGCTGTTAATAGTGATAGAGCCTGGCCGGATGTCGTGCTAAAGTAACTCCACCGCACTCAGCCTTTGGGATACTCTTTGAGAACGGCCTCTGTTTGTCAACAGAACAATTTCTGCTCCGTCGAATACTGTTCCAGCTTACCTTTTACTCTGTCATCGTATCCTCGCCACAACAAGTCTGCAAGCATTCAAATCGTTTCAAGCATAGCCACCTCGGGATTCCGCTGCAATGAAGATTCCAGCTGGCGCGCCAGTCTCCGGACTGGTCATGGTTACGTTTCTTTGCATGTGATCGGTATTGGTGCAAAGAAGTAGACAGAACCTCCGTATACACTGGGACATCGCGGACATACCATCGAGCTCTCTTGATTTCACACGGCGGCCCGGAGGATGTGGGCAGTCATAAATTGTGGTGGTCGACAGGTAGGGAAACTGGCCTCAGCTCGTCGACCTGACAGAGGCATAAAACGAGTTGGAGCTTGTGCTGCACAGTTCATGGCGGTGCTGGGCGTCCTGGATATCAAAGACTGAAGCTCATTCTTCAGTGCCGTGCTGGATGTTGCGGTGTGCCAATACGACGTCGTACTCAGTTGATGGTTGTCCCTCTCGTCTGTGAGGTGACGATGTGTCGTTGCGCACTCGCAAGTTCTCCGGCAAGAGGGTCTCCTGTGCTTCTCCTATTCGTCAGAACAGGCAAGTGGAAAGACGGGCTCCTTCCGTCTTCCATTCCTGCTCCTGGTCGCTGCTTCCTCGTAGGGCTGGCCAATGGCAGACCCTCACTTTGCATATTATCGGCACGCCAAGATGCGACTGCAGTTGTAAACTTTGGTCGATGCTGCCGATTTGGGTCGCTTGCTCCTGCCCGGCGTCATGATGCCTGCCAACCTTGTGCACTCTCTTTAACCGCACATTCCTTTATTATCCTTCTCTCACGATGCTCGCTCTGGTCTTCCTTTACGCACGACCCAATGCTTCGATCAACAATAGCGCATCGGACTGCAAGAGTTCAAACGAGGAGCAATTGTGGTCAACCGGCATGGGCTCCAGTTTTGTTACCCAGTTTTATTCCTGCCGTAGGGCTGAAATGGTGGGAGGGTCCACTGTTCCGTCACCCTTGAACGATTGACGAACCAGACGACCTCCTCTCCTCCTCTTCCATCACAGAGCAGAAATGCACAAGTGCAAACGATGAAGTGGGTGGCACAGCCATCGTCTGCTGCAGCCAAAACGAAGCACCCTTGCGGAACTGAAAACCAACCCTGAAAACAAGCCAGCACACGCGAAAATAGAGGAGCATGCACGACGGGTCCTGTCGTCCCTCGCCGGTTTTGTTCCACCAACGCACACCTAAATAAACACTGCAGGACAGAAAAAGAGGAGAATAAGAAAAACGGTGGCAAAGACTGGATCGTCCTGTGCCTCGATTTTCCTGTCCTAGAGATCTGCGTTGCGAAAGGACACGGCCGCTCTTTGTGCAACGTGACATGAAGTCGTGCTGGTGCGCCCACTAGATGCGGGCGCAGTCGGACGTACATCTCCTCATCACCACAACGACTTCGCTTGCTGCAACGGTCGCTCGAGTGTGGCACGCATCCCACGGTGGGTTTCCGAAGACTGGACCAGACCCAACCAAGCAACCAAGCAACCAAGTCCCCTCACTTGCAGTCTTGTGCGATCGTATGCCGAATCGTATGCGAAGAGAAAGGGGTGGAATAAGACAGGACAGCACAACAAGATTATAAAAAGACACATCTCGGCTCCTGTCGAATCCTGTCAACTCGCACAACGCTGTCTGTCTCTGTCGTCTTTGCGTCCTACGTTTCACGCCTTCTCTTTCTCCCCTGTCCTTTCGTACATTAATATTACGGTGCCCCTCGTGTGTGTCGTCTCTGTGCGTATTTCTGCTTGTCTTTGTTTTTGTTTCTGGTGTTGTTTCTTTTTCTACTCACCCTTTCCTCTGCTCTACTTCTACTTCGGCTCATTTGGAGTTCATTTCGCAGCTGCTCCAAGAACGATCTTTGCCCCGTTTCGCCTTCTCAAAAAAGCAGTACAGGACATGGTGCTACTCTCCTAGGATCTCCTAAAGTAAGTTTTCCTTATTATATAGGAGCACTGATGCTTTCTCGCACTGCTTTCTCCCTGGGCTGCTTCTCCGATTGGAACGTCGTTGGGGCGCTTTTTGTCGCCTGTTGAATGTGACAGCTCATCAGTCCTGGTGCCTCACCTTGGCCTTGTTGTTCGACGAAGACTTGTCCTGTTAGTCTCCCCTGAGTATTAGAAGGAAAGAGAGAAAGACAAAATGAAATGAAACTAGCCTTTCCCACGCAGCGACAAAGCGAGACACGTCTGCAAGGGCAAGGGCCCAGGCCGCAGAGACGAAAAGGAGAGAGCCGATGAAAGTAATCTAACAACAAGAAGCAGAACACGACCCAAGACAGCAGTCGAAACAGCATCACGAGCAGCGCGCCCCTTACCCTTACCCAGCGTTGCGTCTGCCGCAATCGCCGTCTTTCAGCAATTCACCGGTCTTAAGCTTTCGAAAGAGAGGCCAGACACGTTAACCTTCTTGAGACACTGTTGGTAGCTCTGATATCTCCCCACTCTAGCTACATGGAAGCAGCTTTGTCACATTCACCGTGTCTTTCTTCGCTTCCTTCCTCGCTTACCCCCCACGCTTTTGCTTTTACGGCCCTTCTACCCTTCCGTCTCGTTCGACCACTTCGCCGTCTCACGCTCTCACCTCGAACTCATTCGTCCGTAACCATCCACTCCATCTTACAGCGCATTGCACGGTCCCTGCACGCTCACCCGCCAACCTTAGCCTAGCACTACATTTACTTCACACGAGGAGTACGTTGGGTTGCGACTTCACGTGCATTTCCGTCTGTCCAATCTGCTTGCTCCGTGAAGATTCTTAAAAGGCCGCTGGTGAAGCAGGAGATGACTCCCTAATTTCAAGAGACGGTGGGAAAAGAAGAAAAGAAAAGGGGTAAAAATTGGAAAAAAGAATGACAAGGGTAAGCAGGCCGTAAGCGCGTCAAACGACAACAAGTTGGTACGGGGCATAAGATTTCACACGTTCCCTCCCACTTCCTTTCGGATTGCCATTCCTTCTTCCGCTGCCTGCCCTCACAGAAGCACAGGCTTGGCCTTTGCTCCTTCCCCTCATCGAATCGAATAAACAACGAGGACGCACACACGGAAACTGTTCGACGAACGCCCTCGATCCCACCTTCCATGCAAAAATCTCCATCATCTCCACTTTGGCAGCTCCAACAATCTGGGCCATTGCCTTTCAGAGAAATAGTGCAGAACGGTGGGAGAGTCAAAAATACAACAGAGACGGGAAAATCAGGCACGAGCAAAACAGCTAGAAGGGAACGATGCAGCTATTCATTGACGCACGCCGTTCCCCACAATCTGTTTGCGATTGCGACTAGTTTCCTTTTACTCTAGCGAGAGAACTTGTATAACTGCTAACGTCGCATACTACGCCTCGTTGTCTCTTTCCCTCTGTAGCCTCTTGCGGCTCTCGTTCTCGACTTCCGCACTCCTTCTGTATCGGGGTGTTTTCGCCACAATAATCGTCAGATTGATAATTCTCGTCGGAAAGAACAATCCACCGCACCTTCCCTGATGCACCCCCCGAGTCACTGTACACTTTCTTGCTCACACCTCCTCAGACCTCCTCATCTTTTCTCCCCCTGCAACGACATCTGATTAAACATTCAGTTTACTACCCCGTGCGCAACCACCGGACGCGACCACCGGCAACACGTTCTCGAAAGGACCGGAGTCGGCAGGAGATCAAAAACCACACCGACCGTACCGAAAAACAAACTCGGTAGTAACGCGCGGCCTGTATCTAGAGTCGATCGCGAAGGGACAAGAGACAGAGTCCCTGTCCAGACTTCTTCTCTTGTCCACCCCTTTGGTTCGCCACTGAAACTTGGGCGTCCATGCTGCACGTCATCCCATGGCCGTCCCGCCGACTCTGTCACACATCAACGTCCCGTCCACACCCGCTGTTGCACCACCACCGGGTGGTCCCGGACAGCTATGACACCGATCCCGTCCAACGACTCCTCCGCCTCCTCCACCTCCCCCGTCTCCCCTTCCCCAGCAACAGCCGGCCCTTCCAACGGCCCTTCTGACCAAAACGCGCCCACTGACACAACAAAGCGGGTACGCTCAAGCCGCCCGAAAGTCAAGACTGGCTGCAGCAACTGCAAGTACGTTTATCCTCGCTTTGCGCGTGCCCGTGCGTGTGCTCACAGGTCTCTAACTTTGACAGAGCACGAAGAATCAAATGCGACGAGAAGCGGCCTGCATGCACACAGTGCGTGCGCTCCAAAAAAGTATGCGCCGGCTACCCGCCGCCGCCCCGCGGCTCGCGGCCTTTTGAGGAGGTTCTCATTGCACCTCGCCCGACTCTGTTGGCCGCCGCTGCTCCGTTGGCCGTGGCGCCGGTAGCACCAGTGGTCCCCGCTGTCGCTGGCGCTGCCCCCAAACCCTATCCGTTGTCGCAGAGCCGCTTCCCAACGGAATCGACGTACGTGCAAGCATATCACCAAACGCAGCAACAGCCGTCTCAGCCTCTACAAATGGTACAGCCGCGCCTTCTCGCCGACGCTCAGTTGCAATCGGAGTCACAAGCGCCATCGCCACCGCAATCGCAGCCTTCTTCTGCTGCCCAACCCAAGCAAGCGCAGGCTGCATCCCGTACGCGGCAAATCACGCTGCGTCGGGCCCAGAAGTTGCAACAGCGCCGCAATGCGCCACCGTATATCCCCATCGCTGCCATCGCCGCAGCCTCCGGGTACACCATCATATACCACCCTTCCATCAACCTCCCCTTCACGCAGCAGGAAGGTCTCTACTTCCAACTCTTTCGTATGCAGACCGCCAGCGAGCTGTCGGGCTTTTTTGACGACGTCTTTTGGTCTCGCCTCGTGCTGGTTGAGTGTCACTCCGAGGCAGCCATTCGCCATGCCGTCGTCGCCCTCGGAGCTCTCTACAAAACTCTCGAGGCCACCACGGAATCTCCGCCCACGTCGCCCGCGGATACCGATGTCGATCGAAACGACAATGCCCGCGTCCACTGGCAAGTCGCCCTCAGACAATACTCGGACGCCTGTCACGAGCTGCGGATTATTGACAACGACGACGAGCGCGCCCAGCGCACCCGCCTCATGGCCAGCGTCCTGCTGGCTTGCTTCGACTCGTTCATTGGCCACCACAGGCATGCCATCATCCAGATCCAGACCGGTCTCGGCCTACTCCACCGCCTGCGTGTCGAGCGCCGCACCTCACTCACCGACGCTGGCACCGCGTCGAGCACCGCCTCGGAGCCTGTCGAGAACGAGCTGACGCAAATGTTTACCCGCCTCGCCATCCAGGCCAAGTCGTATGACATGGCTTTCCACTTCCCCCAGCCGTACGTTGTCCAACTTTTGTCCCCTGGCAGTACCACCAGCAATACCCTGAGAAACACAAGCGACACCACCAGCGGCAATACCATGACACCTTCCCCCGCGACACCCGGCAACACGGAAACCTCGGCGGCGGGCGCCTCCGCGTCATCGGACACGGCACCCTCGCCGCCTTCGACTGGCTCCCCAACCGCGTCATCCAACGCAAATACAGCCGAAGCCGCTCTGCCGACGTCCACACACCAAAAAGCCATTCCGGACCAATTTGCGTCCCTTCGCGAGGCGCGGCAGTCATGGGACATGTTGCTGGAGCACATCTTCCGCTACATGGAAATGATGCTGCAGTACGCCAAGGGGCCACCCAACTTGCTTCCAGCGTCGATGAAGAGCCACGGCGCACTCTTCATGATGTACATGGAATCCTGGTCCAATGCCTTTGAGCCTCTGCTTATCAGCCGCTCCCACCCAGGTGTCAGCAGCCAGGAAAAGGCCGCCATCGCGGTCCTCAAGATGTTCCAAGTCATGGGCGTGATCCTCTACGTGATGACCTTTAGCGACTCCGAGATGATGTTTGATGCCTACCAGCAGCAGTTCCAGAAAATTGTCGACCTTGCAAGCGAAGTCGTCGGCGACGAGGAGCGCCGCGCCGCCTCGAACCGCTGTCCTGACCCGACGCGGTGTGTCCACCACTACCACACCACCCACCCCCAAGACCCGAACTCCGCGGGTCCCGGTAGTAGTGGCGACTACGACGCCTGCCACGGATTCTATTTCCACACCAGCCATATCAAGGCCAGCTTCAGCGCTGATCTGGGCATTGTGCCGCCTCTGTACGTTGTCGCCACCAAGTCACGCGACCGGGTGCTGCGCCGCCAGGCCATTCAGTTGCTGCGCAGCAGCGCGCGCCGCGAGGGCATGTGGGACAGCGAGCTGGCGGCCCGCATTGCCATGTGGGTAGTAAATATTGAGGAAGAAGGCGAAGAAGCTGAGTTCTACGAGGCTCTGCAGCGCTACGACCACCATGATGCCAATCTGGGTATGGGCGTGGAAATCGGTATGGGTTTAGATCTCGGATTTGGTATGGATCCGGGTCCAGGCCCAGGTCTCGGCCCAGATACAAGCAGTGCCATGCGAAGCGGCAGTACCGGTCGCGGCAGCCCGATGTCGCCGGCCTCTTTTCTACCACAGCCGCCGCCTCTCCAGTCACAGAATTCGCAACAAACATCGACGTCCAGAAGCAGTTCAGTCGAGTTTGGTAGCGTGCCACTCGGACCCGGCGGCAATGCGCGCTGGGATATGCGCCGAGCGAGCCAAGCGTCCGTCTTGCACACGAAAAGCGGCATGAGTAGCTCGATTCCAATCACCTCGCCGCAAGACTTGACGTCTCTGCCCCCGTCAACGCCGCTCGCACCGCCGCAGCAATTGTCGCCGCCCCTTCCCGTGTCGGCGTTTTCCCACATCACGGCGCCACTCGACCCCAACATACCGTACTATATGCAGACCCAACACCCTATCCCGGCCGAGAAGCGCATTCTTGTGAAAACCTGCGAGTTTGACCTGCGCGAGCGCACGGCAACGCTCACGTGCGGGACGCGCGGTCTGGCAGCCGGCGTGTTAGACACCAAGACCCGCCAGACCGAGTTCAAGTGGTGATGATTTTCGACGAAAATAAGACGACAGCTTCCATCGTGTTTTTGTTTCCTTTAATTTTTTGGAGTGGACACGTTTTGCTTTGGGGTTTTCGTGAGCGGCGTACGGTTGTGCCAAATTGGATTTTATATACCCACAGGATGTCAATTTTGGGAAAGCAATTTACAAGATTGCCAGACGGCAGTGTACAGAATAAAGTTTTGTCAGTTTGCACTCTCATTTTCTCATTCATTGTTTTAGGTCGCGATGTGGCTACATCATCGTATAAGTGTTACGTCTTTTATCTTAAATTGATTTTTAATTAATTTCAAAAAAAAATCTCGCAAAATATCCCTTTTGGAGTACTATTTAAACTCGTCGTAAATAGCATACGTTATAAGTTGACCTCTACTTCCGTTTTATTTTATTTTATTTATTTGACAAGTCTGACACACATTCGACTTTCTGCTCTTGCCTGGAAAACAAGTCAAATCTCGCAAGTGCAGTGGAGGAAGCTACCCAAAGCTGTGGCTGCACCAACAAAGGTGGGGCCGTTTGGTAGCACTTTCTGACTCTGCAGGCGGGCACAGACAACTGGCAGGCGCGAGGCGCGCGGCGCTAGCGAGGAAGGGAAAAAAGCAGGAACGACACAGCAGCAGACAACTTCAAACCAAAAAGCTGTGAGCAAGGCAAAACAGCCCGACGTCAACTTCCACCATTCCACTATTTCGACAACGGCAATCAATTTTGGGCACTGTCGTTTCTCGATCACGACACCAAACGTCCCGGGCTCGAGTCTCGCCAATCTTGAATAGTCGGTGCGCGAATTCTGACGCCAACGCCTGCAGCCTCGCCCCTTGACAGAGACGCACCGCGATTGTGATTCTGTGCGCATCGCCACGCAACATCACGACATTTCTCGCCGGTCCCCACACTCCCTTTTAGCGCCCCATTACAGTATGGCGAAACGGCGCGCGGCCGAAGACCTCGACGCGATGGAGGGTGTGACGTCGCCGGCACCCAAGAAGCAGAGGAACGACGGCCGCGACGAGCGGCTCAACGGAGGCATAGCGCGCGGCGAACAGACCGGAGGAGACGCAAGCGAAGACGGCACACGGACAGAGGGAAGGACAGAAGAAGACGACTCGGACGAGGAGGATGACACGAGCGTGGCCGGACCGCTACGCCAGGCGGCACCAACGGCCGGATACGACGATCTCTACCTCGACTCGATCGACCGGCACGTGCTCGACTTTGACTTTGAGAAGCTGTGCTCTGTGTCTCTGTCACACATCAACGTCTACGCCTGCCTCGTGTGTGGCCGCTACTACCAGGGCCGTGGGCCCAAGTCGCACGCCTACTTCCACGCGCTCGACGACGGTCACCACGTCTTCATCAATATGCAGACCCAGCGCGTCTACGTTTTGCCCGAGGGCTACGAGGTGCTGAGCCGCTCGCTCGACGACATCAAGTTTGTGGCCGACCCTCGGTACACGCGCAGCGACGTGGCCCAGCTTGACCGGCGGTCGGCGGGCAGCAAGATTTGCTACACTCTGGCAGGCAAGCCGTATACCCCGGGCTTTGTGGGCATGAACAACATCAAAGAGAACGACTACCTCAACGTTGTTGTCCAGGCACTGGCCCACGTGCCTCCGCTGCGCAATTTCCTGTTGCTCGACGAGTTCCCTGCGACCACGGCGAGCCACACCAACGCCGAGCTCGTCAAGCGCTTTGGTCTGCTCGTACGCAAGATCTGGAACCCGCGCGCGTTTAAAGCCCATGTATCGCCTCACGAGCTGCTGCAAGAGGTGGCCCTGCGTTCCAACCGGCGCTTCACTTTGACCGCCCAGGCCGACCCCGTCGATTTCCTCACCTGGTTCCTCAACCACTTGCATCTGGGCCTCGGCGGCAGCCGCACGCGGCCCGGCTCTTCTATTGTCCAGCGCGTTTTCCAGGGCAAGGTGCGTGTTGAGTCGGAGAAGCTCGAGGCCGTGGGTGCGTCAGCAGCAGCAGCGGCGGCGGCGGCGGCAGCGGCAGCGGCGGCAAAAAATGCAGAGACCGATGGCTTCCAGCAACTCCCAGTACCATCTGCAGATGCCATGATGATCGACGCACCTTTGCCTGTCAGGCCTGGCTCCATGGCGCCGCCGCCACCGCCTGGCTTGGCCTCCCACCCCTTGCACCATCAGCCGCCTCCGCCAGGTACGAGCGCGCCTGGTCAGGGGCAGTTTGGACAACCGCCGCCGCCGGGTGTCTCCTCAGGTTCGGGCATATTGTCCATGCCGCCACCACCAATGGCACCGCCTGGTGTGCCGGCTACGGGACATCATTCCGCTCTTCCTCCACCTCCCAGCTCACTCCCCCCACCGCCTGTCTTTTCTGGCCAGCAGCCGCAAGACCAGGGCCAACCACCACCAGCACCACCATCAGCACCATCACAACCACCATCAACGACCACTGTGTCCTCCGCCCCTGCCGGCCCACCGGGACCGACTGTGGATATCAACCGCTTCCTGCTGCTAACCCTCGACCTACCCCCGGCACCGCTGTTCCAGGACGAGCAAGAGCGCAACATCATTCCCCAAGTGGCACTCACCACGCTGCTGGGCAAATACGATGGCCAGTCCGCTCAATCTGCCCGCATCGACCAGTCCGATGTGCGGCGCCGCTTCCAGCTTCAGGGCCCCCTCCCGCCTTACCTCATCCTGCACATGAAACGTTTCTCCGTCAACAAGTTTATCACAGAGCGCAACCCGACCATTGTCACTTTCGACCCGCGTGGCCTCGACATGAGACCATACGTTGAGGGCGCTGCTGGCGGCGAGGACGACGATGCGTATCTGTACGACCTCGTGGCCAATGTCGTACACGAGGCCGAGCGTGTGCGGGGCGATGACGTTGCTGTCGACTCGGCTGAGGAGCGACGCACATGGAAGGTTCAGCTGCGCGACCGATCGGGCGCCACGACGGCGGTGAATGCCACCAACAGCAACGGCACTGCTGCCACACCCACAGACAATGAAGAAGACAAGTGGGTCGTCGCTCAGGACCTGTTTGTCGAGCCGGTTGCCGGCGAGCTGCTGTACCTGGCCGAGTCGTACATTCAGATCTGGGAGCGGCGACGGAAGCTAGGCAGTGTCGGCAACGGCGTAGCTGCTGCTGGCAAAGGCAAAGCGAAGGCAAAGCCGTCTACGGCATCGGCAAATGGCGCAGGCAAAGCAAAAGCGTAATGGGCAATGGAAAAGACAATGGACAATGTAGCATGCGCAATAGCATTTTCCGGCCTGGCTAGATAGGCGTGGAAGATAAATGACAATCTTTAAAAAATATTAATATATACATTGAACATAATGGGTGAAAATGGAGAAACGAAACCAACGTCAATGGAAGCCATGAAATGCCAGGCTGCTGGTAGAAGAAAAAAAAGGCCAGAAAACAGTCAACAAAGATGGTAATGGGAGTAAAAATAGTAGTCGCAGTAGTAATATACACAAAGGCCCATTTCCTTTTCTGAATTTTGCTCTCCTTTGGTATGGTCTGCCACCTAATAGACTCCATCCGCCTCCTTTCCTAGCCTATTCTCACACACACCAACAAAAATCCAAGACAGAACAAAGGTAGATGAATCACCCCTCAAAACATCAATAAAGCGCCATGGACAAAAACTTGCGTGGGTGCAGCATCCTCTGCAGGAAAAATTCGCTTGCGGCCGTGTGATCACCCTCCTACGGCGTGCCGTGCGCGTGTAATTGCTGGTCGTCACCGCCGCCACCAGATGTTGTCGCTGAAGCCCGCGCAGAGTACGGAAGCTTCCCTGAGCGCCGGTCAGACTGGTGGTTTTGATGTTGGTGCTGATGCTGGTTGTAGTTGTTGTGGTTATGGTTGTGATGGTTGTTATGATGCTGGTTGTTGTGGTGGTTGTTGTGATGCTGGTTGTTGGTGCCGCCGCTGTTGTGGTGTTGGTTCGACTTGTCGCGTCGTGATTCTTCAATGGCCGACCGTTGCTGGATTGATGAATCGTGGCTCTTCCAGTCCATCTTCGTCTCCAGCGGGAATCCGAGGGCTCTCCGCATGGTTTCACTAGACCAGGTTGTTAGGATACAGGGTGAATACACAAGACATGCTACAGAGAGAGCGAGAGAGAGGGAGACGGAGAGGCTCAAAACGTACCGAATCTTCAACACGCGGCTGCCGTCGGTGCGCGTCCAGACACTTAGAATGTCCTCGCCGTTGCGCACACTGAGAACGGCACCGCACACCTCGTCCGACGCATCTCCAAACTGGTCGCCGATAATGGCAAACAAAAGATCCTCCCAGTATCGATCCGCCACGCCCTTCTTCAGCCGCACAATCCACTTGCCGCCCTTGCGGTTCTCGGCGTCTTCCCAAATCGGCCTGATGCCGTTGCGGAAGAAGTGGTAGTCCGCCACCAACGGCAGTGTGGACGGACGCTTCAGGTGCGTGTACACAGCAAAAAAGTCTTCCACCGAGCTGACGGTGGCCACCGGGTGGAGAGTCTTCTCGTACTCAATGTAGCCATTGGCTTTGCTAATCGGCGGCCGGAACCAAAACACCCATTCGTTGCGTAGCAAGTACCGCTGGTTCTTGTCCGCTGGTGGCGCCGCGTCCGCTGCCGCAGTTCCCGCCGCTCCTGGTGCAGCTGCGCCGCCAACAGCCGCCGGCCGCGGCGTGGCAGCAGACGATTTCTCGCCTGCTGCGGCCGGTGCAGACGTGCCGGACGTTGCGGATTTGAAGCCCACATCAAAGGGGTTCCCTGGTGATTTGGGCGTCTTGGCCGAGGAGCCGAAACTGGAGAATGCGCCCGATCCCAGGCCAAAGGCACTGGATGCAGGACCGCCGGGGCTCATGATGCGGCTGCCACCCGGCGTGGTGGCCGTATTAAAAGGATTGGCCTTGCCTCCATGCGACGAGCTGTCACCGCCGAATCGTCGAGGGAGGGTCGTGTTGCGTGTGGTCGAAGGAGAGGCAGCAGGCGCGTCGCCAAAGCTGCCGATGGAAGGGCTCGTGTTTGTGGAGAGAGAGAGCTTGTTGGAGCTGGGACGGAAAGAACATACGTGGTTAGCAAGCAAGTCGGAAATGACGAAAACTTGATACAGACGGTCAACTCACTTGGTACGACGGCCGTAGAGACTATCCATTGGGCCTGATGTTTTGGGGGCAATGATTAAAGAGGGAGAGATAATGTACACGGGGCGGGACGAGGGAACGGCGCCCAAAAATCAGACGGCAAAAGGAGTAACAGATTCGCAGTCAAAGCAGTCGAAGTGGTTCGGTGTTTGTTGGCAAAGGTAACACGATGACGGATGTGTGTGACGAGTTTCGACGACCGTAGGCGAAGAGCGCGGTAGTAGAAGAGAATGAAGGAATTAAAAACGAACAAAAGAGTAATAAAGTAGCAATGGCAATGTAGGCAAGAAGCGGAGATCAGGTTTCAAAACAAAGTCAAAGAGGTCAATGCAAGTGCAGCGTGCATAAAAAGGGCATATGTGCAGAAAGGCAACGAGCGCTATGAGAGAAGATGGTCGCGGCGATCAAGAACGTCGAAGGCGGATGTGTGCTCTGCGATCGAGAGGTACAGAGGGAGGCAGCAGTCGAGGCTATGGGTTGAAGACGGTCGTGAGGAGGGCGGCGACAGAGCACCGGTAGGCGGCGGCAACCTGTCGCTCAATGAGACAGGCTCTGACCTGGGTGCGTCCTCTTTTCCGATCTCGTCCTTCTCGGGCCACCGTTGTAACTCTGTTCGTTTCTTTCTCTTGAAGTGCGAGTCGTGTGATCAGGTTGTCTTGTATTTGTCTACCAGTGCAGCGGTTCGCGGGGAAGAAATGCGTGCGCGTGCAAATCTGTGGCGGCAGGGGTGGCGGACGTAGAAAAAACGACGAGTTCGATGGGCGGTGTTGCGAATGTGACTTGTTGTACGTGTCTGTATGTGTGTCGTGGAGGCGTTTCGAAAAGGCGGACAGTTGTTGAGTTGAGGTAAAAAAAATAGAACAGGTGATGGTACAGAAGGTGGAAAGAGAATGGGGGAAAACTGGAAACAGGAATGCAAATGGAGGGAAGGCGCAGATTGGAGATCAGGAAAGAACGAAGAAAAATTAGGTGAAGAAAGGCGGGCTTAGAGGAAAAAGGGAAAAAGGTGGAGGTTGAGAATGTTGAAGGTGAGTGGAGGTTGGAAGGAGCGAATGAACAGGTTGGAGCTAAAACGGCCCAAGGACAATAAAACGGCACCAAAAAGGCAGCTACGCATTGATTGGCGAAAGAGAAAGGCGGCGAATTGGGTGGCAGAGAAAGAAGAAGGAGCGCCCAGCGTTGGTGGTGCCTGAGAACCTTGGGCTGGCAACTACGAGGGTCTCCATATTTCCATACTGTGCCCTTTGTGGCGTGGCTTCTCCAGCAGGCCGGCATGATTCATCCCGGCTCTCAGTGGAATGAAAAAAGAGTTCCACGCTTTTACTCTTTGCAGTATCCAGCTTCTTTTCGCTCTCTAGAAAGGACAGCGGTAATTCGTACGGCGCCCGATATTACGTGGCCGTGAAGTGACTCGTTGTAGAATGCAATTGCCTATCGAAGCACCTATCAAGGGCAATAGCTGGTGCCACTCTATGTCCATAGCTCCTTCTACGGAAATCGAGAAGCTTTTTGCACTTTCCCCTGCGATTATTTGGCCAGGGCACGCACTTTGCCTGCGACGGCACTGTGCGCGCTTGCCTCTCGAACCACCTTGCAACGGCTCTTCATACGGCCATTCTCCACCTTTGGCGCCTTTGAAGTTTTTCAGAGCCAGGAAGGCACGAGTGCGGTGCAAATGATTTCTACCAGAGCTTAGCTCTAATACTTTGTGTGGCCAGCAGGCGGGCGTTGAGCGCTTTCCTTGTGATACCATACGTACTCTTTCTGAACACAACACGGCAGGCGCTGTGCTGTTTCTGTGCAACGGCAATAGCTAGGCCCTTCTTTCCTCTCTATTGCTTTTTCTACCCGGATTGGGTCGTACTTTCTATACTGTGTCGCTGCAGGCCACCGACAACTCGTCTTTCGTTCGCACTTTCCCGCCAAGTTGTGCAATTGCCACCGGTCCTGCGTCTGAGCTATCACACGCTATAAAAGGAAGGAACATAGTCAAATGCCACAGTGGGGCGACAGTGTAATCTTATGTCCTGTGCAGGCAGGAACTGACAAGTGCTTTCTTCTGTAAGCCTTTGCGGGGCAGGTGCATCTGCTGGAGAATATGACCGCTTGGTTCGTTCTGATTTCGACTTCTATGAACAGAACTTCGGACACAGCTCCAACGGTGCTCTCCCTTTCCCGACAAACGTACATCACGCACCTTTCGAACCGATTGCTGCTATTTCGGCTCGACCTCGGTAACTGTTCGCCTCTCCACCGTTTTCGCACGTCGCGTTCCCCCTCCCGCGGTCGAGACGACCGGTGATACCCTGCCGCAATGGACAAGATAACAGACAAGATCGCGGCATTGTCGCCCGAGTCGTACTACTTCTCGCTCGAATTCTTCCCGCCCAAGACGTCTATGGGCTTTGCCAACCTGCGGGGCCGGCTGGACCGAATGGCGCGAGCGCTGCGCCCGCTGTTCGTCAACGTGACGTGGGGTGCGGGCGGCTCGACGGCGCAAAAGTCTCTGGAGCTGGCCGAGATTTGCCAGCGCGAGCTCGGCCTGACGACGTGCTTGCACCTGACGTGCACGAACATGAGCCGTGAGCTGATTGACAAGGCACTGGAAGACGCCAAGGCTCTCGGCATCCGCAATATCCTGGCGCTGCGGGGTGACCCGCCACGACCGACCGAGTACAGCGACGAAACAGACAAGGATGCGGCGGCGGCCGGGATTGCACCTGGGCCCTCCGGAGAGCTCGCGTTTTCGTGGGCCGTCGACCTGGTGCGGTACATCCGGAAACAGCACGGCGACTACTTTTGCATTGGCGTGGCGGCGTACCCCGAGGGCCACGCCGAGGAGAGTCATCCGCTGGGCCAGAGCCTCGAGCATGACCTGCCGTATCTGGTGGAGAAAGTGCAGGCTGGTGCCGACTTTGTGATGACGCAGCTTTTCTTTGACCACGCGGCGTACGCACACTTTGAGTCGGTGCTGCTTGCGCACCCGAGCGGCGCGTTCAAGGACATCCCCTTGATCCCTGGCTTGATGCCGATCCAAAACTACCAGATGATCAAGCGGACGACCAAGCTCAGCCACGCACGCATACCCGACGAGCTGATGGCGCGGCTCGACGCGGTCAAGAAGGACGACGAGCAGGTCAAGAGCGTGGGTGTGGACATTATCAGCGAACTCGTCGAAGAGGTGAAGGAGATCAAGGACCGGACACGCGCCGACCGGCCCAAGGGCTTCCACTTTTACACCCTGAATCTGGAAAAGGCCGTGTCGTTTATCCTTGAGCGGACGCATTTGATTCCGCCCGGCACGCCGGACGAGGACGAGGAGGCCATAGCGGGGGAGGTTGCAGTTGTGGACGACGTGGCGACAAGTGGCTCGCTGGGCGTGCCGTCCATTCGCATTAACGGCAGCACGGGCACGGGCGGCGCTGTTCATCCGCCTCTGGACGGCCATCCGGCGCGGCGCCAATCGTCGATTGGGTCCGACCCGCGCAACCGTGTGATAGTATCCGGGCGCGCGGCGTCACATCCCGACTACGAAGCTACGGCACTCGAGGCCAGCGTGCCGGCTGAGCCGGTGAACACGCGGTCCAACACGCTGGCCATCTCCGAGGGCGAGGGCGTGCTGGGCCGCGAGGCCACATGGGATGACTTCCCCAACGGCCGCTGGGGTGATGCGCGGTCGCCGGCGTACGGTGAGATTGACGGCTACGGTGTCAGCCTGCACATGACGGTGAACCAGGCGCTCAAGCTGTGGGGCCGGCCGACGACGACCGAGGACATCAACGCCATCTTTATCCGCTACCTAGGTGGTGAGCTTGCCGCCATTCCGTGGAGCGAGGAGGAGTTCAACCCGGAAACGGCGACGATCCGCGACCAGCTCGTGCAGCTCAATGCCAAGGGATGGTGGACGGTGGCATCGCAGCCGGCCGTGAACGGCATCCCTTCGACGGACGCGACGTTTGGCTGGGGCCCCACGCACGGCTTTGTGTTCCAAAAGGCCTTTGTTGAGTTCTTCCTTCCGTCGGCCGATTGGGCAGCGCTTTGCACCCGACTCACCGACCCGGAGGTACGCGACAAGGTCTGCTTCTATGCGATCAACGCGGCGGGTGACTTTGTCTCATCGGACGCGAGCGGGCGCGTGACAGACGGCCGCGGCGGCGCGGGGGCCGCCGAGGAGGCCAGCACGAACGCCGTGACATGGGGTGTCTTCCCGGGCAAGGAGATTGTCACGCCGACAATTGTGGAAGAGGTCAGCTTCCGGGCATGGAGCGAGGAGGCGTTTGGGATCTGGAAGGAGTGGGCGGCGCTGTACCCCAAGGGCTCGCCGACAGACATTTTGCTGGAGAAGACGCGCAACGACTACTGGCTGGTCAACATCATCCACCACAACTACATCGAGAAAGACTCGCTGTGGAACCTGGTGTCTGCATGAGGAAAGAGAGAGCGGAAGGCCGCTGGTAGACGATTAGCATTATGGTCATCTTTAATGACTCTGTTTCTTTAGTTTTTTTTATGTGTTCATTCAGTCCATTTGCATTGTTGTGTTTCCATGGGATGTGGGCAAGAGATTGGAAGAAACGGGCATTGGAAAGGTACACTGGTTATAGAAAACAAGAAGATACGAGGGGCATGGCCTTGGACCACCTACAATGTTTTCTTTCTTTTCTTTTGTCATGGTATTTATTACCATTTTTGGTGTAGGTTGGCTTTTTATTTGGCTAACTACACTGTAATTCAACCATTTGATGATCACGTGATCTCGTTGGTGGCGATATGCTAGGCTTCCGGTCGCCAAAGTTTGACCTCATCCTTTTCCATCATTCAGCTTGACATCAACCCCAACGCTGCCGACACACCATCGCCGCAGCCCGCGACCCCGCCAAGTCCCCTTTGGTCGAACTCTCTGAACCCCAGACACCGACCGACCGTCAAATTACATATACCTCCAGCAGCGACCATCCACCATGTCGGAACGCAAGGTCCTCTCCAAATACTACCCGCCGGACTTTGACCCGAGCGCGCTCGCACGGCGTGTCAAGAAGCCGAAAAAGGGCCAGCAGTCTGGGCCGGCGGTGCAGGTGGTGCGGCTGATGGCGCCGATGAGCATGCGATGCACACGGTGCGGCGAGTACATCTACAAGGGGCGCAAGTTCAACGCGCGGAAAGAAACGCCGCTGGACGAAAAGTACCTGGGGATCCAGATCTACCGGTTCTACATTCGGTGCACGCGGTGCAGCGGTGAAATCATCTTCAAGACGGACCCCAAGAACCAAGACTACTCGCTGGTGTCGGGTGCCAAGCGCAACGTGGAGGCGTGGCGGCACGCGACCCAAGAAGAGCAAGAAGAGACGGACGAGCAGCGTCTGGACCGCCTCGAGGCCGAGGAGGCCGAGGCCAACGGCGAGGCGGCGGCGGAGCAAAACCGCATGGAGGAGCTGGAGGCCAAGACACTGGAGGCGAAGCGAGAGATGGAGGTGGCGGACGCCCTGGACGAGATCCGGACACGAAACGCTCGGATTGCGCGGGCCGACCACCGCGATCACTTGGAGACGGTGGCGCTGCAGGCGCGGCCGGCAGACGAGGAGGAACGACTGCGGCAGCAGGACCTGGAAGACGCGGCGGCAGCACGAGCGGCGTTTGCTACCGCGGCAGACGGCGTTGAGGAGGAGAACGAGGAAGAGGAGATGGAGAAGGACGACGACAGCGATGACTCTGACGCCCAGCCGGCATGGCTCAGCAAGACGTCGTCGACAAAACCAAAGACCACCACACTCGACGGCAGCAGCAGCAGCAGCAGCAGCAGCAGTGCAACACCAAAGCCAGCAACACCGCCTGTTGTGGCTGCGGAGGAGGTCGCGGTGGTGCCGAGCTTCAAGCGGCAGATTAAGAAAAAGAAGGACCACGCATCGCTTCTGGGTATCAAGAAGAAGCCGTCACTGGTGTGAGTGGCGCGTGTTGGGACTGGCTCAAGATATGGCATTTATGGCGTTACGAATCATGGTTTAGATAGGGTTGCACTTGTTTTTTTTGGACGTTAGATGGCAGTATACTTTGGAGCATTATCATATACCCATGACTTGAAACTCATTTCACTTGATATTTGTCAAAGATGCAACATGTGATATTCCCTTGTGTACGTGCCTAGAACTCCTATGCCTTTAACCAAAAATGCATTAAACAGATCCGATACCATGTGCTTTGTCGATGTGTCGTATTTGACAACGAGAAAAAGTATATGCCTCCCTAACGAGCGCCATTATCAAACGCTAATAAAAACAAGACGCGCCAGCCAGAGGAAAGCCAGCGGACGGATTGTGCCCATACAAGCGCCCATCCAGGCCGACTATACACCGTTGGGCAAAGCCGTGCTGTTGGCCAACGCTGTCCGGTGGGCATGGTGGTGCGGGCTGTTGTTGTGGTGGTGCTGGCTGCGGCCAGGACTTGTGCTCTGGCTGGCACCGCGGCTGTAGCTGCTGGTGTTGTGAGTACTGCTGGCGCGGTCGTGGCCCTGGCTGCGTTCGGACATGGTCAAGCTGCCGCTCCGGTACCGAGGACCATCACCGGCAGGACCAGCAACATGTAGATGTGCCGGAGGCGGCGAGCCAGGGGTGGCATCCATCTGCTGCTTGGTGTGCAGCAGCATGAAGCGTGCATAGTCGGACAGATTGGACAGACTTGAGGTACGAGCACTACGGGTGGTTGATGCACCGGCACCCTCGTCGGCGGGAGCCATTTGTACTGAATCGGGCGGCAGCGGCTGACCGCCGGCAATGTGCTGACGCTGGTCCTGCTGCGGATCGCGGATGTTAGACTCGGCGGTGTTGATGTCGGTGGGGTGGACGTCGACATCAACTTGGCGACGGCTGGGTTGGTTAGCAGCCATGTCGATGGCGGCAATGGATCCGTGCGAGTCCATGTTGGATGTGTATGTGGATGTGTATGTGGTGATAGATTTGGTTGTTGTAGAGCTAGGCTGGGGTTCGATAAAGAAGGCCACCAATAACAGAGAATGGGGGGACGACAGGGATTAGACCAAAGGGAAATGGAAATATAAGAGTGTAAATATGAAAAGAATCTTGGTGTAAGTGAAGTATGTGAATGGGGAGAAACAAACGGGCGGCCGGGCCGGTCTTATACACGAACGTTATATTATAGTCAACCGTATAAAAGAAGCTTGCGGCTAGGCGAAGCGGGAGAGATGGCAGTGGCACGAGGCTTTTTTGTCTTTTGCCTGGGCTATGCGAGCGTACGGAAGTTGGTGTTCCAAACAAGGAAATAAAGAAAATAAAATAGAAGGGTCCTCCAGTGTTTGCGTTGACGTTGCTGGTCTAGGCGACAGGGGTGAGATAAACCAGCAAGAAAGGCGACGGGGAAATAAAATGGGGATGGTGTGTGGGTTTTGGAGCTGTCCCTGTTTGCTGTGCAGGAGCTAGGAACAAGACGAATAAAAAAGGAAGAAAAGAAAAGTAAGAAATCGGTAGGCAGGTGAAGCACTCAAAGGAAATGCATAAGAAACAAGGCTCCAAATCAGGGAAGTTTACATGCAGGCCAGGAGTCAAGTCGAGGTTGCAGTAAGCGAGGAGCTAAAGTGTGCAGGAATATCCTTGGATAATGACGGTAGTTGATCATTGGAAGGGTTGAAGGTAAAGTAAAGCATGAAAGGGAGAAGTTGGGACGAGATTTGGGTTTATAACATCAACAAACAGTAGCACATAGATAGAGACAGAGAAACTAAGACAACAAAAAATGACGGCAGAGACTGTATGGCATCAGAGGCGAACAAGCAAGAAAGCACCGTGGCCAATTCCATGCTATGATATCAGAGTGGATGGGTACCGAGGCTAAGTGGCAGAGAACTTTGTTTGGCCTCTACGCAATGTGGCCAGAGACTAGGCGTAGAAAGGAGAACGAATGTCCGGAGAGCTACAAGTATTACTCTGCTACTCAAGACCAAGTTTGGGCAATTTTGTCCTTTACTTTTGCATGGTTCACCTGTTGACGCCAGGGAAGGACCGATGGTGCTTGTGAAAAAGTATACATATACATATAAATAAAATACAAAATACAAAATACAAAATAACGCACCTGCACCTGCAAATCCGCCGTAATTACAAAGCCACTACATTGCAGGTACCGTTTGCAGGAACTGCCTGGCTAGGTGCAGATCGACAGTTACCGGAAGTGATGTAATGCCATGGGTGGGAGCAGACAGGGGAGCCTTTCTGTTCTTGTACGTTTCTCTCTGCGAGTTTTCTATCTTTCCGCCTTGCATATTCCGTATCCATTAGTCTCTCCTGCTGTATGCTGTCGTATTTGTCGACCTCCTTCCCTGCCTGTCTGATGATGGCATTGTCATGGAATTGTGGAGCATATGGAAGTGCACTTTCGTCGCTGACAAGCTGAACGACAAGAGTTGGGGCATGCTGAGGTGTGTTCGAAAAACAAAACACTGTAGAAAAGTACATTCATTCGAGACCATCCACTATTGCTTGCCGCAAGTCGTTGCATGAAGCCCCTCATATGTTATACATGCCCAAGCTGCACTTGGTTCTCTGCCCAGAGATTGTAATGTCGACCATCCAAAAACCGGGGAGACGGAGATGGGTGAAGACATACAGAGGCAGATCTAAAAAGTAAAACGGAAACTTTCAAGTAAAAGGTAGAAATCCAGACCAGACCAGGCGCAAAAAGAACTAAAACAAGCATGGGCCTGGCCACAGACGTAATGGGTCGGCACTGGTTATGCCTTAGCTTGGGGGATAAAGCAGTCAATTCGGCATGGCAAAAACGCCGTCCTGCCCTGCCACCCTCCACACCAACCTTTCCATGACACTTTCGGGGGCTCTCTTCTTGCATGCGTGCTACCGTTGAATGTAGAAAGACCCTGCAGATCGTCCCACCCGTTTCTTTGTTCATGCCTGCTCGGCCCCCCTGCTCAGGAAGTTGGCCTTCCTGTCTGCCTGTCCAGTACGCTGAGCGCGTCCATACCTCCATGTCCTTTTCTCGGTGCGCTACACTAGGATATTCCGACAAAAGTGGCATGGCGTGATTGGCTAAGACCATACAGACGGAGACTCGAGTACGGAAAGTTAGGAGAAGAACGAGAAGATCTTTTCTTGCCATGTCTCGAATGGTTATCAATATATAAGAAGTTGCCATCCGCCTTCGCGAATATAGTAGGAAACGCTGGACGTGCCGTGAAGCCAGTAAAATGCCCTTGATCTCCAAGTGAAAATACCTGAGTAGCAGGAAAAGACCTACAACTAATGCGCGAGAGTTCCTCACTTCCAAAGACTGATTTGTGACTTGGCCGCTCTTTCCTCGTGTCGTGTATTGTACTTGGCGGCGAACGGGCGGCGCGAACGGGCGGCTGCGGGTGGCGGCGCGGTATGATGTCATTGGCCGGACCCACTTCTACCAAGGCACTAGCGCACTACCGACGTCAACATGGCAAATAGCACGCCCAAACGCTCCGATGAAAGACGAAAGACGTGGTAAGTTCAGGCGAACATTAGAAGTAATGGGGAGGGCATGGGGAAGGCATCTCCTCAAGATACCACGGCTCAATGGAGGGAAGGAGCGATTTGTCACGACTGCCTCATCGCGTCAATGCCATTTGTTCGCCTCTATTTTCGATTGCTTTCAAAAATGATTTCTTCAGTCTTGCTACGCTACCTGGCTCCGCTACATTATCAATTGATGCAACTCGTCGATGCAACTCGTGCAACGTTAGTTAAACCTGCCAGAGAGCACAGACTGGATGCTCTAAAAGTTGGAAATGTTGGCATCTGCATGGCTTCCAGTACATTTTGTACCCCGACAGTAATAACCATAATACCGAGTACAGTCGCAGTTGGCGGCACTGCCAGCGCTGCAACGGTACAGGGTACACATACAGGTACACACGGACACGCACGAGATTGCCCGTAGTTACCTCGCCGATCAGGCCCAGAACATCAAAAGTAGGTGGAGGGGCTGAGGGGCTGCATAAAACCCCGGAGGACGGAGGCATGGCGCCGCCGTCAAAGAAGTGTCCAGGTAGGACAAAAACCTAAACCAAAGAACAAACAGGGTTCATTCTGGGTCGGTCATGGCCGTCTTGGTTCCATGCCACACATACCTGCATATGTATTCCATTTTGGGTCACTTCATCGCCATAATAGGAAATGGACGAAAGCCGGCTCGCCAGCATCCGAAAATGAGGTCAAGAAACGTGAGACTGGCGAGAAGGTAGAGTGGGGCCACTCGTGCAACGACATACGTCTAGATCAGACAAACGACGTCAATTTTATACCGATCACTTCTTAAAGAGTGTTTGTTGCGTAGCTGGTAGATAGCTGCTGGAAGCGACGGGCGTTCGTAATGGAGGGAATCTGTTCAAAGATTCTGATGAAAAGAACAGCACCATATAGCTTTCATGTTCATTGACGATCATGGCCAGCAGTGCACATGGAGATAAGACTGCGCCGATATTACATACCTGAATATGCAGCGAAACGAGTGGAAGGAGACACCAGCCTTGTTGGAGGTCGTCCTGCCTCTGTCTGTTGCAGCTGCTGGCTCTTTCCCCATTGTCGTCACTTCCCTCCTGGCTCCAGCTTTCTGTCGCCACACGTGACGCCATCGTTCCACCTCTTGATCTGGGACGCTCGAACAGTTGCTCACAGTGCCTCGTTGTACAACCCTTTTTGCATGCATGTGAACGGTGCAATGTCTCACAATAAACGGTGCATCATAGGCTACACACCCCTCGCGATGGAAAACAGTGTCATTCCCAGAACGATGCATATGAAGAGCACCCACAAGAATCAAAACACCAAAAAGGACAGCGCTAGACGACATTTTCTTGTACATCTTCCTCCGTAGTACCTTTTTCCGAACCTGAGCTGTCGCCTTGACATCATACAATCAACACCAGAGCCACCTTTCCCGTATCATAAAACGTCAGAGGACGTCACCTGGCGTGATTCTCACCACCGGCTGCGCTCGGATCGACCGCTGCCGTCGTCGCCAAGCATTTCCGCCAGCATGTCCCACTTGGCCGCCGCTGTTGCGTCACGGCTGGCCCGCGCCACACCGCGTAGCCCGCTGGTCACAAACCGCAACGTGTTGTCAAGGTCAGAGCGAATGGCCCTAAGGGAGCTGCTGTAGTCCATTTCTTGCGTGTTGGTCTTTGTAGCGTTTTTGGTCTCGTAGCTGTCGTCGTTTTCGTCATTATCGTTGTTCTGCCCCTCAGCCTCGTCGTCATAGCCGTCGTAATCATAATCGTCGTCGTCGTCATCGACATCACCGTCGACGTTATCGTCACCCAGAACGTCTCGGCCTCTCGGCCTCCGCGGCGACGCCAAGAACAGCGTTCGGCGGACCGAGTCGGCTCCAGTTCTAGGCGATGGGCCTGTCCAACGGCCCCGCTTCGTCGGTGTCTGATACTGACGTGATGTGGGCGTCGCCGACACCGACGCCGACAGCACAGACAGGCGCCACGTCTCCCGCAGCGCCCGTGCCACTCGTGCTCCATTCGCTCGGTGCGCATCCTCAAGCCGCAGCGCCAGGTCCAGCAGATCCAGCATGCCTGCATGCAGTGGTTCCAGCTTACCGCCCAGCAGCGCCTCATCCACCAGTGACCGCACAAATTGCGCATGCACCGCAATCATGTCGTCCACATCCAGCGTGGTCGCGCCGTTCTGGCCAAGAAGATGCTGTCGCAGCCGCTCAACACGCGGTGCAATAACAAGCGTCGTCAGGTACGACTGCAACGTATTACAGAACCACAACAGCCGCGCGCGTAAGGAAAAGTAGAGTGCACGGTCGCCGGACGGAAGGGCATGGCCACGGCCGCCACCTCCGTTGCCGTTGCTATTATCGTCCTCGTCGCCCTGCTCACCCTGACCGTCGTCCAGCAACCGGTGCCGGCTCAGCAGGGCGCTGGCGCGCCGGATCTGCAGCAATAAGGTAAACACCGACTGGTAGCCGGCAAGGCTCGCAGCTGGGATCACAATCTGTACTGGCCACGCCAATCGGTAGGTCGGCCGGATGCGAGCCAGGCCGTCACGTACGGAGCGCCGCGCCACCAATGGGTCGTCGCTGTCGGGGTGCAGTCCTTGTTTTTCGAGGGCCACAGAGAGCGCACCGCTTTCACCATACGCCTCGCGTATCATCTCTGTCATTGTGTACCGATCAAGCCAGCGTGGGTTGCGCGTGTCGAGGCTGTGGAAGACACGCGACGCAAACGCGTCAGCTGCCGCACCGTCGGCCATGAGGAACACGCGGTGTAACGACTCCAATGCAGCGCCCAGGCCACATGCGCCCACGAGCGTCGCTTGTAGGGTGGCCGAGGCCGCGTGGTGCTTGCTCTGGATCCAGTGGTCAAATGCGTCTCCAAACAGCTGCGCAAAGGGCGCCATGGCCGCGTCTGGTGGACATACAGTACCGAAATCCAGCCGCGGTTCGGTGTCTGTGATGTGGCGATTGTCGATACTAGCACGGGCCCGCCCCGGGTCTTTGCCCAAGTGCCGCAGCACGACGATACTTTTGCCCGTGGTGAAAATCTTGGAAGCTGCTGGCTGCAAGAACCGCGGCGCATGCAGTACGCCGCTCGTCGTACGGAGCAGCTTGTACTGGCCGTTCCAGATCTGGTGCAGTGGCACGGAAGCGTCTATCGGCCCGCCGCCGGACACGAAAAACGCCTTATCGAGCCGGTCCAGGACGCCCTCCTCCATCCATGACCGGATCGGCCGTAGGTACACTTGGAAGCAGTCGAAGAAGATTGTGCCCAGAAATTCGTATAAATTAGCACTGCCCTCGTACTGTGCAATGGCCGTGGCGTCAAACAGGAGTTCAAGGTAGCGGAACGCATAGGCGTTGCCGCGCTCTGCGGCGTCGAGTTTCTCCACCACGCCCGACAATGCAAACAGGTTTTGGAGCGATGGCTGCAGCTCGTTGAGCACGCCCACGAGACTAACCATACAGCCGTCGGACGGCATGGTCACAAACCGAGCCTGAACCGAGGTCACCTCCTTGTCGAATGCGTGGAGCCGCCGTTGGATGGCTTCCTGGAACACTTGGAGCAAAGGGATGGAAGGCGCGGCGTCGTTCCGTTGCCGGCCTTGTGAGTGCTCGAGCCCTGCACGCTTCCGTAGTGGCAGAAGACGTCGGCCGCAGTCCGCGACAGAATCCAGTAGCGACGTGTGCATGGACACAGACACATCCGAGAGACGGAATTTGTCGACAAGCACGCAGTCACGGCCAAACAAAGTAGTGTCCAGCCCCTGCAGCATGAAGAGAGTGTCCCGCACAATCTGCAGCTCCGACACGAGGACTCTGTTATTTGGCGCGTCCTCGCCGGATGCAGCATCTGGTGGACGCGCTGTTCGCCAAGATTGACTCTCGCGGATGGACGTCAGTAATGTTGCCAGTTCGTCCCGTGTATGCCCGTCTGTTGCAATGAGGTCACGATACGTCCGTGCTTGGCCGTGGTCGTCGGCCTCGATGCTGGACATGGTGGTGTCGTCGTCGTAGCCGGATTCATCGTCGTCGTAGCCGTAACGGTCAACATAGTCGTCGTCGTCGTCGTAGTCATCCTCCTCAACGTCTGCTTCGCTTGCCCAGCCGTCCTCCCGCATGATGTCCTCCCATCGTAACGGCGGCGGTTCCGGCATATGCCGCGACGCTATCAATGCATCCAGGTCGTCTAGTAGGCCCGGTCGGGTTGCCGGCCGATCCGACAGCTCCAATAAAAAGTGCAAAACTTCGGGTGTCCATTTTGTCGTCAATGGCTGCCCGGCGGGATCGTGTTTGGTGAGTGCAGTCCGCCGTTCCCGCAGAGCACCAGCCAGCGCATCGCGGCCGGCCACGGCGAACCGCTCGGCCAGACCGTCCAACTGGCTCTCGACCTCAAACTGGTTTGTCCGAAGATTGTTGTGATTTCGCAATGCACGCAGTGTTGCATCACACAGCGCTGCAAATGTCGACGAGTCAGTTGTTGCCGTCGCTTCCGTCACCGCTGCGACCAGCTCCTCAGTCTGCGCCGACAGTGTCGCGAGGAAGGCCATGGCGGCCGGCGAGAGGCGCAGTCCTTGGGAAAGGAAGATTTTTATACTGGAGCCTCTAGTGTTTGTTTACCTTTTGTTTTCCAATTTCCCCCCGTTCTTTCCAATATAAAATTATCTTGACTCGCTCTCCATTGCACCTTCCTCGCACGTGGAAATCGCTAAAACAGCTTTACGCGTCGCGTATAAATATACAGTGCATGATCTGCGTACAAAACCCATATCGGCACTGTATTTGCACCAGCCACAACGGTTGCCACGCGTTTAAATGACATCAATCCACCCCTATTTCAGTCAGCAACGCCGCTGCAGGACGGTCTAGGGCGTGGAATAGGCGCAACAGGGGCCCTAAGGCCCAGCAATTTCGCACGTTAGCATAGTTTTCCAGTGCAACTAAGGCCAGCTTACCACAACGGCGCATAAGCACGAGGCAATCGAAAAAGGCAAACAGCTACGTTTGACGGAAGACGACTCTGTCTGTCCATATTCTCGCAACCAACATTACTCGCGACGGTCTGTCTGTTCGTACGACAATACGACTCGGCGAATTGACGGATAGAACGGAACAAAGCATTGCGCGCTGCCGAGATTGCCATGTAAATAGACAGCAAACAACGAAGAGATCATCACCAAAACGACGACACATTGCATCGACGATATCGGCCGCACCGACAATAAAGCAGACGTTTGCTGTACGCTCTTCCACGAAGACCTACCCCCTTCTGTTCTTGCGGTGCCATTGTTCGCGCCCACGACGGTAGTGGTGTCCTCATCGACGTCGAAGATCACAGCGACAATATAACGTGACGAGTCGAAGAGACAAGCGAGGACGGTCGACATAGACGAGACGACGACATTGGAGACGGCGTCCACCATTGGCATCATCCCATACGCCAGCAACGTTTTGATTTGCTCGTCCCGGCCGGCATCTCCCCTTGATGACCGGCTGAGGGTTTGACTCGACTCGACCGAACTCGACCGCCCATTGGAACTCTCTTCCTTCTTCCTCACCCACACAACCGCCACGATGACAATCGCACGGCCGGTACGCGCGCTCATTGTAGCCGTTGTGTTTGGCATTTGCCTGCTTGTTATGCACTTTGCGGGCTCGTCGCCCAGCAAGCCGTCTGTCTTCAAGCTCGACTCCAACGAGCGCGACCCAAATTTAGATCGTACGTTGTCTTCCTCCGGACCCTACTCGTATACGTGCACCACCTTTCCGTTTTGTCTAACACTCTTCTTCCTTGCAGCCACACATGAACCCGAGGGCATATTACGACGCACGTCCAAGGGCTACCTGCCGGGCCCCGAGGGCACCGAGCGCATCAACGCGACGCTGCTGGCGCTCGTGCGCAACGAAGAGCTCAACGGCATGCTGCAGGCCATGGGCGACCTCGAGCGGACGTGGAACCACAAGTTCAACTACCCCTGGACGTTCTTCAACGACGTGCCCTTCACGGACGAGTTCAAGCGGCGCACCAGCGCGGCCACCAAGGCCGAGTGCCACTACGAGGTGATCCCCGACGAGCACTGGGCCAAGCCCGGCTGGATCAACGAGGACCTGTTCCAGGAGTCGGTCAAGATCCTCAAGGAGAACGACATCCAGTACGCCGACAAGCTGTCGTACCACCAGATGTGCCGCTGGAACAGCGGCATGTTCTATCGCCACCCGGCCCTCGAGCACATGCAGTTCTACTGGCGCGTCGAGCCCAAGGTCCACTTCTTCTGCGACGTCGACTACGACGTCTTCCGCTACATGCAGGACAACAACAAGACCTACGGCTTCACCATTACGCTGTACGACGCGCCGCAGTCCATCCCCACCCTCTGGCCCGAGACCATCAAGTTCCTGGCCGAGCACCCGGAGCATGTCCATCCCAACAACGCCATGGACTGGCTGACCGACCGCGTGCGCCGCCCGGACCATTACAACAAGGCCAACGGCTACTCGACGTGCCACTTCTGGACCAACTTTGAGATTGCCGACCTGAGCCTCTGGCGCAGCAAGGCCTACGAGGACTACTTCAACCACCTCGACCGCGCCGGCGGCTTCTTCTACGAGCGCTGGGGCGACGCCCCCGTCCACAGCATTGCCCTCGGCCTGTTTGAGGACAAGAGCCGCATCCACTGGTTCCGCGACATTGGCTACCAGCACATCCCCTTCTTCAACTGCCCCAACTCGCCCAAGTGCAAGGGCTGCGTCACCGGCCGCCTGACCGACGGCGAGGCCTGGCTCAATCGCGAAGACTGCCGGCCCAACTGGTTCAAGTATGTGGGTATGGGCTAAGACCGCCACGGGCCATTATGACGTGCTGTATTACATTTCCTCTTTCTGTCTTTCAGGTTAATCGGCAACATAATGCATTGTGCACAACGAGTACAACAAAAGGCGAATGGGTTGCTTTCTGTGTTTGCTTTTGTTTCTTTGTTTTTTGTTTTTTTGTTTTTTTGTCTTTTTTTCTCCGTCTTCTTTTGTTCTTCTATGACTCTTTTGTCATTTTGTTGACCGCCGTGTTTATTTTCTGTGTAAATTTTCTCTTGCTGTACAAAATACCTCTTCAACTTTGCAACATATATCCCAAGGACACGCAAGAGACAGATATCTATAGACTACACTAAACAAATACGACATGAAAAGACATCACCTGGCATAGCGTGCAAAGGACAGAGAGCCTGCCTCACCACGGTCCAAACACCGTTACGACGCCCGATGTGCCGCCCACGCAGAACTGGTCGCCCCATCCGCCGTCTTGCCATGCCAGACAGCTCGTCACGTTGCGCCGCTCCTTCTCGCGACCGTCACGACCAATGGACCGGCCACTGGTCGCGGCGCCCGGTGGGCCCCACGGCACCGTCACCGTCGCGGCCACGCGGCCCGTCAGGAGATCCCATGCCCACACGCGACCGTCCGGCGTCGTATTCTTAGACGGCGTGAGGGCAGCCGCTTCACCTGGAGGGCGGCCCATCTCGTCGCCGGCCACCACAAATCGCTCGCGCCCGCCAATCAACGACTGCACCCGCAACTCCTCGTTGCGCCAGACAAGGCCAGCGTCTTTCGCCGTCGCCGACTCCTTGTCCTCGCTGCCGGATGAATACGTCCGCAAGCAGGTGCCGTTCTCGCGGTCCAGCAGCCGCAGCCGGCTGTCCAGTGCGCCCACCAGCAACGACCGCCCGTCGCGCGTCAGGCTCAGGCTCGTGACTCCCGCACTGCCGCTGATCACGTCGGTCGTCTGCCGCCCCGTCCGCACATCGTACGTCCGCACGCGACCGTCGACGCTGGCCGCCACAATCTGGGCGCCACGCACAACCAGCGCCGAGATCGCGTCACGCGCTTCCGATAACGCCTGGATCGGCTTGACATTGGGCCCGCTGCCGCCGCTGCGTGTGTCCCACACGCGCACCACAGTATCGAAGCCGCCGCTCACGACCAGACTGTCGCCCTCGCCCGCAAAGCACACGCAGTTGACGCGCCCGCCGCCCGTTCCGCCGCCAAACCGCCGCAGCGTCTGGGCTGTCGTGACATCCCACAGAAACACCGTCCGGTCACCACCGGACGAGACGAACCGCGCATTGTCGGCAGCGCAGGCCAGCGACAGCACTTCGTAGCCGTGCTCGGCATAGGTCTGAATAAGGCGGCCTTCGGGGATGGGGGTGGCACGAGGCGTTGCGCCAGCTGACGAACTCGTCACGAAGCCATGGTCTTTGGTCTTGGCCAGCGATGGTGTGCCAGCCGTGCCTGTCGTCGGCAGCGGGTTGTAGAGCCGAATCGACCGATCAGACGAACCGGTCAGAATGTACGTGCCGCTGCCGGCCGAGTAGGTCACAGCATGGACAGGACCTGTTTGTTAGCAGATGGCGATGAACAGTGCACCCGAAAGCATGGAAACTTACCATTTGAGCCAAGAAGCTGGGCAACAGGCCTGTCCGGAAAGGACATTGCGAAGGAAATGAGAGCGTGAAAGAAAAACGAATGGAGGGAAACGAGGAAACAACGGCGAGTCAATAATAGGGGCTCGTCTCGAGCGGGATAAAGTGCTACCGCAAGATCATTCTGTCTTCCGCACGTATACAACAGCCAACAAGAAAAGTTGAGTAAAAGGCTGTGGATAAGGAACAAAAGCGTAGTGAAGATTGGCCGAGCGTGTTGATGTCGACAACGGCTATGAGCTTTAAGACTCCACTGACAGACACCAAGTTGGTACTAGTGCTGGAGAAGTTAGTGCACCTGGATAAATGCATAACCGACTATCAAAGGTCGCGACATTACTAGACGTCAAGAGACACAAAGCGAGCACATCCATTTGATAATGAACCAAACTGGGGGGAGGGAGCATGAAGGGTCTAGAAATGAGAGAATAATAATAAAATAAACGAATTACCATGCCATTTGAACTTACATGCTATCACTACACCCGTGTCGGTGATGTTCTCGCTTTCCTGCATATCGATATCGGAGACTAGCGGGGTGATACAGAGAAGAAAAATTTACGGCGGGGCAGGAGCGAGTCACTTACACGCCCTTGCCGTTTTCGTCTGCTCTGGCTAGTCCTCTTTCCTTCCTTTCGGTCTCTCGCCCCGAGACTAGGAAAGAGGAAAAAAAGTGTTTCGACGAAAAACACAACAAATCAACAATGCCACATTGACCCCTGTGAACACCGCACCACCACGTCCTACCCACGATCACACCCGCCCTCCCGGACGCTTTCCGCCGCTCGCCATGGCCTCCGTGTTCTTCTCCCTGACGGGAGAGTCGTGCTACACGCCCTCGGAGGCGAAGAAGCTGACGGAACGCATCAACGCCGCGGGTTCGCTTCAGATCGCGTCCATCAGCGGCCACTGGGCGTACCACGTCAACCTCAAGCCGGGCACCGCCCCCAACGACGTGATTGACCGTCTGGAACAGCTGCTGCCGCTGCCCAAGACCCCGGGCTCGGTCGGTGCGGCCACCGAGGCGGCCGCACCCGGTCTGCGCCAGACCTATGCCATTGCCCCCCGCAACATCTCGCCCTGGAGCTCCAAGGCGACGAGTATTGCGGCTGTGTGCGGCATGGGTGCCCAGGTCGAGCGCATGGAGCGCAGCCGCGCCGTGACCATTGAGTTTGTCGAGGCGTACGCGGGCTCGGCGGACGACCTGCCCTTCCGCGACTTGATCCACGACCGCATGACCGAGGCCCTGACAGCCGGCAGCGAGCCGGACCTAGCCCGCATGTTTGCTCAGGAGGCCCGCCGCCCCCTGGAGACGATTGATATCTTCGGCCAGCCCGGCACGGATCCCGTGGATGTGCTGCGGGCGTACAACGAGGCCAAGGGCCTCGCGCTGGACGAGGACGAGATGGCGTACCTCGTGGCTGAGTTCAAGGCGCTCGGCCGCAGCCCCAACGACGTCGAGCTCTTCAGCTTCGCCCAGGTCAACTCCGAGCACTGCCGCCACAAGCAGTTCAACGCCCGCTGGACCATTGACGGCGTCGAGAAGCCCAAGTCGCTCTTCCAGATGATCCGCAACACCCACGAGCGCAACAGCCAGTTCACCGTCTCCGCCTACAGCGACAACGCCGCCGTCTTCCACGCCGAGCCCGCCCAGTTCTGGGCCCCCGACTACTCGACGCGCGTCTGGCGCCTGACCAAGGAGGAGCAGCCGTCGTGCTTCCTGGCCAAGGTCGAGACCCACAACCACCCGACGGCCATTTCGGCCTTCCAGGGCGCGGCCACCGGTGCCGGCGGCGAGATCCGTGATGAGGGTGCCGTGGGCCGCGGCTCCACGCCCAAGGCCGGCCTGTGCGGCTTCTGGGTCTCGGACCTGTCCATCCCGGAGCTGCCCACCCCCTGGGACGTCGACATTGGCAAGCCGGGCCACTACACCAGCAGTCTCGACATTATGCTGGACGCGCCCATTGGCTCGGCTCGCTACAACAACGAATTCGGCCGCCCGTGTCTGGCTGGTGTGTTCCGCACGCTGCTGTCCAACGACGGCGAGGAGACGGTCAAGAACGCGTACCGCGGCTTCCACAAGCCCATCCTGATTGCCGGTGGCCTGGGAACCGTGCGCCCCGGCCACGCGCTCAAGAACCCGCGCGACGTGCAGAATGGCGCGCACGTTATCGTGCTGGGCGGCCCTGCCATGCTGATCGGCCTGGGCGGCGGCGCCGCGTCGAGCAATGCCAATGCAGGCAGCGCGGCGTCGGCGGCGCTCGACTTTGACAGCGTGCAGCGCGGCAACCCTGAGATTGAGCGCCGCGCGCAGATGGTCATCAACACGTGCGTGGCGCTTGGCGACGAGAATCCCATTGCCATGATCCACGACGTCGGCGCCGGCGGTCTGTCCAACGCCCTGCCCGAGCTGGTCAACGACGCCGGCTTCGGCGGCAAGTTTGAGCTGCGCCAGGTCGAGAGCGCCGACAACAGCATGAGCCCGCTGCAGATTTGGTGCAACGAGGCCCAGGAGCGCTACGTGCTGCTGGTCAACCCCGAGGGCTACAACCGCTTCATGAGCATCTGCAGCCGCGAGCGCTGCGGCTTCTCCGACGTCGGCACCGTTGTCGCCAGGGACGCCAACGGCCAGAGCAAGCTGATCGTCACGGACCGCGACGACACCACGGCCCCCAACCCCATCGACCTGCCCATGACCACCCTCTTCCCCAAGAACCGCCGTCTGGAGCGCGTCGTGGCCTCTCGCAAGCCGACGCTCGCCGTCTTCGACCCTCTCGCGACCATCCGGGAGGGCTACGGCAAGAGCATGGACGACCGCGCGCTGCTCGCCGAGACGATACGCCGAGTGCTGCTGGTGCCGTCCGTGGGCTCCAAGTCGTTCCTGATTACGATCGGCGACCGCTCTGTCGGCGGCTTGGTGGCTCGCGACCAGATGGTCGGCCCATGGCAGACGCCCGTGTCGGACGTTGCTGTGACTGCTGGTGGCTTCAACGTCGACGGCCGCGTCCGCTCGGGCGAGGCCATGGCCATGGGCGAGAAGCCGACGCTGGCGCTCATCTCGCCCGCCGCGTCGGCCCGGATGGCCGTCGTGGAGAGTCTGATGAACTTGGGCGCTGCCGACCTGCGCGACGGCCTCCGGCGCGTGAAGCTCTCGGCCAACTGGATGGCGGCCGTCAACCACCCTGGCGAGGGCGCGGCCCTGTACGAGGCCGTTCACGCCATCGGCGAGGAGCTGTGCCCGCGCCTGGGCCTCGAGATCCCCGTCGGCAAGGACTCGACGTCCATGAAGACGTCGTGGACCGACGGCAACGACGAGGTCAAGACGGTCACGGCGCCTGTATCCGTCGTCATCTCCGCCTTCTCTGTGGTCAGCGACATCACCAAGACCTGGACGCCGCAGCTGCGCCGCCCGGAGGAGGTCGGCGACACTGTGCTCATGTACGTCGACCTGGCTCGCGGCCACCAGGCGCTCGGTGGCTCGGCTCTGGCGCAGTCGCTGGGCCGCGTCGGCCACGAGGCGCCCGATCTGCGCGACGATCTCACGAAGAACGACAACATCATTGCCGACTACTTTGACGCCCTGCGCCAGCTGCACGAGAGCGGCGTTGTGCTGGCATACCACGACCGGTCCGACGGTGGTCTGCTGACGACGCTGGTGGAGATGATGTTTGCAGGCCGCTGCGGCGTCGACGTGATGCTCGACGACATTGCCCGCTCGGGCAAGCTCGAGGACGTTGTCCCGGCGCTGTTCAACGAGGAGCTGGGCGCTGTCTTCCAGATCCGCAAGGGCGACGAGATGTTGTTCAAGTCCGGCTTCTCGACCTGCGGGCCGCCCGCCGGCCTGATCCGCAAGTTTGGCGTCGTCAAGACACGCTCCCGCCAGTCGCTGACGGTTCGCTACGGCAACGACACGCTGGTCCAGCTGGACCGCAGCGAGCTGCAGCAGTGGTGGTCCAAGACGTCCCACGCCATGCAGCGCCTGCGCGACAACCAGGCGTGCGCCGACGCCGAGTTCGCCACGCTTTCCGACGACGCCGACCCGGGCATCTCGTACCGCCTGACCTACAAGCCGGCCGACACGCTGTCGCCCCTGACGGCGCCCATCTCGCGCCTGCTGGGCAAGACGCCGCGCGTCGCCATCCTCCGCGAGCAGGGCGTCAACGGCTACGCCGAGATGGCCTTTGCGTTCCGCGCCGCCGGCTTCGACGCCGTCGACGTGCACATGACCGACATCCTCGAGGGCCGCTCGCTGGCCGACTTTGTGGGCCTGGCCGCCTGCGGTGGCTTCTCGTACGGTGACGTCCCCGCAGCGGGCATGGGCTGGGCCGCGTCGGTGTTGATGCACAAGGAGAACGCGCGCCGCGAGTTCGAGGCCTTCTTCCAGCGGCCCGACACCTTTACGCTGGGTGTCTGCAACGGCTGCCAGATGCTGTCGCGTCTGCAGGAGCTGATCCCGGGAACGGACCACTGGCCGACGTTTGTCGAGAACGCCAGCGAGCAGTTCGAGGCCCGCGTGTCCATGGTCACCATCGCCGAGGACGAGTCGCGCACCGACGGCGTGCTGCCGTCCGTCTTCCTGCACGGCATGGCCGGCTCGTCGCTGCCGGTCGTTGTGTCGCACGGTGAGGGCCGTGCCCTGTTTTCGTCGCCGCACGCCCAAGAGGCCATTGAGAAGCGTGGCCTCGCGCCCATCCGCTACGTCGACAACCGCCTCAGCGTCACCGAGGCGTATCCGTACAACCCCAATGGCAGCCCTGGTGGTGTGGCCGGTGTGCGCAGCTTGGACGGCCGTGTGCTGGCCATGATGCCGCACCCGGAGCGTACGATTGTGGCCGGCGTTGGCAGCTACCTGCCGGCTGGTTCGGTCGAGGAATGGGGCAACTTTGGCCCATGGGTGCGCCTGTTCCGGAGCGCACGCAAGTGGGTTGGCTAAAGACGTCGGGGAATACTGTTTACGTGGGCTTGGCTTCACTTTGCTTTTGCTGTGTTATTTTATTATTCATTTGGGCCTTTGATCTACGGTGTTTGTTTTGGTTGGGTACATTGATAGCTTTTCATTTTCCGGTTTTGCGTTTTTATTATTCCATAATACGTTTCATAAAATCAACGTTTCAATACATATTATTTTATTCGCAAGATGATCTGATACTTCTATCATAAAACTGTATAAATTCGCATTGGCTGCAGCACAGAATTGTTCTAAATATTGTATAAAAATATCGTGTCATTTATTGCGACAAGTAAACCATTCAAAAGGCTCTCAAACAATTACTCCAAAACTATCGTTTCTCATACCCCAGATCCGAATAAAACAAATGTTCTTTCTCAGAACGTCCCTAAACGCCAGTCTCCCGATGTAACACATGCAAAAAGTCAGCAAAACAAAAACAGATCGTGAAGCAATAGGAGGCAAAGGCATAGCTTTCTAATCCCCACTGAAATCCATATCATCCATGCTCCTCCGCCCATCATAAACATCATAGCCAACACAAATCAACTCATCGTGCTGTTTTCTCGTCATCCAAAAAAGGCTCCCTCGTGCATGTGCAATACCGCCTCCCAAACAATAAATATACGAACAAATGTTAAGAGGACAACGGCGATAGCTCCCAGGAGATAGGGTAATCTCAAGGACAAATGACATGATGAAAAAAATTAAAATAAAAAGTGGCTTATGAAACAACCGAGAAGACCCCCTTACAGGATCTCTCTTAATTTCTGCTTCTGGGCCGGTGTCAGGGTCGTTGGGAACTTGACGTTATACTTGACGATAAACTTGCCGCGCTGGCCTGGCTCCTTGGATATCGGCATGCCCAGTGACGGGTATGTGTCGTTTGAGCCGGGCTGTGTGGGGCCCGACTTGTCGAGGTTGATTTGTTTGCCGTCAATCGTCGACACTGTGCGCTTCCAGCCCGTCAGGGCCTCCTTGAGGTTGAGGTCAACATGGGCCACGATGTCGTCGCCGTCGCGTGTGAAGATGGGGTGCTTCTTCTCCTCCACAATAAAAACGAGGTCTTGCTGACCGCCCTCTTCCTGGTCGCCCACGCCCTTGAAGCGGATCTTGCTGCCCTTCTTAAGACCGGCCTTGATAGGCACCTCGAGGACCGTATCCGTCGTTGTGCGCTTGCCGCTCTCGTCGTACATCTTGCGCTTGATCTTCATGCGCTTGGTTGTGCCGTTGAACATTTCCTCGAGTGTCACCGGCAGCGGCCGCTCGACGGTGCTGACTTCGGGCGTGTGGTGCCGTGCGCTGCGACCAAACGGATCGCCACCTCCACCGCCAAAGGACCCTCCGCCCGACCGTGATGAGCGAGGCATGCCGCCGCCGAAACTGCCTCCGCCAAGGCCTCCGCCGAGCAGGTCCTCGAGACCCTCTGCGCCAGTTGTGCGCAAGAAGTCGGCAAACGTGGTGTCGGGGGCGTTAAACTTGAACCCCCCGCCTGGGCCGCCACCCGTGGAGAAGTTGAATGTGCGTGTGCCGCCACCGCCGCCCGGCATGCCGCCAAAGTTCATACCGGAGAAGCCACCGGGCATACCGCCACCACCAAAGGCACCGCCCGCGTCCGCGTCGCCCTCGTATGGCACGCCGCCGCGAAGGATGAATTCGAGACCGTAAGTATCGTAGGTTTTCCGCTTCTCCGGGTCGGACAGAATCTCGTAGGCTTGCGAACACTCTTTAAACTTTTCCGAGGCGGTGGCGTTGTCTTTGTTCTTGTCCGGATGCCATTTCAAGGCCATTTTTCTAGTTGAATGTTAGTACCGGTTGTTGAAATAAAACGTGTGCTATTATATCGGGTGTTATTCATCGTGCAGCGTGCTTACCGGTAGGCCTTTTTGATCTCATCTTGTGACGCATCTGGCTTGATGGCCAGCTGGTCATAGAGCTTCGTTTCCTTGACCATTGTGGCTAAAAACGGTATAAAGGTCGTTTAAAGTTGGAGGTTGAGACAAAAAGAGGATGATGAGAGAAAGAAAGAGGGAGGCAAATCAAGGTCGGCCGTCAGCCAGGTTGTAATGGCGGTGACGAGGAGTAGTGAAAGAATACGACCGGAGAATGCGACCGGGTGCTGAGTGGCAGCCAACGTGTCACGGCTTTTGCCCAGTGAAAAGCAACCGACTAGACGTCGCGAGTATGTTGTGGCAAAACTGGGCAAAATCAACGAGGAGGGGAGGAAAGGAATGGTGGCTCGCAATTGGTCGCAGGCCTGTTGTTCTTGGGCGTTCGTTGAGAGGAAACTCCCTGTAGAGACCTCGTTTTGCTATTTGGAGAAGGCCTCGTCGGAGAGGAGAGGGTCGAGTGGATTAACTCGACGTTGGAAGTCGTGGATTGTTTTGACGTGCAATGTGGAAAGAGAGCGAAAAAGAGGAAAAGCAAAAAGAGAAGAGAGGAAGCTAATGGCAGAGAAGGGAGGGCTGCTATGTATACAAAAGTGGTGCGACTCTGCCGAAGAACAGCGAACACTACTAGAAGCGCCTCGAAGATCGCTGATGGGGAAGCTCTGATGGTGAGCGGGCTTCCGAAGCTGGACGGAGGCCGTTCTGTGAGTGTCGTGAGGCTGTGATTCTGTTTTGAGGTGGATGCAAAGGGAAGAAGTAGGAGGTGATAGGATTCTACTGTAGAAGGCAAATAAATACAAGAAAAAGAGCAGGAACAAAGAATATGTAGAAAGGGCAAGAACGGAGAAAGAAGCAAGAAGCAAATGGGCAGGAGTGATGGGGCTCTTGCGGTGCTCAACGCATCTCGCTGTAGATGGAAATAGCGTGCCAATGGGCGGCCAAGGAGGGCAATGGCGGGGAGGCCAAGCAGCCACTCCGGGCGCAGACAGAGTGCACTTTTGGCGGCGGGGTCTTCACTTTTAGTGGGTCCGTCATAGTAGGTGCGAGAAGCTTCGACGCGTGTAGGCCTATGACTCGTTTCGGATATGTGCATACTCTGGTTTAGATGGTATCTCAAGATCAATTCGCAGATATGCCGGGCTGATTGGATTGAGTCTCACTTTACAATCACTTTACAGTCCATAAAGATGCTTGTCAACGGTTGCATTTCATTCGACATAAACAGCGAGATGACAAGGGGAAAACCGAGAGGTTTTGCGATGAACCATTTGGTCGACGTCATTGTCTTTGTGTCGTGTGTTCAAAAAGCGGAGACTTGCTAGCTGATAGATGCATAACGATTTTCCGGTTAGAGGCGACCGGCACTTACAGCCTCTTATTGACTGTATTCATAACCTCCTGCTTTAAGCAGCCATAGATTGGAAAGAAAACATAGTATTATAATACGGAAAACAGTTGATATCAAGGAAAGGGTAGATTGACGCCCCCAATGGAGGTGACCATAATTGAGATATGCAAATAAGCGAACGGATTAGGACAACAGGTATAGGACGAGGCGATGGAGGGTGAATCTCGTCTTTCAGTGCTTTCGTGTTTGTGACCTTTTTCGATTTTTTGAGGGGGGTTTCTTCACTTTCCCAGCTTCCCAGTTTGACCTGCTGGTCTCGTTTCTTTCTGTCGCTTTTGGAACGTCTGCCTCCAGTCCTCTCACTGCGACAGGATAATTTTGTCTCTCACACCGAGAGGATCGCACAACAGCGAACAAGGACAAACAGAGACAGGAAAATACGAGGAAATGCAACCTTGTGAGCCATCTCCAACTAGTGTGAGACCAGTAGGTGAGGTTCCATGCCATGCACTTGGTTACACATGCTCGACCTGTGCCTGGCGCTTCTCGTCACTCTGAGCCGTGGAGTAGTCCAGGTTCTGGCCAGCCGAGAGCTGCTTCTGCTCCAGCTCCTGCTTGCGAATCTGCTCGGCTTGCTGTTCATCCTCGAAGAGGAAGGCAAGCTCTTCCAGAGTGCGACCAGACGTCTCGGGCCACAGCCAGTAGATGAGGCCGGCCTCGACGACAATCCAGCAGGAGTAGACCAGCAAGTACTTCCAGCCGATTTTGCCCAGACCTGTCACGTGTTAGTGTGAGGACGGAAAAATAAACAAGAACAAAAACGACCAAGAAACAGAGACCGATCGGATCCTGTCGGGATCGTGTGACGAGACTTACCAATTGGGTTGACGTTGGTGCCAAAGAACTGTGCGGCCTTGCCAAAGAACTGGAAGATGGCAATACCGCGGGCACGCTGCGCATAGGGGAAGATCTCGACCAGATATGTGTACGTCAGCGCGTTGAAGCACGTGTTGTACGCCGGACTGTAGGCGTAAATCCAGAAGAGGGACATCTTCGCTGCAATGTCCGACGACGTCGTGTGCTGGCCTTTGGCTTTTGCTTCGGAGAAAATCGCCGAGCACACGGTCCAGCCAATGTACACGGCCAAGATGGACAGGATGCCCGTCAGGTACATGGTGCGGCGGCGGAAGCGCATGATGATGAGGGCGGCACCGACACCGCAGACCAGACTCCAGCACTGGTTGCCCAGGTTGTACTTTGCCTTGAAGTTGGGGTCGGTGAAACCAAGCATCGTCAGAACGTCGCCGAGGTAGTACGAGATGACGACATTGCCAGAAAGCTGCGTGAACAGGCCCAGAAGGCCGCCAATGACGACGCGGCGAAGGGCGCCACGCGTGCGCACCATGTCCATCCACGACATGCGCGCATGCTCGAGCTCAATGGCGAGGGTGGTCTTGATCTCGGCCATTTCCGCAATCACAAACTCCGAGTTCGGGTTGCCCTCACCGTGGTACTTGACGAGCACCGCCAAGGCCTCTTCGTGCTTGTCGCGGCTAATCAGCCAACGGGGGCTCTCCGGCAGGAACAGCACAAACGCGACTTGGAGCACCGACGGGGCCATCTGCAGGAGCGAAGGAATGCGCCACGACCAGTTGGACGTGATCTGCTGGGTGCCGAACGTAATGCCAGCCGCAATGATAGCGCCGATGAAGTAGCAGGCGTTGAATAGGGCAGTCAGGATAGGCCGCTCCTTGGGATAGCCCAGCTCGCCAATGAGACACGAGCCGGCGACAATGGCAAAAGGCAGGCCAAAGCCGATAATGCACCGTGCCAAGATGTACATGACGCCGTTGATGGCAAAGCCCTGGATGAGCGAGCCGATGATCATCAGGAAGGAGCCAAACATGATGCACCACCGACGTCCGAAGCCGTCGTTGACATAGGGGATAAACGGAAGCCCGACACAGGCGCCCAGAGAGAGGGACGACGCCATGATACCCTGGTAGCCTCCTTTGGGATCATGGAAGTCTAGAGGTACTGGGTCAGTCGTGATCGTCCCTGTAGATCCCCCCACCTTCTCCTACACCTCTCTGAGTATCAATAGGAACTTACACGAGATCCATGCTGGCACCAGCTGCACGGCGTTGATGATCTGCGAGTCGAATCCGGACGTCATCTCGATACCGATGACACAGGGGAAGAGCAAGAGGTACAGGGTGCGCAGGTTCGGCTTTCGGTACCACGCAACGGGATCCTCCATCGCCATACGATGGAGGTCGTTGATCTCCCCATTGTTTGCGCCGACCATGGCTGCGGTGTTGTCTCGGGAATACGCCGAGATGCCGGGTTGTGGATTCTGAGTTGTGGGTTGTGAGCAAACTGTTCTCACGCTGGACCAGACGGTGTCGCCAACCTGTGATATTCGGGTTGGTGAGGCGTGTGGAGGAGATACAGGACAGAAAAGGAAGAAAACCCAGCAAATGGGAAGAAGGGAGAGGTAAGAAGAAAAAAGAAGAAGAGGGGAAGAGGGAAAAGAGAAAGGGGAAAGGGACTGGGCAACCAGACGTTAATAGATATATTAACAAGACCCAGGATATACGAGTCGAACTGAGAAATTAAAGTAAAATATGGCAAACGATCAGGCCCAGACACACCTCTGTGCTTTCGCCTCGTCGTATATATGGCATATGGAGAGCCCTGAATACAGATGCAGGCAGAGCGTGCACACAGGTTCTACAATCTGAACGAGATGGAGAACTCCGCCTGGAAGACGAGAAGCCTTCCAATCCCCTTTCTTCTCTCGGCTATTTTGTTCATCCTTCGTGCCTGACGAGCACAACACTGCCAAGATACCCTCAGACGGTCACAGTTGAGAGTCGACCAGCTCGTTGACAACTGCATCGACCCGAGCAGGTGGGTATGCCCGAGCATCGAATAGGAGCGGCCAGCTGTCCTTGAAGCGAGGCAAGGAGAGGGATAAAGTGTGCAAGAGAGAGGGCGTGATACACCAAATGAGGCAGAAGGAACTGCCAAGACGTAAACCGGGACGAAATAGCGGCTCAAATGGTATGGCATTCGGCTTCCCTTGTCCCTTTGTGCCTTTGATGCCTGCCTTTGCCCTCTGTTGGATCTCTAGCCTGTCGCCACCACCAGCCGCAATTTGTATCCATTGCGTCTATATTGGCCATAGTGCAGGCCATTCGGCCCGCTCTTCTCCAGAGACGGTGGGCGAAGGATGGGAGGGAATGGGTCAATGGGGAATGATGCGGTGGGGGCAAGAAAGCGGCACGGCTGGATGTCGTCTCCGGACGTCCACAAACCCATGGAACAGGGGGTGATCTGTTTGGCTGGAGGAAGAGAAACCGAGGAAAGAGAGGGAGCGTGTCAGAGAGAAAAGTCCCCTTCGTCCATCTTGTCTCTCTCTCTCATTCGTGCTCTTTGACTTTTGTTTCTTGTTTGTTGTTTGGGCTCCATCTCATATTTGGTGATCATTGCAGACCACTCCAGGTAATTCACGCCGGTGCTGCTTGCTTTCTCGTGCCCGTACACACCCCGAGCGTAACTGCGCCTTGGGCAGTTGGTTCTGTTGATTGCCCCCTTTTCGTATCACCACTCCCCCCTCTTTCTTCCTTTGGTGGTTTTTAATCTTTTTTTCTTTTTTATTCTCCATGTCGACTTTAGCCGGATCGACAAGGGCGGTGGTAGGTGATTTATGTCACCTTCCCGTTCGCATGTAGCAGGCTGTCATACCAAGCCCCGTGGGAGTTGTTTTCTGTGGTGTTAATCCACACGTGGGCGTCGTCGATATTCTTCTGCAGCTTCTTCTACTACCCTTCATTGCCTTGCTAATTTGTCCCCGAGACACATTGCCTCCATTTTGGTTGAGCGCTTGCTGCCAAACAAGTGTCCCTCTCTGTTTCTCCGTTTCCTCTTCCCCGCATAGCAAGATCACCAACGACGCGTGGCTCAAGATGAAGACACCCACTTGGTATTCGACTTTCACCTCTTGGCATTTGAGGGTGCAGGTGTCCATTCCTCAAACCCCTGTTCGCTTCGTCGACATTTGCATCTTTTTCTGCCTCCCCTTCCTTTGTTCTTCTCCTCATTCTAGACGTAAATCTTCCCCACGCTTGCGGCAAAAGGCAAAAAACGCAACATAGTAGCGTCAGGCAAAGGGACGAACCTCTGAGCCATCTGAAGGAGGGTGTGTGGTGAGGGTGGTACTTGTTGCAAGCAAGACCCTGTCGAAGACGGTATGCCAAGACCCAATCAGACAGACAAGCGAGGTCAGAACGAGGGTCTAATTTTGGATGAGAACTGACCCACTGTCGTGGCAGCAAGTCGTATATCTGGTTAGATGATGAGTCTGTTGGCTGGTTCTGGCAGTCTTTTAAGCTTGTCCTAGTGTGGCCACTAGTCGTTATGCTGCTTGGGCGATCGAGTCGGGACCGTTCTAGAGTGTTTTTTTTTTTTTTGGTTGCTTTTCTTCTTCTTCCTCTTCTTCCTCTTCTTCCTCCTCTCCCATGTCCTTCCCGTTTGTCTGATCGGCTGTTTGTCGTCGGGAGACTTTGTTTCCCTCTACCAGGTGGCCCCGAAGTTGAAATGGGAACTGGTTTTGCAAGACAAGACTCTGTATTGAAATGCCTCTTTCGTAAAATATTGTGTTCCAATTGTTCGTAGCGTACGGAGCGTAGCGTACGGAGTACGTCGAATGCCGAACGAATTGCCTTGCTTAGCAATACCTAAGAACGGAGTAAAACAAGGTTATTTTTTTGTGGGGGAGCATAAGCAGTCAGGCGCTCCCACTTTACCTAGAAAGGTGAGCTCGTGCCTGTTTCCCATACCCCAACCAGCTCCTCTGGCATTTTACGGCCTTTCTTGCCCGATTTGTTACTTTTTCCGTCAACGGGTATTGACTGCTACGGGCAGTCATTTTGCTAAAGACAGGCCGGTTCTTGGCGGCTGCGACCCTACCAATCTTGTGTTGTGCTGGTGTGGGAGCATGTTTCTGTCAGACATTGCGGTGTCCGAGTCAGGATATGCCGCAGGCCGTAAGTGTGTGTCTTACCTGTCGTGCCTTCTTTGGTCGCATTGGCCCATTCGTTGCTGGTTTTCCTCACATTGCGCTTCACGCGGTGAAATTCCGTCGGCCAAACTGATCCTTAGTTCATCCTGGATGACGACACAGGGTAGCGTGCCGGAATCCCTTTCCGTTGGCCTGTTTCTCTGCTGCAGTGTGCTGGAGAAAGACCGACAGCATCGATGTTCTCCAGAGTTCAATATGACATTTCTTTCGGAATTTTGTGGGTAGCCCGTTATCTGCCTTGGTTTTTGTTTCAGTTGGTCTATCGGCCTTTCTTGTGAAAATCAGACTCAAGCGTCGGACACGTCGCCAGAATCTGCCGAAATGAAGAAGGGGAGAGCGTTGAGGTAGTATCTCGCGTGCCCTCCAATCACCCCACACTGCAACTTCGGTAGCGATTGTGCCGAGTCGACCTTGACAAAAAGGTCTGTGGGCAGGATATCAGCTAGTTGTGGCTACATCTTGGCCAACAACATGACTTGGGCCTGGCACACAACCCTCGACGAATAGTTGAGCCCTAAGTACTGTACAGACAAATTTAAAACGAGTCAGTCAATGGAGAAGTCGATACTTTGCAGAACAGAAGAAAACATGCCGTGTCAGGTGGCAGGCTGAGACGAAAAGGGACATAAAAAGGAAGTACCTGGTCAGAGAGGCTCACAGACAAGCTTTGTGGCATTCTTTCAAATGCAGCTTGGCTCCTTGGTAGGATGAGCCAAGATGCAAACGGCGGGAGAAGACGGTGGACAACCTGCCTCGAGGACAGCTTAAAGGCACAGTCGGGCAACCGGACGACACACGCGACCAATAGAGAGTGTGCCCGCCAACCATCATCCCCCATCCAGACAACCCATCGCTTTTGCTTCTTCTACCTTTGGAGCAAGAACGAGGCGGAATAGAGCTTTTCTTCTTGTTCTTGAGTTGCCCTAATGTACCTTTGCGGTCGTTTCTCGGTTGATGTGTGTGATTCTTGAGGGCTGGGGCAGATGCATGTTACAGTGTCCATAGTAGCCGTCGGTCGACCGTGAATGCTATCTCCGTTGCATTTCGTTCGCTCGGTTCGATTTGCCATAATCAAGAGGTGGCAAATTACGAAAGATATCTCTCTATTTGTTACCGTGTCAGTCGCTGATCTGTTGGAACAGAGGGAAATGTTAGACTCGGAAAAGGGGGGATGATACAACATGGTAGGCAAGAGGCGCAGGAGATGATAAACGAAACAAGTAAACAAGGCAACTATAATAAATGTGCCATCACGATTGTCTTTTTTTTCCTCTGCCCTTTCTGATCTTACCATTGCCGATGGCACATTGTACAAATATCTTGCTGGATGTGTCTGTTGGTGATTTGTTTGCGACCGACCTGCAGCCTGCCTCTCAGTCGGCATGTCGCTGCATTGCTGTCGAATATTGTGTGGCATTGTCGGGAGTTGTGAGGTGGCGACGGGGCATCGGCCGGCGACAGAAGAGATGGAGGCAGAGTCAGTTTATAGGAGGGACAACAAATGGGACAGAGGTAAGAACGAAAAGACGATGAAAAAGGTGATGACAAACAAAGTGATATGTAAGCTGGAAGGAGCGACGAGCGTGCGTTGTTTGTTACTTCCTAATACGGTAAGCAATTGAAGCGCTAACAAAGAGGCAGGTGCGACTATCCCACTCCCTTTTTAATCCCGTGACGTTCATTGAGTGCTATGGTTGCAAGGGTGTGTATTTTGGGTGTGTATTTTGGGGGTGTTTTTTGGGTGTTTATTTATCTTTGCATTCGAGGCAGGTGATTAATGTCGTCTAAACATCCCAATACCCCTTTTATGCAGCTGGCATCACTCGACCGAACCTCTTGGAGGTCGCACCGCCACCAGCACCAAAATGGTTGTGCTGAACAGCGTGAGTAAAGAGAAAGGGCAGACACCAGTCCACAAGATTTTGTACCGGCCACCGAGGCGTAGGCCGGTACAAAATCCGGCAGCTAGAAACGGACCCGCCTCAACGGTGCCGATGTTTTCGAACAGGCCGATGGTGTTGAAAAGGTGGCTCGGGGGGCACGCACGGCCAGGTCGGCGAGTGGGCTGCGAAGGAGCTCGTTGCAGCCATCGTCAAAGGCAGGGCTCGACGAGGTCGACGAGCATGGCGGTAGCTTCGGGGGGGAGGTCGATGGAGATGGCTCCAACGGTGAGGATGGCGCAGCTGATACGGACACACCACCGATGGCGCTACCGTGCGTTCACCGCTCCGCCAGGACGAGACCGGCGGCGGGCAGAAGGAGGAAGAGGAGGGCCAGTAAGGCAAGTGACTTGATCGAGACGAATTGGCCACGTCGGGCCTATGTCTAGCTGAATCGATTGCTGGCAATTTGCATCTGCACCTCTTGCGTCTGTCTTTGGAGCGTCGTCGTGACGAAGGCACGGATAAGCAGCGTCACGTGCTAGCGAGGGTCAGTATAAAGTCTGTTGAGGACACCAGAATAGTCAGCGCGTATTTCACGACAACACCTCTGGCCGTCTTTACATCATCTCCGGATGGCCCCGGCCAGGGTTATGGTCCTGGGTTTCGGGAGGTCACCGGATACCACAGGTCGACCGACATGAGTGTACGCTGCGAGTATGGTATAGACGGCAATATGTTTCAATAAACGGTAAGCACACTTCTATATGATTACAACTCAAAGAGGTTGTGATTCTCTAAGTACAGAATAGGAAAGAAAATGACGACAACAAAGTTGGACGAAAGACATAAAACAGAACAAACAGTGCCTCGCCGGGCCTCAGATGTACATGGAAGTGAACATGGAACGCGAAGAAAAAGCTGTGTAGGACAAGGAACTGGGGTATTTTGTTGTACCTATACACGACAAGGAAAGAAACAAACCAGGAGAAAGCAAAAGGTGAGTGACGAAAGGTGAAAAACAAAATATAATGTGAAGGACAGAGGAAGAATGGAAAAGGGAGAAAGAAATATGGGGAGAAGAATGGGGAAATTTTGAAAACAAAAAGAAAATGAAAACAGCATCAAAACAGAGGAGGGGAAATCCTCATCAGATGGTGCCATCGTTGTCAAAAAAGGACCCTGAGTCGCCAAAAGACACAGAGGCTATGTCGTTGGCACCGGCCGGGAATAGGTCCAGCGGTGCCCACGATGCCGCGCCGCTCGCGTCAAACGAGAACTGGCCCTGGCTCTGGCTCTGGCTCTGGCTCTGAGGCTGGGGCTGGCTGTAGGTCTGAGTAATTCCTTGGCTCAGCGTGTGGCTGCCATTGTCCCAGCCATGGTCTGCAACATTGTGGTGCAGCGTGGCCGTGGATGGCGGCGCAGACGGCTCCATTTTGGGCACTTTGGGCGCCCGGCTCGGCGTATCAATGATGAAAACATCGTCATCATCGTCGTCGTTCATGTGACCTTGGTGGTTATCGTTGGCGTTGCTGTCGTCAATGGTAAAGCTGTTGTCAACGCTGCCGCCATTGCCGTAGCGAGGGTAGAAGACGGGTTGCCGCTGGTGCTGGACGGCCGTGTGGAAGACCAAGTCGCGATGATCAGGCGATGCCTGGTCGGGCGGCGAGACCCCTGCACTCAGGGCCGGCGTGCTGTCTGGCAGGAACGCTGTCGTTGTGGCAGCACCAGACGTCAACGCAGTCGTGGTCGGCGTAATTGGGCCAACTGACGACACCGCCAGGGGGAGCGAGGGTACGTTGGATGGCATGGCCATCCGGTGCGACGGTGTCGAGGCTGGTGTCAGGTCGAGCAGCTCGTAATCGACCTCCTCGCTGGCCAGCGTGCTGCAGCCATCGCCGCCGTCCTCCCCATTAGAAACGACGGCCTCGGCGACACGGCGTGCACGCTTAGCCGGAGGCCCAGATCCAACACCTGCGCTGGCGCCAACAGTGTTCGTGGAAGCCCCAGCGTTGGCCGGAGTGGCAGGAGTGGCCGGGGTGGCGGGTGTCTTGCGCTTGCGGGTTGGTGTTGCAGCGCCAGCGCCTATGCCTGTGCCTGCGGCGGCGGTCTTGCGGCCAGGCAAGGGGCTGGCCTGCTCTTTGTACGTGCCATCACGCATCGCTTTGGCCTCTTTCTTGATGGCCCGAAACTGGAACTCGATGCCCAGACGAGTGGATTCACCATAGTATTTTGCAATTTCTAAACCATTAGCAAAGAGGACCGGAAATGTATGTCACGAACAACGTTTAAGTGTGCCTGTCTCGTCTCATCATTCTCGTAGCCCAGGGCATACCCTTGTCACCCAGGTGAAAGATGCTGGCCAGCTCCTTGGCGTCCTCCTTGCTCGCTACGGCCTGGCGAAGCAGAGACGCCTGCTGCTTGATGGGCCGGAAGCGGTGTTCGACGCTGGACCTGGTTGCATCAGAGCCATAGTGCAGGGCAATGGCTGGTGGCCGAGTCGAGTCAGCCCACGCAGTCGACAGTGCCAGAGGGAAGAAGCGGACACAGAAAACGAGACGAAATAAGAAAAGAATGATGAACTATGCGTGGCAAGACGTGGTATAAGGACCTACCAGAATAGTCGAGCTTAACCGTCGGAAGACTCGCAATGACGGCAGCCAGGAGACGGCTCTGTGCCTCGTACGTGCGAAACACAGACGGCATGGCTGTGGTGTGTGTGGTTGGAAGCAAAGGAAAGACTAAGTTTGCTGTTGATGCAATGTGTCGATGGTGAGTTGGTGCGGTGTTGCGACGTTGCAAGAAGCAAACGGCCTCGGCGAGTGAATGTATTGTGTATGGTGCCTTCGATATGCCGTCAGCTGTTGCGTATATTGTACCGGGTCGTTTTTCAGGCACATAGAGGCCCTCGGCCTCGACGGTCGTACAAAAGAGAAGTATCACAAGACTGAAAAGCAATGGGAAGAAATCAGAACAACACGGCAAACGAATGACAAAAGTCGACTGAAAATAGGTACGACGTGCGAAAGGTACCAAATACCGAAGCAACGAGAGAGGGACAAGAAGCAAATGCGCCACACCACGTCCCGGGCTGCTGGGATGGACCATCTGCGAAAAGCGAGAAGAGTCGAAAAAATGCGGTGGCTGGGAGACCTGGGCCATCTCGGGGTGTTGGCGGCGATGCATGCCTAGCTGCTAACGGGTACTTTCGGGTGCACCAAAAACACTAATGTTATGAAGTACCAATCTAACATATTATAACGCGCCCGCGCGTGTTTTCTGGGCGCGACCTGGTGGCCAAAGCTTCGCGTCGACTTCGTTGGCTCTCGTTGCTCACTCCGTGTTACACAACTCCTCGCACCCTTCCATGTTGCTCCTCATCGTTACGTCAGGGGTGGCTTGTAAACGACAGAAGGGCAACGCAATTTTTTGCGACAACCTCGCCTCGTCGTCTCTATTGCCCATTGAACCTGCCCTCCTCGCTACCTTCCGCCGTAAAGTAGTATGCGCCCACTAAATGACGGCCCGCGCCGCTAAACCACAGCGACGCTTTGAGCTGCACCGTCTCGGACAGGCCAACGGAAGGAGCCAGCGGTGGAGCCAAGCAGCCCAAAAGCAATTCTTCACAGAACATCACTTTTTTGCAGCACAGGCCCAGTGGTCTTCGATGCCTCCAAACACAGGAACAAGTCGCATGTCATATTTATATGAATAGAATGGCAGGCCGGGGCCCCGCCGCCTCGTCGTGGCGCCCAAGGCCCGAATTACAAGAAAAGAAAGTCCACCGATAAATGTCAATGTGAATACACCGTGAATGCACGCACCCATGTGCACAATATTATGCTTGAGACAACCGGTCTCGTTACCTTTCTTACTTGGAATGGATCAGTTCCAATATGCATAGATCCGAAGCCATTTCCTAGCCTCATGAGCCTCATTCACTCCGTCCCTTTTATTTCAACAATCTCCAACCACCCACTCCTACCAAAACCGTTACCGCGCGTTCGGCAGGATCGATGCCGCTGCCGACCGGAACGCCGCCTCCTTTTCCTTGAGCATGATGCCCGGTCCGCCGCCGTCCGTGTCGCGTGCACTACTCGTCCCGTCGCCATACACAAAGTACTGTATGCCCAGGATCGAGTCGCACACCGCCTGGAACAGACCACACAGCTTAAACGCCCACGGAATCTCCGTTGTGGACGTGAAAAACCAAAACATCTTCATCGCGTCACCTGCCAGCCAGCTGGCCAGCACCGACACCCGGAACCCGCGGCACGACCGCGCGCGCATGTTTGCCCGGATCTGCGGCAGCGGCAGCGTCGCCTCCACCGACAGCCCAACGTAGCCGATCAGCACCGAGTACGCGCCGTAGAGGTCCGGGAAGGGACTCAGCAGCACCTGCAAGGCGAGCAGCGTCAAGAACATGTACAGCAAGAACTGCCAGTACGGCTTGGGCGACCGCCACTGCCAAAAGTTGTACGGCCGGTTGGCAAAGAGGCCGCCGCCGCCGCCTCCGGTCGGCGAGTTCGAGGCCGACGTCATCGAAAACGAAACCGACCGCGTCCGGCCGTCCAGGCCCGCAAACGGCGCCTCGCCCGTCTTTCCCGACGGCAGCGGCCGGTTGTCGAGCGCAATCTTGAGGAGCACGAGCTGCACCGCCACCATTAAGATCGACTGCACCAGCAGCGCCTTGTCAAAGTGTGCGCCCGGGTAGTAAAAAATGCGCAGGAGCGACGCCACCAGCATAATCAGTGGGATGTCCAGCGAGAATCCTGCACTCGATCGCTTGCGGCTCATCGATAACGCCTGGTCGCCGTACGAGAAGATTGGCGACAGTACCAGGAACAGTGGCGCAGCATAGCCGGCCAACGTTGTGAAGAAGCCCATCGAGGGGTGGGAGGCAAAGGGGGACGGGAGGGGTCGAGAGGGGTCAGAGAGGTGAGAAGCGGTCGAGGTCGAGTGTTGCCGAGACTGTGCAGCGCTATGCACGGTTGAGAAGAAATACAAAACACGCGAGAAGAAAGGAATGTGGTCGAGATTCGATTCGGGTCGAGGTCGCGGTCGCGCTTGCCAAGTGTCGCCGCGGGAGCCGGAGACACCGGGACTGTGCGGGAGGATGGGAAAGGGCGACGGAAGGAGCTGACGTACGACGTACTCCGAATTTGTTGCCGTCAGCTTATAACAAGATCGGAGACCCGTGAGGAAATTGAAGCGAGTGCAAAGGAATGCAGATGAACGCAACGGAAAACGAGACGCTGGACAAAAAAAAAAAAAGAAGCAATTCATCAAGAATAGTTAAAAAGGTTAGAAAAGCTTGAATTGTGATTTCAGGATACGTATTTGCCAATTAGCGCGCCCCTGCTGGGGGAATCTGGCAAAATCGGACTTGATCGAAAAGTGGGCCAAACTCGGCATGTGGATCACATCGAGCTTCCATTGGCTCTTTTTGAAATACAGCTGACATAATCACATTCCGCGACTTACACGGAATAGTTGGTGATGCAGTGGGTTTTGGACAACGAAACGAAACGTAGAAAGAAATACCAGGTAACGTTGCCTGGTGTATATATGGTTTCGAGCCGTTGACTCTCCCTTCTCATGGTCAGAGAAAGATAGTACATAAGCAATAGAATAGTGCCAAAACCAGAACGGAAAGAGAGACAAAACAGGATACCACCAAGAAAGATCCTGTCTCGTCAAGCAATCCCAAGTGGTGGACGACAAAAATGGTAGAACCAGTAAGCCGGAAAGTAGACAGGAACAAAACATGTAAGTGGCCAGCCATCCAACGCCAAGCAGGTATGCAAAAATGGCAAAGAAATCCAAACAGACATCCGAGATGTGCCTCCAAAATAACAACAGAAAAGATGCAAAAACAAGAAAAGAAAAAAAGAAGAAGAAGAACAGTACTAATACAGAGAAACCCATCTTAAGATGACGTTATAATGCAAACATAATCAAAACAGAGACAAGAAAGCAATGAACCTGGGGAAAATAGCACAAAACCGAAAGAAAAGGTGCCTGAGATGTTGCCGTTGTCGTGGGCATCGTGGTTAGACACGGCCGCGGTCAGACTGCCACGACCGCCGCAGAACATCGTCGTGGATACGCGGTAGATCGGGCGCGGAACGGGGCGGTGGAAGAAGCATCCGTGGCAGGTCAGACTGTGACGGTGAACCAGACTGTGACCGCGGCTGGGAGTAAGAGTCGTGCGTGTGGTGCGAGTAGTGGTGGTCCGGATATGGGTGGCTGCGGTGATGGTCGTGCGCTGACGGATGTAGCTGCGAGTGCGGAGAGTACTGCGAGCGGGGAGAAAGCTGATCTTGTTGCGCGTATTGCGAATGGGGCGAGTATGGTTGCTGCGGCGTCGACCGCGGGTACGATGGCGGTGGCGGCGGCGGTATAGGCGACGATTGTGGCTGCGGACCACTGCCCCATACGTGAGGCGGCGGCAGAACACTACTAGTCGAGCTGTGGCGCAGGGGATCGGCGGACGATGATGAGCTGGACAGTGTCGGCGAGCGGTTGCTAAACGGCGGTGAGCGGCCGCGGCCGGATGCCTTGTAGTGGTCGTAGTCGGAGCGCATGCGCTTGTTGTTTGCATTGAGAGCAGAAGATGATGGCGACTCAGGCGGCGGGCGAATGGCGGTCACAGAGCCGAACTTGCGGTGACTGTCCGGCTCGGTCGACGCCGTACCGGGCGAGTTGTTGTTTCCACCGCGGGGACTAAACAGTTAGAACGACGTCAAGCAAACTCCAACATTCGGTATTCGGAAATTTACCGGTAATGTACCGGTAAGGGTGCACATACGCATTCTTGAAGCGGCAGACGCGGCCAAACTTCTCGCACTGGACACAACGCGGGTACTCCGGGTCACACTTGATCTTCTTCTCGCGACACGTTATACATGCAATAGCTAGACGCTTGCGCGGTTTGCCCGCCTTCGTCACGCCCCAGTAGGGATTGACAGCCTCGCCATCAATGACAGCCTTGCAATGCGTACCGTCGTCGTAAAAGTAGCACAAGCCTTCACCCGGCACTTCCGATGCGTGCATGAATTGCGGTAAGAAATCCACGCCGGTCCAGATCTTGGGGCCCATGCCCAGGCCTTCCTTTGGTACACCGCCCGCACCAGCACCAGCGCCAGCGCCAGCGCCAGCATCGGGGAATGCGCCACTGGCAGGCGTTGACGGGAGGCTGCTGCCCGATCCAGGCGAAGGCCGTCTATCGGCATCATGAGCTGGTCCTCTCACCGGGCTACGCTGCTGTTGCTGAGTGGGTGGTAGCGGAGGCAGAGGCGCCGTCTTGTGGCTGGAGTATGACTGTGCAGGGGGTGCTGCCGGTGCCTGTTGCTGCTGGCGGTAATAGAAACTTGGCGAGGACGGCTGTTGCCCGTCCTGCAAAGACCACTTGCCTACGGCGACGTAGTTGGAGCGCGCGTCGGGCCACTGGTGAGAATGCTGCTGCTGCTGCGGTTGCTGTTCATGCTCGTGAGAGCGCGGCGAAGGCGGCTGGTACAGTTGGTTAACGGTTTGCCGCTCATCAGCGCGAGGGGAGCGCTGATCACGGCGTTGGTAGTGCTGATGTTGGTAGTTGCCTGAAGGGTACGGCTCGTGTGATCCTTGCTGCGATGTTGCCGACTGTGGTGGAGGCAAGTAGGTAGCTTGCGGCGCGGGGAATCCAGGAGATGGTGGCCTACCATGCTGGTCATACGGAATGTACGAACGCTGACTGTACGAGCCTGTCGATCCGGCGGATGGCGGGCCACCACCACTTTGAGCAGATGTTTGCGGAGGGCCGAAGATGCTGGTCAGCGAAGGTAGTCTCTCTGGGAGCGGTCCGCTCGTGACTTGAGGCGGTGCGGCTCCTGGTAGTTGTGGTAGCTCATGCCGTGGGCTACTGGTCAGGCCGGTCGTTGTTGTGGTTGTTGTTGTGGTTGTCGTCGTAGCAGTCGTCGCGGCCGTTGATGATGTCGTCGTGGCCGTGTTTGTCTCGGCTGCAGTGTTGTTGTTGAGGTTGTGTGCAGCATTGCCCTCTGCCGGCCCTGTTGTCGAAGGTGTCGTCGATATTGTTGTCGGGGCTGCTCTTGCCCCAGCTCCTGCGTCCGTAATGGCGGAAATAGATGCTCGTGCCAAGCTCGCTGCTGCGGTGGCGGACATGGACATAGCGCCGCCTATGCTACTGGGAGACGCCGTCCGGGGTGGTGAGCGTGACCGTCGCGCGGATGGCGGAGGCAGCGGCTGATCATGGCTGGACATAGGCGGAGAGATGGGCGGCTTAGGGTATGGCCAGGCGAGGTCCTTGGGCAGCGGCCCACGAGATGATGTGTCGTTTGGCGAGGGGGAACAACCAAAGCTCACAAGATCGGGCGGCGTGTGCGGAAGCGACTGGCGGTTGTGCGGTTCGGCGTACGAAAGAAACCCCATTGGAAACGTTGGTGATGGCGAACAGGCTCCGAATAGGCCCGGAACATGTCCCCCCTTGTGGTCTTGTTATTGAAGAAAGGACTGGCGATCGTTGATGTCCGTCCCCTTTACAACATCACCAGTAGAACGCCTAGTTGTCGTCGAGAATGGAAAGAGTGTGGGTGAGAGAGAAAAAGAAAAGGAAAGAAGGTAGACGACACGGGGAGGAGAGGGGAGAGAAGAAAATGAAAGGAAAGCAAACAGCAAAAGGAAATGCGAGGATAGAAAAAAGAGAGGAAGAGAACAAGTCAAAGGGAGGATAAAAGATGGCTGTGTAGACGACAAAGGACTAATAAGAAGAGGCGACAAGAAAGGCACCAGCCCGAAAAAGAAATACAATAAATAAAAGTAAAAGAAAACAATGGGGAAAGTGCAGGCTGGGCGTGGGAAGCAGATGGGTGGAGGTGGATGTTGGCCTTCGCTAAGGGGGGGATATCCGGCCGGGTAAAGAAGGAGGTTGAGCGGCGCAGTCCTGGCCTTTAGGTCGTTTAGTCTTTTGCTCTTGTGTTGGCTTTCTCTCAAGGAATTTGCTCATGCCCGGTGGCTGTTGTTTTTCTGTTCTCCTTGCAGGAATCGAAGGAAAGAGATGCCGGGTTTCCTTCTTTTCTTCGTCTTCTTGCTGTTAGACGTGAGACTAGTGGTGTTCGTTGTTCGATGTGGTGGGTTTTCTGATCCTTCAAAGGGGCTTTGCCGGCCACCTTCTTGGATGTCTCTCGTTGTCTGCTGCAGAACGTCGTGGCTACTGTCTCGCCTGCTTGCTTTTGTCCTTTAATTCTTTTTACTTTTTGCTATTCTTCTCCTTTCCGGCTGTCCTGTTTTCGTTTCTTTCGTCCCGCTGGTTCTCGCTTCTGTGGAATGATCAACCACAGCTAAAAGCCGTCAGTTTTGCGCTCATCCGCACGGACAAACGCAAGGCAGAGCAGGCCGTGGACACCGCGAGAAAGACGGGACCAGAAACGGCTGCAAAGGAAACGGCAAAACTGAAAGGGAGCAGCAGAGAAGGAATGGAGAATGAATACGAAATCAACTGGCAAAGACCGACTCGTATCGGCGCGCCCAGGTCTGTCTGCGAGATGAGGTGCTTGATCTGACACAAAGAACAAGAAGAGTAGGTCGAGGTGCACAGCAAAAACAACAATGGTAGGACGATCCGGCCCAGAAAGAAGCGTCGTGAGGTTCACCGGATAATGTCAAGGGCACGAAAAGACGAGGATCAAAGCAACAAAAGTCGTTGGTTGTCGATGGTCGTGCCGCGAAAGGTGTGGTGTGCGTGTACCGTCGGCCAGAGTGTCGATCGATCGGTTGCTAAAGGAGACAGTATTGTCTGTTGCTTGTTATACGGCTCGATGCTCGAGGTACTTTATTTTGTGCGTCGTCGGCTGTGTTGTAGACGTGGAGTAGAAGTGTCGTGCCGCCCAAGTATGCTGTGCTTTATGCGCCGAAAAGACAATCTTGCAACCCAGAGAGTGAAATGCACAACACAGGCAAGGGGCGCTTGTTGGTGTAGTTGGACTGGGTGAGGGTAAAAAGCTGAGGGGTGTGTATGGAGAAGGGGGGTGTGGAAGTTTGGAGCGTCTTTGAGCTTGGGACTGTGGTTTGAGTCCAAGTTGAAGGATAGCAAGCTGTGTTTATTTTGGTTTAATGCATGTGCACTTGCAGAATGGATTTCTGTAGAAGGTTGTGCCTCTTCAAGTTGTACAGCTTTGGCTACCTGTCTGCTCCTTGTTGCGACAGAGGTAAAATGAGTTACGTGCGAGTCAAAGTGAGGATCAGAACATGAAAATAACATCGAATAGAGACCTCACGGCGCTCATACGGAGCATCGGATGTCGTATGGAGAACGGGAGCACGCAGCAGCGTTGCTTAAGCCAAGCAGCACCTAAAATGACCCTACACCAGGCGTTTCTGCACCCACTTGAATAACAGCTAGTGATTGTAAGTGTGGGTTCCGGTAGACCGAACATCGTTGAAGAAACCAGCACAAACTTGGACGGCGGGGAGCCACAAGGTGCAAAGAGGATGAAAGGACAACAGTTGATGATGACCAGATACGGTTCGTGCTCGTGGACAGTGCAACGGGCAGGGGTGTTGATGGTGGTGTTGCCGTGTCGTGGTGGTGGGTTTATGAGATTAGAAATGAACAATGGAGCAGGGGGAGTGACGGGATGAGACCAAAGGCAACATGGGAAGGTATGTGTTGGAAATGTGACAAGGCCTCGAGGAAGCATGCTTCTCAGAGACAGAGAAAAAGACCATATATGCAGCCAGGAGATTTTGCAACGGCCGCGTGGTCAAAGCCCTCGCTTTTCTCCTGCTTTATGACTGCATTTTGCTTTTTGACATTTTTGTGACAAAATCCGTCAGTCGGTGGACGTCAAGTGCGTTCAGTGATTATGAAAATGAGCCAGCAGTGCTTTGCAAATTCGGACGCGAGGCACTTTGCTAAGGACATGCTCGCTGGTCTCTTTCGTGCCTGCCAGGCGGCAGGTAGATGCATAGTCGTTTCCTGCTTCACAATGTTACTCCGTATGTCTGCCTCTTCTGTGCCTTCGTAACAACACAAGGGCCACCCACTGCTGGCCACAAACACCGGACCCATGCCATTTTCTATCCCTGGGAAGGGTGCTCTCTTAGCTTTTAGTACGCAGGCCATTGGTAGAGAAAGAATGGAAAACAAACAACAAAATATGAGGAAAGCAAGGGGTGTAATCGTGCTGAAGAGTAAAAGACGGCCTCGTGGGAAGATAAGTTAGGGGAGGGGTGCGTGGAAAGACAAAATTAGGGATCTGGGAAGGGGGTGTGGGCTAGAGCGGAAAAGGCAGGCTGAACCAGTCGAGCAACTTGCATGGCGCTGACGTTCACCGAAACGTATTGGCATCCCAATGAGGCCAAATGGGTCGGAAAGGGTCAGGCAAGCGACATTCTGCACATGGTACCTGTGCAAGTATGCCATAACGCAGGTTGCACATTCCTGATGCTGGGGAGAGACATAAAGAAAAAGGAAGCAAGGCGAACGCAGACGGGCACACCGACGAAATAAGGCAAATAGTTGAGGATAAACAGCCCCCATTGCCCATCTGCATCTTGTGTCTCGACCAGCCAGGACAGGAAATGCCAGGCAAGAAAGCGTTTAACACGTCGTTTTGTGCTGCGTCTTGTCGGTGTCGTCTTGCCCTCAGGCGTGCCAGCAAGTCTCTTCGTCTTTTGCCAGCGTTGCCAAGAAAAGAGAGTGTCGCAACGTCGCCATTGGCCGTGACGGATGGGACGAAGCGAGAGGCCAGCACCGAGTGAGATTAGCGTCGTTGTGCTAAAGTGAACAAAGTGCCTTGACATTCAAGCTTTGCGAGAATTTGTACTGTCAAAAGAGTCTGCAGCGAGTGGCGGCTCAGCCTAGCCGTGATTCTCGGGGTGGTCGAGCAACCGCAATGGGCAGAAGCCCATGACGGCGTGAAGAGCTGGGGTGAGATGGTGGCAACAGCATGTGAAGGACGACGTACTCTGCAGCAAAGCAGTACCTCGACTTTTCGATAGTGCTCTGCTACTTGCACCCAAAGGTACTCTACTAGTCTTTTGACGAAAAAAACCATTGTCCATTTTTTTGAGAATTTGGTATGGCACAACACCGCGGCGCCTTGGTGGCACGTCCGCGAACCGTGGTTCAGAAGCTGGCCGCGCGAGAGATTGTCGGATCAGAGGATCAACAGCTAACACAAAGGGCTGTCGGGGCGGCTTGCCAACCAATGCGTGATCAGAGGCGGACAAGTGAGTAAGCGGATATGCAAGCAGGGCAACGCTCCTTGCTCGTCAATTACCTCGTTTCGTTGTCCGTTGCTTCCTGAGCGTCTTCGTTTTATTTTCTTTTCTTTCTTGTTTTTCTGTGTGGTTGTCTGATTTTGCATCTTCTGGTTGCCCGCGCTTGCGCCTCTTCCTCGTGTCTCCCCATTCGATATCCGTGCCGCACCATACGCGAGGCTCCGGGCCCGACAGGCGACTTGGGCAAAGACACCCGTGCATCTTGTTCTCCTGTGCAAGCGCGTTCTGTTTTTTTTTTTTTTTTTTTTCTGGCATGCTTTTACCGCTCTGGCTTTGAGGTAAGACTCTAAACACCCTCGAGACCCTGTAGTCGCCTTTTGTTGACTTGTGCCTTGACTGTGCTCTTTGTGTCCTGCGTCTTTTGACCCTTGCAATTTCCTTCTTTGGTTAGCCGGAAACAGGGGTGCGGAACGGTTCCTGTGCTAGAGGCGTGGATATACGCTGGACGGACACGCAGCCCGCCCACGGCATAACGTTGGCATGTGTGTACCGGGCGGGAGTACATCGAACGTCGTAGATAGATAGTATGAGCATGCGCGACGTGCTGAAGGCCAACCGGACAAGAATAGATGTCTCAATTGAAAAGGTAAAACATGGAAGATTCGTGTTTTCGATGTTGTGTCCACTGTCTTGCCTCGTTTTTGCCCAATCCTACCATTGCGCCTATTTTGCTGCTCCCTGTCTTGTTCTGTTTGTTGCCGTGTCTGCGCATCTTCTGTAAACCGACAGACACCGGACAGAAACAGGAGAATTTCAGGGGCAGACCACGCGTCGTCAATTGTTGGTCAAACGATGAGGATCAAATACAGAACACAGTGACAAGGACCACAGCACAGAACGTACATTGGACCTTAGTGGCGATCACTCTCCGTTAGCCGCAGACCTGCCGCCCAAGGGGGCGAGGGGGACCTTGCCGTTCTCGCCTGTCCCGCAATATTGCTCCGTACAAACACAGTGCCGAACTGTATATAACGTAGCACTCGTAAAGTGGTGTCCGAGTATTAAGCCTTTCGTTGTAAAGTGTTTGAGCTTTTTGGCCGGGAGCTCTCGCTGGTTTCTCTCTTTGTCGCCAAACCAGAAGCCAATACCCCATATTTCACTCCTCCTCTTTTCAGATCCTTGTAGATTTTCGTCTGCCCACTCCCACC